GTTCTTGTGATCTTTAATCCATCATGTATAAGAGTAAACATATAAAAATGTCAATTATCACATAGTCACACAAGTGGAAGTTAAAGTGGTTGACTTCAAAGGAACTGGCCTCCTATTCTTACTTATTTCCCAAGTTTGGCTCAAATCCAGCCAGTTCAAGCCAAGAAAAAGAAAAAAAAAGACTCAAAAGGTATTTTATTTGGCCATGTTTCTAATTTGTGTTTTCTTACTTTATCTTGGTCATGTTATGTGATTTTCATTCAACTCACTCACTCTACTTGAATCTATTTACAGCAAGTATTTGATCGCTGACAAATCTATTCTTGAAGCCACTAGAATCATCAGAACTGCATTGTCTTTTTGATGCTCAACAGATGATGAAACTCTTCTATACACAGTGGTGTGCTGTAATGACAAATAAAATGGGTTAAAAATTTGACCTACCCAACATACAAATGAAATAATTGACCTTCTTATGTGTAAAATGAAGTGGATTAAGAGAAATAACGGGGAAATTTAAATGAATGAATTTCAGTTTTAATTGAATCCAACTATAACAAATAAAATAAATATTTTTTCATTTGCTCAAAAAAACCACAATGCATCCGAGTTTGAGGGTGTCCTTGGCTTGACCAGTCACTCGTGTATTGACTTACAAAATTGATGACGTCGTTTCTTTGTTAGACAACGTATATTTGGAATTTTTGTTTTTTCAGGTTACATCATGGATGGAGACTATAAAAGGTTTTATAGCCTTTGGATGCTGTGTTTGACAATCCATGTGCTTGAAGATTTGAAGGATAGAGGCTTTCTCATTTCATAGAAGAATTGATATGTAAATAGCTTTTCATTTTACATGATATATTCTCAGTTCTGCAAAAGCTAGAGAAATGTGTTAAATTTTCTTAACTATCACGACTCTGATTTGTGTTTTTTGTTGCTTATTTTATTTCAGTAAGTGCGAAAGCATGGGTATTTTTTAATGATTAATATATTGACTAGATTACTAGTTTTCTAATGGTTGCATCCGAGCAAATCTTGGAGAGAGATTGAGTTATACACTCTTTCGTTTCTTTGCTCTCTCACATTTTGTGCCAATTATGGAACAAGACCTCTTGTATTCAAACAATCAATATAGTAGGTCAAATTCGACATCTTTAAGCTCTACACAGGCCTAGGACCATTGTCAATCTTGAGATCTTTTTTAACTTGGACTTTCTTCTTTTCTCCTCTTGCAGCATCTCAACGCCATGATCAAGAAATGTATACATCGATTTCTCACCAAAGTCATTCCCACCTTTCTCCTGTAAACCTTTCACATAATCATGATTCATTAATATTATCATGACATCCAAATGATCCATCGAAAATTGCGGGCTTCCCACTCAGAACAACCAACAAAAAGACTCCAAAGCTGAACACATCAGTGTATTCACTCACTATACTCGTAGAGAAACAAGAAGGATCATATGTATCCAAGTGTTCCCATCACTCTATCTTTAATCCGTGACTTACCTTCAGGTAGAGATATAGACAAGGATAAATCTTATGAGAAATCAACAGCTAGTTGACAATATTGTAAAAGCAGCCTCTGTTTTCACTTTTCACATACTCATCACTAAACGGCGTCGTATCGGTCGAATATTGATCGCTTCCGTTGAATTAGTCAAAGTCGGTTATTATTAGTTAACAATTACTTTTGGATTTGGTAAAGCTTCTCCAATTTTTTTCCGTTTTGATCAACGGCGATTTACGTTTTCTCCTCTTCTCCAAGGGTTTTCTCTTTTCTCGATTGATAAAACCTAATTTAGTTTCCGTTCTTACAGAAACCTTAATTTCGTGTCTTGATCATGGGTTACGAGAGTTTATCGGACGAGCGGACGGAGAAGCGAAAACAGAGCAAGGAGGACGCTACTTACGGTATCTTCGCCGGAAACTATTCGAACTCTGATGATTCCGGAGGATCTAGAAGGAAGATGCGTAAAACCACCAAGCCTGTCAACTGGGGAATCGAAATCCACGAGGAGGGTAAGGATAAAAAGGGAAACTTTGAAAAGTTCAGTGGAGGGATTGGTATGAAACTGCTTGAGAAAATGGGATACAGAGGAGGTGGGCTTGGGAAGAAGGAGCAAGGAATCGTTGTTCCCATTGAAGCACAAGTGAGGCCGAAGAATATGGGTATGGGTTACAATAACTTCAACGAGAACACTTCACAGTTTCCTGGCTTAAACAAGGTCGAGGAGGAGAAGAAGAAGACTGTTACAGTCACTGTTAGTGAGAAGACTCATGGTGATGAAAGGAGAAATCTTTGGAAAAAGAAGAACATTATTGACATGCGAGGAGGACCACAACCAGAGTTACAACAGAACATGAGGCTTATCATTGATATATCCGAGCATGAGATTCAGAGGATTGATAGGGATCTGAGGAACGAGAAAGAATCAGCCTTGGGACTGAAGCAAGAGAAGGAGAAGTTTAAAACAGAGGGAGAAAAACAGAGAATGAAGTTTGAAAATTTGATTTACATTGCAGAAGAAATCGATCGAATCGAGCTTGAGAATGCGTCTGGTGATTTAACGTTGGACTCGCTCGCGGAACGTTTCAAGAACTTGCTTTCAAGCTATCCTGATGACTACAAGGTTTGTAACTTGTCAAGCGTTGCTTCCTCACTTGCCTTGCCTCTGTTCATCAAGATGTTTCAAGGTTGGGACCCTCTTAGCGAAGTGGCGCACGGTTTCGAAGCTATATCTTCTTGGAAAATGCTGCTGGATGTTGAAGAAGACGATCAAAGTTATAGCCAACTTGTCTCGGAGGTGATTTTACCTGCTGTGAGAATGTCAGGGATTGATACTTGGGAACCAAGAAACCCTGAGCCAATGCTGAGAGTTATAGAGACATGGGAAGAGTTGTTGCCTTTACCTATTCTCGAGACGATTTTGGAGACGGTAGTGATGCCTAAACTGTTAACCGCTATTGAAACTTGGGAGCCACGTTTAGAAACGGTTCCGGTCCATGTTTGGGTGCATCCGTGGCTGCTACTGCTAGGTCAGAAGTTGGAAGGTTTGTATGAGATCATTCGGATGAAACTGAGTAGTAACATTCTCGAATCTTGGGATCCAAGTGATGTCTCTGTGCACACTCTTCTCTCTCCTTGGAAAACTGTTTTTGATGCTGAGAGCTGGGAGGAGCTTATGCGTCGTTACATAGTTCCAAAACTAGAGCTGGCTTTGCTAGAGTTGGAGATAAACCCGGCGAACCAAGATTTAGACCGGTTTGATTGGGTGATGAGGTGGGAATCTTTGGTACCTATGCATCTAATGGTTGGTTTGATGGAGAGATTGTTTTTCCCAAAGTGGCTGGATATTTTGTACCAGTGGTTGTGTTCAGAGCCAAAGTTTGATGAGGTGAGAAACTGGTTTTTAGGTTGGAAAGGTTTATTAGGACAGGAGCTTGCGGAGAACAAGAGGATCAAGATTCAGTTTAAACGTGGTTTAGATATGGCGATGGAAGCTGTTGAACAGGTGGAAATGTGTAAGCCAGGGGAAAGAGAGAACATAGGGTTCTCAAGTTACCACAAGGAACAAGAGCAGATGCGGTTCAAGGGTCGTGTTAAGAGTCACGAGGCTCAGATGGATGATGATGATGATGACACCGAGGAGCTGAGTTTTAGAGAAGCAGTAGAGTTGTTTGCGCAGGAGAAGGAGCTGCTGTTGAAACCAATACCATATAGAATGCACAACGGTCTTCAGATCTATAGGTTTGGGAGCGTGAGTGTGTTGGTAGACTCGGCGAACTCGAAGTTATTGGCTCAAGAAGGAGGAGACTGGTTTCCTGTAGATTTTGACGGATTGTTGAAGATGCATCACAGTGCTGTTGCTGGGAAAACAAAGAAACATATCCCTTAGAAAGCAAGGTAAACATTGCTTATGATTTATTATTCCTCTGTGTTTGGCTTTTTTATCTGTATGATAGATTTTAGTTGTCAAGTAGATAACAGGTTTTTGTGTTTCAGTCCATTTTTGTATAGCATAATTTCAGGAAAATCTTATAAGGAAGTTAGCAGAAGAAGCTGTGTTTTGGAACATCATGATGGTTTGAAATTATGAACACTTTCTGGTATAACCAGGAGAAGCCATGGGTGTGGAATATCATGAACATATTTTGCTAACAGTTAAAACATTTTACATTTTGTAGTCGCAGGCATCCGAGTTTGACTGTACCATTGGCTTGATACTTGTGTAACGACTTACAAGGGTCGTTTGTTTTTTAGACAATGCATATTTGCCGTTTATGTTTTTTTCAGGTTACCAAACAGATCATGGATGGAGATTATAGACTTTTAGATGATGTGTTGGACAATCCTGAAGGATGTGCTTGAAGCTTTAAGGATAGAGTTTTATAGTTTTTCCATCACGGAGAAGAGAATTGATATCTAAATAGCTTTTCATTTTCCCATTAGAGAATCTGATTTGTGTTTTTTGTTGCTTATTTCAGGAAGTGGGGAAAAATGCTTTGGAAGCGTCGACATTCTCTTGGAAAATGGTTTCATCTGAGCAAATCTTGAAGAGAGATTGAGTTATATACTCTTTTGTTTCTTTGCTCTCTGGCATTTTTGTGCCAATTATGGAACAAGACCTATCGTATCTCTCTTTTTATTCAAACAATCAATATAGTAGGTCAAATTCGACATCTTTAATCTCTACACAGGCCTAGGACCATTGTCAATCTTGAGATCTTTTGTGAACTCCGTTATTGTTCAAAACCATATTAGATACAAAATAAACCAACCAGTCTTGGAGACAATGCAGCTCGAATCCCCACTCATTTGTGGCCTTTAATGATGCTAGTTGGCGTTTTTGGTTCATGGGTTATAAACAACAGAATATGGTTTCAACAGTAAAATCTAATCAAAATCATGAACTTCACTTTCGAATAGCCATAGATCCATAGTAACACAAACTACTTACAGTTTTACTTGGTTCCCACTCATCACTCAAGTACTAAACCCACATTTCTCGAAGAAGCTTGTATCTTGCATTGGAAGTCATCTCTGAACCAGTAAAGTCACTTGAATTGTCGACAATCGATGTAAGAGGAGAGTCTAGTTCCTCAAGCTCCTCGTCGCTTGTGTACCCTTTCCTCTGTATCATAGACACATTCCTCGACGATTTTCCTTCAGCAGCCTCTCCAACATTTTGTGCTACATCCATGGTCGATGGAGGCATGTAAGAAACAGAGGAAGCTGCATAAGGGAAGCTTTCTTCTGATACCTTCCCATCACCATCGCTCTGCAAATATTAAAAAACAAACAAGCAAATATAGTTGACAAACTCTACTTTCTGGATCATGAGAAGAAAGAAAATCAAAATCTTGAAACCTCAGCAGAATTAAGCTCTTCTAGGACAGCTCCAGGTACATGATCTGGACAGAACTCATCAGGAGTGAAGTTGCAGAGTATTCTTTTGATTAGTGGAAGACTGATTGATGGACATACCTGTTTATAAAACCAATAAATCAGGAACAAAGGTGAGGCTCATGCATGTAAGATAATTAGACAAACCTCTTCTCTAATGGATCTTTCCATAAGCATGTCTTTAGGGAGCATCAGAAGATCACTAAGTTCGTTCAGCAAAACAAAAGCTTTACGATCACTTCCTTCAGTTTCTACACGACCATCATCTTCGCTGTTTCTTTTCTCTTTCGCTAAAGAATCGTCAGAGTTCATGCCAAACATTTCAGTAAGGCTTCTAGACCAGTTTCCAATCTGCAAGGGAAAAATATTGTTTCACTACTCGCTCTCTAACAGCTATGAACATTTGAGCTTTGTTTTCGCATTGTTTACCGCGTTTTTGAGTTGTGCTCCTGATCCAAAGCTCAAGTCTCCAGCAGGAATAGGCAGAACTTTTGAATCAAGGATAGGATCAGAGACAGGATCAGTTGGAATCTGATGTTCTGACTCTCTCAGAATAGCATTGAACATGGCCACATCGAATCTACCAATACACTTCTCCATAACCTGTTTTTAAATACACAATAACAAGATGATTCTCATTACATTAAAGTGAAACATAATGGGAAAATGTGATTGATTATGATTACCATTGTAGCTAATAAAGGTAAGCAACCGCATTCGTGTCCTGCGCCTCTCATAGGACAAAGCCGTTGCAGAGCATCTCTGAAAGCACTTTTCCATAGGCTAATTGAAAACGTTCCTTGCTTCTCATCACCTAAAGAAGGTCCTAACAGTTTCTCATTCGACTTATCGGCTGATGAGTCACTTTCAGGAGATTGCATATGAGGGGTAAACACCTTCAAGATAGGACAAGAAGAAGAAGAAGAAAGTGAGATGCATCTTCACAAGTTTAACATAGAATCTTGTTTTGAATTAGGACATTTTTGTTTATACCTGCCACCAAACAGACTCAACGATTCTAGAGAAGATCCAGAACTCGATTTTCTCGAGAGCAGAAGTAAAAGTCTCAGTTTCTTGCCAATCTTCCAGAAGCTGTTGGAAACCATTCTTCCATCTCAGGTTTGTTTTCTTCCCTGAATCATTCCCATTTGACTCAGAGCTCTGTGTGATGATGCGAGACTTACCAAACGCTTGCGATATGATCTCCCTTAGAGCTACGATGTTTGATAGCCAGAATGTCAACCTAACAAAGAGAAACCAAGAAACGTTGGTTTAAAGATCACAAACTTAGAAGAATGAAACTCTCACTCTCTCACGTACCTTGAAACATCATTCCCACAAGATCTTGCTACCAAGACAAGACCAGAGACAGAGTTTCTTGCGATCGTAGCACGCTTTCCTCGAGTGAAGTTGTTACAGGCATGGATGTAGATTCTTGAAATACGCCGAGCAGGGGTGTGAAGCTTGTGCGCGGAGCTAGAATGGTCAAGCACAACAGAGTAGAGCGAGATCTCGAGTGCAGCGACTTCTCTAAGCTCCTCTTCAAGTCTCTCGATTCTACTCTCCAGATGCTCAATCTTGTTCTCAGCTACATCAGAGGCCTCGTTCTCACTTCCAGCACTAAGAGCACCGTTAGAAGCATCTTCCCATACATCAGCATCTTTACCCAATTCAGAAACGGATCTGCTTAAGCTATGCTTCTTCTTCTCTGTTTTCTTCACAGCTCTGGAAGAACTCGAGTCTTGAGGAGCATCTGCAGACGTAATGGCGGCTGCATCATCATCATCAACATCATCCAAGTAACGAACATCGACAGTTTGGTAAGCTTCAGATGGATCTGATTGTGTGGTTGAATCACTACTTGCTACTGTGGAGAGATTGTTTGAGGCTTCCTTAGCATCTAAGTCGTCTTTTTGTTTCTGGCTATTCGTCTTCTGTAGCTTTTGATCTTTTCTTCCACTCTTGGTAGATCGCTTAGACTGGACATTGTTGGTAGTTGTTGTTCTTGCCTTCATCATGAAGCTCTTCCAATGCAGCCCAAATCAAGAGTTACTTTCAAGTTTCGAGTAGAATTGTGTAACCCTACAGAAAAGAAAGAAAGAAAGAAAATTCTGTGAGATGCTTCAAAAAGTAATGATTTTGATTTTGAGATTTGGATTTGGATTGAGCAAGATGAACAAAAAGATAAAAACACAGCTGGATATATTCATGTGTCTGAAAACGACAACACATAATGGAGGAGGGAGGAAAATGACATTAAATCAGACTTGCCATGTTTTGTCTTAATCTAATCTACAGTAGGATTTGAGGTCCCAGCAACTTGTTCATAGTTGCTAAAACTGGATACAAAATGGGTGAAATTCACTTTACTCTTATGGAATTACAAGAATTATTTTCTTCTTGAGTATGATTAGCAGTAATTTATTAAATTAACCATAACAGATAAAACACAGAAATTCAGGAACTACAATTCTGTGAAAAGTCTCTAAACCGAAGAAGAAGAAGAAGAAGACTTACCCCAGAGCAAAAGGAGAAGACTTCGGAGAAAGTGGTGTTTCACATGGAAGCCATCATAAAACACATTTGGTTGTCTTCCTCTTCACGACGGTCACTTTAATCTACTACTCAGAGTGAAGTCTACTCTCAGATTTGCGTCACCAGAAGAATTAGCTGTCTTTATCTGTAATCCATAATAAAGCTACTTTCTCTCTTTCTCTCTCTCTCTGTCTCTCTCACTATGGGGGAGATCCTCCGAGTGCGGGAAGTTATGGTGCATTTTAAAAAGAAAAAACATGGACCGTGTGCGGTACGGACTGTGATCCCGGTCGTGACAACGTGGAAGGTTGTGTCGGTGGCTCGAGCGTTAACCGGAAATAGCCGGTCGCATTGTCAGGAAAAAGGTAGATTCTCTTTTAAAATGACCGTAGTGTCCTTTTCTCTTTCGTCAAAAAAAACATCCGACTGACTCCACCGACACCGACATCAAATTACGTACGATTACGACTGTTGATATGTTTATTGAATTGTGGAATTTACGGAAGAAAACATCTGATGATGACCAGAAGAAAAATAGAGATAAGAGGACAAAGTTTCTTCACATGGCTTTCACATTGGACTGATCTTGATTCTTGGGTCTCCATAAAAAAAAAAAGCCATGTGAAGGAGTGGAGTGATGTGTTCTTACATTGACAAAGCCTGATTGTTTCAGTGTTAACAGTAAAGAGACACATGCAAGCAAGAGAGAAGGATGTGATGCAATTTGAGGGCACTGAGACTGCTCAACAGAGGCAAAATAACATATCAGAGCTAATTACTATAAAGAATGCCAGCAAGAGAGTATTAGGTTTCTTTGATCGCAGTCTCTTTGATTACTTTATCATCATAAATGAAACTAGAGGATGAGATGAACATCACAGCTACTCTAAAGAGCCTATTTGAGAAGACTAATCAGAAGTTTTGGGAAACTACAATCCATAGAACACGAAGGGTCCATCGACCAAAACCTGGAAAGATAGAGGTAAGCTGTCATGTTTTTCTAAACCTCAAGCTCATTGACTGTACAAGTACTCTTTCCAAAGATCAATATCAGTTCTCATGTTATTCTTAACTCAATATGCTGCAAAAAAGCCTCACAATTCAGTATCCAAATAGCTAATACAATGGGTCAAATGTTGGCCATTGTTGAATCATACAAAACTTCCAACACTGATGCTATGAGCAGTAAGAGCCTAATAAACAAATAAACTGAATTCTAGTGTGCCGAATCTCACTATGGCTGACACTTATGAGTAACTCACTATTCCAGCCATTATTGGATTATTCAAGAACCCAAACACTGATGCAATGAGCAGTAAAAGCCTAATAAATACCGCAATTTGAAGAGACTGTAATCTAGTGTGTTGCATCTAACAATGGCTCATGCCATGAGAACTCTACTCACTCTAAAAAAAACTGCAAAACTCACTGTCAACGCTACACAAAGCTATAATCATATACCGTGTCGAAAATCTATACTAATGAGCCTAATTGAAGCATGCCATGTGTGCAAAACAGAGGAACATTCCATATCCTAGTTATAGCTATACTATCATCAGCCTCTGGCTACAACAACAAGTGAAAAGTTGTAAGATGGATCTAAAGAGATTCAGAATCGACGAATGCAATCTGGCCATGAACTTCATCAGGAAGCAATGCATAACGTAGTCCAGTAATGGAACAATCCAATCAATAGGCGAACCGAATCATTTGGAAAACACACCAATCAAATTGCAGATTTTTATCAAAATGAGCAAATCATAAGTAGAGAGTGAGGACAAGTGCGTCGAAGAAGTTAAAGTACACTTATTTCATGAACATCATTATCGACATAAACAAAGATATTGAAACGAAGTTGCAACCCAAACTCTCCAGTCTTCGTGATCGTCATAGAACGGTAAAAACTCCTCGAATCCCCGGTAAAAAAGACACACCGTTCATTTCCACAATCCGGAGATCAAACGGTGATGCTTAATCGGACGAATCTCCGACGGACGCGAGCTTCTCCATCTCGAGGCGCTCCAGAGCTTTCTGATGAGCCCAAGTCTCGATGGAAAGATCGGGTTTGGCATTGAGTCCGACGCCGAGGATGACAATCGTGAGGAAGCTGGTGATGTAACAGGGAAGCTCCCAGTCTTCCCATTTGCGCGAATGTCCCGGTGCCGGAGGAGTTCGATTCATGAAGTAACCCTTGGGCCGCTCCTCGTGACCCGGCGTCGCCCACCGACTCGGGCCGGCGGATGTAGATCCGGACCGTGAGAAGATCCGATTTCGTAGCGTCTTAGCTGCGACGGTCAAGGACTGCGTCGACGGCATCGCTTGTTGTTGTTCCGATTTGTGCTGTTAGCAAAGGAGACGAAATGAAAATTCGCAGATTTGTTCTGTATCACACTCTACGACCTACAAAATGGTTTTCTTAACTCGAAACCGGACCGAGAAATCCAATTTGGTTATCGTCGGTTTAATTAGCAATATTCGGTTATATATTGTGGTTTCAATTGACACAGAAGTAATTGGATCAGATTTTCCGGTTTATTCATGCTTTTCTCAATTCTAATTTTTGTTCATGATTTTGATTTTAAATTTTGAAATTTGAAATCGCTATCAACAATATGAAAAAGTCGTAGATGACTAAGAAGCTCTTTGACTAGCTTAAGCGAACATTCGTAAAACCTTTGTACACACTTTGTTCATTTTTAAAACATTTGTAAAACATGTCATTCATTTATACTTATAATTTCTAATTAGTTGGTTTAAAAAGACTTGTTTTGGCTACTAGTATGAATTATTTTAATCCTATGTAAATATATAGTCATATTGATATTATAAATTAATAATTTTTATAACAAATATGAGCTATGATAATATCATAAAATATAGGTATAGTATTTTTTTTTAATTTTATAAGTATGTTCTAGTTTGATCAACAATTTAATTGTCGATATTAAATTAGATTACCTTATCTATGTTTTGTCAACAACCGGTCAACTTGCTCCAGTAATGATGAGATATATGATTGGATATTGTTTATTGTCTTATTTTAAAATCACATCATTTTATTTTATTATAAATTCCAAAATTTGATATCACAAAATCCTAAAAAATTTAAATCAGTTTTGCATATTAAGACTAAAGTTATACATGATGTCATGAAACAATGATGAAGATGCAGATGGATATTTAGTTGAGAAAGTAATAGATGCAAAATCGATTTCAAAACTTCATGAAATCGATTTGGGAATTTTGCTCAAGGAAATCAAGAGAAAGAGGGCAAAATCTATTTGAGATTTTAGAGTTTGTGAAATCCATTTGGGAATTTAGAAGAAAACGTGTTAGTTTAACAAAGTTTTAGATGACTAATATGATTAAATATTCTAGTCAAGTTAGGGTGTGTCTATTTTGGCTTACTCGACAAAAGTTTATGATTAAGTTTAAAGTATAAAAGTCAATAAAAAGTTGAAGTTCTGTAGTATGATTTTACAAGAGTTCATTCTTTCTTTGACCACAATTTAAAAGTTCAAACCACAATTTAAAAGTTCAAGATTTTTATGGCATCTTTTCGATTTTCCATTGATATGTTGGTTTCCGTTGCCATAGTAATTGGATTTTTAGCGGTTTATTCATGCTTTTCACAGTTCAGATTTTTGTCCAGTTGACTTGAAATATTGAAGATCGAATTAGTGTTACACACAAAGATATCAAATCTTCTTCATATACTTAACGGACACACTTGAGAGGGACATTCTGAATTCTACATTGAATCTAGACAATAGAAAAAGGCCATAAACAAGAGACCTGAAACAATCGTAACAATCTTCTACTTCTAATTCAACATTCGAAACCTTAGGAGATATATAAATAACTCTGATATATATACACAGCACACATGTATTTTTCACTTCATAGCTCCATTTTCACCTGATTTTGCTGCAAAGAAGCTGAAGCCATCAAGAAATTGGCTTGATGATGATGATCCTCTTCTCTTCCCCATACTTGCTGCTGGTAACCATCGAGAGACCACTGTTGCAGCTCATGATAGGACTCTCCATTGAAGCTACCATCCATAAGAGAGCCGTTCTGCATAAGAGATTTGGACCTTATCATTAGCTCAAATAGTACATAACAGCTTCTGTTAGAGATTATTCATTCAACTTCTCTCTATCTATTCAATATTTCATCCTAACGGAACAAGAGTTTGAAAGAGTGGGGCCTGGTTCTTAAAGGGTGTACAAGCTGTAAAAGAACAAGGTCATTTAATAAGAAGTTATTTGCAGAGAAACAAAAACTGATGAATTAGATTGGATAGGTGAAACTTGAAGCAACAAGAACTAGACTCAGACCCACAGAAAAAAATAATTGCGAAAGGATAAAAAAAAGAAAGACATAATCAAAAACCACAGAACAGAGGTGGTCCGTGTTTCTGACCCATTTTTCTTTCTCTCTGTGATATAATTGAGACTTGAGAGGACTCATTAGTCCTTTCAAAAGATTTTTCTAGTCCTTGCATAAACAAAAGCCTGTGTGTGTGTGTACTGCACTTTTGTAAGGTAATGTGTATTTATTTCCCCACGTTGATCTTCTGTTTTTTAAGCCTAGTCTAAAATAGAGTCGATTAATGTTGCATCAATAAATATCCAAAAGTTTCTCTTTTTGTGATACAACTAAAAAGGTTACTCAAAGAAATCTAATCCCTATGGTTACTTAAAACGAGCAACATAGTCAATCAGAGGCTCTTTATAGTGAAATCTTAGAAGAAGATCACATGGAAACTTAAAGTCTTGTATGTGATTAAATACTTACTTCTGAAGCCAATATGCTATCGAGATTGAAGTCGATTCTGGGGTTTACTGCAGAAAGTCTCATAGATAGCATCTGGAAAAGAAAAACAAGTACAGTTATGTTTGTGATTGTTTTAGCTTATGGTTTTATTTACTGAAGAAAACAACAAAATTTTAAGCAGGAAAAGTCCAACCTCCACTTGACGCTGTAAAGACTGCACATGGTTAATGATTTCATCTAGTACTAATGCAGTTCCCTGAATCTGCAGGCCAAAGCTTCCTGTTAAGTCAGGTTTAAAGGAGAACAAGCCACAGAGTTTCTAAGCAGCTTTTTATTTATTAGAGTATCAGTTTAGTCATGACAATAATACACGCAAATCAGCCAGAAAAATGAGTCTTAATCCTAACTAGCATGTACAACCACAGCAACGTTTCTCATCTATAAACAAGAATTCAGAATTTTCTCAAGATTTTTAGGAACAAACAATCAAGTCTGAGAGCCCTACAAGCTTTTACAAACCCTTAAAGAGTTGTCACTTATCACCATCTCCTTCCACCAATAATGGCTGCTAACTTCCAAGAGATATATATCTATAGATTAGTTAGCTGTCTGCAGGAGTGTCACATCATGTATCCAACCAATTAGGTATTGTGGGACTCAAAGCATATAACAATATTTAGTGACGATACCACTCTTTCACCCCTCTTTCTACTTGATAGATACCAAACTTACTAGAGACGATACTTACACTGCTCACCTTCCATAGAAAGCCTGCAACTTTTTTCTACTTATCAATACAAAAATATGGACCCCAAAAACACATTCTGATCTTCATCTATCCACCAAAATCTGTCCCCCTCTACACAAAACCTTAAGGGAACACTCCAGCTAGCGTTCCCACATCATAAACCCATTATTTTCATTTATGGAGAGTAATCTTCAAGCTCTCAGTGTCACATCACTTCCCTGTAACTAGTTTACCTAAATGGCTACGAGAGATTCCTCCCTATACGGAAATAAAGTTAAAACCTTCAAGGAAGTGAAATTACCAAACTAGTAGTTTAAGACTTTTAGTCTTTGGCACACCAGAAAGCTTTTATCTTTTCATATAAAAAGGAATTTAGCATTCCAAGAAAGTGAGAAGGATTAAGACTCTTATCAAACCACATCATCAAATTAAAAGAGAGAAAAAAAACTCACTTTTTGGAAGTTGGTCTAAAATAAAGAAAGATTCTGTCCATGAGCTAATGAGGATCTAATTATTCATTAGCTTTTTGATTAATCTATAGACAAACCTTATCACAGCCTGGGACCAGTTCTTGTAGCAGCTTCATTCGTGCGTTTATCTTCTCTCTTCTTGCCTATAATCAAAGAGTTAACGATGAATTAGCGTAACCACTAATTAAAAAACGGCCATGTTTGTGAGATGTGTGATTGTGAAATTACTCGCTCTGCTAAGCTATGGTTATCGGTAGCTTGACCACGACGAGCTCGAACGTGAACATATGGCAGCTTCTCCGCTTCTTCTGAGCTCTTTGTCTTCTTCGTCGAGCTTTTGACCTGCAAATTTAAGGGATAGAGAATTAGGAACTAATTTATCGGATAGAAGAGTTTTTGATTGTTGACAATTGTATATCACCTTCTTCTCGCGCTCTTTCCTCTTCCCAGAAGAATTGCTCTGATTCTCCATCAATGGATCGCTCTCAGAAGGCTCGGCCTTGACTCTGTCCAGATTCTCGCCGGAATTCGAAGGTACGGAGTCACCGGAGATGTTTCCCTTTTGCTCAGTGGCAATCACCGAGAAACGAGCGGCGCGGTCCAATAGAAGCGACTTAGAAGGAAATGTCAATCTGCGGAAAGGGTTGTGAGGAGCGATATCTCCGGCGACTCTGTTAACGTTCGCCTGAGGAGACGATGAATCTGTGAAATGGAGAAGCTCCATGGCCTGAGTCGCCGGCATCTCGAGCAAAGCCGTGAATGAAGAGCCGGTGTTCTCCGGTGGCATCGTCGCCAATTGCCGAAATCCGTCGCTGAAATCGAGCGATTCAAGTCCGGTCACCGCCTCTCGGCACGGCCCATCGCCGGATCTAGCTCTAAAACCTTCGGTCAGATCCATTAAGAGGAAACTCGCGCTTAAACCGGAATTAACCGAATTGAATTTCAGAGGAAAACCAGAACCAACCGAAAAAAATTAACGATCAATGGCGATCAAAGCGACTTAAGTAGTTTCACTCTCTCTTTCACTTTGTAAGAGACTAAGAGCTTAAGTCTTCTTCTTCGTTAGAGTCTCTCTCTCTCTCTCTCTCTCTCTATGTGTGTTCTCACTTCTCAGAGCTCAAAAGATTACTTCAGAGCCATATGGAGTGGGAAGAAAGCAACGTTAGCTTTGGAGTGCGTCTGTTAATAAAGCCAATTTTTGAGAGAGAGAAAGTATCCCATTATGGCGTTGAGGATGAGAGAGAGAGAGACCAATGGTTATGAGTTGGGCCTTTGGGCTTGGTTTGTAGCTATAGCCTATATCTATATGCCATAACTGAGGTCAAATCAGAGACTAAAACCGAGGAGAGAAACAAAATGAGTGAGCTTCTTCACTGTTGTGTGCTACAAAAATGACTTGTGATGAAGGAGGTCCACATGGCGAAACCACGAAAACGACAGGGCGTGACGTCCCCACCAATCATCCAAGTTGCACGGATCTGAAAATTGTTTTGGCCGTCTTAGCGATTTATTGGGCCTTTTTGGACCGTTAAAATGAGATTGCCAAATTTAGCCCATCTTATTTATTGCAGTGGAGTCCTTGTGTTTGTACTAAAACGGTAAGATGTTCGCGTACACTGACTCGCAGTGCTTGCTGTTTGTTGCTTCAAAAGATACTACTTTTTGGCACTTTTTGTTCCTTTTCTTTTCAAAAGGTTCTTTGACTGAGAAAGTTGTTGATACATTTTTCATTAACGAAAGTCGGATGTTTGGTTATTAACTTATTATATACATGTTCATTTATATGAAAATAAAATATTAACAAAAAAAAACTAATGTTTTCCCTCAGTAGTTCAGTCTACATATTTTCTTGGCATTAAAAAAAAAAAAGATTTGAAAAAAACTCAGGTTCAAACACCGAAGTCATTAAAAGGACTAAATTAACCTATCATACTCTTTGGACTTGCGATTTTTAAATTCTAGACCTAAAATTTCTTGAAAACAAACAAAATTGTGATGATGTCAGTGCAAGCATAGCTAAAGTCTTTTCCCTTTGGCACAAACAATGGCTCTGTACTCCCTCCATAAAAGGAGATGTCTGGACCGCTTTTGTGATCTTCGGCCCAAGCCCAAAACGTAATACTAGGCTTCTAGCTAGTGCAATGGAAATGTTGACTGTAAAAGTGTTGACTCCTGTTATTTACGGAAGTGCCCTTGTTACTGACATAGGAGCCAAATTGGCATCTCTCAATTGCATGTTTGTGTGGTGACTTTTGTCGGTTGGTTAATGATATTTCTCTGACACAATCAATTATACATAGTATTAGATACAGTCTCTTCCGACCTTTAATTCGAATAAAACTCTAAATAATGTAGCATCCTCCTCAATGGAATTCAAATTCATACCAATCAAAGCCACACATATGATATAATAATATCGATACGTTGACCTTTGTGATTTGATACTCGTTAGAGTTCTCGATTATTGCTTAACATGTTCCTCCTTTTCAGTTCCTGATATGTATTGTGCAAGTATAGGTTTAGTACAAACAAAAAAAACCATGGCTCATGGTGTCCTATGAACCAGATAACATTTGGTTGTCGATTATTCTTTCTTCAGTCATATGATTGCTTATCGTACCATTGTCCACTTTGACATAGCTGTATAGTCTAAACTTGAAATTTCGTATTAAATAATCAAAGAACCACACAAAACCAAAAAGAAACTGAAAAGAAAAAAAAAAAGCAAATCCCAATATTATTATCTTTAGATCCTTATTAGTTTATTATTATTTCAAACAATAACTCTGCGCACAAAAAAATTCAAATTTTGTTGATCATGACTACATTACTCCACGTTGCTACAATGCAATTTATAAAAAGATCCAAGCTCGGTCAAATCTCACTTATTCTACTCCTTCGTCTTCACTGTTTATCGTTTTTCTCTGCAACTTCTCGTTGCATAGAGACGACAAAAAAACAGTTTCAAGAAAAATGAAGCTTCTTTGGATTCTTTCCCTTCTTGTTTCTTGCATGAGCCTTTGCTACTCTCTCAATTCCGACGGCTTGTCTCTTCTCGCTCTCAAATCCGCCGTCGACAACGACCCGACTCGAGTGATGAGCTACTGGTCTGAATCCGACCCGACTCCTTGCCATTGGTCCGGAATCGTCTGTACAAACGGCCGAGTCACCTCACTTGTACTCTCCGGGAAAAGTCTCTCCGGTTACATTCCATCAGAACTCGGTCTACTCGACTCGCTTATCCGGCTCGATCTAGCTCACAACAATTTCTCAAAAACCGTACCGGTTGGTCTCTTTGAAGCAACCCAGCTCCGGTACATTGATCTCTCACACAACTCACTCTCCGGTCCAATCCCATCCCAAATTCGGTCAATGAAATCTCTAAACCATCTCGATTTCTCCTCAAACCGTCTCAACGGTTCACTCCCCGAGTCACTCACTGAGCTCGGAAGCCTCGTCGGAACCTTGAATCTCTCTTACAACCAATTCACCGGCGAGATTCCGCGGTCGTACGGTCGATTTCCGGTTTACGTCAGCTTGGATTTCGGCCACAATAATCTGACCGGAAAAGTACCACAGGTCGGTTCTCTGTTGAACCAAGGACCAATCGCGTTCGCCGGAAACTCTCATCTCTGTGGCTTTCCACTGCAAACGCCATGCGAAGCAATCGAAATCCCTAATCTCGTCGCCGCGAAACCGGAACTCACGCAAGACCTCCAGAAACCAAATCCTAGTGTGATCAGCAACGAGGAAGGAAAGGAGAAGCAGATCACCGGATCGGTAACGGTTTCTCTGATTTCCGGAGTTTCCGTTGTCATCGGAGCGGTTTCTATCTCCGTATGGCTGATCCGGAGAAAACAGAGCTCCGACGGGAACAAATCGGAGACGAAGACGACGAATGCGGCCTCGGAGTTCGACGAGGAAGCGCAAGACGGTAAATTCGTGGCCTTTGACGAAGGATTGGAGCTCGAGCTTGAGGATTTGCTGAGAGCTTCGGCTTACGTAATAGGCAAGAGCAGGAGCGGGATTGTGTACAGAGTAGTGGCGGCGGAATCCTCCTCCTCCGCCGCCGTTGTCGCCGTCAGAAGGCTAAGCGACGGTAACGCCACGTGGCGGTTTAAGGATTTCGCGAACGAAGTGGAGAGCATTGGTAGGATCAACCACCCAAACATCGTGAGGCTAAGAGCTTACTACTACGCAGAGGACGAGAAGCTTCTCGTTACTGATTTCGTTAACAATGGCAGCTTATACTCTGCCTTACATGGTAAAACACTAATCTTTTCTTAAATCTTCAATTTTTTTTAACATTAATTACTCAAAAGCTAATATTAACGTTTATTATTTGAACATAATTCTTGAAACTTGAAACGACTATTTGGGAGTCAAATGCTCAAAGTGAAAGTGCAGAGCTTTTTTGTCCTCTGTGTGATTGTGGTAGTATAGTGACTGATTTGTTGGCTTCTTCTCCTTGTTGGTTTGTTGTTTAAAAGCGTTCTTGGGATTACATGTGTTGAAACTTAAAACAATAGAGATCTGGTTCTGTTTTACATATAAAAACAAATAAAGAGATTTGGTTCTCTATTGAGTTCTTGATTAGATAAAGCAATGTAGTATAGTGTGTGGTCCTGTGTAGCAGAGTAGTTCACAAAGTTGAGATTTTTCCATTTTTTCTGAGATTTGTTTGGAACTTTTGTAGGTGGGCCTTCGGATTCTAGGCCTACGCTCTCTTGGGCTGAGAGGTTACGTATAGCACAAGGGACTGCTAGGGGATTGATGTATATACATGAGTACATTTCGAGAAAGTATGTACATGGCAACTTAAAGTCAAGCAAAGTCCTGTTAGATGATGAGCTACATCCTCACATCTCTGGCTTCGGTCTCACACGTCTTGTTTCGGGTTATCCTCTCAAACTCACTGATCATTCACTAAGTATAGACCAAACATTTGCGATGACAAGACTCTCAGTTCCTCAAGCTGCTTACCTTGCACCTGAAGCTAGAGCTTCTTCTGGTTGCAAACCATCTCAGAAATGCGATGTTTATTCGTTTGGAGTGATTTTGTTGGAGTTGTTGACTGGTCGGTTACCTAAATGTTCCTTAGACAACGAAGGAGAGGAGCTCGTGAGTGTTTTGAGGAAGTGGCACAAGGAAGAGAGATCGTTGGGCGAGATCTTAGACCCGAAGCTTCTGAAACAGGGTTTCGCTGATGATAAGCAAGTTGTTGCAACCATTCGTATCGCCTTGAACTGCACGGAAATGGATCCAGAGATGCGTCCTAGGATGAGATCTGTGTCTGAGAGTTTATGTCGAATCAAATCGGAATTACTTGCTTAATTATCTCAAGAGTTTAGGGTTTATTTTCAGATCAAGTTTATGTCTTTGTTTATCATTCACATGTTCCTTGTGTCCTAAGGAAGAAAGTTTGTTGTGTGTGTCGTGTGACGATGGGCTACTTCTGTATTGCCTTCTAGAATCTTATATCGTGAGATAGTGAATAACTGAATATAATAAAGATCTGTTTTGAAAATCTGGTCAACTTTAGTAAGCATAGATATTAAAAATACGAAAGATGTTGACTATCCTTGCTTGTTAGATCCTCTCGTCCCAAAAAGCAAACACTTGAATAATATGACCAAGTGGCTTTATAACAATACATGTATTTCATTGGTCGATATTAAGATTCGGTTTTGATTAGATGCATATAATTTTAAGTTTTTGAGAAAGATGCATGATTAACGAAAAACAAACTCAATTGATGCTTCTTAGTGGGAGTGTACTAATCTATACTCATGAGTTTTCTCTATGTAACGACAAAAAATAGCTAAGAAGAAGAAAAAACACTCAATTGCATGATTGCATCTCTCTCGCGCATGGAGATCGGCCTATATATATGCTCACATACATATATCATAAATGAATTTTGAACCAATCTTTAGCATTTAGATAGATAAGAGAAAAAATGGCAAAATCAAATCTATTTCGAATATAGTTTTTTGTCAGAACATCAAACATGATCCCACCGTTGGTCCTTTGTTCAAATTCAAAACAATTTTATTTTTTTGAAAGGAAACGAAACAAAGAGAGAGATCTTCATGGCAAAACATATATTGCCCCAGCATAATTGATTACTTCCAAATATAGCAGCACACTCGAGAAAATTAAATTAAAAAAGAGAGAAACACTTGCTTAATTTAGAAGTTCCTTGAAAAGAAAAGAAAATAGAGAGGCCCCTGTTTTTTTAACTTGTTGACATTATAAAATCCAAAGCTGGACCACGATTCACCCCACTTCTGTATTTTCAGAACATTATTGAATTAAATAAACTGATTGGGAATCGTTTTATTTTTGATTTATTAAATTCAAATATGAAACGGTAAGAAAAATGAAATCTATATACAACAGAGAGAAGCTAATGGAGTCTCACGTGTTCATGTTCCCATCCACAAAGCCACGGTCCACGGACGAGCTTTGCATTTTTATAGTTTCCTCCTTTACCTTTTCAAAATTGCACTTATTCAGTCCTATTTTGCTCCTTAATCATTTTTTTTTTTAATTCTGTTACCGTCGTATCTAGTTGAATTTAGAAGAGAATCGTCAAAACTAAATTTTCCAACATAATTTCAAATAGTGACCAAGAGTTTGTGTTATAGACGTCTTTATAAAAAATGAGGTCTATAATTTTCGAACCTAAAAGAGACTTCATATATCGTAAAATGATATTATCTGGAAATCAAACCCATATCCATGCAAAACCAATAACTCTTAATCCACCATTCGATAAGAAAGTTTTCACACATATCCTCTTCACTTCCATACATTAGTGTTTTAAAAAAAAAGTTATAATCATTTTCGTTTCAAATTAATAATTTGTACTTTGTAGTTTGTACAATTCTAAACATCACAGGCAATTCTCCCCACTAGGAGTATTAAATTCTCATATATTACTGTGTTAATAACTTAAGTTTATTAATTACGCAGCTTACGCTTAAATATGTGCATGTGCTTGTGCACACAAATTTGTCTTCTTGTTGATTAATTAAGAAACTGCTCGAATTGTTTTAAAATGTGTAGATACTCCAACTCATCGATCTATGTCTCTATAGTCTAGCCATATATAGAACCTTAGGCACATAAATCGTAGTCCTACTCTTATATAGAGACTAATATGCGAAAAACGATTTTAGATTTTAAAAGGTCCCAATCCACTCGATTGTGCGGTTCACTAAACATCCTACACTAATGTAAAAGCTAAATTCAGATTGATATATACGAATATGTTTTCAGAAAAAAACGTAACTACTTCCACTAGTTTCAAAGAGGACTAACATATTATCAATTGCAATTGAAGGGCTGAATTAAAATTTGGTAAGAGAAACGGGTCGCTTTTTAGATTTAATTTTTGGAAAGACGGCGCTCGTGAATTATTAAAGTTAAATAAGATAAGATTCAGGGAAAAAAAAAAAGAAGTGCAAAACTAACGACGGCGGACGGAGGTTTAGTCGAGGCGTAATCCAGTGCATCGTTCACACTGAGTGACATCACTATCTCATCTTTCAACCAATAAGAGTTTAGCATTTTAGCTTATATCGTCTTTGTACTGCAGGTGTACCGTATGTTTAATACATGATAGTACTGCACCAATCCTCATCAGACGCCAACTTGCGTTCCCAATGTGTTAACGGCGTCAACGCCCCCCGTCACGATCTAGTCGAAGCTGTTAGGTTCCGTGAACCCTAAACCGGATTCGGAAAGCTACACACATACATTTTGTTAAAAGGCGGTACCAGTTTTGACACTCTTATCTCCATAAACTGTACTTCCGACAAAAGATATTTCTATTTTAAGAATGTCTTTTTTTTCTTTGTAACGATGATAATATCTAGCTTCTGACTTTTTCTTAATATTCTGATGGGACAATAATAATAATAGAAAATCTTAATTGTATGATTCGAATGTAAACATAACAGATGTGTCTGCTGACTATGAAATCTATGATAGGGTTTTGTTTTTGAAAATAAACTTGATTGATGCATATATACTTTATAGTTCTATATATAGCTAACTATTTAATTGTCTGCCAATTTTTTTCTGTTTGTGTGTTATAAATTTGTGTAGATGTAACACAGTTTTGGTTTATTTTGTTTAATCGATAGATGACAAAGTAAAAAACAATAATAGTATGAAAATGATATTATGGATTTTTGTTGTAGGGTTACAATAAGAGCAGAAATAATTTGTCACGGGTCCATGAATCGCAACAATTGATTAGGATTAGGTAGGTATTTACTTCACATGCTCTTCCTGTATTCCAGTATAAAGTTTGTATATTTTCATCTCAATTTTACTCTCTCTTCAACATTTTTTCTTTTCTTTTCAATTTTGTTGAAAGTCCCAAAAATGTATTGTTAAAAATAAATAAATGTAAACGGTATTTCCGTGAGTCAGCCTCACAGGCGGCTCAAAGCGACGTCTTCCTCTGTACTTTATATTTCTCTCTGTATTTATTTTTATTTAATTTTGATTTTTGTTATGCTTTTACGATCCGCCGCTATCTTCAGCAATTAAAGTTGGACGCAGAAACTCAGAAGGAAAAAGACGATAAATATTCATCATCTCTCTCTCTCTCTCTGCTCTCTTTCTCACCGTTCTTCGTTGCCTCTCTCTTTCTCTCTGTTTCTTCATCTTTAAACGAAACCTCTTTTGCTTCCTCTTCAAGCTCTTATCTCATCAAATTATTCAACCTGCTTATATCTCAAGCTGAAGTTTCATTTCTTTTTCTTTTCTTGGAAAAGTGACAAGAACATGAGAGTGGATAAAAATGATTAAATTCGTGTAATCTCGAGAATCCGAAATCCATAGAAACATTTGAAGTTGGAGAGATATTAGCACGAAACAGTGCACTAGAGAAAAATCGTCGCATTTTTAATTTGATTTATGGATTCGAATACTCATAATCATCTCTACGACCCGAATCACATACCTTCTTCCGGGTCGGGTCTTCTTCGTTTTCGGTCAGCTCCGAGCTCGGTACTCGCCGCTTTCGTTGACGACGAGAAGTCTGGTTTCGACTCCGACAGGTTGCTTTCGAGATTCGTGAGCTCTAATGGCGGAAACGACGATCTGGGCTCACCGAATCCGAGTGAATTCGACGATAGGTCTCCTGTTTCGTTGACGAACACCTCCATATCATACGCCGCAACTCTACCGCCGCCGCAGACCGAGACGTCGAGCTTTCTGGGTTTGCCGCCGCATTATCCGAGGCAGAGTAAAGGGATGATGAGCTCGGTTGGTTTGGATCAGTTTCTTGGTATGAATAATCATCACACGACGAAACCAGTTGAATCTAGTCTCCTCCGGCAAAGCAGCTCGCCGGCCGGAATGTTCACTAACCTCTCAGATCAGAACGGTACCGTTTCAGTCTCTCATCAAAAAGTTTCTTCTTTTCTTCCCATTTTTGGTATCTCAGTTTTGTCTGAATGTTTTTTTTGTTTCTTACCATACCAAAACCGTAAAGACAAGATCTGGTCTATTTTTCTCGCTAGATTTTTACTGGAAAGTGAAAATCTTCAAACCATAAAGTTAGGAACTTGGAGCCAACAAATTAACTGTTTCAATGATTTCTACTATACTTTGCAATTTGCAGGTTATGGCTCAATGAGGAGTTTGATGAATTACGAAGAAGATGAAGAAAGTCCATCTAATCCCAACGGTTTAAGACGCCATTGCAGCCTCTCTTCAAGGCCACCTTCTTCTTCTCTCGGAATGCTTTCTCAGATACCTGAAGTCACATCCGAAAGCATGGCCACTAATTTTCAGTATAGCCATTGGAACGATCCGTCCAGCTTCATTGATAACTTATCCTCCCTTAAAAGAGAAACAGAGGACGACGGAAAATTGTATCACGGGACTCAGGTAACTCGGTTTAGTACTACCAAACCGGTTTGACATAATCTTGTTCGGTTCAATGTCTTGTATAGCTGAAAAATAGAGTTTGTTTCTTGGATTGGTTTACTTAGAGAATGTTTTTTGATGGTTTGTACAGAACGGAGGGTCGGGAAATCGAATGCAGTTACTGTCACACCACTTGAGTTTACCGAAGTCATCATCTACAAACTCGGACATGGTTTCAGTGGATAAGTATATGCAGTTGCAAGACTCTGTTCCTTGTAAAATTAGAGCTAAACGTGGTTGTGCCACACATCCACGAAGTATCGCTGAACGGGTAATTTCAGTTAGTTAAAACCCGCCATTCGTATCGATTAACGCTTTAAAACAAAAAATAATTTGGATCATTTTTTGTCACTAAACAGGTAAGAAGAACACGGATAAGCGAACGAATGAGGAAATTACAAGAGCTTGTTCCTAACATGGACAAGGTAACAGTTTCCTGCAACTTCTTTGTAGAGTGAGTTTTCTCTTGCATTGATTCGGTTTATTAATGCTTTTTTTTTTTTTTGTGGTAATATATATGTTTTGACAGCAAACGAACACTTCGGATATGTTGGATTTAGCCGTGGATTACATCAAAGATTTACAAAGACAGTATCAGGTAAAGTTATTGTGAAAAGAAACCAAACTGATGTAAATGTAAACCGGTTGTATTGATTAAACTTTGTCTCTTGGTTTACACAGGTTTTAAGCGAGAACAGAGCTAACTGCAAGTGTAACAAGGAGAAGAAGACATTATAGGGCGCAACAAAGAGTGTACATAGGACTAAAAGAAAGCAGAGAGAAAGGACGAGAAAGAAACATTGTCTTTATGTCTGCATATTTTTTAGCTGAAACGGACCAAATTGTCTTTGTAAGCTCTTAGAAAGAAAAAAATATCTGCTTCCATACAATTCCTTAAGCAATAAAATAAGGCTTAAATCTGTCCCTTTTCCTTCTGTTTCACACCAAAGTAAACATGATGGAAAATTGCAGACTCTAAAAATTATTAGCAGAAAAACAAGATGCAAAACAGAAACTATTCTTCCATGTGATCTTTGACATCAACAGAGAAGGTGTACTCCTGGTCACAACCAAAGTAAGAATCGGACATGAAGTAAAGCGTATAAGACTTCTCTCCTGGTTCAGTCGGTACTGCAAACGCCAGCTTCACCTTGGCCTTCTGTTGCAGAGAGATTCGCTTGATGGCAAGCAACTGGTTCGTCTTCGCATCTCCAACGACTAGCCACCACCCTTCTTCTTTAGCCTTGGGATATCTTGGTGCGTCCACGTGTCCCACCTCGGTCCTCCCCTCCATGTCTCTCTCCACCGTTACCTGCAATGTAATTTCTTTCCTAATGGTTACCTCGCTGCTGTCCACAACTTCGTATGTAAGGTCGATGTTTGGGAAGCGGTTGCAGAATCTGGCAATGTCAAGAAGCTGAGCGTCTGGCATTTGGAGAAGCTCTTGGCGTCTGTCGTCTTCCATCTCCACAAGATCGAATACGGTTTCAATGCTGTTCCCCGGATTCTCTTGGCACCTTTTGGCTAAGTCCTTTGTGAAGTGAGGAAGCTGCAGAAGCGTGGAGTCTCGATCCCACATGCCTTGAGTCACCATCTGGCTTACTTCCATAGCTAACAGAGCAAGATTCAGACAGCTTTTACTCGATATCACATCCACCATCGCCTGAAGAAGTCTTGTTGCAGATAACAGGACCTTGCGCTGATCCATTGCCAGTTTCTCGCTGATTTCCTGCCTCGAGAAATGCGCCTGAAGGAGCGCGTTCGCCTTCACATGAGGGTCTGTGCATTTCGGGTTAGCGAAAGAGAACCTCTGGTGATTGATGAGTCTCCGAACTTTCTCCTCTTCACCAGAACGTATAGGAATCGAGTCGTACTCCGAAGCTGAAGTCAAGATCTCGAGAAGACCCTTCATCTTGGTTTCGGAAGTCAAGAGAGTACTGAAGCGCTCAATGGTGGTGTAAGTAATGTAATAATGCGAAGCAATCATACCGAGATTGAGCGGAGAGAGATCCAGCTCATTGTCTATCTCAATGCATTTACTCAGTTCAAGATCAGAGAGCGTGTTTTCGACGAGCTCTGAGAGGTGATCACATAAATGCCTGTGGCTCGCTCCCTGGAGATTGTAGTAGTTAGGGTTCTGAGGAAGCCTCCTGTACATGAAGCTCCAGGTAAGATAATCCACAGCCTCTTGTTTGTTCTCTATAACCCCAGCAATCACTTCCGCGTTGAAGTTATCATGCAAGAAATGTTGAAGATGACTCTCAACAGGAAAGGCATCATACAGAAATTTCTTGTAATACTCTTTACGTGGTGCGTGACAGAAAATCACACACTTCCCGGCGTCGTCAAGCAGAGGTCGACTACCACGCCCCATCATCTGGAGCAGATCAGAGATTGGGTAATCCGAATGAGAATTTTCCTGCTCGTCAAAGAACTGCGTCCCCATTACAACAACCAAATGCGCCATCAACGGAGTACCCCAACACAATGAACTAGTCATTACGCATACCTGAATCCGTCCAGCCTCAAAAAGCTGAGTCACAATCTCCTGATCCAGACTGCTTAAACCCTCATGCAAGTAGCCAATGCCATGGCGCAAAGTTTCCTTCAGAGTTTTCTCGCCAACTCGGCTAACAAAAGGCTCAAGTTCTTCTGGATTCCCGAACAGGAAATCAGGGCTCTGCGTGTTGTCGAAGTGTGAGTATTCCAACAGATCCACAGCAGTGAGGTGGACATGTTTACGGGTCGGGACAAAAACGATAGCTGGTTTCTTGTTCTTGGCATGCTGGACTATGGCAGTGTATGTTGGCTTAGTCATCGCTTGCATCCTTGCTTCAAAACTCAATATATCCACCCCTTGAATGTGGATCTCCAGGGGGACAGGACGAACATTAGGCGGGAAGTTGAAAAGGCCACGGGAACTGGCCCCAATCCACTCCCCAAGGTCTTTGCCATTTGCAACAGAAGTCGATAATGCAACAATCCTGATCTTATTCCCGACCTGACTTGAAATATATCTCATTCTAGAGATAATCACCTCCATCACTGGACCACCTTGACCCCCGATTAAGTGAAGCTCATCGACGATAAACAAACTAACCTGCTGAATATGTTTTCTCTGTTTCCATCTGCGGGACAGAGCGTCCCATTTCTCAGGAGTGCTTATGATTACCTGACCTTTCTCAAGCAGCTTAAGATCCAATGCTGTCTCCCCGGTTAACTCAACAACCCGTAAACCAAGTCCCTTCCCAAACTTTCTCTCCCAATCACGAAACTGCGCCTTGGCAATCGCCTCAAGAGGTGCGATATAGACAACACGCATTGTAGAATCAGGTCCTTCACGATGATTTCTCAATATAGCAAACTCCGCACATATAGTCTTCCCACTTCCTGTGGCAGCGGCAACCAATACACTGTCACTTGTGTTATACAAAACGTCAAATACCTGAGTCTGCACCGGATTGAAATGCTTGAAATCCTGATACAGAGGTTCATAAGACGGATTCTTTAGGGCCGTCACCGGAAGGGGCTGCAAGTCCAGTAGCTCCGTGGGTGGTGGATACTTTTCTGGAAGAATAAGATACCTGAAAGATACAGGCAACACAGTCTGCGAGTCAAGCCATTTGTCTGAAACCACTCGGATGAAATACTGTGGGGGCATTGGCTCAGAGATTGGCACAGTGAAGTTCAACGTGTGGTCCTCACCAATATACTGCTTTTTCAAAAGAAAGTACTCTTGATGAAGGATCTTTTCACCATCATTGTCTTCCACAATTATCCAGAACGGTTCAGCATAGTTATGTACTTTGTCATCCCACTGGAAATCAGGTGTAACAGTGAGCTCCACCTGCAGAATAGAGCGAGAAATCGGCTGAACATGTGCTGCAAGATTCAGTTTTGGGAATTGGTGGATGATTTTGTGAAACGGCCTGCCCATCTTAGGATTGCGAATAAGCTCTCCTAGCTCCTGCGAAGATAGATCATAGTACCTCTCCCACACCAAATCCTTTTTCTCCAACCTCACCAGAATCTCAATGGGAATTAAACCATGAAACTGCCGAAGAGGATTCTGAACACTCCACATCCTCTTTGCTACCATTTTAGACAAGTTCAGAGCTTTATCAGCCAGTTGAGCCCATCCCCTCTTCAATACAATCTCAAAAAGAGCTCGTAGAAGACGCCCAGCACTCTCGGTGATATACACCATGTCAGATGTCAAAGAATGACCCTCAAGCTTTAGCTTTGAAATATATATTTGAAGCAAAACATTAATCTTTGCACTAGGCTCTTCCAGTGTCTCCTTGACCGGGATCGGAACACGATCCAAAAGTTTTGCCAGTTCCATCTTCTCATCTTGTCGAACAGTGACATACTTAAACTCCTCACTGAGTGAGAACAGACGACAAAGCTCTATCTGACTCATTGTTGGCTTCAAATTCTCATTGTATGTAGCTATTGTCCCATGGGTTATGTAGTAGTAGCTGGCAATGCGTCCCAGATCAGTAACCTGGAAGCATCCACTTTTTCTGTCATACTTAATCAGGTTGTTCTTGTCTAAGATAGTAGCGGCAGAATGTATCAGGTCAGCTCTTCTCTCCTCTAATAATACGTCTTTTGCAAGGGCATCAGACGGTAAGCCATACAGTGTCGGATTACGAACCATGCGGACGTATAAATATGTATAGCCAAGCCAGTGACAAGCTTCTCTAGCGTTCTGAATCGTCCCAAGCACAATCTCGGCATTAAGCTGATCAGCAAGTTTGGAAATAAACTGGCTTTCAATAGGTAGTTGCGCATTCATCAAAGAAAGATAATAGTGCAGCTCGCTGTAGCCTGTGATTATTATTCCCTCCCCATGTTTGTCATATTGAGGTCTACCGGCACGACCAATCATCTGCATAACATCTTGAGGACTCAGCTCCATCCACGCCCCTCTCTCAGGATTATAGACTTGGGTTCCTTTGATAATGACAGTGTGTGCAGGCAAATTCACACCCCAGGCAAGAGTTGCCGTAGAAACTAAGACTTGCACATATCCTAAACGAAATTGATCCTCAACTATCTGACGATCACTCCTTGTCAACCCAGCATGATGAATTGCAAAACCATAAGGCAGAAGACTTTTCAGGTCACTACTCTTGACCAGTTCACTCTGACTCTTAAGAATCTCACGAGCTTGACCATCTTCCTTCAAGAATCTGCTGAGAGTATCGTTTGCCATTGCGGTGTCTCGTATTGCTCTTGCAGTTTTAACTGTTTCATTCCTCGAATGGACAAAAATAAGCACCTGGTGTTTTCCAGCACCAGCCAATACTTTCTGATAACATATATCATTCATCAACTGGAACCTCTGCAATGGTTTTTTCACCGTAACTCCAATATACTGCTGAGCGAGAGGCACGGGTCTGTAGCTGTTCCCAAATTTAAACAACCCAGACTTGAGATCCACACGCAAAAATAAAGCCACGTCTTCATGATTTGGCACTGTCGCCGATAAACCCACCAAACGAATATGCTCCTTCGTGGTTTCGATCTGCCTAAGAGTCCTTGCGACAATACTTTCAAGTACAGGCCCTCGATTATCATGGAGAAGATGAATTTCGTCAAAGATAATAAGCCTCACAAGCTGAGTGTAAGTGCGATCCCCAGACTTCCTGGTGATGATATCCCACTTCTCTGGCGTTGTAACAATTATCTGCGTCTCTTCGATCTCATGCCGTGTAAGGGACTGATCTCCACTGAGTTCCTTCACAGTAACTCCATAATCCTTCAAGCGTTTAGATAGATTATCCACAACCTCAACAACAAGGGCTTTCATGGGTGCAATATAGACAATTTTGTAATCTTGGTTCTTATTCATCTCAAGTTGACGCAGCATGGTGAGCACAGCAACATTGGTCTTCCCCGCACCAGTTGGAGCACAAAGAAGAATGTTCTCAGCCTTAAACAGGGCAGTCTCATACACTTTGCTCTGAACCCTGTTCAACTTCTGCATTCCCTTAAAAGCCGGTTGAGCCCAAACTGGCATATCGGTGACTTCCACAAGCTTTTCATTACTATCAACCTTTTTAGATACCCATGGCACATGAAACTCAACAAAATCCTTCCCGGGAATTCTGAAAGATTTTTCCGGAAGCTTACACTTGTTATTTTCACTCACGAAACCACCTTGCTTAAAAGCCATGCTCTCCAGGTCCAGCATCTGACGCTTACCCTTCAACCAACCATTCTCTAAATCTCTATCATCAACACCTCTCTTGCCTCTGTCTCCATCTCCATCTCCACCAGAATCATCCTTAAGGCCTCTTGCTTCTTCTGTGATTTTCTTTTCACGGCTCTCCTCTCTTTCTTTGGCTGTGGCTCTTTTTGCATGCAACTCCTTCAAAATTGCTGCTAACTCTGGTCCCAACCCCATCATCTCCTCCTCAATCTGATTCCTCTCTTCCTGGTCTCTTGCCCTAGCCAAACGAGTGAACCACACAACCTTAAGCCGGTTCTGCAGCAGAAACTTAACAAGGCTGAACTTTTCGTACTCAAGTTTCTGCAGCAGCTTGTTCTCAACATCCCTGTCGTCCCCCTCAGCAAGTATCTTAAGCAGCTCTTCTGCGAGTACGTGGCACTCCTGTGGATCAATCTTCTCTTCATACACTTGGAATATCTTCCTCTGGAGCCAATAAGCATCAATTTCCTGGACATTAAGACTCGAGCCCTCGTTCACGTGTCCTGCATCCTTACCATTTATCGCCACACTCACCTGCACACCTCCACTTCTGTTAGGTTCAACAGCGTCTTCGTCCTCATCCTCCTGGACCATATCAAGATCACTCTCCTCATCTTCTTCTCCTTCATTCTCCTCAAATTCAATAGCAACACCCAAGTCACAATCAAGTCCTTCATCCTCACTACCTTTACCACCACCAGAATCACCACCCTCTTGATAATCCGTGATCAATTTACTAAGCGAAACAAGCCGATCGAAAATCTGATTAGGAATAGCGCTCAACAGCTTCTCGATCACAATCTTCTTCTCCGGGTTTTTCACGGATTCGTTCTTCAGAACAGCCAAAATTTCATCCGCCGCACCACGAGCAATACTCTCAGGCTGCCCACCCAATTGCTTCTGAATAAGATCAAGCATAGCCGCATAAGCAAATCCCGTCTCCTTAGTCTTGGGCTGATAATCGCCGGCATCCGTATCAGTAAGCACACTCTCCTCCCTAAGACGACGTCTCTTGCTATCTCGAGCGAACACCGTATCATCATCCGCAGACTCACGCTCCTTCTTCTTCTTCAACCTCGACTTGCTCAACCTCTCATCCAACTCATGAGGCCTTCCCTTGAAAACGCGATCTCCAAAGGATTTAGGATCAATCTTCCCTCTGAGAGTCTCCGCTTCTCCACTAGGTTCGTGAGTCTGACGATGACGCTCGTCACTGCTGAGAACCAGATTGGAATTCGCCTTGTACCCATACTGCTTCAATCTGACCTGCTCCTCCGCGCCGCCGTCTAAATTCGCCATCACCGAATCGAAAACAGAAAGCCCAGAGAAATCAAAAATCAATAAAAAGAACAGAAATTGGTACAAAATCCTTCTCTGCAACTAGGAAATCGATCGTATTACCTCTCTCGTTCTCCTTTTCTTCGCACTCGACAATTGATTTTCGAATTTTCGTTAATGAATGAATATCAATGGAGGCACGAATCCACGACCCCTATTTATAATTAGTACACAGGTCGGTGAAAAGCAAAAAGGAAAACCATAATTGGCCCAAAGCCATGTCGGTATAATACGCGATGACCGTTGTAGATATAACTGGGCCAAAGCCCATTAACAGACAGATTCGCTTAAGAAAGGGCAAAATCGTAATCTGACAGGGAATTTGACGAATTGTAAAATTTTGAGAATGAAACTTTTGGCGAAATTTGAGTTATCCCGCCTCTGGTGAAAATTCAAAAACATTTCACACATGTATTACCTCTCTCACACGTGCGAGCTCGAAAATTTTCATTTTCAATTATAAAACCCGCCCAGATGATGGCCTCAAAAAAATTGCCAGATCGTCTCTCTCTCAGAAAAGCTTTATTCCTCTCCTTTTTCCCTTTGTCCCCTCTCGCTTTACTGTTCACGAAGCCGTTTCGGAGCTCTCACAAAGTAATCTAATCGAAGATTCATAGGTAAAAATCCATGGTTTTTGTTTTCCGTTGCAAAGATGCTTAGAGGATTGTATGCTGTTCTTGATGAAACAATCGACGGTTCGTTGCCATTAGTACTCGATTGGTTTAGAATTAGCCTCTTCTTGATTTGTTGTGAAACGAAGATTTTGATGTTTCTCAAGTTCGTCTTCTCCGAGAAAATCCGATTAGAGATGGAGAAGAAGATTTGAGTTCTTACCTGAAACCTCTGATTTCGTTAATGCAATTGAGTGGATTCGACATTTGGGATTAGTCAATTTTACGTTGCGTTCTAAATGCTTCCGTCTTCAATTTTTTTCCAGAAGTTAATCACAATGCCAGAAGCAAGAGACCGAATCGAGAGGCCGGTGGATTACTCAGCGGCATTTCTCAGCAGACGCTCGAATGGAATCTTCCTCGACGAGCCGGCGGCGACAAATCTCAATTTGTTCGGGTCTCCGGTTCAGAGACTGCCATCGGAATCTGCAATTGGTCAAGGATCTATGACGACGATGGGCAGAGGTGGGCTTGTGAGGGGCAATTTCGGTATTCGTCGGACCGGTGGTGGCAGAAGAGGCCAAACTCAGTTTAGAACGCCACAGGGACGAGAGAACGTGAGCTTGGGCGTTGCTAGGCGTGGAAGGGCTCGTGCTTCAAATTCCGTGTTGCCTTCTTGGTACCCAAGAACGCCCCTCCGTGATGTTTCCGCCGTCGTTAGGGTTAGTTCACTTATCCCATTCTTGACACCGTTGTGATTAACAGTAGCAAACTTGCTTAAAGACACGAACTTTTGTGTGCAGGCAATTGAGAGAAGGAGAGCTCATATGGGAGAAGGCATAGGCCGAGAGATTGAGACCCCAACGCCACAGCAGCTTGGGGTGCTTGATACTCTAGTACCACTGTCAGGTGCTCAGCTCGAGCACAACTACGCTATGGTCACTCCTGGTCCGTCTGTGGGATTCAAGCGTCCCTGGCCGCCCTCAGCTGCTAAAGTCCATCAGATTCTACTCGACATCACGAGAGAGAACAGTGGGGAAGAAGAAGATTACTTGACTCCACAGAAGAAGCTCCTCAATTCTATTGACAAAGTGGAGAAGGTTGTGATGGAAGAGATTCAGAAAATGAAGAGCACTCCTAGTGCTAAGCGAGCAGAGAGGGAGAAAAGGGTTCGAACGTTAATGTCCATGCGATGATCATAGGAATAAAAGGTGTGCCTGCACAGTGAGTACAACATCATCTTCTGATGATATCAAAAGAGGGACAAAGTGGATCACCTACTGGTGATATCTTCATGAGCGTGTAGGTTTTTTGTTGAGACTACTTTAGGTGAATCATTCTCTGATGATATTACTAGAAAGGGATCAATCATCATCTCTCGGATGATATATAGTAGGGAGATTCTATCATTTTTCTGATGATGAAACAGTAGTAAGAGATTCATCTTCTGATGATATATCGTAGGGGAGAGAGATAACTGGTAGATTAGTTTCGGCTTTAGATAGCTCACGGATGGATATCTTCTTGCTTAAGTACTGTAGTTAAAAAAAAACAGATTGTACAGAAGTTTCGTACTTCGGTTTTTGTTGGTATAATAAAATTGCAGATGTACTTGTCACAATCTGGGAACTGAGAAATGTCATCGATTGATAAAACCTATAATGAATCATTTCTTTAGAATTTAAAACACTGAAGTCGTTTATGTTACGCCATACTTGTATATAATATAAAAGGTCACATCTGTGTTTGTTTTCTTTACAATGAGGATCTTTATAAACAAGATTCGTCTGTGACTGGGTATAAATACAAGCAAACTTCAAAAACTGTATCAATAAACCTGCAATGGATCTAGAACTAAATACTAACCTTATTATCCTCATCACATCTTTCGTTTTTGCTTTCATGCTGAATGTTTTCTTCAAATGGTTCAAGAAGGAGAAGAGTTCAATGGCTGCTACGAACCTGCCACAGAGCCCTCCAGCTTTACCATTCATTGGTCACCTTCATTTGATAGGCAAAGTGTTGCCTATGTCATTCCAGAGCCTGGCTCGCAAGCATGGCCCGCTCATGGAGATCCGTCTCGGTGCTTCTAAGTGCGTTGTGGTCTCGAGCTCTTCGGTGGCGAGAGAGATATTCAAGGACCAAGAGCTTAACTTCTCCTCGAGACCTGAATTTGGTTCTGCTGAGTATTTCAAGTACAGAGGGTCCAGGTTTGTCCTTGCGCAGTATGGAGATTACTGGAGGTTCATGAAGAAGCTGTGCATGACCAAGCTTCTTTCTGTTCCGCAGCTTGAGAAATTCGCTGACATCCGTGAGGAAGAGAAACTGAAGCTGGTCGAGTCTGTGGCCAAGTGTTGCAGAGAAGGCTTGCCTTGTGACTTGAGTAGCCACTTCGTGACTTACACCAACAATGTCATCTGCAGGATGGCGATGAGCACGAGGTGTTCGGGTACTGATAATGAAGCGGACGAAATTAGGGAGCTGGTCAAGACATGTTTGGAGCTTGCGGGGAAGGTCAGTGTAGGAGATGTGTTGGGGCCATTGAAAGTACTGGACTTTTCTGGGAACGGGAAGAAGTTAGTTGCTGTGATGGAGAAATATGATCTGCTTATAGAGAAGATCATGAAGGAACGTGAGGCAAAGGAGATGAAGAAAGAAGGTATGAGAAAGGACATTTTGGATATATTGTTGGAGACTTACAGAGATCCCACTGCTGAAATCAGGCTCACAAGAAATGACATGAAATCTTTCCTGTTGGTATGTTTCCTCTCTCCTGCAACGCAATTAGAATCCAAATTTCGATCGTGATTATTCTGATATGATGAAACTTCTTTAGGATGTTTTCATGGCGGGAACAGATACATCAGCAGCAGCAATGCAGTGGGCAATGGGGCAACTAATAAACTATCCACAAGCGTTCAACAAGTTAAGAGAAGAGATTGATACCGTTGTTGGAAGCAAAAGACTGGTCAAAGAATCAGATGTTCCTAACCTACCTTACCTCCGAGCTGTACTAAGGGAAACTCTGAGGCTCCATCCTTCAGCTCCTCTGATCATAAGAGAATGCGCAGAAGACTGCCAGGTGAATGGGTGCCTTGTCAAGTCAAAAACCCGTGTGCTCGTTAATGTCTATGCAATCATGCGAGATCCAGAACTGTGGAAGGATGCAGACAAATTCATACCCGAGAGATTTTTAGAGAGCTCTGAAGAGAAGATAGGTGAGCATCAAATGGAGTTCAAGGGCCAGAATTTCCGTTACCTTCCGTTTGGGAGCGGAAGAAGAGGATGTCCCGGAGCATCCCTTGCCATGAATGTAATGCATATAGGCATAGGTTCACTGGTGCAGCGCTTCGACTGGAAGAGTGTTGATGGACGGAAGGTTGATCTGAGCCAAGGTTCTGGTTTCGCTGCTGAGATGGCTCGACCACTTGTGTGCAGCCCTGTGGATTGCTTCCACACCATCTAAAGTGCTTTAGTAAAAGTTACCTGTTCTATAAGAATTCCCAAGAAGTATATGTAAAAAGGAACAAGGCTCTGTGTCATTTCAAGGTTCTTTCACTTAAGAAAATGCTCTTCAATATGGTCCCTTAAATCAATCTGATAAATAATACGTCCAAAGTACTGAAACTATACATGCATATAGCAAAGTTCAGTACCTATGCCGTTTTGGCATGACATTTATACTTTTATCTTTACTAATCAAAGCTTAGTCAATTTTAAAAATTAATTAATCTTCTTCCGCATTCCCATCCGTGATCTTGCATATCTGATATTGCTAGTTAAGTCGGTTCTTGGGATAGCAATAAACTCCCACAAGAAAAGAAACAAAGGAAAAACATAGGTATATTAGTGAAGGATACTGCAGCCTTAAACCCTCCCCAGTGAGGGATGAGTAAAGCACTGTGCCTTGAAGATTATGTAATGCTTCACTTGAGCAACTGACGTCCTGCCAAAGCCAGATATTAATCAATGTCAATTCACTCTTGAGAAAAATAGGATCTCTTACAGAAAACGATATTGAGAGAGTTGTACCTGGAAATCAACAAATGCAACAGGAGTCCCATACGTGCCCTGAATTTTCAGCTTCAAGAATCCACGACATCTACATAGAACAGAGAGAGGTAAAAAACTAACACATCTCTAGTGATTTTACAGTTTTCCGTGCAGGACAGAGATTTTATTACCTCGAAAAAACTTGAATTAGCTCAGCTTCGGTGCAATTTGGTCCCATATTAGCTATGAAAAGTGTTGGACAAGGATCAGCACCATTATTCTGTCAAAAGAGCAAAGATGGATAGTTTACCTCACTGATTGTTGTCCAGACAGGAAAACAATATTCAAATGAAAGTAAAATATAAGCAGAAGCTTACAGATTTTCCAGTAGTCATTGCCCTCCCAGCAACATTAGCAACTCCTTGACTGAATGAGAAGAAAATAATATAGTGAGACACTGAATTTCGTTAGTAAATATCTAAGAAAGAACAAGATCTCTCATATCTAGAGCATGGGAGCCAATTATGACCAGTTCAGCCAAGCCTTAGTAAATTAGGTTTTGGGTCAGAGATTCAAGAAAAGTGTGTGCAACAGAGAAACATAATCTAAGCATTCACAAGTAACCAGAAAATGTGATCAAGTAGTGCAGATGACCTCTGTGCAGGTGAATAACCAATTGTGTTGTAAGCAGAACTACTCATTCCAGGAGTGTGAAAGCTGCCAAAACCTGCTAGTGCCCAAACGTGCAAGAATGTGCAGTGTGAGAACGTGAAACCATGTTGAACAACTTGTAGCCCAAGTGTGAAATCTTAAACCAAAGAGCTAGTATGCATGAGTGATTGAGTGAGTGTGTGGATCAAAACAACAGTATCTCTTTTTGAAATAGAAGTTCTAAAACATAAAAAGCTCAAGTGAATTCCAAAGATGAAGGCTTGTGCCAATGATCTTACCAGATTCAGGAGTGGCGCTCCAAGACTTGGGCTTTTTCAAGCTTTCCCAACCATCATCTATTACAGAACAAAATAAAATTTCAACACAGAAGCGAAGATCCGACTTTTATTAAGCTACCGAACATACATAACACTACCACTTGCCTGTTCTTGAACGCTTAGATTTGGGGTTTGATTTAGCAAGATCAATGTAAAGAGTAGAATGCTTTTCAAGGTCAAATACCATTCCCTGAAAGGAAAAAATAAAGATAGCTTATTGCTCTTAGTAAATAAACTCAGAAAATTTCTTAATCCAAGCAAAGCAAATGGCAATAAACTCTATTCATTTCAGGCACACAAAGTCCAACAGCTATCTATTTTTTTCGAAACTGGAACAATTTCAAGTTTCTTAGATTGTGTAAGCACAACCAGAAAGAGATAAAAAAACAAAATTTTCATTCTTTCCTGCATAATTAGCTTCAGTGAGTGACTACTCCGCGTGATCTTTCTCAAGCATTCAGATGAGCAAGAAGGAAGAAATTTGACTCACATTGAGAGCGTGCATCACCGCTACAGCTGATTGCAGATCAGAGAACACAGCAAATGCAAATGGCTAAACAAAAACAAACAAAATACAGTAAGATTCTCTGTCTGACTGTCTCCGACTCTCTTCACCCCGAGATATAAGAAATGGATTACCTTAGCTCCATCGGAGGTCCGGAGATGCGAAGTCTCATACCCTGGGAACTCTCTAAAGAGATTGTAGATCTCCCGAGGCTTTACATCTTCTGGAAGTCCGGCGACGAAAAGCGTCCGAACCTCATCACGACCACCGATTGAAGCGTGTGTAGGTAAGTAGACGGAGTGGACTGGAGTAATTGGGATCGGAGCTAATCCCGGCGCCGGAGTAGGAACAATCGTCGGCAGATTATAGTGAGAGTAGTAAGCTGACAAATCATCCATTGCCGGAAATTATTTCGTCGCCGGCACAAAATGAGACGCAGATTTCAGCGGTTAATTTCGCGTTTTGTGTTCAATCAGAAAAGTATCAGAAAGTGTTTCTTAATGGGCCGGAAAAGCCCATTTAAATATCCGCGCCTTTTTTTTTTACCCATTGTTCATCGTTCGTGGTAAATCCAACGGTAGAAAATACAAGGCGTAGGTTAATAGCATGTGATTACACGCACTGTAACATTTATATCTCTCTCTTCTTTCTCGATGACAAGTTTTTCTTCTTCGTCGTTGTTCAAAGATCTGTAACTTCACAATCACTGGGCTCTCTCTCGCTCTCTTTCTCTCTCTGTGTGGCTTGAGGCATTATGAAGGAAGAAGTCATCGACCAATCACCACCACCCGACCCAGACCCGATCAAAACTCCGAATTCGAATTCAATCATCCACCCGAGGCGGGTGCCATTCGAGCACGGCCTTCTCCCGATCCAAAAGCTCGTTTTCACCGACCCGATCCAGACTCTAGCTCCGATCAAGCAAAAGCTAGCGTCTTCCGCGACGAATAACCGCGTCGGATCCGCTGCCATTTCCGATGCACTCTCGATCTCCGGTGACCACGCGCGCCTCGTTCTCGAGACTCTCGGCTCGGTGCTACATTGCGAGAGTGATCCTCTGGTTCTGGCCAACCCGGATGAAGTTGATTCGATTGGAGCTGATTTGAGGGATCTGATTTTGTTTCTCTACATTCAATCGTATAAGAAGCTGCTGCCTAGGACGCACAAGGACTCTGCAGCTGTCGCCGATGTCTGGCCGTCGACTTCCGCTTTCGATGGATACTTATCCGCCTTATCGCCAATTCAGGTAAGCTCTTTACGTTTCTACATTCTCTTCGTCATGTAATGTGGCTCGAAATGTTTTCATTTGATCTCACTGCGTATGATCTATTTGGTAAAATAAATGATACCTACCAAAACAATATTTTCCATTTTGCAATTTGCATTGAATTCTACTACAAATTTTCCATGTAAGTTAAGAAATTTGATTCACTTGAAACTTAGCGACATAATGCTGAAGAAACTTGATAACCTTGTTGCTGTTGAAGTTTGAGTTATATTTCCTTTTCATCATCTTGCAGCTGGTTCGTAGCAACAGCCGTCGGTTTATGCCATCGCCGGCAGATGAAGAAGCTCATCAGTTATCGTATCTGCAAAAGCACATGGCAAATATTGTTTCCCTCCTTGCAGAGCCTGTGGAGGGAGAAGGAGATGAATCTTCGGTATGCACTAACTTTCATTCGGGAACTCTTTCTGTTTGATGGATATAATAAAGTCCTATGTTGGAATACAAATATTATGGGAAATGAAAGGGAACACATTTCTCATGGTAGATGGTTATTTCTCCTCCTCAGGTCCTGTCTATGGAGAGTTTTGAGCACATTGGGTTTCTTCTTCATTTTGGTGATAAGGGATCTGACGTACCATCTTTGAGCCAGGCTACTCCTTTCTTTGCCAATTCTGATCCTGATATGCCTGCTGTTCCCGTTCCTGCTTCCCAAGTGCATGACTGGCTTCTGAAAACCATCGCTTCCGCCTTAGAAAACATTTCTGACAGAATATCTGGGAAAGAAAATGGGCCGTCTGATGCCTCTGATCAAGATGCTGCAATGACGGATGCTTCCGCGGCTCTTAAGAAAGTTTCATCTAACGATAGAGGTCCGTGTATTATCGAGGGAGTCTCCAAGACTTCGCTTTTCAAGCAGGCTTCCGATCTTAAGGGTAGATCTGTGAAGGTCCGCAGCAATCTTATTCACATTTTGTAGTTTACAGTTCCTCATTCCATTTCTTTCGCTCATGTATGCTCGTCAATGGATGTTTTCTTCCAGGTTGCCAATTGCCATGATTCAGTCATTTATCTGTTAGCGCCGTTGAGATATGCAACTGTGTACGGATGTTCTGATTCTACTATCGTTCTGGGAGCTGCTGGCAAGGTATGACAAATATACTCCTTCCTGCTTTAGTCTTTGTTAGCAAGGTTCGGTTTCTAAATGTAGTGAGAACATATGATGTTATCCGCAGGCAGTAAGAGTTGAGCATTGTGAGAGAGTTCATGTGATTGCAGCTACCAAAAGAATCTGCATCGCCAACTGCCGTGAATGTGTCTTCTTTTTGGGAGTCAATCAGCGACCTCTTATCGTTGGTGATAACAACAAACTACAGGTGAAGCGTCCCTCTATATTTTGTGTTATACTCATGATCATGTTAATGGTTCATGGTGTTTTGACGATTGAAGATAGAGTTAGAGTCAATCTCTTGATTTGAGTTTACTGGAAACAAAGCTTCTACTGTGTTGTTTATAACTGCTGGCATCAGTTTGACATAGATCTGTTCCAGGTTGCTCCATACAATACGTTTTACTCAAACTTGGAGGAGCACATGACAGAGGTAGGGATTGTGCCAACCATAAACAAATGGAATGAGTCCTTAGCACTGGGAGCAGTTGATCCGCAAGACTCACTGTCACATCCTACTGGTGCCTCTGATAAACAATCTGAATCAGCTTCTTGTGTGGACCCTGACCTCTTCACTAACTTCTTGGTAAGATTTCCCCTTTTTGTTAGTGATGTTGCTTACTAAGACTGTGATCACGGTATAATTTCTCACATCAATGTCTCTGATTTCAGATCCCAAACTGGTTTGCGGGAGAGACGCTTGGTTCAACGAAAGACAATCCATTTCCATTACCAGATCCCTATATGGCAGTGCAGCAGACAAACGTATGCTCTCTTTTTTTGCTTTTACATTTCGAAAATGCTCTGTTTGTTTTTTCTTCTATATCAGCAACAGCATCTGATACCCAAACTGCATATTTGTTTGACCAGCTTAAGAACTTGGAAGAAACAAGGAAGTCCTTAAGAGAAACACCTCTTGAAGAAAACCGAAAACGAGAGCTCACTACTGCGTTCCACATTCATTTCAAAGACTGGCTCTACGGTAATCAAATCAGATCCCTCATTCTACTCCATTGGCCATCCAATATAATCGATATGTATTTGTTTTTTTTTCCTGGTGACAGCATCGGGAAATATCCGGCAACTATACTGCCTTCAAGGAGACTAATGACCACTGGCAAATGGAATGGAAGATGTCTCTCAGTCACTGTAGAGTTTTCTTGATCCGCTCCTCTTCAGAGATTGCTAGCAACAAGTATGACATCAAAGCTTTAACTGCACAGCACGCTCTCTAACTCCTAAAGCTCTCCATTTTGTGTAGGAATTTTTTTGCTTTCTCTGCTTTGATCATATTTATTAGTTTATATATTTTGGCGTCTCCACGTTTTTGTCCTTAAAACAATTATGCAAACTTGTCTGTTTAAGTGTTGATTTCTTTCGATTGTTATAAGAAGATAACAACTTTGCTCAATACCATATACTACTCCTTGCATTTTTGAATATTTGAGTTTCTTTTTTTTACGTTATAAAGCATCTACACACTCAAACTGTGAAAACTTCTCTAGATCAATTGTTGCTGTGCTCTTGTCTTTAGCTTGGAGGAAGTAACTTCTCTGCTTGGTCCGGGAAGAAGGTAATGAACAACAAAGCACCTGCAAGTGCAACAAAGTCTTGGTCATAACCAAAAGAAAAGACCAAACAACATTCACTCTATATATTATTCAACTCTATGGTAGATTTTACTTACAGACGAGCACTGTTCCTAAGACTGCAGAGATCTTGCCTTGAACTGTGATAAGCCCTGCTTTGCCTGCATTCTGCAACTCGGTTGAACCAACCGATTCAAATGTCCCTGAAGACGCAACAAAACCAGTAATTTCATATTCATCATTTTTCCTCTAACATCAAGAAAATGAGCTAAAGATGAAGCCAGAGAATGGAGCCAAACCTGGTTTTACAGATTGCAGTCCTGATGTTACACAAGCAATGTTTTCGTAACCTGCTTCCTCCAATTTACTAGCTGCAGCTGCAGATCTTTTGAAATGCGACAAAAGAATCATTAAAAAATCTCATACCACATTCATCGATACAGAGGTCTCAGTGAGACTCCAGAGTGTTTGTTCTACTACTAACCTGAGACCTTCTTGGCAAACAACTAAAAGTTTGCTGTCTGGTGAAAACTCGTTTCTAACGGCTTTAAGGAACTCCGGATTCATTTTAGTGAAAGGCAGACCAAAGAAGAGCCCTGAGAAGTTGTTGTGCACTGTCCTCTTTATTATCGTCCCTGCAAATATTCTCACAGAAACAAGAATCACTAAGGATCTTCTCACTACAATTATAATGCCTACTGTATTTTGTTCAAAGTCGGGGTTTGGATTTGTTACCAAGATCGTTGTCTTCGTTGAAAATGAAGAGAGGGATATGGCGGCAAGATTTTATGTGAGCTCTCTCGAACTGAGTCTTGTCTCTTACATCCACCACCGAGTAACCTTCCGCTGCTATTAGCTGCTTGGCTTCTTCTGCATTCACGAATCTCACCTCCGCCGCAATTCTCAGGTTTCTCCGGCGAATTCCGTTCTTTCCCGCCAAGCTCCCCACTTTCAACCGCCTCGTGCCGACATTACTGCATCAGAAATTAACCAGTTTACAGAGAAGCATACGGAAGAGAATTCTACAAATAATTTGGCGAGAATTTTCAAAAAGGAGTCAACTTTCAGATGATGAAACTCGTTTTACCTGGAGAAATAAAGAGCCGTAGGGCTAGGGCTTATGATCCCCGCCATTGATGCAGATGTTTCTCGGAAAAAAAAGCTCGTCACTGCGAAGCGATTGTCACTTGATCAAGAACCACTAGATTACTCATAGCACAAGGGAATTTAAGATAGCCAATGAGTTATTGCCACGTATTCAACTCAGCTTTTACAAGTAGATATTCATAATCAGAACTTCGTCTGATTATTTGTTTCGTAGTGTTCAAAATCTATCATAGATTCAGATAGTGTTTATTATAGCTTGAGATTAACAAAAAAGCAAGCACATGTCCGATCACTTTAACATATCAAATATTTGCAAACAAAGTTTCTTTTTTTATTGTAGGAAAAAACATTCAGACAAAAGATGTGAGAAAGTCGCTATCCAGAAAAACAAAGAAACAAGAGTTTTATGATTTCGCAAATCCAGGGCTCCAAATCCAGATACAGTAGACAAAAAAAAAAATTAGAGCCACGGATCATCAGTTCGAATGCACAGCTTATTAATATGAGTAACCAAAAGAGAGAAAATCAGGAATCAGCTCCAGCTCCAGCTCTTTTCTCGACGGTGTAAGGATAGTACTCTCTGCCATTGTCTACTCTTGTGGTCTGTCCTCCAGAGTCAATCAACGCAGAGGTTACAGCCAGAGCTGCTCCTGCAGATATCGCCGTAGGAATGCTCCTTGCTGTATACAAAAAGGACAACCAAATTTCACCAAAATAAATCAGCTTACAATAGAATTTAGCATATCAAAAGAATGCACAAATCTATAGCATCAAGTCACTCAATGCTAATGCACTTAACATCTTTACATATATGAGATTTTGGGAAGTTATCAAAGTCTTGGCACTTATGATATCATACAGATTTGCTACACCAGTTTCTAAATAACATTAACTTGCAACTTCACATGTTTTTCCATAAAACCATATCAATTCCAAGCGACTTGAGGGGAATTCTAGAGCATTACCTCTATAGCCAAGCACAGAAGCGCCAGCGACAAAACCACCAATAGCGCCATTGAAGAAATCTCTCTTGCCTCTGTAACTCTGAACCAGCTGTTCAACACCGATGTAAACGCCTCCAATGGCAGCGAAAGTGAGGCCATGTGTTCCCATCACCTTGAGTGTTCTGATGAGTCCAGGGAGAGCCACATTTCTCTCAACTCTCGGAACGTCTTTCCATGTCGCTATAATGGTTCCGTAAATCATCCCAGCGCCGAAACCAGTGACACTTCCTTTCATTGTCTTCATCAGAGGACCATCCTCTTCTTCCAAGTACCTCATTTCAGCTGGATCCATGATGGATTCTTCTAACGGTTCTAGCAAAAACATATTCATCAGAGAACATCATCAAACACACATCAACAACAACAACAAAAAGGTGAAAAATTGAATGCGGGATGTGTTGAAAGACGCAGATTTTCAGTAATTTCATCAAATTGAAGATTGGATGTTGCGGTCTTTACAGATTTATAACACATTCCCAGATCGTCAATATCGGATTCAAAGATGCAAAATTCATGTAGAGAGATAATGGGTCAACAAAAAATAAACAATTTGAGATTGGATTAGGATAAAAGCAGAACCCTAGTTTAGAGCAGCTGAGTAAGCTCATCAAGGTCGAAATACAGCGATGAAATGTAATCCATGACTAACGAAGAGAAGAATGTTACAGAGCAGAACGAAGAGGGATCATAGAGAGATTGAAAATGGTCTAACCTTTTGGAATTCGAAGAAGCGAGAGACGGAGCAACGGGATCAGGAGAGATTCAGTGGAGGAGCTCAACGAAAAATGTTTTGTCTATGTGTTCTTCGAAGACGAGACTGTAGAGAAAGAGAAAGCCCAATTAGATAATTTGTATCTAGCGAAATTAATTCAGGGCCCATTATGAAACCCATTAATGGCATTCTCTTTCCAGTTCTCGTTGAAAATAATTCTACTGTGACACATTATGCAATTCTGTTTGTGATAGAAGAAAATCTATTATTGATAATTGTGATGGAGATCAAGAAGAGAGAAAACAACAAGAAGCATAAAAACCAAAAGCCATTCTCTGGCAACAATTGCCTGGTTTATTACAATTGCAGATAAATCATTAAAAAAAAGATAGCAAAAGATAAAGATAATGCAGCTAGAATCGTTCATGGTATAACAAGATGATTCTCTGATGCATGAGAAAAAGTCAAAAGAGAGACTCAGAGAGACCAGTTGGTATGGTGAGAAGAAGAATCATAAGCCCTTGCGTTCTCAGCTTCCATGTACTGCCTCCTACTCTGGTGATGGTGATCAGATAACTCGAACTCACCCAACGTCGTCGTACCACCGCTTATCTGGCAGTTATCTTGCTCGGTGAACCGACCACCCAAATTCAAAACAGGAGACATATCATTCGGACAGCTGTTGTTATCATCGTCCTTGAACACCCAAGGCGGGTTTAGATACTGAGGTGCTGGTGGTGGCTGAGCCATTGTAACCGTCATCGGACCAAAACCTGATGAAGTACGCCACGTGTTGTTGCTGTTGTTGTTGTTGTTGTCTTGTGGCTGATGTGGATTTGACAGAAGAGAGAGAGCACAGTTTGAGTCGCCGCCCAAACCCTTGTAGCTCTCTAGTTTAGTGTCCATAATCTCTGGAGATGATGAGAAGCTTGTCCCTCCTCCTCCTCCTCCTCCACCAACTGATCCATGACTAAACACATTCATCGGATTGATCTGCCACGACGGCGTTGACAACGACGGCCGTCTCATCACTCTTGTATCCAACGTTCTTGCACTTGACCATCCCATCTCTTGGCTCCCAAGAAAGCTTCCACTCATTGCACTATCAGCGTTTCCTGGTCCATATACATATCTTAAGGTTAGTTAAAAATCTCTCTCGAATTGAGTCTTGTCAAGCTAAAAAGGATCTAACCGAAGAGAGAAGGTGCGATCCTGCCGTAACGAGAAGACAAGACAGAGAGTGACGCAGGTTGTGGCTTCCTACGTCGCTCATTATGGCCAGCAAGTCTCCTACGGCAACTCCTTTTCTCTAGGTCAAATTCCGGAAGCTGGTGAAACCTAATATGTGTAGATTGATTTAGATCGACTTAATTAATTACTTCAGAGAAAAGCAACATAACGTTGGTTACTCACAATTTTTTAATACGTAAGCAAACGCATGTATCCATACATATTCTATGGGTACGTCAAAAAGGTATCATCATCAGTTTTGATACCAAATCTATAAACAACCACGTCATTGATGCCAATGGTACCAGTTTTGTCCCCCTCAATAATGATATGACCTAAAGAAGCAAACATGAGGGCAATAGGTTTCTTCTTGTCCATTCATTTCATATCCCTTTGGATTAGATATTTTAGAAAGACAAATCAACATAATAAAAATAAAAATAAAAGAGAAGCATAGAGAAGTACACGTAAACATATTCCCCAAAATAAGCCCAACGAGTCCAACAAACACAAGACCAGGTTTTACAAAACTAAGCTGTAAAGCTAAAAGAGAAACCCTCCAAAGAAGTTAAAGCCAAAAAAGCATATGACACTGACAATCACACACACACACACACACAACAAAAAAGCTAAAGCCTTTGGATTTGAGTCACAAGAGTGAAACACGGAAAGTCTTGGCCGGAGTCTAACTCCGGCAGTGGCTAAACATTTAAATAAAGCAAGAGAAGTAAAGGGTAGATTTGGAAGGAAATAAAAACCTGCTGCACTGTTGACAAAACCTCTGTTCGATACCAGCGACAATGACTTTAGGTGTTTTAGAGTGGATTCCACAAACTCTGTGCCTCGAGTAGTAACCTTTTGCATTGGTTAGATCCATTCCACAACCTTCCACTTGGCACCTTGGTATCTGACTGGACTGACCCGACCCGCCTCCACGGATCTTTCTGTTTGACCCGCCGGAGGAAGAAGACCCGGATCCACCTCCAGCGTCCTCGAAGTAGATCTTCTGACCAAACATGAGCCCTCCACTGAAAGAGGATGACTCATTGGAGGAACCACCCGACTCTGCCTGACCCGGACCTAGACCCGGACCCGAGTTGGAACCCATCTCCATTTTGGTTTCCTCTTACTCAGACAGAAAGGGAGTTACTCCTCATACTCTCTCTCTCTCTCTCTTAAACCTAACTGTCTTGGTTTAAAGAAAGGACGAAAGGAGAAGAAAGCAAAGAAAATTTTGGCTTCCCTGATTTTGACTGTTTTGGGTTTTGAGAGAGAAGAGAGAGAAACACCACAGTAGGAAAAAAGAGACGAGAGTGGTAATAGACAAAGACAGTGGAGGAAGTAAGTAAAACGGTACGGACAAACAAAAATTGTTGTCTGTTTAATTACCACATAGCCAAACGAGAGAGAGATGTAGCAGTTTCTAATCTTAGAGTTGGAAGAAACTTGAGCAAATGAACATTGGAGAGGTCTTTCATGTGCACATCTTTTTTTTTCTTTTACTTTATACTATTCACCATTTTCTACCTTTTTATAGATTTTTTTCCTTGCAATTATTTGACAAGTTTAACGCATTCTTTTATGTCAAAATAATTAAATAAATGCATGTTTTTTCCTTTCTTTAGGTCCACCATATTGGCATTATGAGGTTGGCAATAAATGGGGATGATATTTTGTGTTTCTCTACAGTCCATAGCAAATCTACCGTAAAATTGAATTAGTTTTCAACTGAACTGAATGCAAAACCAATATCAAACTGTTTTTAAACGAACCTAAACCGAATACAGTTTTGGATAATACTGTATGTTTTAGCCGAAGAAGGAAAAACTATCTAAACCAACTAAACCAAAAAATTATATTCCTACTAATCAATTTGAGACTGTTAGGACATATATACTTACATCAACTCTTTAGTTTTGGAATCAATTTGAGACGCTAAATATTATGTTTGAAAGAAAATCATTGGAAAATATACTCATTTGATGTAAAAATTAAGCTCTTTGAAATTAAGTTTAGAGCGGTTAATTAAGCAATTAGTTTTAAGTTTTAAAATAGTTAAAAAAAATGTAAAACTTATTAAGATACAAAAATATGGGATAAAAAACTTGCATGGTTGATGTACGAAACTCTTAGCATAAATTTGTTGACTTGATGTAATGAGCGAAAACACGCATATAAACGTCAAACCTAGGCTACGACCTCAAAGTACGATCACCGTATACCAGTCGACAAACCTAGGTTTTTCTCAACACTACACAACAATTATTACTCATCCAATTTTCTAAGCTTGGCCCATGCTTCTTTAGACTTCTATTAATTTTCTCTCGTTGGCGACACTTCTCTTTCCGAGAAATATGCGATATCATTCTCTCATATGCTTGTCAAGTTTATTGGTTCAGTGCTATATCTGCCTTACACAAATTGTTTCCCCTCACAGTTTTATAATCAGTCTCGCATCTAAAAAGCGCTCAATATTACCAACTCAACAAAAAATTTGGTCCATTATACTCTGTTGTGTATTTATTGTTCGTTTGAAACTGATCAAAGTTCTATTCTGTAGGGATTTTTTTAACTTGTTGTAGTTACAATGTACAAAGTTGAAAGAGCGATGCATTTTATGTGTTTATAATAAGAGTTCTAGTTAGATGGTTCTCCTTATTGTTGGATATCCATAATTAAATGTGATGGTGATGGGTCATGTGCGATGTAAGTTTTTTTAGGTCACATGATGTAAGTTTAATTAAAATTAATTAATATTAAATTTTGAGAGCATCTATCTGAGGCCAGGGAGCAATCTTCAAACTTGCATAGAACACCCAACTTTACAAATCTTGATAATCTGATTTTATCTTTCTTCTGTACAATATTAACCTTTTTAGTGTACAAATACTCAATAGATTCTCTTTACTGCATTGGGAACCAAAAGGAAAGTGCCGAGGAGTTCAGAGTTCTATAAATAGAGGGTTTCTTTTACTAGTATAATAGTAACTGTTGCAGTTATTAGTTAAAAAGCAACGGATATGATAAAAAAAAAAGTACTGTGACTGTGAGCAACGGATATGATAAAAAGAAAAGTACTGTGAATTTAAAATTACAGTAATGATCTAAAATATTAAATTATTAAGGACTGAAATATGAGCAGTACAGAGTTATTGGAACACAACAAAAGATGTGACACTTCAAGGGAACTAGTTGGTGTCGGTAGATGTGCAAGCAATAAATAATTTTAGTATCCTATTTTCAGTTTTTCATTTGTTAGATCTCTAATTTCGCTTGTTTATAAGTGAATTATTACCAAAAAAAAATAGTTAATTTTGGTTTGTGGTTTGTTTATTTGTTTGTTTGCAAATTAAAGCGACATTGTTTTTTTCTTCCCCATTTGTTGTATTTTAGAATATTCACAATATCCAAAGCAAGATCTTTCTTGATTTTGTAATAATAAAAAGTATGAAAATTGAAAAGTGAAATCTATTCGTAGACATCCATCAGAGTCTGTGTAACTGTAACACTTGATATTTTATTATAGGCTTAGGTTGTGTGTTTGTTCCTTTTGCTTAGCTTTATTTAGTGAAAGTTGTTTCCATTTGTTTTGATGCATTGGTTAAACCCTGAAACTAAAGACTAACTTCACACAAATGCTGTCTGTCACAAAACCACCTATAGGTAAGGTCTGATTTCTGAATCTCTAGACACTGAAAAAATATGCCATTATAGTCAAATATAATGAACACTTGCAAAAACTATTAACTTTTGTTTTGTTTATTGGGTTGGACTGGATTGAATTTGGGTTTGGGTTTGAGTATCACTAACAACTCTTTTGGTTCTAAATAACATTGGTGTCTATCTATTTCTATTTATAGTTTTCTTTTATCAGGTTTCTCTTGATAAATCGTACTTTTACAAAATTTAAGAATTTTTGTTAACAGTTCAAGATGTCAGAAACCAAACAGATGATGAGAGACAATGTTAACAAAAAAGAGATTGCAGATTGATGTTATTGATTCATGAATCATATAAACACCAAACAAGATTCTCTAAGTTCTTAGCTGAAACAAAAACAACAAAACTTGTAAGAAAACAAAAAAAAGAAGAGAAGCTTCAGGTTAATTTGTCAACTTGTTTTCTTGAAGTTCTTGACCAACAAGTTAGGTTTCTCAAACTCCATTACATTCCACAACAGCTTCAGCAGCACGTCTAGGCTTGCTTTTCCTCCTGCTTCCAATTTGTCTAAACCCAATAGATGATGTCGATTTCGTGGAGTCATCGTTGTTGCTTGATCTCGATCCCAACCCATTTTCTTCTTTATTGCTTCCATTAGATATCTTCCTCTTCCTCTCGTTCTCTTGTCTTTTACTTGTTATTGAACCATTGTTTGCATCATCAACTTCTTCTTCTTCTTCCATCTTCTCTACCATCTCCTCTTCTTCTTCTTCCTCTTCCTCCTCTTCGAAATCATCTTTCATCGGCTTCTGTGGCCTTCCTCTTCTCCTGTAAGCTGGAATCTTTTCTTCTTCACCACTTCCACGATCTTCCCTAGCAGACGCATTCTGCTTCTTCCCTTTCCCTCTGCCTCTTCTCATACTCTATGAATCTACTACACAATCAAGAAACCTGGAAGTTAAAAACACAGTTTTCATTTTAAACAGCTCAAAAGAACACAAAGCCATTCTCAGTATTATTGCAGATTACCAAAGAATCAATCAAGTGACATTTGCTCACTTTCACATTGCAGATTATAAACAACGGAAACAAGATTCCAACTGTTCTATGCTCTTAACAATCTGCATTTTTTTTCTTAACAGTTAACATTGTTCCAAAGAAGAGAAAAGCCTTCGGCTACTATTCTATCACTGAAAAGTCGATTCATGAATAGTGTGATTTAACTCTCATGAAAACTGAAAATTGCATGAGCAATCAAATGGTAAAAACGCAAACTTTAGTTTCTATCCAAATTCCAATCTCTTTAAGCTTCTACAGAGCAGAGCAACTCAACAACTATAATCGAAATGAACAGTAGTAATGACGGAGAAAGAGAAGAAACTCACCTGTGTGTGTCTGGCTAATACCAATCATCAGAATCTCCGACGAACCATTTACTCAAAAGTCAAAACCAGACGATAAAAATGGGTTTCAATCGATCGATCTACTTGAAAAAAAAACACAAATTCAGTAGGAAACAGAGGAAAGCCCAGATCAGTGAACCATTGAAACTCTGAGCATAGTGATCAAAATCAGTAGGAATCCTGAAAGTTGGAGAGATCTAAGAAAGAGGAAAGACCAAAAACAAGAGTTTAGTCAGTTTTCCACACTCACTCTATGAGCATATCCTATGTAAACCATTGGCCGAAGAATCTTCTTTAGCCCCGTTGAGGATTTTTCACATCGAACCGTCTCTGTGGATAATAATCATGACAGCTCAACCCAGCAATATGAGTAGTGTATTTATTCAATGGGCCAAATCGAAAAGGCCCATATAACAAAGTGGAAATGAGGTTAGTAGATGATTGCTTTTGCCTGAGGAAGAGGACAAAGGGAACAAAACACGAGTCTTACCGGTTTGATGTGTCCCTGGAAGACGAGAATGCTCCTACCAGTGCCGAGATCCCAAACCCGAGCGAGTGCATCAAGCCCTGAAGAAGCTGCTAATGCTCCATCTTGTTGAAACGCGAGTCCGTAGACACTGCGACTGTGGCCTTCTTGCAAAAGCAGCTCTGCTCCTGTGTTTACATCCCACAATCTCCATGTTTTGTCGAAGTTTGTACGAGTGGGGAGAACCAGAACACTACATCCGTTGCACGTTCTTTGTGACCCTTCAAGACAGCAATCACGTTCGTGACTTGCGGCATCTCCCATAATTTAGTAACTCCACTCAGAGACCTAGCCAAAGAAAAACCGTGAATTAGTAAACAGAAGAAGAATGGATCACAGGTTATGAACATAGAGAATGTGTAATGCAATAGGAAAAGGGATGAATTCACTTAGACATGAAGTATGCTGTTTATAAGGTTAAAGGTGGGAAAGATTGAAAACCAGCAGATTCAGTGTTTAAGGACATGATTATTGGGATAATTCTCCTCTGATATAACTATGAAAACCAGTAGGCAGGTAGAATGCAATATAGTCCAAGTAACTCTAATCAAACAGAGCCTAGCAAATATCACTCCAAGCCTAAGGAAAATGATGTGAAAAGAATGTAGAATTATGCTTGCAAGTGAGAAAGAGATTAAAGGGAGAGGTACCATGTGGCAAGTATTACCAAAACGAGAGAAAAAAAAGGTTAGCTTTTTTTTTTCTGAAATCAGATTCAGTGGAAACCAATGCTCTCTTGGGAATTTTAACAAACACTTAACAATCAAGCTTCATGGTCACTTTCAATGGCTATAGCACAGTTGAAAATAATAACGTAAACAGGTTTGCTGCAAAAAAGCATTCACATTACGCAGTAATTCTTGCAAATATAGTCCAACTGACTCAAATAGAGCCTAGCAAATATATGTCGCATTACCAAAACGAGAAGAAGAAAAGTTTAGCTCTATTCAAAAACCAAATTCAGTGGAAACCAAATGCTCTCTTGGGAATTTTAACAAACAGTTAACGATCAAGCTTCATATTCAACTTTTATGACTATAGCCCTGTAAATTCTAAGCCAAGGAAGCAAAGTAAACCAACCGCAGTAAATCCATGAAATAGAGATTCAATTTTACCAGGAAATCACGGAGTCGACGAATCTCGTTACTTTCTTCGACACCCAAACACACGAAATAGAGATTTAAAGATACGCAATACGTACTCAACAATTTAATAGTCGAAATTTTTTCTTCCTTTCTCAATGAGCTCCTAAATCAGAAATTTACGATTTGAGTGTGAGATTTTCTTAGCTAAGACCTTAAACACTTCCTTTCAGCTTGCTCTTACCTTAACCGGTAACAAACCATTCATAAATAACCGATCTAACCGATTTCTCCCAATTTCAAAAACAAATTCGACTCTTTACGCAAGACTTCCATCCTCATTCCCGCTATAACACCACCTCAAATCCATCAATTTCTTTCAGTTTCTCTCTTACCTTCTCTCGTTTCAATCTACAGGAGAAAGTAAGTTGACGATCTCTCTTCTTCTTCTTCCTGATTTTGTTAGTTATGCTTTGATCTCAGAGATTTCTGTTTGTTTTTCCGATGAGCCAAAAGTAGCAAGATGGAGAACGTGGAGCCAGAAGAAATCGCGATCGAGAAATGTAAGATCAAATTTCGTTTGCCAATTGCTAGGATGAATATCGTTTGCTGTTCGTTTCTAATTGATGCGAATCTCGATTGCTTCTGGTCGATTGCTCTTCGTTTGCGAGTTGCTCTTTGATTGCTTCTGGTCTATTGCTCTTCGTTTGCGAGTTGCTCTCTGATTGCGAATTGCTCTTTGTTTGCTCTTCGTTTGCAAATTGCTCTCTGATTGCGAATTGCTCTTCGTTTGCGAATTGCTTCTGGTCTATTGCTCTTGGTTTGTGAATTGAATCTCGGATTGCTTCTACTCTATTGCTCTTCGTTTGTGAATTGCTTGGAACTACAGTAGATTAGGAACTAGATTTAGACGATTTATATGTGGATCTGACACCTAAATCGTATATACTTTACAGTAATCGAGCATGGTCTTGAAGCTAATGATGTGAGAATTCTACAAAATGTTGGGATCAACACATTGAATCATTTGATAAGGACTGAAACCAAGGAGGTATTGATCCTGACTGTTTTGCATTACTTGTTTAGCATTACGCAAGTTTTACTCAATGATTTTCTTCTTTTCACAGTCCCTCAAAGGTTTATCAGAGGCCAAAATTGACAAAATCTGTGAAGCAGCCGAGAAGATAATGGTATGTTCTAGTGTTGTTTTATCTCATTAATATCAGAATCACTCATCTTCTTTTGTTGTTTTCAGATTTTTCCCTTGACTAAGCAATTCATTGAGATTGTGGAAGAGCTCCTTCAACGCACTAGAAAACTATCATTAGCTGATGATCGGTTTTCCGAAATACTACATGCCTACAGTGAGTTGTTTAACAGATGCTTCACGTTGGAGGAAATGTCAATTTCAATGCAGCAAAGGTTCAGCATCCCATATACAACAGTGAAGCAAACTATTGAAGAGTTGTTGAAGGGCATGGAGGGTCAAAGGTGTTTTATATCTTACATGAAGGACTCTCTCCTGCTTTCTCACTTCAGGAATGCCAAAAAGAACCTGTTAACTACACAAGAAGACATGGTGAAGAAGATAGAAGCAATGGATAGCAAAATCAAGCTTCTTGATGAGTCAATGAAAGGTAGCTTCAAGCTACTTAGTGCAGCCATAGCAGAAACTGTTGCAAAGGAGGTATGATTCGGTTCAGCCATATCAGAATCCGAAATCAATAACACAACTCTTAACTTATTTTCTGCTTTGTCCTTCTAGCTTCTTGTTTCACAGAACGAGGCGCTGGAACAAATTCAACAACAGGGAGAGCTTCTAGAGAAACTCATCAAGCATCAAGAACTTCAGAGAATATGATTGAGGAGAACATAAAGAAGGGATTTAAAGAAGTCGGTCCAGCCATTACTCGCACAGTAATGGAGGACGTAGAAAATCTTTTGACTTCTGGTTTCTCTGGTTTAACGGTATGCAATAAAACCAATTCTTCTCTTAGGTGCGTCAATTTTATCGTCTATCTTCTTAAGCCACTGCTACTGCTCGTTTTACAGGACAAGATTAGTTCTACTATCACTTCAGAGTTATCTGGTGAACGCATAACAAATGATATAAAAGCTGCTCTGGAGCCAGAACGCAAAGGCCTAGGCGAAGAGATTAATGAATCTCTCCTGAATATGATGTGTCAAATGAAAATTCATTTTGAGAAAAGCTTCAGTGAAGCTATGATGTAACTCAAGGTATGTTTGCGTTCTCAGTCAAGATATCACATGTGAGCTATATGCAAATGTGAGCTATATGCAGGAACATCTTCGTTCTCAGTCAGAATTATGTTCACCACCACCGTTTTTATGTAACGAAAATAATCCTCCGTTTTGTCTCTCTTTTACAGGATCTAGCGTGTTTGCGTTCTCAGTCAAGATATCAAATGTGAGCTATATGAAAATGTGAGATATATGCAGAAACATCTTCGTTCTCAGTCAAAATTATGTTCACCACCACCGTTTTTATGTAACGAAAATAATCCTCTGTTTTGTCTCTCTTCTACAGGATCTAGCGTGTTACAAGTAATCTGCAAATCCTCCTCTCTCTCTCTCTTTCTTCGGAACATTACTCTCTAGTTTCTTGAACAATCTAAGATAGCAACATATTAACAATGAGTTTGTATAATCCATTTTAAAGATTCTCTCTACTAAGCACATCTCTAAATCCCTTGATTCTAAGATTCTCGCACATTAACGAAAATAGAGAAACTAGAGATCTGTGTCAGACTGTGTCCAAGAACCACATGCAGCAGAAGATGGACACATCTACGGACTGATAAAACATGATATGTTACATTTGTTGAATGTAATAGAGATTAAACAGCTAGGAGCTAGGCCACAATAGTCACGTTCTAACAACATTAACCAGTTAAGAAACGGAATGAGACATTACCGGTAAGCACAAAAGAGGCAGCGATATATGGAGTTAGCGGAAACTATGTGTATTTGTAGTTGAAAATAGAAACTGTTAAGCGATGCCTTTTAAAGCAAAACATGAACCATGTCAAATATTTCAACAACAAAAACGCATCAGCACACAAGCTATCAAATGTGAGCTATATGCAGAAACACACTTGCCAAGTCTTCACAGCTCTTGCTGTCCCACTTGAGAAGCTGGAGAACTTCATGTCCTCTTCGCCGGACCATTGTAGCTCTGCACACAACCTTCACACCCTTGCTCTGCGTATTTCAATAATCTACATCCATGCCTGTAAGCATTTCAAGCGTGCTACAATCGCTAGAAACTCTGTTTCTGGTCTCTAATTTAAACTAAGTCAGAGCTAGGAGTCACTGGAACCAAAAGGAGCTTGAAGCCAACAAACAAAACATACCGAACTCATTGGGATGCCTTTACTTATATTCTCTACCATTAGTTGAAAGCAACACGAGCAAGACATCCAAATGACCTTCAAAAGTTTGTAGGATCAGTTTTCCACAGCTTTGCAGTTCTCGATCAGCAGAAGCAGTTGCTAGACAACCATCCACAGGGGAGAACCAGAAACTACATCCGTTGCACGTTCTTTGTGATCCTTACAGCAATCATGTTCGTAACTTGCAGCATCCCCCATAATTTAGTAACTCCACTCAGAGAACTAGCCAAAGAAAAGCCAAGGATTAGTAAACAGAAGAAGGGACGTATGCACTTAGACATGAAGTATGCTAATTATAAGATAAAAGGCCAAGTTAACTTCATGGTCTAATAAAAGTGAAATAAATTGAAACTAAGGAAAACCAGCAGATTCAGTGTTTATGGACAGGATTATTAGGATAATTATCTACATGTATATCAATGAAAACCATATGCAATATAGTCCCAAGTAACTTTAAACCAATAGACACGAGCCTAGCAAATATCACTCCAAGCCTAATGAAAATGATGTGGAGAATATATAGATTTATGCTTGCAAGTGAGAAAGACATTTAACGAGAGACTACCATGTGGCAAGTATTTTTCCATCTCGTGACTCGTGAGAAGGAGCAGCCAGTAAGAGTTACTGCAATAAAGGACCATTTCTTTAGCATGCTTCAAACCCCACTTAGTCTCTGCATCAATAGCAAAGGTGACACTACTAGAATTAGGAATTCTAACATCTTCCATGTAACAACTAAAATCCCCAAAAGAGAAACATCACCAGACACAAGAACCTACACAAAAATCTGGAACAAACACAGAAGAATGGTTAGCTTCATTCTGAAATCAGATTTAGTGTGGAAACCATGCCCTCTTGGGAATTTTAACAAACTGTTAACAATCAAGCTTCATGGTCACTTTTAATGGCTATAGCTCTCTTCGAGACCCAAACACTACTCGAGCTCCCCGTATTTCCCGAGAAAAGATACCAACAACTCAATAGTTATAATTTCTACTTAGACATGTTCAACAACCAAGCACTGAATAATTATGAAAGCTTTAAGACAGGACAGGTCACGAGTCAAAGAACCGAGTACATGATGAGCCAGGGTTTTCAATAAAATTATGCAAGCTAGTACAGGAATCTTAAGGCCTTTCAGAGACTAAGGCAGAGCTAGAAAGAGACTCTGGAATCTGAGAGCTTAATGCCAACTCTGGAATCTGAGAGCTTTACAATGATATATCTCAAAATGGCATATACAAATGAAAGCACCTTTACAGAAAGAGCAATAGGAAACACTAAAAGTCATGCGCAAGAGACTAAAACCATGACGAGACACGTTGCATTTCCCAGATTCTTACGGACTATCTAAAACGCTACTTAGGATCACATAAGTGTTCTGTGAGTTTTCTTCAGGAAGCTCAATCTGTAAATCCATTTGATTTCAGCAGCAGGATATATTATCCAAAAACTAGTACAACAGTCGCAATTTAAACAAGTCCCAACATTTTTCTTCACTGTTTCTAAAATTCCCCAAAAGAGAAACACCACCGAAACAAGAATCTACACAAAAATCTGGAACAAACACAGAATGAAAAAAAAAAAAAAAAAAAAAAAAAAAAGTTAGCTTTATTCTAAAATCAAATACAGTGGAAACCAATACTCTCTTGGGAATTTCAACAAACAGTTAACGATCAAGCTTCATATTCAACTAAAAGAACCAAAGTAAAAGTAAATCAACCGGCAGTAAATCCAGGATCGTAGTTGTTTACCAGGAAATCACGGAGTCGAGGAATCTCGTTACTTTCTTCGACACCAAAACACACGAAATAGACTCGATCTCCGTCCGAGAAAAGATACCCACCCCAGAAATTTACGAATTTGAGTGTGAGATTTTCTTTAGCTAAAACCTAAAAGAACACACAAAAGCTTGCTCGTAAACCGGTAACAAACCATTGATAATAACCGATCTAACCGATTTCCCCAATTTCGAAAACAGGCTCGACTCTTATTCCCGCTATAAAACCAGGAGGAAATTCGACTCTTTCCTGTGAGATTTCTCTTTGTTTTTTTTTCCGACGAGCAAGATGCAGAACCTTGAGCAAGCAGAAGTCGCAATCGAGAAATGTAAGATCAAATTTCGTTTGCGAATTGCTAGGATGACTATCGTTTGCTGTTCGTTTGTGAATTGATGCGAATCTCGATTGCTTCTGGTCTATCGCTCTTCGTTTGCGAATTGCTCTCTGATTGCGAATTGCTCTTTGTTTGCTCTTCGTTTGCAAATTGCTCTCTGATTGCGAATTGCTCTTCGTTTGCGAATTGCTTCTGGTCTATTGCTCTTCGTTTGTGAATTGAATCTCGGATTGCTTCTGCTCTATTGCTCTTGGTTTGTGAATTGAATCTCGGATTGCTTCTGGTCTATTGCTCTTCGTTTGTGAATTGCTAGGAACAGAGTAGATTAGGCACTAGATTTACTTGATTTATATGTGAATCTGACACCTTAATCGTATATACTTTGCCAAGTGATCGAGTATGGTTTAGAAACTGATGATGTGCAAACTCTCCAAGCTGCTGGGATCAACACATTCAGTCATTTGATAATCACTGAAACCAAGGAGTATTGATCCGACGGTTTTGCATTGCTTGTTTAGCATTACGCAAGTTTTACTCAATGATTTTCTTCTTTTCACAGTCCCTCAAAGAAATCGAAGGTTTATCAGAGGCCAAAATTGACCAAATCTGTGAAGCAGCCGAGAAGATAATGGTATGTTATAGTGTTTCGCATGTTTTATCACATTATCATATCAGAATTAGTGATTTTCTTCTTTTGTTTCAGGTTTCTCCCCTGACTAAGCAGTACGTTAAGATTGTGGAGGAGTGTTTTCAATACACCCGAGAAACACAAACATCAACAGCAGAAGATCATCTTCACCAAGTCCTAGATGCCTATAGTCATTTCATGAAGAGATGCTTCACTGTGGATGAAATGGCAGGTTATATGTTGCAGACATTTAACATCCCAAAAAAGAATGTGAAGAAAGTCGTTGAGGATTTGGTGAAGGGCAAGGTGGACCAGATATGTTTTGACTCCTACACAAAGGACTCTGAAATTCTTTCACACTTTAGGAATGAGAAGAAGAGTCTATTCGCTACACAACAAGATATCATGCAGGTGCGTGATCTTATTCTCTGGTATTATATGAATATGTTCTTGTTTTAACCCTTTTGTTGCAATTGTTTTGCAGAAGCAAATTGAAGGAATGGATGTCAAGTTAGATTTACTTGATGGGTGGATGAAAAGGAGTGTTAAAGTACTTACGCCAGCCATAGCAGCAACTGTAACAAAGGAGGTATGATTCAAAAAATCAATAGCACACAGGAAGATGCTCTTAACTTATTTTCTGTTTTGTTCTATCAGCTTCTTGTTTCACGGAAGTATTTGTTGGACCAAATTCAACGACGGGGAGCGCTTCTAGAGAAACTCAATCAAGCATCAGGAAATTCAGAGAATCTGATTGAGGAGACCATAAAGAAGAGGTTTAAAGCAGTTGGTTCAGGCATTACTCGCACAGTAACTAAGGAAGTAGAAAATCTTTTGACTACTGTTTTCTCTGGTTTAACGGTATGCAATAAACCACTTCTTCTCTTAGTTGCGTCAGTTTTATCGTCTTTCTTCTTAAGCCACTGCTACTGCTCGTTTTACAGGACAAGATTAGTTCTACTATCACTTCAGAGTTATCTGGCGAACGCATAACAAATGATATAAAAGCTACTCTGGAGCCAGAACGCAGAGACCTAGCAGACCACATTGATGAATGTATCGTGAGAACGATGTATTATATCACAAGTTCTTTTGAGGAAAGTTTGAAAGAAGCTTAGGGAAAGCGCCTCGAGATGGAGAAGCTCGCGTCCGCCGGAGATTCTTCCGATTAAGCATCATCATTTGATCTCCGGATTGTGGTAATGACCCGAAGCTTGTTCTGGTTTCTCTTTTTTTTCCGGGGATTTGAGGTGTGTTTACCGTTGTATGACGATCACGAAGACTAGAGAGTTTGGTTTGCAACTTGGTTTCGATATCTTTGTTATGTCGATAATGATGTTCATGAAATAAGTGTTCATTAACTTCTTGGACGCACCTGTCCTCACTCTCTACTTATGATTACATTTACATTTCTCAAATTTGGTCACTTTTGATTTGCTCATTTTGATCAGAATCTGCAATTTGATTGGTGTTTTTTTTTCAAATGATTCGGTTCGCTTATTGATTGTTCCATCATTGGACTACGTATGCATTGCTACCTGATGAAATTCATAGCCAGTTTGCGTTACCGCACACGGTCCATGTTTTTTCTTTTTAAAATGCACCATTACTTCCTGCATTCGGATCTCCTCCCCCATAGTGAGAGAGAGAAAGAGTAGCTTTATGGTTTACAGATAAAGGCAGCTAATTCTTCTAGTGACGCAAATCTCAGAGTAGACTTCACTCTCAGCGGATTAAAGTAACCGTCTTGAAGAGGAAGACAACCAAATGTGTTTCATGATGGCTCCCATGGGAAACACCACTTTCCCAGAAGTATTTCTCCTTTTGTTTCTTTTGAAGATTTGAATAACTGGTGAAGTCTTCTTCTTCTTCTTTTGCCCCACTTTACTTGTTGAACTTCCTAGCTTGTATTTCTTTCTCTCAAAAGATAAACTTTAGATACTTTTAAGTTTTTCAAAAATTGCAGTTTTTGAATTTCTGTGTTTTATCTGTTATGCTTCTGTTAATCATACTCAAAAGAAAAAAAAAAAATCATTCTTGTAAATCCATAAGAGTAAAGTGAATTTCACCCATTTTGTTTCAAGGTATGAGAGTGAAAATTCAAGATCTTGACAAATGCTGTCTGTGGTGAACAGACTGGAAACTTATATGGCGAAATCAGAGTTAATCATGCTTGATTTTACAATGAAAAAGAAGTTTGTAAAAATATCATAAGCCATAGCCATACTACGAGATTTATTACAGAGATCTCTGACTCCTTAGGGTCGAATTTGAGTGTTCCACTTTGAATTCTGTAAAAGAGTTTCCCAAATCACTAAACCCCATATCCATATGCCCTCCTTTGTAAAACATTTAACTTCTATAGTTTCTATCACAAAATCACGAGATGTAGATCATGACATATTCGTTGTCAAAAAAATAAAAAAAATACAAAAATAAAAAAGATCATGACATCTTTAATATGCACATGCCGAGAAGCAAATGAAACAGCGGACTTAGTTGCTGAGTCCATTGCTTGAAAAAAAGAGAAACACTCTGTAGTTCTCTAGTATTGAAATAAAATCGTATGTTTGAGGAAAAAAAAAATATATATATACACATGCTTTTGAGTTTTTGCACACCCTATCTTGCGCTCGTAAATTAACTCAGTACATACTCTAAACTTTTTTTATTTAAAAACCGAACCGGAAACTTAAAGCGTCATAACAGTAAAACAAGAACTCAAACTTGAAAAGCAAATCAAACATGAAAAGTAAATGAAAAAAAAGCCCCCTTATTCCTGGAATAGCACCAATTTGACTTGTTCATCTCGAGTATACTCATCTGATAAGGGGAATAGGGACAAGAGGGTAAGTAAAAACTAATATACTATATATATATATATATATATATCGAACGCTTTATCAACAATCTATCAGATTTACCTGGAAAAGTTGCCTTTCTGCATGCAAGGAATTGACTAGCAGAAGTTGCCAGATTATGTATGGCGCTCGCAACAAAATCTAGCTCACTGTCACTTCGCACTCCCATTGTAAGCTTCAACATATCTTTCTTAACACTATTAACCTGTCACATGCGTCAGGATTGTTTCAGCAACGACTTAGGAGGGGCCCAATCCAAGTCTAATAATATTTAAGTTCATTTTGGTCAAATTATATATGAACCAACACAACTTGTACCCAATCTAAAACCTTCAAAAAGGGCAATTTGGTCAAATATTATGTAATCTAAATACCTAGTAAAACGTGTACTCAAAATCAACATGTCACCTGCGCGATCATATGAGAGATAATCATGGCTTCACCTGAGCCACTCTCATCCCAAATTAGTGCGGCGGAGGCTTGCTCCTTCTTCATCTGATTTTTGGTTAGAATTGGAATCTAACACATCAAACAACAACACTCAATCAATAATACTACGTACATATATATATATATATATATATATGTTAATACAATACACTGGTTGAAAAAAACTCTACATTAACCCCCATTTTTTTCTCAGCTGCTTCCCATATTTCGTCAACTTTGGCCTCTGATAAACCTGTGACTCCAGTGAGGTACTGCTTCAATGAAACATATAATTATTCATCCAAGCCAAAATCTAGACTAGCTAGTGTAAGAACCCTAAGAGCTATAAAAAGATTGTACCTTCTTGGTTAGGTAAATCAGACGATTGCAGGTATAGATCCCAGCATCTTCTAGTTTCTTCACATCTTCAGCGTCGATACCTTGGTCGATTACTGATAGGCACACAGAATTAAGTCACGAATCCTCCACAGCACAACGGTATGGATGTGCAGGCTATTACTTGATTTTAAACTTACATGTTTTAATCGGGATTTCGTCTTGCTCAACGAGCTGCATCTGGCTCGCTTCTTCAGCTCCATGACTCACTAACAGAAAGATCAGGGAAAAACAATAAAAAACAAACGAGAAGGGATTAAGGAACAAGATTCCCTAAACTTAAAAATATATCTATACGAAAACGAAGAAATGAGTTTGAATCAAATAAGAATGAGAGATCAATAACTTACTGCTATGGAAACCTAGGGTTGAAATGAGAAGGTAATTTGATAATCGCAGGATTGGCTTTGAGGATTTAGGGTTTTATACGGCGGCACCGTTTATTAAGTAGGTTAGAGTGCCCTCAGTTTTATCGACGGTCAGATAGAAAAAGGTTGCTGAAAATTACCTGCTTTATATAAAAGGTTTGGGTCAGATTCGGGTTAGTTATTTTCATTTATTGGATCAGTACCGTCGGTTAAACCCAAGTTTTCAGTTCTTTTTTATAATAGTTGAAAATCAAAAGTAGAGCAAACTGAGCCAAAAGAACCCTAGATATTTTTCACGATTTCCCAGTGTGAATAAGTTTTTCACCTAATGTAGCACGAGTGTTGAAATAGCAATATGCAAATTGGGATTAGTTTTATTAGTTGATTAATCTGCAACCACTTTGTATTGCTTTTCCACACGAAATCCTAATCAAACTGTTTTCTTCACAAGCGATCAATTTTGTTCTACACATATTATTTGAATGGCGGCTATACAAGTCTAGAACATTCATATTACTGCAATCGTATTTTTATCTACTGATTAATTATAGTTTAATGTAGTGATCAGTACACAATCAAACATATCAACTATATAAACACATGTTTTACGAACATTTGTAACTTATATGTTGACAGGCCAATTTATTTGAAAGAAAAAAAAAGCCATTCCAATCATTCAGTATCGTAAACAAGAAAGAAAAATCATTCAACATCTTTAACAAGTTGGTGAAATTTCTCTAGTTTACGCACAGACGCCGTACAAACCATAACCAAATCTTTTACACTAATCTTTAACCAAATCATTTCAGTTTCAGCTCTCTTTTTTTAATAGCCGTTGGATTTCTTTCATATCTCACCCCTTCACATGTGTGTAGATTTATTTGTATAAAAGCCTAAATGACAAATTTATTCACTACAATTTTCAGCTGTTTTTAAATACTATATCTACATCACACTAGTATTCTAAAAAGTTCTGGCATAAACATAAATATCTTCTTTTCCTTTTGGTATCACATATTAATATCTTAAATGGTATATGGCTTAAACATTTTCTTATTCAAGAAGTATATATTTTTATTTATCTAGTCTGTATGATATATACAGAACGTTGTTCTCTCGTGATAGATGTGTATTTATATATTGGTTCATTCTTTTCTATTTGTTGGTGATCTTGTTTCGTACTTTTCTTTAAGCCACTGTATCATCTGCCCAAGATATTTTAGTTTGTAGTGTTGGATTTGGATGATCAGTTGGGATTTCAAGATATTATTAGTCATCGATCTCTAATTGAAAACTAACATGCGTACACATAAGATATATATAATAACTTCCAAATGAGTTGGCCCTATATGCAAATGGAGTTCAACAGTATATAACATCATAATTTGCTGAACTTCGGTCAATCTTTCAACAAATTAGCATGTTAATAAATAAATAAAAGTAAACCAAGTAAAAACGGAGAAAATAGTTGTCAGGAAGTGCAACGTAACTGCCTCGTGCACCCGAGAGTCATGCCATTTCCATGTCCTTATATCATACGTCCGATCTCGTACAATTTTATCCTCTTTTTCTTTTTTAGATAAAGCGTCCAATCTTATCTTCCTCTATTGCTAATTGTTATCTGTTCAAGTATCGTTAGCAATAATCATATACGTTTGAATGTATTCATATACTGCGATGAACAGTTCAAACATATATACGTATTGAAAATGAATACCACTCCAGCTATGATAATTTGTGGCTCCTATCAATAAACGTCTACATATTTAACATTACACATCTTATATTTTCTTTCGCAATATGTTACTCAAACAAATAAATTAATACGTATCTAAGATTCTCGTTGTTAAGGCTGTAATCATAGATTAAAAAAAGCTTTTGCAGTGGTCCACGCAATTGTATATTTATGTGGAACTTTATAGATTGCAAATGATAAGGTTGTTGAGTTTGTGTACATTACATGGGGACAAGTTTCTGGAATCCTTTAGGTATTTATTTAATAATATTATTGAAGCCGCCTGGAATTATGCGTAATACCTAAACACACATTGCCATATACTAATTCGACTATGTTGACAGAAAAAGATTTGTATGTCAATGTGTGTAAAGGACATTGTCTCGATGTGTCAATGTCACATACGTATATACTCCAACATTAATTTTCTTATGTAATACATAGTTCTTTTTGCACTATATGCACATTTGGCTGTATAAACTCAGAAACTGATTACAAATTTACAAGAAATATGGTAAGGATATCTGATCACAAACAAAGAATAAAAAACAGTACTAACTAACAAAATATGCTAAAACGATATGAGATTATTTGTTTAAACTTTAAAGACATTCCAACAGGAGGATTTGGTTAGTTGGAGGGGGATCCGTGGACTTGCTTTGTATTCATAAATCTCATGTCTTTGGGAGACAGCCTGACACATCTCTTTCATCAATATATATATACAAATATTAAATCATATACTTTTTGTAATTAATCCCACTATAGTTTATGTAATGAATCTAAACAAGACATCAATCAATTTCATTTGATTATAGGATCCTACGTTCTGCGACATATAAATTATAAATACGAAAATAAAAAAGACTATAAATATATTAGTTGTCAGTAAAACTTGTAACTCTAAAATAAGTATCATTTTCCTTATCATTTCCTTCTCTCTTCCCCTATATATAACCTTATCATATTCCACTTACCATAAAAATTCACCAACTCTCTCTTCTAATCAAATAAAACCTATTTTGTTTCTACAAAGCTATGGAAATTGAAGCTACCACTGTTCAGAAAAGAAGAAGCTTATCAACCATCGCCATGCACAAACAATCAAGAACACTAACCAAATCGAAACCAAAGATCCGGATCATCCATGTATTTGCACCGGAGATCATAAAGACCGACGTCTCCAACTTCCGGGAACTCGTCCAGAAACTCACCGGAAAACCAGATCATCACCACGACATCCACCAACAAAAGGGTATCAATAGAAACCCTAGATCTAGAGGAAGTCATGATCATCATCATCATCATCAAGTCCATGACATGAACAAGAGCCAAGGATTCTGCATAAACTCGGAAGTAGAAGACGAAGAAGAAGAAGAAGAAGAGATGGCGTCGATGACGTGGAACGGTAATGGCGGAGAGAGCTCCGGTGGGTTCTTGAACGGCTTAGGAGACTTCGACGGTTTCATTCAGGAGCTAGGTGAATTTCCTTATTTGCCCTTGAACGTTGATCCTTCGTTTGCTCCTTCTTCTTCGTCGCACTTACATGGCGGAGTCTTCGCAGAATCGAACCATTTCGCCTAAATTTCCGAAACGGTGGCATTTTTTTATGCTATAACTAAAATAGGTTATAAGTTTTAAATAAATTTTTATTTCTTCATTAAATACGAGAGGCTAGTTTTTTTGTTTAGCATTAAAACTTAAAAGGTTTGATTATTAGGTTTGACTTTTGGAGAATTTCGTGGATCGTGGAGGTTCGGGTTCATGATTATTAGGATTTCTGTTTCTTAATAATTTCTCACTAATTTCTCTTTCACTAATTAATTTCTCTCTCGCTAATGTATGGTTAAGTCATAATAAATGTAAAAAAGTTATAAAATCATCACACATATGACAAATTATGAATAGAATTTTGCAAACTTTGTAGTAAGAAATATCATTGTGCTTGCCTGATTAGCTATGAACGAACATAGTTAACTAACACTAGTCGAATGCACGTTTTAAAATTTTAGTACTAAGATATTTTTTTTGGCACTTCAAATTTGTCTTCCCTCTCTTATCCAAATGGACTGAGAAATAGACGTATTGGTTGATTGATTGAACTTAACATAAGATAAGTACAAATGGGGCCATATTTTAATTCGAGATAACAAATATAATACTACTCCATCCGTTTCAAATTAGTTGTCATTTTGGCAAAATGTATCTGCAATTATTTGGATGTATCTACAATGCAAAATTGTCCAGATACGTCCAAATATTTACAAATACATTTTGCCAAAATGACAACTAATTTGAAACGGAGGGAGTATTAAATACACAAATATGAGCCGACAAGTAACCTCAATTACAAACGTGGAGACACATTACATGTGTTTCATGGTGGTGATTCTGATGAGGATGATGATGCATTGATGATATATAATGATGGAACAAACACATCAAATGACAACTCTCATCACATATTTGAGCAATTTCTCTACAGAGAGAGTTTACAAAGTTAAATTCAATTACTTTGCAGAAAGGACACAAGAGAAGAATAGTTTTTTTCACATATAGGGATGACCTCAGGGTCTAAAATTATTCACTTTTAACCTTTTACAGACACCAACTTGGTGGTTGGTTCTTCTAATAACACATAAAGAACATAGAAACAAAAAGCTAGTAATATCTAAGTATCGTATTCAAGAGTTTCTACAACCTTCGGTGTTTCCAACCTCGTTAGAACTTCAGGCACTCCTGAAGTATCTCTTACTATCTGCATAAGAAACCAAACAAAATTAACGAAGATCTCGCGTACATGAACTTACACAAGCATAAACTTAACCAAAACTATTCAACAAACTCACAAGAATCTCCTCGTCTAGATAAGATATCATAAAGAATCTTTCAAAGGATCCACCTGAAGCAGAGACAACACACTAGCTGTTTCAAATGCACATATACGAGGAGCAAATGGTTAATTTACATGTAACAAACAAAGTAGCTGCTTGCTTACTCAGGGGAATTCTTAGACCATTAGCTAAAGTATCCTTGACAACAGCAGGAAGCTGCTGTAACGTTATGGTGGCTTGACTCAACGCGACTTTAAGCTGTTCAGGAACTGCTTCTTCAATGACCGTTGGTGATTCGAGCATCCCTTCTGTATATTCCTCCTTCAGTCTCAGAGGTCCCTCAACAGTCAGTTTCGACGACAGAACGATCTTGCTTTCTATCTGCATTGTTTAATGTCAGAAACCTCTTCTATGGCTCAGTGTAGTCACATCAACAAAGTAATTTCAGTATGTTACCGAGTTCAGTAGTTTGATATTCGCGGTCGCCTTTGCGTTACCATCCTTGATCAGTATCTCCATTCTTGATAGATTCGCCAGCGTTGAAGGAAACCTCCTGCAACAACATGAACAGAGAAGCCAAAACACTCAAAAACACTATGAATCAAAAAGGTGAGCTTTTTAAGAAGTTAGGTAAAGTGTATTACTCGAATAAGACGCGAGCAGCGAGTAAACCAGGACTGCCAGAGCCAAACCACTCGAAACTCCATCTTCCTTCAAAACAAGGAGACCTGGAAAGCTATAGGAATCAGTCAAAAAAGACATTTTTGTAACCAAAAGTTGTAAAAGGTAAGGAAGCAGCTACGTTGTTGGTCTAGGAGAAGGGTTAAGCCGCTCTAGACTCGTTATCCTCTCATTCACATCGATTCTTTGCATGTTCGTTGTTTTCCCAGTAACCAAAGCCTCAAATCCTCCAGCGTCCTTTAACTGTATACATAGATGGTTTCAGGGAAACAAAGATTTCAGATTTCTAAACACAGAGCTGTTCCTGCAGCATCCAATCTCTGGAACTGAGAAGATAGATAATCAACATTGCAATATTGAAAATAAAAATTCCTTTTTTAATCATCTACAATCTCCTAATTGCAGCTAACAACTACTCACACTTCACTAAACTAATCGACATTTTCCTCAGAGGTAAAAGAGAGCCAATTTCAGAAATCAGATGGGAATTGAAAGATCTAGTCAATCAAATTCATCGTGTAAACGAAGTAAAGGTGAGATTTTTTTTTACGGCGAGAAGCAGAGATTCTTTAGCGGAAAGGCGCTCCATTTCTCTGGCGTAGACCAAAGGAGAACCCTGAGCTGTTTCCTGCACCATTGCTCTTAAAACCATTCTCCGGCACGAACTCCTCCTCCAACCCTTTACCATCGGAACAACGACGGAAACCCTCGACGGTGGCACTGAGCTTGTGAAGCTCAATCGAACCGCAGACGATCCAGAAACCGATCCGTGTACCAACGCCATCGAAGAAGAAGGCCAAAGATTGGGAATTTTTGCAAGTGAAACCTCAGCAAATGAGAGTAGTAGGTAGGAGTTTCTCTCTTCTGCTAGTAACTTTAACCGTTAGCCTTATTTTCTGGTTGAACCGGTCGGTTTCCGGTTTAAATAAATCCCTTTTTAGTTTTTACTCTCGATTGGATAGAGAGGAAGAAGACATACACACTCGAAAACTGCCAAAGTGAAAAAACTTTTTGTAGCCAAAGTTTGGGTAGAATGCATAGTTTCCCTTCGTTTGCAATCCACAGGAAGGATTGTTGTGAAAAAGATCTTAATACTCGAATCAGTTTTAGAGAAAAATATCCATAATTAACTGTCACCGAGGTGAGTAAAGTGATGATACAAACGCAAGTTTAACAACGCTGATTTACTCTACAACATGATTGTCAAGTTTCCATCGGTTTAGAGTTTGTGTTATGAGGTGTTATGAGGTATACAGTTTGTGTGTTTGCTTATGTCATTATGTGTCATAATTTTTATTGGTGACAAACTTATGTTTTTATATAAAAGGATGTTTAAATAATAAATAGTTAATCACAATTTTTACAGCCGCTACGTATTTTTTAGAGTTACAAATATGAAATGTAATAGGAATAAATAAAACACGTTCAAGAAAAGAGCTATAGGCGATTACCGATTAGTGGAAGTCGAGTAAAGAGCAGTTGAAAAACTAACTAACTACATAACTTAAGAATGAAATAAGAAATAAACTAATAACACATGATTTTAAGTTTCTGGATCTTATAAAAGGCAATTTTACACGCTTTCTTTCATCAGTCTCATTCCGCAACGGATTGAGGATGATTCTCCACCGTCATCTCTAAGATGCTTTCTACGGGTGACGTATTAGGTAATACAATGTACAAATTTAGGGATGATAATCACTTCTTTTTATGAACTTTGAGATGTTAGTTGTTGTTACACTTTGTTAGTTAGGAGATGAGAAAATTGTTTCGGAAACACGTTCTTCAACTTTACCAGAAATCACTAGAATGCTGGATTTGGAGTTGTAAATTTGTAATGCGATCGGCTCTCTAGTGGAGGTTAAAACATATACGAGCTTCGTTTATTCTTGTTATGTACATTAATTGTTACTTTTGTTACTATATTTTCATGCGGACTCCATACTGGAACAAGAACTAATGATCAACGAGTGTTTAACTATCCGATAGAATAAATTTCGTTTCGAACTAAACCCGATTTAGAGTAAAATTTGTTAGCGGTTTACATTTTCTTATTTTAAAACTTTCCATAAAGCTTTCTTGCCTCCCAAGCTTCGCATCGCTTTCAATCCTAGGGAGGATTGTTGTGAATTTCTGAAAGAGTTCTGAGGAGTCGAATCATTTTTAGAGAAAAAAATCTAGAATTGTCACCGAGGTGAGCATTAAAGTGATGCAAACGTAAGTTGAACAACACTGTTTTACTCTAAACGTATATGCATGGTTTAGAATCGGTTTAACATCTTAGAACTGATTGTCTGATTTACATGGGTTTAGAGTTTCTTTTTACTCGATTGTGTATAAACGTTGTAACACTCATCTTCATACCCTTAACTAATGACGTATGTGCTCTATGTCTCTAAAGACTAAAGTTGAGTTGCACTCTAATGTAATAGCTTTAACATAAACACAAGGTCTTTGTGACTAGGATAATAAACGATAAACGCACAATAGTATATGCATTGCGATCTCTCTGTTCCAGGTCGAGTCTATCAATGTCTCAAATGAGCAAACAGCTAAGCAAGCACTTATGGCCTTTAGAGGACAATACCTTTATATTTGATGACTGAATGAGCTGTTACATTCTCTGGGAATTATCTCCCGGTTTAGGAAATTTAACCGTATTGTTCTTTGTCTCTGGGTCGGTCTAGGAGACTCAGTTGGCTCTGGCTCTCCAAAAAATGGTAGGAGACGAGTTTCTCTTCAGGTTTGTTATTATCTTAACCGTTAGCCTTATTTTCTGATTGAACCGGTCGGTTTCCGGTTTAAATAAATCCCTTCTACTCTCAATCGGAGGATTAGAGGAAGAAGAAGACACTCGATAAGTGGCCAAAGCTGAAAACTTTTTCTCAATCTCTCTCTCTCTCTCTGCTCATTTCTGAGTTTTTTCCCGCCATGGAATCCATGGAAATCGACTCCGAGAAGACTCACCAACGGAAGCAATCCGATTACAGTTACCTGGTTCGATTACCCATTTCTCTCTCTCCTCTATTTTACTTTGAGCGGAAGACTCTGTAAACCTTGTGTTGCCGACTCTTTCTACTTTTTGATTGCGCCGGCTAGGGTTTGTAATCTGATTCTGAGTGTCTTCTTCTTTGTTGTTCAATTGAAGCAGGATGAGAGATTCGAGATACAGAAGGAGATGTACAGAGGACAGCAATACAGTCAGATTTACTTTGCTCGTCTTCATCTCATGAGAACGCTTCTCTACTCTCTTGCCCCTACCTGGAAACCCCATTTGCCTGGTGAGAGCTTTGCTTAAACTCAATAAAGGAGAGAAATTTCCAGGAAATTAGTAATTTTTGGTTAGTTAAGGTTTTTGAATTACAGATCTGAGTTTGAAACTTCAAAGGTTAAATTTTTGTATGGTTGCAGTTTGTAAGGTTTTGGGACTTGAAGAAGGAAAAGAATGCATAATTGTAGGAACTTTGTTCAAAGACATGAAGCTTAAACCTTGCGTTCTTGATGAATATTCTAAAGAGGTTAGTGTTTTTACTTGATTGAATTGACAACTCAATTTTGCTGATTTATGTTGAAACACAATGCAGAGGTCAGTGACGCCGCTTGTTAAACCTCATAACTTTATGCACCCTGATGATAATCTGATCCTAGAAGACGAGAGTGGGAGAGTTCAACTTGGCGGCTCTGCACTCTCACCTGCGATATATGTGACTGGTATGCACATGTGCAGGGTCTCTTAAAAGATGTATTCTTTTGAGGAAATGGATGCTGAATGCACTAGAGAATTTTGTAGGTGTTGTTGTTGCATTACACGGGAAGGAAACTAGTGCTGGTGAGTTCTTGGTTGAAGATGTACTAGAAGCTGGTTTGCCACCTCAGATAGAGCGACCTTTTCATCTACGTAAGTCTGATTATGTTCTCTTCCTTTTGCTATTCTCATGTCTGTGGTTCTCTCATAGTACATCTACTGAATGTTGTCCTGCAGAGGAAGATAAGTACGTTGTGTTACTGTCGGGGCTGTGCATTGGGAGCAAACTGTCTAACCCTCTGCAGTTTCAGCTTCTTGTTGACCATATAACTGGACATCTCGGAGATGATGATGAGGTTATAAAGCTTTCAACTTTTCAGGTTCTTCCATATTTTTTGTTCCTTTAGTTTCTTTATGTATAGTTTTGTGTTGGTTGAACAGGAAATAGGCCTTGCAGCAGAGATAGTTCATGTGGTAATTGCTGGAAACTCTGTTGAGTTTCCTCGTAAACTCTTTAGTGGACATGTAAGCATAACTTTTCCCTGCTGATATTCTTCTCAGATACAGATTTAATTAATCATGCCTCATTCAGTTATGGTCTTTCTTGGTTGGTTTTGGCAGAACGTGGCCGCGAAAGATCAGTCAGCACTGTATGAGCCCATCAAAGAGCTTGATATCATGTTGAACCAGGTCAGTCAACCAGCTCCACATGTATGTAGATTGTAATCGATTCTATTGAGATGAAAATTGAATTTCTTGTTTTTTTTTGTCTGTGGACTGTTTTGTAGATAGCTGCAGGAGTTTCAGTAGATATCATGCCAGGCTTGAATGATCCAGCTAACTTTGCATTGCCTCAACAGGTTTGCAAATGCATAACTAAACACTCATAAAACGAACTCTGTATCGACAAAATCTGATCTATATGTCCCTTTTTTCTTTTGTTCAGCCTCTGAACAGATGCCTTTTCCCTGGATCAGCACCTTATAGCACCTTCAGATCATGTACAAATCCTCACTCATTCGATGTTGATAATATCAGGTATGGTTTACTATGTACACAAAAGATACAATCTCTCTGATTTTACTATGATGACGATAGTTGGCTGGAGATATATGACTAAAAACCTCTTGGGGTGTTTTGATGTTTTGAAGATTTCTTGGAACATCTGGTCAGAACGTTGATGACCTTGACAAGTACTCAGAGGCAGAAAGCAGGCTTGATTTTGTAGAAAGAACGCTGAGGTGGAGACATCTTGCTCCCACTGCACCTAATACACTCGGTAACAGAATTCACATTTTCCCCTGCAAATTTACGATTCTTGTTTTGGAGTCCATTGGTTTTGATTCACTGTCTTATATAGGTTGTTATCCATTCACGGATAGAGACCCTTTCTTGATCGAGACATGCCCTCATGTCTACTTCGTTGGGAATCAAGATAAATTTGACAGCCGTTTAATAAAGGGTACAACTTCCTTCCCTTGCGCAGATTCTTACATCAGAAGATACTTAATAGTAGTTTACTTTTGATCAAACACTGATTTTAAATATTTTCTTTGCCAAATTTGCTCCGAGTAGGCTCAGAAGGGCAAATGGTCCGGTTGATCTGCATTCCTAAGTTCTGTGAGACAGGGGTTGCTGTTGCGGTGAGTTTCAATCAAATTTTGAGCTCATTTTTCTGTCATAAATTTCTAATGGCTATTTATTACTACTATAATGTTATAATGACCACTCATGCTGTTTTATGCAGGTGAACATAAGGAATCTGGAATGTCATACTATTAGCTTTAGCACTCAGATCAATTAGTCACAAATTAAGTTTGCTTTTGCTACTTTGGTAGATTCTTCCTCCTCCTTCAAGATGTGTGCACTTGTAATCTTTTGAGCTTTTTCACTAAGCTCTAACCATATCTCATTTCTTAAGAAATAATTTATTTTATTTTAATTACGCTACCACTAACATATTCTCCTTCGGATATGTTGTCGTCATCTATATCTCTTTTACTTTTTTAATACAGTAAGTTAAAAAAAGGGCACGAGTTCACAGGAGTGGAATAAAAGGACAAAAAGGGCCGACCAGATAGTTGTCGTGGTCGTTGGTAAGAAGAACGTGAAAGACTGCACACAAAATCTTAAAAAAACAAAAAAGTAGACACAGAATCTCATGCAAAATTAAATAGCTCCTCTCTCTCTCTGTTTTTCTCAACGGCTATATTCACACTTATTACAAACCAAACCCGTTTCAGTATAAAATTAAATACTATAGTGGTAACCTCAACAGCGCATTATATTCTCCATTATCCTCCAACGGTCCATTTCTTGAACCTTTTCCTTTATAACTCCCAAATTACTTCATCTCTTTCCCTTTTTTCTTCTCTCTCTCTCTCTCTCTCTCTCTCTCTCTCTCTCTCTCTTTGTCACTCTCTCTCGATGGATCTTGTTGTTTACACAGAGGATAATTCGACCAAAATCCAGCATGTGAATCGGAAATCCTCCGACGAACTGCTCCGGAAGTTCGCTGACCCTGACGTCGACTACTCAAAGTCAACGAAGCGCCGGAGGAAATCAGACTCTTCGAACTCTAGAGAGACCAGCGTTGACATGGAAAGTAACAACGCTATTGGCATGGTGGAGAGGAAACGGCTCTTGCTTGCTCCGGCGAGTAAACGGCGTTCTCTGTTTCTCCGTCAGCTTGCTACCGGAAAATCACATCTTAGGAACAAGTCTCTCGTCAGAACTATCGGCAAGGTAATAACAACAATCAAAGTTCCCTTTAAAATCTCCGTTGGTTTCATTCTTAAATACCATTTTTCACTTATGATCTATCTGCTTCAATTGATTAGACATGGCGTAAAACAATGGAAGGAGCATCTAGAGTTTTCATCGAGAAGCATTATAACAGACACAGACGTCTCATTAACGACGTCGTTTAAGCTTCTGCAACTTTGTTCTCCTGTTTTTTTTTTTTTTTTTTTTTAATTCGTTGATCTTTTCTTGTATTCTTTAACTAGAATCTTCAACGAAAAAATCTCAGTATTAATCTACATTCGTTTGTACTATTATTCGTTTTATAATTTTACATGATCTTCTTCGTCTTGGTGTTTTTTTTAAAAGAAAAATTCTACCATAAAATATTTAAAGATGTGACCTATAGCAAAACCATTTGGAACTCAAACCAATAGCAATAAAAATGGGAACGAAAAACAAGATATTCGTTCTCGGGAAATAAAGACAAATACTGTATGGAATAAAGAAGGTACCATGCTTACTCTCACAGTCTCACTCTCTCAGCCACTGGAGTACTAAAACACTAAAAGAAAACAATATCACCTATTTTTGAGCAAAAGTAACGTAAAACAAGAAATGTATAAAAGTAAAAGTATAAGTAATGTATAAAATGATAAAAATGTAAAGCAAAACAAAAAAAATGAATAAAAAACTCAGAAACCATTATTTGGTTGTTCAACAGTAAAATTCAGAAACAAAGATTTAAAATAGAGTGAAAAGAGAGTTTAAAGGCTCAACTTTCATAAACTAATAGAAAAATGAGCATATATTTAGAGTCCCGAATAATTTCTTTTTAATCAGAATCCATATTTTTAAATATCGCACAGGGACACAAACTTGAGGAAAAAACACAACATAATTAATATTCCTCAAAACCAATTCATATTTAGCAAAGCAAAACACTAAAGAAGAAAGCACCAAGAACGGTCATCACCAGATTCACCCCGATCTATATATATATGCTTTACAAACATAGACAAACTTAGAAAAGTTTTTAAAATAAGAAAACTTAAAAGCATTTCCTGTGAACAATCGCCGCTCCATGTTCCTCATACTCATCCTTAGTTATCCATTTCTGCATACATACATAAACCACAACGTTACATTATAACAACCAAAATAAAACTCGCACTAAACTTGATAAAAACCATATTATATATACGTATTATTTTACCTGATGAAAAGAGCTGAGAGAAGCCAAAATGGAGCCTCCCACCCAAACACTATACTTCCTTTCCGCAGGAGTCACAACTTTAACCTTCATACTAGCCGGTGCAAGCGCTGTAATCTCTTTTGTCATCCTATAACCAATCCCTTCGAACATTGTCGAACCACCACTCATCACAATGTTTCCATAGAGATCCTTCCTTACATCCACATCACACCTCATGATCGAGTTGTAAGTCGTCCGGTGAATACCGGGAGACTCCTTCCCGATCAAAGACGGCTGGTAAAGAACCTCAGGGCACCTGAATCTCTGGTCTCCTATCGTAATCACTTGCCCATCGGGAAGCTCGTAGGTTTTCTCGATTGCCGAGCTACTACTAGCAATCTGCGATTCTTGGTCGTAGTCGAGAGCTACGTAGCATAGTTTCTCTTTCATGTCTCGGACGATCTCTTGTTCGGCTGTTGTTGTAAATGTGTATCCACGTTCCATGAGGAGTTTCATGAGGTGTTCGGTTAGGTCACGGCCTGCTAGGTCTAGACGCAAGATCGCGTGTGGGAGGGCGTAACCTTCGTAGATTGGAACTGTGTGGCTTACACCATCTCCTGAATCCAACACAATTCCTAAACAAGCACAAAATCAACAGATTAACAACTCATCAATTCTTCCAAACATAACTTCTTTTTTGTTCTAAGTATCAGTATGAAAAAAAAAAGACCAACAAAATCATCAGATTTTTTTATAAAATATTTATGCAAAATGCAAACGCAAAGGCCAAAATCGAGAAGAAAAGCTTCCATTATGTTTTCGTTTGACATTTATGTGTATTAGAATTTAGAAACAACAAAGGAATTTCTTAACAACAAAATCATTTCTGTTCTTTAAATAAAACATATGAATGTATACACTAACACAAACTAACAAGATCCCATATCTATGAATTCTCGTTGCCGAGCTAATTTGAGATATTAGCTAGTCATATTATATTCAGTAATTTTTTTTAAAAAGGTTTCACTAAAGCCCTCTTTGTCATATTGTAAAAAAAAATAATTGCTACTTTCAAAGATTTCACTAAAGCCCTCTTAATATAATTAAATTTGTATGGTTTTTTTTTTTTTTTTTTTTTTTTTAATGCTAAGATTAAAGTTGTATGGTTAGTCCTATGCTGTTTCTGCCTGAAAATTATCAAAATTTTATATCTCTAACATATACATTATTGAACTTAAAATGTTGCGCTTACCAGTTGTACGACCAGAGGCAAAGAGAGAGAGAACGGCCTGAATGGCGACGTACATAGCTGGAACACCAAAGCTCTCAAACATGATCTGAGTCATCTTCTCGCGATTGGCTTTTGGGTTAAGAGGAGCTTCGGTGAGAAGCACGGGGTGTTCTTCAGGAGCCACACGCAGCTCGTTGGAGAAAGTATGGTCCCAAATCATCTCCATGTCATCCCAATTGCTAACGATACCGTGCTCGATTGGGTATTTAAGTGTTAGCATACCTCTCTTGGCTTGAGCTTCGTCTCCCACAAAGCAATCCTTCTGACCCATTCCAAACATCACTTCCTCGTGTCTGGGACGACCCACAATGCTTGGAAACACACATGTTGGGGCATCACCTCCAGCATATCCCGCCTTTAAATCAAAACGTTTTACCAATCGTTACACTATATAGGATGCGTTCTTGTTTTGTTTGCTTTCTGTTTATTTTTCTAAATTAATTCACAACCGGAAGTGTTTTAAGGAAGACGAAAATGTTACCTTGACCATTCCAGTTCCATTGTCACACACGATAGCGTCCACGTCACCCTCTCCATAATCCGACATAATCTATTATGTAAACATATATATTAATATTGTTTCAACAAATTTTCCAAACAACATATCGTCGATAAGAAGTTCATTAACCTAGCAAAACTGTAAAAACCAAAATCAAATCACATAATATTTGGGAAAGAAGCAGAGACCGTATACAGGGATCACAGAGGAACAATATGTAGTTATCTTACTTTCAAAGATGGTTTCTCTCTTTCTTCTTCTTCTCCAAGAATGCGTTTGTCAAAAATCTTACCGCCTTGTCTCGTTTATAAAGGCCATGCAATGAGACGCGTGGGGCCCACACACTGGTTAGTTTACCTCTTTTTGCAACAAAAGTGAATCTTCAAATCTTTATTACTGAATATAACCTATATTCTCTACTTTATAATATGTATCACTTACCATACGAATACTAAATTAACTTGTAATCTTTTTAAAACATTATCCATTTAACCCAAAATAACTTTATAGCATATCTTGTTTTGAATGATGTGACATGTGGTGGAATCTGGAAACCATAAAAAACCATGTATATTGTGATAGTTTGTTTTCTATTTTTTTCTCTATTAATATTTTTTAATATAATGAACTTATTATTGATAATTTTAAATTAATTAACTTAGTAGATTTCTAGTTTTATGCATATACAATATCTGAAATGTTTAAATATATCTTTTGAACATGATCAATGGTTTATGTGATTAACAAACATGTCAAAATATGGAATAATTAAATTAATTGTTTCAAATTTCATACATTTACAGTATATGCAATATTTGATAATTTCAATCTAACTCTATCTCTTGATTAATGATTTAAAAACATTAATGATATAAGATAATTTAATCTATAATAAAAGAAAATGATAAATTAAAACATTTGTTAAAAAGACAACTCATACTGTATTTAGTAGTATAAAACTGAATACACATCTATCATGAATATATGTGATGTGTAAAATAATTATAACTCACCAAATTGCAATATGTATATGTTATAATTAGATTTAAGATGTGACAATGTAAATTAATCTAAATTTTCATATTCTTATTTATGATTTTTTCAGATTTTCTCATTGCGATAGACAAAAATATGTAAGGAGATAAAAAGATTAAATATTATTTACTAGTGATGCAACAGTAGAAGAAAAACAGAAAATTATCGAAACATTTTCACATACAATAGGTCCATCTAATGTTCCAATTTATAATCTAAAATGAATTTTTAACAATTTTTTTTTTCACACATAAAACCGTATTGGAATTCAAACGGTCAAACCAATGACAAGAATACAATAGTTTTATAGGTTTCAAACATGATATTTTTCATCTTCTCGTGAGTCGTGATTGGCATTTGGGTTTAGAGGAGTTTATGTGAGATTGAGAAGCACAGCTGCACAGGTAACGACACTATGCTCGCTCGATTTGGTGTCGAAGACTAAGAATATCTCTCTTGGCTTGAGCTTCGTCTCCCACAAAGTATTCCTTTTGAACCATTCCAACCATCACTCCCCTGTGTTGAGGACGACCCGCGATGTTTGGAAACACAGCTCTTGGTGCATCATCTCCAGCAAATCCCGCCGATAAAATGTTTCACCAATCATTAGATGTGCTATCTTGATTGTTTGTTTGCTACTCGTATATTTATCAATGTTCAAAAGTAACTTATGATTTCTTTTTATTTTATCAGCTAAATGTGATCAGAAAACATTTTCGTTTGGACCTTACAAAATATATTATCAAAACAATATAATCGTAATAAAAAAGGTTATAATGAGCCAAGAATTTTTGTCATTTGACGAATCCACAAGTCAACCAGCAAGTGGACTTATACCTTTTTTGTGTGAGTAAAACTAATGTAAAACAAGAGAGATTTATCACTCTTATCTAAGTAAAATTCATGTAAAATAAGAAAAGAAAATATGAATTTTTTCTGAGTAAAACTAATGTTAAAAATGGTAAAAATGCAAAAAGGAAATCATAGAATAACAATAATATTTTTGGTTTGTTCAATAATCAAACTCAGAAACTACTACACCAACATAAAGTTATAGAATCAAATAATATAAATCCCTCACAACAATATATTTCACCAACGAACGCTCATCATCAGAATGAATCTCTCTATTTAGAAGCATTTGAGGTGAACAATACTCGCTCCACTTTCTCCATACTCAGCTTTCCTTATCCGCGTCTGCAATATATTCACATCATATAACAACCCCAAAAAACTCACATAATTAGAGTTTTAAATTTAACCTTTATATTAGCAGGTGCAAGCGCAGTGATCTCTTTACCTTCTGAATTCTGATGTATCCTGCTTGGTCTGGCACTTTCTTCTCTCTTCTTTTCCCGAAGATATATGGTTAAGTTATTGGATAGAAGGCATAAATGTTACAAAATACATGTATGTTGGCATGGGAGAATTTTGAGTAAACAACGTTTGATAGTGAATATAAAATGCTAAACTAGAGAAATTTCACTAATTTGTTAGACATATTGAAATGGTTTTTTTATATATAAATAAATTGGCATGTAACCTATAAGTTTAAAATGTTCGTAAAACATGTGTGTATATAGTTGGTACGTCAAAGGATGTCAAAGTTACACCTCTACATAACAGTGGTATACATTTGTGGACTTTCCATCAATAATTTCTCAAAGAAACTAAAGATTTTAGATTTCATCCTCAAGATAAGCAACATCCAGGCAATAAACAGCAGTCACATACTGATATTTCTCTAGTCTAAAGATACCAGATACCAATCAAGAGTTAGTATCATCTTCTTTTAGATATTTTATTGTATACACAAGACTTCAACGGACAAAAGGTCTTCGCTTTATTATTTATCTCACACTTGTTCTTCACTCTGTTTTCTTTTTTAAAGTCACTGTGAAGATAATCACGTGAACTTATCAGTGTTTGAAATTCGTGTTATGATTGATTGAACAATCGATGCCATCAATTGATGCAGTTGCTCTCTTAACATTTTGATACAGAATTTACCAAGTGCGCATCTTCAAGCAAGCAAATATCAATAGTTCGTTTTCATATGCACAACGTGGGCTTCCCTGAGGTTGGCCCAATGGTAAAACTATCCCCAAGCAGTAAAAATATTGCAAGCTTTTTAAGCTAAGTTAGAGTGTTGTAAAAAGAAATCATACAATCCATACGTGACAATGACCATAAATGTTAACATTTCCAATAGTGTTCACCAACAAAAAAAAAAAAAAAAAAAAAAGAGTAAACATCTCTACTTCTCTAGTTTTCTTTAGTTAATGTTCCTTAATCGAAAAATGTGAAATTTCCAAATTATACCTGCGAGTTGCTCACAGAAAATGTAAACTAAGTGTCCGCAATACATCTATATATAAGTTCAATTGTACGCTATAAGAAGAAGAAGAAGAAGAACAAAAACCCTAGAGAGATTAACGTTTTGGTAGTGTGTTGAAGAAGAAGATGCCTAAAGAAATCGTCGCTGGATATGTGGTGGGTGGCCTCGGCCTGATTATGCTCGTGATTGTTGGTATCCGTTGGCTTCTTAAATCTTGTGAAGCTACTGATGCGTAGCTTTAACCACCATGTTACCAACTATGGCTTTTTTTTTTTGGTCTTACCTATAGAATTGCAGACTTGAGTCTGCAATATTCATCGTTATTCCGTTATTTCATGATAATGTAATCTTTATTCTACAAATTTAATTTAATTGATATTTCAGCCATGATTTTATCATATATTGCGGTGTTTTTTTCTTTGATTAAACGAGTAATATATATCCATCCTATCACCAACCCAACTTATGAGAAATCGCAAAACAACACTGGTTCGTTATACATATTCTTTCTTTCTTCGAAAGCTTAAGACGATCGAGTACACAGTTGCATGTACAACACTCCTTTACACCAAAGAGTCTTTGGTCAACCTAAAACGCGTTTTAACACTCATTGAATCGTAATTATAAGCTCATCATAAAAACTTATTGAATCGTAATTATAAGCTCATCATAAAACGCGTGTTAACACTCATGTTTAAACTCTAGCTAGCTATCCCGAAGACATACAGTACTTGAAAGTTAAAAGATCCTGGTCGGAAACCGAACTATTAATTATAGGCATAGCCAAAAGAAAGGAAAAGAAACACAAAATCAATCGAATATTCTAATTTCCAAGTGGTTTCACTCAATTTACGGTGATATCAGCTTTTTTTACTCGTGAGGCTCAGAAAATAAACAGTAAAAAAAACAAAAACGGAATGTAATTTTTTTCATCCGCTTAAATGTTTATTTTTTTACCGGCGGTAAAATTTTAATTGCCAGCGACGACGAGTATGCCCTATCGCAGATCGACCAACTGAGTCAAGCCCGAGTCACATCGGCTTTTTGGTTTTGCAAAATCGGCGAAAGACGCAATCTTTTTCTTCTCCCCGATCTCACAGAGATGAACGCCGTCATTAGAGCAGCGATTCTCAGAACACAAAGCTATTCTTCTTCTTCTCACCTGAAAACCGCGTTTTTTCATTCTACTCCCGTCTTGGAACGCAAACGTCGCACTTCCTGGGATTCGGTCAGTCTCTCTAAAAAATTCGATTTTTGTGTTGACCCTCCAGCTAAATCTCCGTGCTTTGGCTTCTCTTTCGATTCATGGATATCATTTTCCGTTTGTTTTTGTGTTGTTCTTTAACCGGGCTTATCTAGATAGCAGAATTGCATCGGTGACCATGTTCTTGGCTTGCGGACAAAAAAAATGTTGCGACTTTGAGATGTTTTCTTGTCTAAATTTCGACCATTTCTCAGTGTTTTAGAGTTTGAACTGGTGGATGGATATATATCTTCTGATTTTCGGTTTTACCAATCTGCAGAAAACAAATGTTCACAAGAAGAGGTTCAGAAGAATGAGGGAAAAGCAAGAATTGTTGCGAGATGTTAATTCTTTTGCAGCAAACATGTTTACGGTATTATCTCCTCTATTGCTATTGTTGCGAAATGTGAATCTGGAGCTATTGAAAGGGAAATGCAAAGTGTGTTGTCTCAGTTTTTCATCTCTTTGTGCATGACTCTTAGTGTTTCTTATTGCTCTTTCTTTAAAGTTGCATCTGTTTACGCCATTTTGGGATTTTTAATTGTAGTTAACATTTTGTTGATTCCAGAGTTGGCATGATGAGTTTGATTATGAAGATCCCTCCTCCCGGAAGAAGACCTCTTGGTTCAAGAAACAGTACGCCAAGGAACCTAATGGAAACCGGAATGGCAAATACGGCTCTCAGAATTGGGGTAAAAGTAAGAGACTTTCTTAGCTCTGTTTCAGTTTCAATGACTACACTATGTAGGAAAAAATCTCTAGGCGTGTTAGTTTACTCACTGTTTCTACAATCCAAGATTTTAAGCCATTGATGCTAATGCTAGAGATTGTAAGTAAAAAGGCAGTCCAATGAATTTTTGTATGTGTTGTTTGTTGGCTTCAATCAAACGCATTTTAGATTCTTGTAAAGCTTACATTTCAGTGTCTTGTAGCAGAGCAATTTTGTTTGGCTACATACCTCGTATGAATACATTTGTTATCTTGTTTGTGTAGGGCGTTTCGAATTTTGTGAAGCTGATGAGGACTTTGACATGGACTATGTATTCCGGACTGCTTTTGGTGGTAACAGAGGATTCTCTTTTTCATTCACACATGAAGAGGATGAGCCTCGATGGCAGCATCATCGCTCATCGAGGTTTTCCAAAAGCTCCAAGAGGTCTTGGAGATCGAGATATGATGAAGAAGATGAAGACGAAGAAGATGGGTATACTTCAACGGAATCTAGCGACTCTGAGTCTGAGCCAAACCAAGCTTCTCATAGACAAGCACTTGGCCTGAGTCCTTCTGGTCCTTTAAACCTTAAAGATGTCAAACATGCGTGAGTAGTTTCACACTTCATCATGTCAAAGCACAAAAAGTTAACCATACATTCTTTCTTCTCACCAGTCACCACTTAACATCAACTTCCTTTTTGTTTTGTGTATCACAGATATCGGATTTGTGCATTAAAATGGCATCCAGATCGTCATCAAGGCTCTACAAAGGTAACTAATAAGATCTCCACATCTCTGTTCCATCTCTCTATGATAAGTTTTGTTATTTACCTGTGTTTTTTAACCTGTGGTTATATGGATAACAGGAGGCGGCTGAAGCAAAGTTCAAGCTCTGCAGTGTGGCTTATCAATCTTTATGTGAAAAGCTAGCAGTGAACTAAGAAAGATAAAAAGAAAGAGTTAGATAGGTTTTGATTACTTGGAGTCACTCATATCCCTTTTAACAATAATTTCCAAATTGTTTCACTTAAAAAACTTACCTCAAAGCAATCCACTACAAGATCCAAGCAAATGCCTTTGTTCTGTTTTTCTTCTAAATTTACAAGTGATGTGTGTAGTTACTATTTAGAACTCGCTCTTGCTTTTTGCATTGTCTCTGATTTGTCTTTGAACCTGTTATATTTGGTCATACTGAATCATATGTCGTAGCCATTACAAATATGAATGAAATAACGATATAGCAGTTATAAACCTTTTTACATTGTAAAGTTTAGATTTCCAGTACATTAGAATATGGAAGTATGAATTAAATGAACATTTTAAATAGACTTTAATGGAAAAAAACCCTCTAATCATGATTTGTGTGCTTGGAGAACAAGCAAAATTTGTGAGCAAAAACCCAAAAAAATTCCTTTTTCTACTTCTTTTACAAAAACAAAAAACAAAAATATTCTTCTTTTTTTTGTTCTTCTCCTACTAACTGAGCTCAAGCCGATTAAGAGGCAATGCTGTGTTGTACTACTCTCTGAGAGATCTAACAGAGATGAACGCCGCTTTTAAAACGGCGATTTCCAGACCGCAGAGCTATTTTTCTCAGCTGAAAACCGCGTTATTACACTCTACTCCCGTTTTGGAACGCAAACGCCGTTCCTCGTCTTCGGGTGGTCCTTGCTCTAGTTCCGTGGGTATACCTAAATCATTGTCATAGATTTTTAAGACAGAGTGAAGAAAGAAAACTGTGTTTATAGAGAGTTGAAGAAGTCTGTGTATACATCTTCTGATTTTTTTTAGTGTTTTTATAAATTTATGGCAGAAATCAAATTCTAACAAGAAGAAGAAAACGAAGAAGTTCTTGAAGGAACATCAAGAAAAAATACGTCGCGCTGTGGAAGAACTTAAACGCGAAAGAGAAGAGGTACATGAGAATAATATGATTGTAAAAAAAAAAATCAAGAAACAATTTTAGCTCTAGACTTTAGTGTAATGTTACTAAGTGTTATCTTATAATGCTCTTGGTGTAATTAACATTAGGCTGCAAGAAAAGCCAAAGAAGAAGAGAGTAATAGGAAACAAGGCTTCAAGAGCACGCGTAAAAGTAAGTGCTTTTATCTGTTTGGAGAATGTTTATGTTGTTGCTTTGTTGAATCAGAAAGTGGAATTTTGTTTTTGGATATACAATTACTAGTCAATGATTATAAACATGTGTTTTATTTTGCAGACCGGCAAATGGGTTACGACGACAAAGAATTTGATTTTGTATTCAGATCTTTGTTTGGTGTGTCCAAAGGTTTCGAATATTCAACATGTGAAGAGGAGGAACGTAGTTGGTGGTATAATCCTTCATGGTATTCTAGTTACTCTGGGGACTCTTGGAGATCCAAATATCGGTTTTATGACAAAGAAGAAGAGGAAGAAGAAGAAGATGAAGAACAAGAACAAGAACAAGAACAAGAACAAGAAAAGAGAGAAGAACAAAAGAAAGAAGAAGATAGTTATAGTTCAAGAACATCTAGAGACTCAGTGCCTGACCCAATCCAGTCTTCTCATAGACGAACACTTGGTCTTAGTACTTGGGGTCCATTAAAACTTGAAGATGTCAAACATGCGTTAGTACTTTATTTAACTTTATGTTCAAACTTCAAACACACATACATTATTCATCTAATTCCTCATCAAAATTAACTTGTTTTTTGTTTTTTGGAATATCAGATATCGAACTTGTGCATTAAAATGGCATCCAGATAAACATGATGACTCTACCAAGGTGTCCTCTCTTTTCAATCTCCATCTAAGTTTTTATTTTTTTCTTGTGTTAATAAATTGAAACTATAACAGGTGGAGGCTGAAGCAAAGTTCAAGCTCTGCACTGTGGCTTATCAATCTTTACTCGAAAAGCTACAATCAACTCAAAACATTTGAAGGCAGAGGAGGCTGATTAGATTAAGTATGTTTTTAATCTTTGATTACTTAGAGGTTTCTTATAACCAAAATGTTCTGATTATGAGTATATGACTTTATCACTGATCAAGCAATGTACTACAGGATCCAAACAATGCTATATGTGTACTATTTTGCTATATCAATTTTTAGTAGTACCTTGCTATATCATGTATCTGTGATTCTGTGTCTGCTTTTGTCACTGAACCGGTTAAAATGGGGCAGAGTGTGTCACATTAAACCGGTTTTCTGGTCTTAAACAAGCGAAAACCAATAATTTCATTCAACAAATCATATCTGATCTCTCTCTCTCTCCTCAAATGTCAAAATTTTCGGAGGAAATTGATTGGCCAGCGAGGGGATAACAGTCGTCGACGCCGGGAATTGAAGAAAATTCCGGTGAAACGCCGCCGTGCGTATAATGCTCAAAGCCGTACAGATCTTGGGTTGGTCATCAGGGTTAACCATCTCACAGAGATTGACCAAGACCCGAAAGTCCTCCTCCTCGAGCGTCTCTCTCAATCTCTCCACTTTCTCCTCTCTCACTCCGAGCTCTCCTCCTCGGAGAATCCTCTGTTTCACCTCGACCCGAATGTCTTCCTCAAAACCCGGGTCCGACCCGGTTCCAAATTCTCCTACTTTCGTCTCTGTTCAATCAGCTGTGAGTCAATTAATCATCTCTTAGAAAGTTAGGCTCTTTTGGTCTCTTCTTCCATGGTGGTTTCTTGTTGCTGTTTCAGGGCGATGTTCGAAAGATAAAGTTCTGTCAATGGTGTGGAGGGCCAACGAAGCACGAGATACCTGACGGAGAAGAGAAGCTAAGAGCTATTTGCACACATTGCGACAAAATCGCTTACCAGAATCCCAAAATGGTATAGTTTTGATCCTACAAACAAAAGTTTGCTTTTTTTGTGTCATCATGAATGTTTGATTATAAGGCTCCTATGGTGAAATTACAGGTTGTTGGTTGTCTAATCGAGCATGAAGAAAAGGTTTTGCTTTGCAAGCGTAACATTCAACCTTCACACGGTCTATGGTATGAATACAAATACAAAGTTTAAACCTTTTCTTCTTCACGTTTTGAGAACAAGCTCTGTTTTGAGAAATGTTAAAAAGGTTGGATCTTTTTGAGAACACAGGACTCTTCCCGCTGGTTATCTAGAAGTTGGGGAGTCAGCAGCAGAAGGAGCAATGAGGGAGACTTGGGAAGAAGCAGGAGCTACTGTGGAAGTTGTTTCGCCTTTTGCGCAGCTTGATATTCCTCTTATTGGCCAAGTATACATACTAAAACATCTCTGCTTTTCTTTTTCTTTCTTCTTCATTTCATTGTGCTTATGTTATGTATGTCTACTTGTTTTTTTGGGAGCAGACGTATGTTATTTTCTTAGCAAAACTGAAGGACCTTCATTTCGCGCCTGGTCCTGAGTCACTGGAGTGTCGTCTTTTTGCATTAGACGAGATACCTTTTGATTCCTTGGCTTTTTCGTCTATATATGTTACCTTAAACTTGGTAAGTATATGGTGGACAATGAAAAGTCTCCAGTTTGTAGTCAGTAGATTTCTGAAAAACATGTTTGGTTTTTGCTTTTGCAGTACTTGGAAGATCTGAAGAATGGGAAACTGAAGTTTCACTATGGTACGATAAATAAAAGGTGCGTTCTGTGTGGACTGTGGTCTGTGGAGTGATTGTTGAGACTTGAGAGATAGTATTAGTTCAGATATGGTTTAATGTGACTGATTATGTGGTTTCTTGTTTCTCAGGCCTGGAAGTAGTCCTTCAGATATACGTGCCTTTACTCTTGATTACCATTTGCAGCATTGACTCGAGGTTTGACATTCCCTATCCTCTACAGATTTGCAGTGCTTTAGTGAAATTATTATGATTGGAGCTAATATTACAGATCTTTTCTCCAACAGCTTACAGAAGCAGCTTCCTGGATCTGCTTGTTACGGCTGAACAAAGTGTTTTTTGGTTTTGGTTTTAGTTGCCAAGTTGTAAGAGGAAAAATTTCAGATGTGAATGCAAAAACATTTTGATCAATCTTTGTGTATAATTAGTCACCATGTTACTGTTATTACAAAGGTTCAGAGAAAGAAAAAGAAAGGATTTTTATTCAAACCAAAGCACTTGAGAGAACACAAGAACAGAGACATAAGAACATGTAAATGCATCAAATCAAATAACAAACACAGAAGCAGCACAAACGATACTTCAAACGAAAGAGCTTAGATTGAAGGAACCAATCATGTTTGCGAGAGCAGAACTCATATCAAGCTCAAGCTGAAGCTGCTGAAGTTCAAGCTGTTGCCTTAGAGCTTGATCTTCCACTTGCTCTGTTACTGCAGCTGCTTCTTGTTGCGTCTGCTCAGTCTCCGTCTTTCTTTCATCACTGGCCTCACACTTCTCAGCAGCAGAAGCAGCCACTGGCTCAGGCTTATTCACAGCACATGAAGCATGAACATGATAGTCACAAGCGTAACAGTTATAAGACCAAACCCTACCATCCATTACCACATTACAAAGATTGCAGACAAGCTGATTCGCGTAACCAAACTGAGTAAAAGACATAGCAGGAGGAGGAGGAGCACTGTTGTAGACAAGAAGAAGGCTATGGAGAGGATGAGAGTCATGAACCATGACCTGAGGCAAATGCGCGCATTGAACATGGAGGTCAAAGTCACACAAAGGACAACAGTAAGAGAAGCCTTTGCCTCCAACGCAGCCACAGGCTCTGCAGAGGAAGGTACCGGCGCTGTAAGTTGTGTAAGGGACTAGAGTCAAGTGGTGGAGACCCGCGTGGGAAGGATGTTGCATCCCACGCGCTGCGTTTCCACATTGCTCATGAAGATTGAAGTCACATGTTGAGCAGATGTATGCGGTTGTGGAATCAGAGATGTTTGATTCGCAGCCTGAGCAGGTTACTGGAGAATCATTTGTATGAATCTCTTGGAGTTTTAGAGTGTGTGGATGGCTGAAATGTTTGTACTCCATTTGATCACTTCTTGAAAAAAGTATCTCTCTTTGATTTAGCAAAATCTTGTGTCATTTGCGTGTTTGGATCATGCTTATAAGGTCTCTCTGACTTTGAATTGTTCCAAGGTTAAGTTTTTTTTTTTTTTTATTGATTGGTAATTTCGTTATTTTTAATGTGGAATTAGTAGTTTTTGGATAATGAAAATAACAGAAAGTTTGAAGGAATCAAGCGTTGAACTTTAGAAAGTCAACTAGTTGAGTTTTGACCAACGAAGTCGTCGTATCTCTTTAACTCTCTCGTTTGTATTACTCTCTTTTTAATTTTCTGCATGTATCTAATTATTGAGTGTAATCATTAGATTCCTACGAACCGCCAATAACAATTAATTAACGGCAATGATAGAGCATCAGTTACGTATTACTTATCTCAAATGTGTAGTCTGTAAGTAAAATGGTTAGTAGCTTAGTATTGTGCATAAGATTTTACTGTTGCTATAAAAATTTGCAAATTTCAAACAAAATAGAGAACTAGATTACTATAAGTAACAAACTTTATGTTGTGTTGTGGAGAACGTTTTCCTAACTAATTAAGGATAATGGTGATTTAAGCTAAAGTACTAGTAGTCTAAGAATTTGATGATAATACGAGAGGACCTACCCTATGGCCCTATCTATAAACTAGTTTATCCCACACCATACACAAAAAAAACGCAATTAATATCATTAACAAACAATCACAATACACCAACGTTATACCTACTTTCCAGCCCGTAATATTGTATTTTTTTTCAAATATGATTTGCGAGACATCACTACTCACGATAAATAAAAGAAATAGTGACATAACTTGACACTCATGATAAATAAAACAAATAGTAAACAATAACAAATCGTTTAGAAGTTAGAGCTGCTGCATGATTTCAAAAGAATCCAATTTTTTGCAAAGCTATCGATCGACTTAAGTTACTTTCTTTGGTTTCAGTCTCTTCCGAGCGGCTGAGAGCAAAAACTAATTATGTGCATCAATTTCTCAACAGTCATTGCTGAGGATTGGTGGTAATTTTATCTTTTATTTCCATAATAATTATCAAAACAGAAACTGCAAAGAACAAGGAAACAAATTCTAATATTTAGACCAAAAAACAAATCTCCACTCTCGACCAAGATCTTGTTGCACATGACACCAAGTACGTAATACAAGTATATTCTTCTACACTACTGAATGTCCTATTATATTTTGTACGTTTAATAATTTCTTCGGTATTTGAAAATTAAAACAGCTTCTAGACCACTTAATTAAGAAAACCTGATAAGAAATGTACTTATAAGTTAAAGTAAAAGCAAAAAGGTTATGTCAGTGTTTAAACACGAAAGCCTTTAGGATCGTAAATTATATAGATGATTTATATTAAGTTGTATTCATCGTAAATCTAAATTAATTTTATGAAAACTTATAGTTAGGATCGTAAATTTATATTGAAATGTCTACAGTGTTAGTACTAATTACAGATATAATCAACTGTTTAAAACTGCAATGTATCATATTATATAAAAATCTGATGATCTTTTGCTTTGCTGTATTTAAACCCACATTGTATATCTCTCCCATTATTGGCCCGCCTTGCATGTAATTTCAATCCTTTCCCTTGCATTGTAACCTTTCTTTTTATCACATTTGGCTTAGGGTGCAACTATGACCCCCCAAAAAGAAGAAGCTTCGGGTGCAATTGTAACTAGTTTTGAAAATTGAAATATACAACTCATATCGCTGGTTTCATTAGTTTTGCACCACCTACATCGAACATCGAACATAGTGGAGAAAAACGATAGAGAAATTTTAATTTGATAAGAAGTTTTAAAACACCGATAAATAAGTGTGTTACAGTAAAGTTCTAGAAAACTAGATTGAATACTTGTAGTAATTTAAAACCTGAATGGAACGAAACTGAAACTAGGAAACATCCACAAATATCTACACACAAGATCAAGAGCAAACGCCAATAAGTCCACGATGGCACGATCAATCTAACCAAACACACATGTTCACACACCCAATACATAGAGCTATGTCACACAGGGACACACCATATACATAATACATATTCTTGTAAATGCTGATCAACAGACTTCCTTATCATAAGCAGCAAACTGATCAGTAGGTGCACTTATCTCACCCTGATCAGTAGCAACAACAACAACAGCATCAGCAACACCATTACTTGTGCTGGTCTGTCCAAGCAAACTACTTATTGAACGCGCCTTTACCATCCCAAGCTTCACTCTCTTCTTCTTCACTTCCACCACCGCCGCTGCCTTTTTCTGTCGGCGACCACCACCACTCTTGTTCGTGCTCCTTACCCTCCCTTTACCGAGATGATGCTCGCAAAGCGAATAACCGACAAGCGTTTGCTGACAACATCTCCATCCTCTACCGTTAACGCGGCTGCACCGCGATCCTTCCTCTAACGCACCGCTCTTTTTGGATTTCTTCTTCCCTTTATTACCACCACCGCCACCACTACCTGCTTCTTCTTCTTCCTCTTCCTCTCCATGTTCCTCAAAGCTTACAAAGCTTCTTCTCTTCCTCATAGTGACAGCAACCTTTTCTTTCTTCTCCACAACTATATATTTTAAACACATTCAAATGGTGAATGGTGCAACCAAAGAATATCACGACAAAAACAAGCTCAATGTGTACCTTGTGTTGAAGAGTCGGCTTCTCCTGCAGGATTTACGTTCTTGTTGAGACTGTTTGAAGCAAGAAGGAAGCAAAAAACTTAAACATAAAGAGATGAAAGCGATCTAGCTAAGAGTGCAAGAAGAAATAATACTAATAATAATTAGAGGACACAACACAAGGTAAGGGTCGATACATGGGGACCATTCGTATAAGAGTATCCCATGCTAACGTGCACCGTCATGAGGTGTGCATGTTTAGAGTATTATTGTGCTACTCATCGCTAACTACAAATGTTTACAGTGTGACAATAATGATGATATGATAAGTGAAAGACGATTACAACTTCCGGATTATTTAATTATCTGCAAACTATTTTTCACATATCTCAAAAGCTTTCTTCCTAGTTCTAAACACCATGAGAGTTTTAATTCTGATCCAGTTTGGTTTTTGGAACATAATTTATGTTTGTTTTGTCTAATTTCTAATTACACCACAGAGTTATATATATCAGAGAAGAGAAGCAATTCTAAATTTCTAATTGAGTAATTACACCACAATCTTTCTCGAATTCACTTACCTGCCCGATGCATCTGAACTGTTCTTGACGTCTACATCGCCATCACCATTTTCACCAACATCCTTTCAGAAAAACAAAAGAAAAACGAAGATGAGACCAATTTCAACATCACTTCTAAGATCTACAAATGAAGAACAATTATTCTCCGGTGTAACTTAATTTAACCAATTATTTCCACAAAACTCAAACTGCACCCAAAAATTCAATTATTTAATTTGTCGATTCCAGATAGTAAGAAATGAATTAGTTGTTTATAATTCGGTCTCTACGTATACTAAAACTCACCAGAGCTTTCTCCTCCTTCTTCTTCTTCTTCTTCTTCCTCACCGCATCTCTAGGAATCAACCGGTCAGAAATCGGCGACAGTGGCGGAAGCTGAAGAGAAGCAAGAACTCCGGCGGCGTCTCTAACTTCGCCGAGGAAGTATCCAGCGGTGGCGGCCGTCGGCGACCGGTTACAGTAGAGATCTGAGAGAGGAACAGGCAATAGAGACGAGAGAGGAAGAGGCACTTGTCGTTTCCGGATCCTCATCGGGAGAGAATTTAGAGAAGATTCTTCCCTTTTCTTTTGCTCTTTTGATTGTGTTTATCGAGATCTTTGCACCAAAGAGGCTACTGTAGATATAAAGAAGGAACAAAGAGTAATATCTTTTTTTTTTTTTTCACGGACTTGAAAAAAAAAAAAAGTAGAGAAGGCTTTGTGGTGTTGTGTAGTTCTACTTCTTGTTAATGCTCTAAACTCAAACTCTCTCTCTCTCCAACTTTTTAATTGTTGTTGCACCCAAAAAGCAAGTTATTAGTAAATTGATACAAGAAGAGTCCACGTAGGAATGAGATTAGTAGACCATTTTATATTTTTGTTTTTATACATGCATTTAAGTAGTATTTTTTTATAGGAATAATTTTCAATTTGGTAAAAAACAATGGCAATTGACAATATTTTTGAAAGCAAGGATGGATATTGATGATTCCACCATTAGGATTGGGTTTTCTTGAAACAGTAATTAAATACTTCAGTTTCATATTAGTTTTGTCGTTTTAGAAATATATTTGAATGTATTTCCAGTTAAATACATATATAAACTAACAATTAATTTGTAACAGAAGGAGTAGCAATAATTAACTATATATAGCCACAAACACAAGATATATTTTATATAATCATACATATCATGTTAAATTATAGCAGGTATGGAAATATTGGAGGAATTATTTGTTTGATTGTAGTTTTTTGAACCGTGAGTTACACATGTAAAATGTGATGATATATATTCATGTACATTGATATGAGAAAAATAAAGAACCAAAAATTATATTTTATAGAGTTATATGCATTTGAGTAGAAGTGGCTAAAACAATTTTAAAGATCTACGAAGCAATAAACACTGAAAATTAACGAGATTATACAGTTTAAAAAACATTGAACTTGAGATGAAATTGAGGTGTAATTTGCGTTGGGTTATATGTTGGGAGAAAAAAAAAGAGAATTATAGGAGGGAGGCACGTGGAGAGTAGATGGCGCACGTGCGGGGAAACCGGGAGAGAAGGTAACCGGTGACTCATCTCTTTCTTTCTCTCTCACTCATCGATGCCAGCTTGGACGAGAGAGAGAGGGAGTGGGTAGGGGTAGAAGTTTTATCCTATGCGTGGGTCCCTTTTACATCTTTCTCTTTCTCCTCTCATAACGGCCCCTTCATTTTTGGTTTCTTCCGTTTGCCACCCTTTTTCTTTTTCTTTCTCTTTTTCGCCACACCATCTCAGCATCTCTCGTAAGTCGTAAGTACAAAAGAGGGCGCAGAAAGTACTTCCAGCTGGAATATTTTTCTATTCACACTTTTATCACTGTCAAAAAGACAGATCAAGTTAAAATAACCAGATCACATTTACAACATGGGTCAACATTTGAATATACAAGTATACAACTCCCATCCCATGCATGTATAAGCATATTATGTATATCTTTGTTTGTCATGTTGAACCTGATAACATTTGTAAACATTAACAGAGAGGAATCATATCAATTTGTTTGATATTACAAAAGTTAGCAATAATAAGAAGCAGATGAACGACAATGTTGCATTTGCACCCCTCATAGAAATAGGTGGGACCGTGGGAATAGTCTGGCATGTCACGCATGACACATTAAGCCAAAAATCCACAAAACATTATTTTATTTTTTAGTTATTTATACATGTTTAGGATTAGAAAGAGTACGGCTTGGCGTCTTAACATGCACCTTGTTCATATATGTATTTTTTTTACATTTATGAATTTCTTGAAAATTTTGACAACGGATTTCAACTACTACGGTATTATTATTGTAAGCTTATTATAGTTTTATGCAAATTTGCATACATACACTCACTACAAGAAAACCATTTATTAGTGTCATTTATTTTGTATCATTTGTTAAAATGATGTTAACTTAAAAATTAATCAAATTAGAAAGTATCACTTATTCAAAATGACACTAAACCAAAAATAGTTATATCATTTGCAAACAAATGACACAAATAGTTAGCTGTTAGTATCATTAATCTATAAATGACACAAAAAACAGTTTTTAGTATCATTTATAAGAGTAAATGATGCTAAAAATCAGTATTTTCAGGATTTTTAAAAATCATTAAAAATGGTTTGACTTAAAAAGAACAAATTCCCAGTAAACAATAAAAGAAAAAAAAACCAGCTCTCTCTTAGCTTCGCGACGCTAGCTCGATCTCGATCTCCATCAAATCATCATCGCAGAGGTTGTCAATTGTTTCCGATCATCACCATCGCTGAACTCAGTACTCAGGTATCGCTGAACTTAGTACTTGCGATTTTGAGATTTTGAGATTTTGCTTGTGATTTTAGTCTAATTGCATGTTGAGTGATTTCGCTTGTGATTCTGGTCTCTACTTGTGAAATCGACCTCTATTTCGTGTTCTACTTGCTCGAATTGCTCTTCCTCTTAGTTATTGTTGAATCAGAGTTGGCGAAGTCGCAAAACGAGCCATCGAGTTCCATTAGGTGAATTTGTTTATGCAATTTCGATTTCGGGTGTATATGAGAAACTTCTCTTGATTCTTCTTCCTATTGTATTGTATTAACCTCTGAGAATTTAGGTAAATCGGTTCTCTTATCTCTTTATCATCCGCCATTGATATTTTTTATCTTCATCTCCGTTTCTCTTTTCTGTGTTTGGAATATGTGTATGAGAGTTGTTGATTCGGAGTTTATCTTATCAGATTTGTGGATTGCTATAGTTAGTATGAGTTATCTCTGAATTTTGTTTCACTGACGATCAGCTGATTACAAGAAAGTATTCACTGTTTTGTGTCAAATCGTGGGTTTGAAATTTCTGGATTTGAAATTGGTTTAGATCAAGCTGAGCTAGATAGAGTTTTGTTGTATTGACGATGCAGAATGAAAATGATATGGTGAAGGATGAAGCTGAAGTCGCTGCATCCATTTCGGCACTCGAAGGTGAAGAATGGGGATGTTGTTCATTGGAAGATGAACCATCTTTTCAAGAAGAAGATTCTGCGAAAGTTTCCTTTTGGTGACAAGGTTAGTGCAATTAAATTAAACTGAATGATCTTCTGTTTCCTACTTTCATATATAAGGCTTTTGTTTGTTTATTGAAACCCATATGAAAGAGTCATTTTGCTTTGTACTCTGTTGAAAGAAGTGGAGCTATTGTGTACGGTAACACAAAAGCATTATCTATGAGTTGCTTGGAATGTGATGTGGCTTCATTTCAATTTTTTAAAATGTTTGATTTCTGTGGAATATCTTACCAAAGTAGCAAACCTTTTTACTCTTTAAAACTCAAAACAATGGATGCTTTTGGCTCATCCTTGAGTTGGTATGAATCAAGTTGGTAGTCTTAGCTTCTTGATACTTGTAGTATTGGTATGTTACTTGATCGTTTCACCTGAAAAAATGTTGCTTGGTGTAGTGGTTCAAGTTTTGTTGTTTAATGATCTTTGCATTGTCACATTCTGATCATATCTTGATGTCATATCTTGATCACATTGCTTGGTGTATTGGTATGAAACTAAGTTTCACTTGATGGTTTGATGGTTTCGTATAAGATATTTGATGTTTATGATGCAATTTGCTCTTTATTTTGGCAGGTATGAGAATACAAGGAAGAAGATACAAATACACATTTATACATTTTACTACAAGTAAATTTGAGGTTGTATACATTTTGCTACAAGTAAATTTTAGTTTGATTACTATATAAGGATATTTTTATATATATATATATATTTTAATTCTAATCTCAATTTAGTATCATTTTTTAAGTGATACTAAATGTCATTTTTAGTATCATTTAAAAAAATGATACTAATCTCAATTTTAGTATCACTTAGAAAAATGATACTAAATGTCATTTTTAGTATCACTTGTAAATAAATGATACTAAGGTTTAATTTTAGTGTCATTTGTAAAAGTGATACTAAAAAAACTTAGTGTCATTGATTTTAGTGTCATTTTCTGAAATGATACAATAATTCTTGTATCATTTAAAAAATGATACTAAACTTAAAAAAAAATGACACTAAAAATTATGTTTCTTGTAGTGACTGAAGGAGACTAATTCGTTTATTGTCGACTTTTCAGATGAAAGGGGTACAAAACTCGTTTTCTACTGTTTTTGGTACTTTTGATGCACTGCTTAAACTGATGTTTGAATTGCTTCATGTGAATGTAACCTCTTGTTGATTGTACCGTACATGGATGCAAGTATGATCCATGCCCGTAAAGAGGTGATGTAGCTGGTGATTAGTAGTTTGGAGAGGAGTCTTGTAAAAGAGACAATGATGGCTCTGCCACGAGATGAAAGCATGGTTCGGTTCTTCCTTGTCATGAACAACATTTGAATGCTCTATATGTAAGATGATTGGATGAGGAGAGTTTGGTTGCATATTCATCATGCTGATTGCCCATAGAGGATGTTGTGGGTCTTGTATGTGGAGAGAGCTTGGTATTCATCCAAATATTGTTTTGACCAAATTTCAATTGTTACAGATAGACATAGCAATAAGATTTTTTGATTAAGAATTTAGCCAAATTTAGATTATTTTATTAAAGTAAATAAGAACACAATCACTATTACATTAGTATGCCCTCTTATAGTTATTTCATCATTTCATATGTTTAATTTTCAATTATGAAAACCAGTTAGCTCTATTTTGTATACTTGTCATTCAATTTTTATCCAAAAAAAATGAATCATATTTTTCCCATAAATAATTACTTTTGATTTCCAACTTTTAATTTGTTGGTAAGAAAACAAAATATATAAATAAATAAGCCAAAATTGCATAAGTATCTGGTCAAAGTGACAACCCAACTAATCCTGACCGTCCGGTAACGGCAAGGTGTCACCATCGCCGTGGAATATAGACGTCACGCCATTACTGTAAACCGGAGCACATATGATTGAGCCCTCCTCTCTCTTCTATCTGATTAAAAATATTTATTAGAGCCTCCGATTTGTTTACTATTGACAGGATTTGATCGAAAGACGGTGAATTCCGTTGACGAAATCGGAAGGTCCAAAGCTCTCGCTGACGACTTCTCAACAGTAAACCTCTCCGGAGCTGAATCGTCAGCCAATTCCCTTCATCTCTTAACCCATTTCCCGTCCATCGTTGATTGTTCAGCTTCTCATTCCGAAGCTCTCTTACGTTTGCCTCAATTTCGGAAATTTATACGGTAATTTCATTGTCCTGAAGCGTATCTGTTTAAAAGGCAAGAGCTTGGGGTTTCTCCACTCTCAATTGCATTTTGGGGTTTTTCGTGCAGGGATTAGGGTTTCAGAATTGAGGGAATTTGTGATTATGCTTCATCAAAAGGGCTTTGGAGATCCAGAATAATGGGTTTCGCCGATAGAAACAAAGCAGGACGCAATCATCTTCGTCTCATGATTCAGCTTCAATTGGGTAATCTCTCTTTTTCAAATTCGTTTTCCATCATCTTTTGTACATTTCAAAATTTGTGTTGTGTGGATAATGTCGTTATAGGATTTGTTCTTCGATTTGCAATTCTGTGTGTACTTAATCCTTTGTTTGATGGTTCTAATGCTCATGCTTCTACTCTTTTATAGAAGCATGAAAATGGATTTGCAATAATGTTGAAAATGGTTTCTTTTGCAAGCAGGATAACAAAGATCTGAAGGAGTTTCCATTTTGTGTATTGATGGATGAGGAAATAACTAACGCAGTGAACCTGGATTTGAATCTGGGTCCTGACCCTGAGTCAGGTTTCGAGCCAGTGACGATTACCTTTAACGATCCTGCTGTGGAGCTGATTGATAGAGAATCTGAACCGTTGAGAAGGTTTGGCAGGACTCGGCACCGGTCACGTTTCAGGCAGATTACTAGACTTCCGGTTTTCACTAACATACACAGCCCTGCGATAGAGTTGAGTCAGTTAATGCTCAGGTCTGAGAACGGAGCTGCTTTACCTTCCGGTGAAGGAAGCATAGCTGGTGGAGGAGGAGAAAGAGTCGACGAGGAGTTGAAAAAGTGTGAGAATGGGAGCAAGTTGTTGGAAGAAGAGAGTGTAACAGAGGAGAAGAAGGTTATGGAGAAGAGCGTTGGAAGCGATGGGAGCTTTTTCGATTGTTATATATGTTTGGATTTGTCTAAGGAGCCAGTTGTTACCAACTGTGGACATCTCTACTGTTGGTCTTGCCTTTACCAGTGGCTACAGGTGTCAGAGGCTAAGGAGTGTCCGGTTTGCAAAGGGGAAGTGTCTGTGAAGACCTTGACGCCAATCTATGGCCGTGGGAAGAATAAAAGAGAATCTGAAGAGGTTCCTGATGGTAAGATCCCTTCGAGGCCACAAGCTCGGAGGACAGAGAGTTTGAGGACTTCGCTTCACAGGTCGGGGTTTGTAGCGACGGAGATGATTAGGCATTTGCAGGAGAGGCTTGACAGGGAGTCTAGTGGAGGGGAAATGCGCTCGAGGTCGTTTCTTGACCGGTTTATGACATCGAGAGGAGTTAGAGCAGAGCAGAGCCGGTCTGTCGCAGCGTTAATTGCGCCGTTGGATGATGTTGATATCGTTAACGACATCGGTCTGATCTCGAATGCTGCTACAACAACAACTCCTGAGCGTGAAGAGAGAGACCCGTACGCGAGTGAAGATCCGTATCTGAGGACTCCTTTTGCTATGGCGATCCGGAGACGGTTAAGAGAAGAGAGAGCTGCGAGGTCAGCGAGGATGTCGTCGACGACCTCTGCTGAGAGAGCAGTGGACGCTTATTTGACGACGAATGCATTGGGGAGGAACCAAGAGCAGAACCAGGGCGTTGCTGGTGTTGGTGTTGTTGAAGACAGAGACTCGTTTTCAAGCATAGTTGGGGTAATGAACTCGGAGAATCAAGTGGATACTGCGGCTGAGATTGATTCTATGTTGACTGTTTCGACTTCTTCGTCTGTGAGGAGACCACATGAGAACAGCTCGAGGGTCTCTGATGTAGACAGTGCAGATTCTCGTCCACTTAGGAGGAGAAGGAGATTGGGTTAAAAATGGTTTATGACTTTCATGGATGATGAAGGAGGAGAAAGAGGAAGCTAGGATTCATCTTTAGTTTGAAAGCTGGGATTTAAATTGTTTTGGTTTTGGATTTTGGATTTTGGATTTTTAGTTTTGGTGTTTTCTAATTTATGCTTAGGGATGGTTATTGAAGCAAAGATTAATAATACATCTCAACTCCTTATAGTATACATATATCTGTTCCGATTTATGGTAGTCCCAACATATTTGTCATCTAATGAAATTGAATATGAACTCCTTGTTGACATCTGTAGTTTGTGATATATATTTAAATTGTTGTTACATTAGACATGTAGTCGCTTTGGCCGAGTGGTTAAGGCGTGTGCCTGCTAAGTACATGGGGTTTCCCCGCGAGAGTTCGAATCTCTCAGGCGACGACTATTTTTTTTTGCAACTTTTTGATCTTCTTTTTCTCCCAATAGGTGTAGATTTTATTTCAGAAGAAATCGAAGTCTTTTGAAGCAATATATAAAAAGAAAATTTTGTTTTATATAAAAAAAGAATCTGAAAAAGACACCGATGGATGATGAGTGTGCGCGTGTGTGGGGTGTACCATGTCCTGCGGTTCCATGCACGAGCTCAAGAGCCATTAAGATACAAAACTAGTTTGGATTGTTTGGTATAACTGTCTTGTCCAAAAGTTTGTCTTCATTCGTAGTGAAGAGTTCTTTTATAGAAACATAAACAAAAACTGAGTTTAAACGCCTCCACATTGTTTAGGTAGAAGTAGCTTATCTCATCGTTTCGGGCTTGAATAGTTTTTTCTACTTGGGATGAAATGGTGAAACAACACTACAAACATCCAACTAACCTTATATTTATGGCTAATTTGTTAACCAAGTAATTCCAAACGGCCTATGCTCATATTTAGTTCCTTCTCCATTTTCGGTTTTCATGAGATACAAAAACCTTTTTTTTAAGAGATATCAAAACTGTTTAGCTCAGCTAACTATTTTATCATTGATCAATAATTCATACTTATATTTATATACTTTTAATTTTAATTTAATAGTTGAGTTTGTTAATAGTTCTACATATACATATTGGTGGAAAGCTACTTATTTCTTATTCTACCTTGTTTTTCTTTCAATCCTTGTTGATTTTATAATTTATATGTTTCCATTTGATAAAGATAACTCATCATGTGAATATCTCTATCAATCTATAAGTAATGCCTTAGATATTTGACTCCAATCACCACGTCGCAAATATTTGTATAAACAGAAAAAAAAATATCACTAAATCTGATCGAATAAAAAATCTCACTAAATCTGATAGTATATTTTTTTGGGTAAATATCAGAAAACTATAGTTTTGAAAGAAAAACAAATCATAAGAACATTAGGAAAAGAAAAAGAAAAAAAAAAACCTTGGTGAAATTGTGGGTTCGTAAATTCAAAAGTGTAATAAAGATAGAACAGAGCACCATTAATGGCTTTCATCGAAACCAACAACAAGACAGGACACAACTATCTCCGTCTTCTCCTGCCGTCTTAATTTCGTGTCTTGGTAATCCGCGTTTCTTCCTCTTAATTTTCTTCTTCTTCAATCCCTTTCTTATTTCGTCTTCCTCATGTGAATCTGAAGCAGAAACCTCTATAGCTCGAACCCCACCGTCACGCCTGGATAATTTCTTCCGGGGTAAATTCTCTCTCTCTCTCTCTCTTATTTTTTTGGTTTCTTCCAAATTTGGGGCTTTTTGCTACGCTTAGGTTGTTTCTGAATCGAGAAAATAATCAGGAGCCAAGAAATTGAGGAATAGGTTATTGGTTTTGTGTTGCATTTTTTCGTTTAGTGCTCATAATCTAAATCTCAATACACATATTGGTGACGAATCTGGCTAGTCTTTTTGAGGATTTCTCTAGATGGGTTTTGTGCCTCTTCTCAGCTGTCTTTGAATTGCTCAGTTTTTTTTTATGCACTTTGATTTTGACTTCAGCTTCATTTTTTTGTTGTCTAACCCAACTTTTTGATTTCAAAATTCAAACTTTTTGCTATCCATTTTTAAATTTTGAGTTTTTTCAAACACATGTTCAAGATCTTGTGTTTGAACTTATTAGCTCAACAATATTCATCCTGATGTTTGTTATTCTTGTCATATTTCAGCTTTGGATCTCATTCTCTTTGTCTAGTTGGTTTAATAGCATGAGGCATGTTATGAGTTTCTCTAGATGAAACTTCACTCACTCTTTACAATCAAAGCCTAACTTGTTACATAACCTTTTTAATTCTCTTAACAGTTTGAAAAGGATTGTGAAGAAACAAAGAGGGACCTGAGAGACACGAAATTGGCTCAGGGAAAGAGAGATGCTGGCAAGTCTCAGTTAACTGGTAAGGAAACTTAGTCACAATTGTTCCTAAGGCTAACTTTCATAAGGTTGGACCAACCGTATAAGACTGGATTTTGCAATAGATTATTGATCCTGTTTTCTGTGAAATAAAGAAAGAAACATGATCAATTTGAGCCAAGTATCTACCTCCTAACCTACTTTTCCTCAATTTTTTAACCTACTTGTTACCTGCTTGCTTATGATAACATTTTCCTTCTGATGTATATAAAGCTTACATTGGCCATTGTTTTCTATCTCTCCAGAAGAATAAAGATCCAAAGGAGTATAATCATCTACGTTTTGGGGTAGGGCTTAGATTGTAATGGCTCCTGGTGGCAGTGCTTTGAAAGAAGCCCTAGAATCTAACTCCACAGGCTTAGATTATGAGGTTAAGATGTCAAAAGGTGAGCCTAACAGTAACAACAAACCAGCAAAGTCAGGTAGTGGCTCATTTGGAAAATATGGGATCCATTCAAGCAATGGTGTTTACGAGCTCCTTGAATGTCTTGTTTGTACAAATCTCATGTATCCTCCAATTCATCAGGTGTGTAAACTCTTCTCTCTCTGGTCTGGTAATCACTAATGTTCTTCATCCTGATTTGTTAGTTTCTTTACTTCCTTACAGTGCCCTAATGGCCACACATTGTGCTCAAGCTGCAAGCTGAGAGTGCAGAACACGTGCCCTACATGCCGCTACGAGCTAGGCAACATAAGATGCTTAGCTCTCGAGAAAGTGGCAGAGTCGTTAGAAGTTCCATGCCGGTACCAAAGCTTAGGGTGTCATGACATATTCCCATACTACAGCAAGCTCAAGCACGAGCAGCATTGCAGGTTTAGATCCTACAACTGCCCTTACGCCGGCTCTGAGTGTTCAGTGACTGGTGACATCCCAACGCTTGTGAACCATCTCAAAGATGATCATAAAGTCGACATGCATGATGGTTGCACTTTCAACCACCGTTATGTCAAGTCGAACCCTCACGAGGTCGAGAATGCTACATGGATGCTTACGGTAAAATTCTACAAAAAGATCTTTGCCTTTTTTTTTACTGTTCTTGAATTGAATCTTGATTTCATCTTGTGATGCTTTTTTTTGGTGTGTGTGTGTTTAGGTGTTCAACTGTTTTGGAAGACAGTTCTGTTTGCATTTTGAGGCGTTTCAGCTGGGGATGGCACCGGTGTACATGGCGTTTCTAAGGTTTATGGGAGACGAGAACGAGGCTAAGAAGTTTAGTTACAGCTTGGAAGTTGGAGCTCATAGCCGGAAGCTGACGTGGCAAGGGATTCCGAGAAGTATCAGAGATAGTCACCGGAAAGTGAGAGATAGTCAGGATGGACTCATCATCCCTAGGAACTTGGCTTTGTACTTCTCAGGGAGTGATAAAGAAGAGCTTAAGTTGAGAGTTACAGGACGGATTTGGAAAGAAGAATAGCTGATGATGATGATGATGATAAGAAGAGAAGAAAGAAATAAGGTCTGATGATGATGATGATGATGATTGGATTAGATTGAAAACGGATGATGTACATAGCAGTCTTTGAGACTTGAGAGCTTCTTCATCATATGGGACAAATTTTTCTTGGGTTTTTTTCTTTCTTCCAACTGTTTTGTTTAGTAATCTATATGAGATTTAAAGCTTCCCATGATCGGTTGAAATATTTTGTTGTTTGCAACAATTGTCTTGTAATTTTTTTCTGCTTTGTTGGAAAAATAAAGACAAAGAAGACGAGTTTTTTTTATCGGTTCTGTTCTTGGGTCAAATTTTTTTTAAATCTTGTTTTATCATATAGTATGATTCATACTTTGTCTTATTCACCATCTTATTCATCGTCCTCAGTAAAAGTTATTCATGAAAGTTGCTGGCTTTGACATTTGAGAGTGCCGTTTTTTATTTGTCAAGAAGACATTTTACGTACCAAAAATGATAATTTTATGAATTTAAGTTCGAATATTAAAAATATGAATGAATGAATGATTACAAAGATAAGTTAGTAGTATGGATTGGTTAGGTGAGGACGTGCAAGACGTGAAGGCAACTTTAACATTTTCATACGTTGGTTAATATTGAATTATTTTGTTTGCAAAACTAATAAGCGAATGTGTTTTTTGTTTCCCGACTTTCTCGCGGAACAGAGAAACAGAGAGACTTACAAAAATTCTGTGCAACCCAAATAAGAAAATTTATTTCTTTTTTTTCTCCCTTTTCATCAAACTTCCAGATTTCCAAATCTTCCAGGCTCTTTGTTTTTTTCCAGAGATTTGACGTAAGAGATTATTCAACTTCCCAGAATTAGATCCTTTTGTGGTTTTCTTGAGTATCCTCCACCCTCAATATTTTCTGGAATTGATTCAATGGCAGAAACGAGGTAACAATCATCAATTTCTTGAATCTTTTTTTTTAACCCTCAACATTATCACCAATCGTTATATGATCTGAAATAAGTTTTGCAAATTGATGTTTCAAAATCGACTTTTTCCCATAAACAAACGATTTAGACCAAAACCATATGAAAGACATATACACATTAATGCACATTTTCAGATGTTATTAACAGATAAAACAAGAATCGACAGAAACAGGATCAAAACTCAAGAATAAGACAAAACAAAGTGTTGGCAAAAAGATCTGAAGATATGTTCTGTTGCGGAGGTGCCGATGAGGAACCCGCCGGTCCGCCCGCAAACAATTATGCAGCACCTCCTAACAAGGCCGGAAATCCAAATTTCGGTGGTAAAAAATCCTTAAATTTCCCTCCATAATGTATGTTCTTGAGTTTTCACATCACCAACCTTAGCGTTTGCGTTTGCGTTCTGCGTGTGTTGTTGAATAGGAGGAAACAGAGGAGAGCCTCGGAATCCGAACGCACCGAGATCGGGAGCACCTGCAAAAGTTTTGCCGATAGAGATCCCTGCGATTGCATTGGATGAGTTAAACAGAATGGCTGGTAACTTCGGCAACAAGGCACTGATCGGTGAAGGTTCTTATGGACGTGTCTTCACCGGCAAGTATAAAGGAGATAATGTTGCTATCAAGAAGCTTGACGCTAGCTCTTCTGAAGAACCTGACTCCGATTTCACCTCACAGGTACACACACACATTCATATCACAAAAACTGTCTTCTTGATGGCGTTTTCTAACCTAATAAGTAAATATCTAATTGAAAATGGAAAGTTATCGGTGGTGTCACGGCTCAAACACGAACATTTTGTGGAGTTGATGGGGTATTGCTTAGAGGCTAATAACCGCATTCTCATTTACGAGTTTGCAACCAAAGGTTCTTTACACGATGTATTACACGGTACGTGAATTCAACTCTCATGACTTCTCATAATATTTTAGTATCTATGTGAATGATGTGATGTATGTGTATGGATTGAATCTTTAGGGAGAAAGGGAGTGCAAGGGGCTGAGCCAGGGCCGGTGTTGAACTGGAACCAAAGGGTCAAGATCGCGTATGGAGCAGCTAAAGGGCTTGAGTTCCTTCACGAGAAGGTCCAGCCACCGATAGTCCATAGAGATGTGAGGTCGAGCAATGTTTTGTTGTTTGATGACTTTGTGGCCAAAATGGCTGATTTCAACTTGACCAATGCATCGTCTGATACCGCGGCTAGGCTTCATTCTACTCGTGTCTTGGGAACGTTCGGCTACCACGCTCCAGAGTATTATACCATTAATCCATCATATCATTTTATTGTTCTTATGTTTGTGTTTAGAGTTTATGTTTACAGTTTGCAAAAAAGTGTTTGATACGGAAAAAAACGTAAACTAAATGAAGTAAATATGAAAACTAGTACACCATTGGATTGTTGTTAATAAGGTAAGAGTGTTCTTGTCTTAGGTATGCAATGACGGGACAGATAACGCAGAAGAGTGATGTGTATAGTTTTGGTGTTGTGCTTTTGGAGCTATTGACGGGAAGAAAACCCGTAGATCATACCATGCCTAAAGGCCAACAAAGTCTTGTTACTTGGGTACGTACACAAACCATAGTAGATTTGTTCGAAAGGGTACATATCATTATTACATGCTAAGCCCTTTTGCCTTTGTCTTGCTATTGCAGGCAACTCCGAGACTAAGTGAAGACAAGGTCAAACAATGCATAGATCCTAAGCTTAACAATGACTTCCCTCCGAAGGCAGTCGCTAAGGTTCGTTGTACACTTTCTTTTTCAAATAGTAAGATATTTTAAATTCTTGATAATTCGCCTTATGACTTTTTGCCACTTTAAGCATGACGTGACCCTAGTCATCTTACAATGTAGGAAACTTTTTGCATGTAGAGATTTCGTTTGTAGGCTTTATGAGTTTTTCAATTTAAATGTCGATTTAGGTTGTTGTTCAACTTTGATGTGAGTTCCTGACATTTTGTACGCAAGGGAATCAAATATGTTGATTTTATACATTTAGAGAAGTTATGTTCGTCTCATATTGAAAACTAGGGATATCAATTCTTGTAAGTAGTAGGTTGATGACTAAAGATCTTTTGTTTTCGTATTCTAATGTTGATTTTTCTTTGTCGGTGGTCGGACAGTTGGCAGCCGTGGCGGCATTGTGTGTTCAGTACGAGGCAGATTTCCGACCCAACATGACCATCGTTGTCAAGGCACTTCAGCCTCTTCTTAACTCTAAACCGGCCGGTCCTGAGTCTACTGCCTAAATATACAATTTATCTTGTTTTGTTGTTGTTGTTGTTATTGTTATGGATTTCTTTTTTCTCTTTTCTGTTCAAACAACTATGACTGTTGGCTATAAGATGTTGTTATTTAATCGGATGTAACTTATATTTTTTCACTGGTTCTTTTTTCTTTTTCTTTTGTATCTAAGCCTTGAATTGAATTTCAGTTACAATTTTCGCTATTTTGAGGAGTCAATGCAAGAAATAGTAAAATAGTTTTGAGACATGAAATAAGAAAGATGTCTTGATATTTCATTCATTATTTTTAGTATATAGATAGATTCTTTTAGTTTGACCAAAAAAATATAGATTTGAAAGTGTTGACAAAAAGATACATTGTTTTAAAGTTTCATTATTGAATTTCAAGATCTAACTCTTGTCAACAAAAACTTAAAAATAAAAATGTGGATTGTATGTACTTTAGTGACACACAAAATCGGTTGTCACACTAATGAAAATTATTGTATTCTAGATTTAAGTTTTTCTTTTGATTAGTAGGTTACTTTCTTTTGGATTGAAAGATTTCCATGGCGTTAATTAGTTTGTCAATACATATGAATACAATGCAATAAGTACTTTGGGTATTTTTGTTTTCTCTCTTTCGTCTTGAAGAAATAGACAAGTGTCATCATCACTTAGAGGCATGTGTCTAAATATGAAATGAGATATCTAACTAATTTAACCTGTCTATGAAAAAGTTGGATATTTCATTAATCTTTGTAATATAGACAGATACAAAGGTTTATTGTAGATTGTGAATTTTGTCTTATGATATGCAAACTAGTAATCTTATAAAGTTGTAAGCTTTCATCGTCGTATCGGTATCTCAAAGACTCAAATCATGAATAAAACAAGTCACGATTACCACATAATGACCACATCATACACACACATGACCTGACCAGTGAAGTGTGTGGTGTGACTAGCTCAAGTCCCAAACAAACACTCCAACAAATGTAAATAACATATTAAAAAAAAAAAGATATTTATTTTTCAAAATAAAAAAAAAGATATTTTAAGTTTAGGCAACACGATTTCATTAATTTCATATTGCCAAAAAGAGAGGGAAATCAGATATGCTGTTCAAAATAAAATAATTAATAAATTACCCAAATCCATACTGTATAACAGGAAAGTACATTTTGAGATATCTCTGCAAAATTTAGGTCTTTTTCTACTTTTTTAACAGACCCGTCCCCTCTTTTATACCCAGCAGCTCTCTCTCTTCTCTCTTCTCTCTCTCTCTCTCGTAATATATTTTACTTTAGCTTCCGAATCTCATCGTCATCGCTCGACGAACCTTGTTTCGCGTCTCTTCCCCAATCCAATCCATTTCGATTTGATTCGATTCCTTCCGTTCGGGATTCGAGGAGACGTAATCGTGATTGGGTCATCCAACTTTCGTCAGACGGTAGATCTCGATCGAATGCTTTGTCCACTTTTTTCCGATTGGAGCTGGTGATTTCGACGGAATTGAATCAGACGGAGTCGCTTCTCGTTTGAGTTTCTTATTAGTCCCGAGCGCGCCCGTGAGGGAGTTGATTATGGAATCATTGGTTGATGAATACAGACGAGTGTAATATTAAGATGCCGGGTTTAGCACAGAGAAATGAGCACTACTCTTCTGGGTTTTGGTCCAACGACTCCGATGGAGTCAGCTACAATCAATTGCAAAAGGTACTACTTTCTCCAATTTCTTATTACGTGTTTCGATATTGGATTCTCAGGACTTTTGGCAATCAAATGTTAGCTCAGATTAGATCGTTGCCTTTGAGTTTTTTCTTCTTCTTAATGAGTGTTTAGATACTTCTGATTAGAGAGAAATGATTAATTTTGTGTAGTTGTGTTGATACTGGATCGTAGTTATATATGCTCTGATCGCAGGACAAACCCGAATCTGTGTTTTAGAATGATATTTAAAAGCTGTTAATTTCTCCATGAGTAGTGACATATTCTTTAATCTGAGATAATGCCTATGAAACCCTTCTTGATGAAATCAAATTTTGTCGAAAACTCTTTTAAACCCAATTTGCTTGAACTCTTTATACAGTTCTGGAGTGAGCTGTCGCCGAAAGATAGGCAGGAGCTCCTCAGGATCGACAAGCAGGCTCTGTTTGAGCAAGCTCGCAAGAACATGTGCTGTTCCAGATGCAACGGCCTGCTGCTGGAAGGCTTCCTGCAGATTGTTTCACATGGGAGGACCTTGCAACAAAAAGGATTGCTAGGAAATCTACCATGCAAAAGATCAGGAGCCTTGAAAGATCAAACTGGCTGCAACTCAGCTGTCACTAACAGATGTACGGGTCAGTCGCATGACCCTGCTGCTCATCAGTGGGGAGGTCTGACCACAACACGCGATGGATCACTCACACTTCTTGACTCCTATTTGTATGCGAAATCTTTCAAAGGGCTTCAAACTGTAAGTTCATCCCAAGATTTTCCCTATTCTCGGTCGGTCCAGTTTAGCTAGCTAATCTATTGGCTCTAGCAGGTGTTTGAAAGTGCGCGTGCTCGAGAGAGGGAACGTGAGTTGCTTTATCCCGTATTTGTATGCGAAATCTTTCAAAGGGCTTCAAACTGTAAGTTCATCCCAAGATTTTCCCTATTCTCGGTCGGTCCAGTTTAGCTAGCTAATCTATTGGCTCTAGCAGGTGTTTGAAAGTGCGCGTGCTCGAGAGAGGGAACGTGAGTTGCTTTATCCCGATGCTTGTGGTGGGGGAGGACGGGTATGGATAAGTCAAGGGATGGCTGGTTACGGTAAAGGTCATGGAACAAGAGAAACATGTGCTTTGCATACCACAAGGCTCTCTTGTGATACGTTGGTGGATTTTTGGTCTGCACTTGAGGAGGAAAGCCGACAGTCACTTTTGAGGATGAAAGAAGAGGATTTCGTGGAAAGACTAAGTTACAGGTTTGTCATTGTTGATTCAATATGATGTTCTGTTGAGAAATTGTTTTCATATGATCTGGTTACTCTTATTAGGTTTTTTTAAGAACTCTAGCCACTTAAGTTACCATACTTTGGATTGAAAATTATTTTAGTATTTCGACTTTGATGATGTGCCTATCAAGCCATTGCATGCATTACGTAGTTGTTTTGCTTTGTTTTTCGTTTTAAACGTGGTCTTGTGACTTTTCTTTACAGCCTTTCAGTATAAGGTCTTTATCTTTCTTAACCTTTTCCTCTTACTTTATGGGCTCTTATATCTTGTACTACAAGAGCATTGATTTTCAAGAGGAATTATATTGCAAGTTAGAATCAGACGTGTGGTTGCAATTTCTCAGGTGGGCATTGATTCCGTCCAAGCAGATTGGAGTCAAAATTTTACAGAGAAGGCTGGATATCATCAGTTTGAGTGGGCTATTGGGACTGGAAACGGAGAATCAGATATCCTCGGTTTCAAAAAATTAGGTAGTGATAGGAGTGCCCGAGTCAGCGGCCTAGACCTTCGTGGATTACACGAATGCTACATTACTGTTAGGGCATTTAAAAAAAATGGTCGCTCCTCTGATCATTCCGTCAAAGCCCATGCGTTGAGAGGCCAACAATGCGTTCACTCCAGGCTTGTTGTCGGGGATGGCTTTGTTTCAGTTAAAAGAGGGGAATGCATTCGGATGTTTTTTGAGCATGCTGAAGAGGCTGAGGAAGAAGAGGTAAATTGAAAACTCATAAGCTTTGTGACTGAAAGTCTTCATATACATATATATATACAGTTTTGCAGATGTGATGTCTCCTTGTTAAGATTTTGTCATTGTTTTTTCCAATGCTATATAAGGATGAAGTGATGATAGACAAAGATGGGAATGAGCTTGACGGTGAGTGCTTGCGTCCACAAAAGCACGCTAAGAGTCCAGAACTTGCTCGAGAGTTTCTTCTAGATGCTGCAACGGTTATTTTCAAAGAGCAGGTTTGTTGTAGATTCCTCTAATCTTCCATTCATTGTTATTTTCTGTGCTGTGTTTAGGTGTATTCATTTATATCTATTCATAATAATATCTTAGGTTGAAAAGGCCTTTAGGGAAGGCACAGCTCGTCAGAATGCGCACAGTATATTTGTTTGCCTTTCATCGAAACTATTAGAGCAACGTGTTCATATTGCCTGCAAGGAAATTGTCACCCTGGAGAAGCAGGTTTGTTTGCTGCTATCTTGATTGGCTTTTTTGTGTGTGACAATCCACTCAATTTAAAAAGACATGTTACACGTTTTTTTGGTCCAACAAATCCATCGTTTTACACTTGCAGAATAAACTTCTTGAGGAAGAAGAGAAAGAAAAGCGTGAAGAAGAGGAGCGGAAAGAAAGGAAAAGAACAAAAGAAAGGGAGAAAAAACTTCGTAGAAAGGAGAGGTTGAAGGAAAAAGAACGAGAAAAAGAGCAGAAGAATCCAAAATCTAGTGATAAAGCAGTGCTGCCAGATGTGCCTAGGGAAGAAGAAGGCTCTTTGAATCTTGATGAGGAGGCAAACAATACCGTAAGCTGCAATGAGTCGGGAATTGAAACTGGAGATGTGGAATTGTCTCCACCTGATGAGTCTCCTGATGATCAAGATGGTGAGTGTTTGGATGGTTGCACTTCTCCAAGAACGGAAACCCACTATTTCGATAGCACTGACAGAGAGATTATAGATCATGAAGATGAAAACGGGTGCTTAACAAATGATAATCCAAGACCTGTTCATCAGACAGCAAGGTTCTGGAAAGAACCTCAACCTGATCATGCTTTAAAGTGGTCAGAGAAACGCAGATATCCTGAGAATGCTTCTTTTGTCAGTAGGGCTCAGCCAAGATACTGTAATGAGAGATTTGACGTGTCCTCAGGATACTCAAATAAAACTTTGAGAGTGAAAGCTTCGAAGCCTGGGGGTAGCCCGAATAGCACTAAGACACATGAGTCTCATTGTAGTGAGAGGTACGATTACCATTCTTGCAGCTGCAAACCCGTTAGTGTATACCGGGAGAAGGTAGTAGAATCTAACAGAGGCATGCGAGAACCCAAAACCATGTTCAAATCAGACTCTGATCCTGATGTCTCCAAGTCAGTTAACCAAGCCAATAGGTATGCTCAGTCAGATTCTAGACGAGAGTTGAGACCTGGAAGCAAAGTGACCATCAGTCAAAATCCTTCTATGAGGGATCCAGTGTATGTGAGGAAGGCCTTGGACTCCATGGAGCTGAAGCATCCACGAAACAGCTCAAATTCTGACATGTCACCAGTTACATGTTCACCATTGAAGGCTGGAGAGGTTAGTTCTGCTGTGAAGTCAGCTGATACACTCCCTCGTTGCAAGGCTAATGCCAATCTTATCGACTCAACGGAGGAAGACAAGAAGATAGGAGTTGACGTAAAACCGAAAGTTGATGATGAGCTGTACTCGAAGGATCCTATAATGAGTAGAACCTCCAGTTCAGACAATTGTTCGTCATGTCTCAGTGAAGGAGATAACAATACAGCTTCTTCAAACAACGGGAACACTGAATCCTCCTCAATGTCTGATTCTGAAGATACCAGTCTGCAATCTGAAGGAAGAGAGAATCTTGTGGTCACTGGGAATGATATGGCTAACTGCTACGAGAAGATGACAGAGAAAGAGACAGAGAAGAGTATCGATGAAAGAGAGGTTTTAAGGATTAGGAACATGTCTAACCTTCCAGCTGACAATGGGGAGAGTAAATTATCGGGAACTCCTTTTACAGTTCCTAGCCAAAACATGGAAAATATGGCACACCATGTTAACACTGGTTCCTACCTGTCCCAGCCACAAAGCATGATGTATCCCCAAATGCTTAACCAGAGTATACCGTTGCCAGTCTACGAAGCTCCTTCACCAATGGATTACTATCATCAAGCTCCAGTCTCTTGGTCTGCAGCTCCAGCCAACGGATTAATGCCATTCCCTCATTCTAACCATTATGTATACTCAAGTCCTCTTGGATACAGTCTGAACGGAGAGTCCCCATTATGCATGCAGTACGGAGCCCCACTGAACCACCATTCAGCAACCCCTTACTTCAATTCAGGGCCAGTTCCAGTTTTCCATCCGTTTGCTGAGACCAACCCAATGATGAGCTTTGTGGACCAAGCTCAAGCTCTTGAGCCATTGGAACACAGTGCTCTGATGGAAGCAGCTGAAAGGAGATTAAACCGAATCTTTCCAATGCAAACTGCAAGCAGCAGAGGTCTGCAAACTGATGGTGATGAAAACTTCTCCTTGTTTCACTCCGGTGGGCCGGTTGCTATGTCTACAGGAAGCAAGTCGAATCATGCTCATTCAAAAGATGGGATGCTTGGTGATTTCTCCTTGCAGTTCTCAGGAGATCATCTTTTTGGCGATCCCAACGGCAATAACAAGAAAGAGAAGGAGAAAGAGAGCATAGTAGGTGAAGAGTACAACTTGTTTGCGACAAGTAACGGCTTGAGTTTTTCTATCTCTTAAACAGCTTTATACAATTTCTTGGATTGCTTTGCGACGTTAAAAACTCTTTGGTTGTTTCTTTTCATGTAAAGATCTCTCTGCAAGAGCTTTAGTCATTTATTTTCAAGGTTTTTTATTTATTCTTATACTCAAAATGAATAATTCTCCATTGTTGGGTGTATCTCATTTCAAACACAACAAGAAGAAGAAAAATCTCAATACAGAGGATGATCCATAATTAATAATTTTCTCTTCTCTAAATTTGTTTGGATGATTTGAGAACAGCAAGGTAAAGTCCCTGTTCATCAACAAACTGGGTCAGCTCAAATGAATGCTTCTTAGCAACAGTCCTCAATGTGGAATCATCAGGTAAATCAGAGACGACCACATCTGAAAACTCCTTCCTCTGTTGCTTCAAGCCTTCTCTACCTTGCGGATGACTGATTACCACTCTTGCACCTGTTACAAGCATCGGACCAGACTCTGTTAGAAACTTAGAACCAACAAAGTCTTCAGCCTAAGAGAGACAGAGAAAGAAGTGAAAAGTCAGAAACTTTGTACCGGAGGAACAACGTTGAGACAGTTGCTTGAACACCTCGTCGAGCTCGAAAGGCAATGCCGGAAGAAAGTAGAGAAACACGACGTCTAACGGAGACCATTTCTCAGGAACATAGATCAACTCTCCTTGCCAACAACTGACTTTGTCGTATTTCTCTTTCACACAGGCCAACACAAAGAGGGAGTCATGGACGATAAGCAGGAGCTGAGAAGGAGAAGACTCAACCAGACGATCAACGAATGCTTCTGAGCTAAACGAAACCAAAACCTTCGAGGATTCGGATATTTCTCCAGCGGTTATGATCTTCTCGATCTTCTGTCTATGTTCAGCGGATTCGATTTCCATGGATTCGAGAAAGGACCAATCTTTCTCATGGAAATCGACCACGGAGACTGTCCCCTCTGGAGGAGAGGTTGAAGAAACAGAGAACGCTCTGTAACGAGAGACATTCGACTGTGAGAGTGAAACAAGTTTAGGACTTTGAAGAGGAAGAAGCTTCTTTGGCTGGAAAGAGAGAAGACGTGAAGAATCAAAGGCAAACAGAGAAGGAATAAGAGCAGAAGAAGAAGGAAACGAAAGAGAATGCATTGATTACTGCAGCTTCTGGTACTAAAATCGAAGAAGAAGAAGAAGATAGCAGCAAGAAATTTTGTAGGGCATTTGGAATTGGAAGACGATGAGTGACGATGACGTAGTGTCTTCATTTGGGCCGGAATAAGAAAGCCCAGTAATAAGCCCATATCAGTTTTTTGTAGCTTCAGTGACGGCGTAGCGACGGTGGAAGAATATTCATTCCATTTCCGAGAGAAGAGAGCCGGTGATCGCAGAGAGAGAGGAGAGGATGGGGACGAGACAGGTATACGAAGAGAAGCTGAGGCGTGGGAATCTTGATTATGATCCGACTATGAATCCTGGTCTTGGTTCCGCTCGGTGTCCGCGTTGCCTTTCTCTCTTAAGCCCTAATTCAGTGAGCTGCCAAAGTTTTTTTTTTCCATTGTTTTGTTGTTTTTGACTTGGGGGAGATTCTGAGAATCAGTCTTCTTGTGAAAAAAACTCTCAGGAGAAAGGAGAGTGGATGATTACTTCAGTTTTACACGATGCTGCTGTTGTGGTTAGTTTCTAGCATTCCTATCTCTTTCGAATTCTCTCGAGTCTCTGTTTCAATTCTGTGTTCTGTGATAAGTTAAGCTGATTTCTTTGAAATTTTGTATTGTTTAATGCTTTTTACTGGGGATACAAGCTTGTTCTGTAGTCCTAATCAGATAATTGGGCTGAATTTAGATGCAATTATGTTGGGGATGACAATTTTGCATTGTATCTTCGTCGATATCTTTATGATTTTTGGTTTGCTATGCGTAAAGGTTCAGCCTTTTTGTTTTACTGACTTCTGAGATGGCTCTGTTTCAAGGTTATTGTCAATTTGGTCTATTGCAATGTCTGATTAGTATTATATTTAAACTTGTTTCACTGGAAATTATATGTCTTGGCTGTTGGGTGCATATCATCATAGTTCCTTTTAGTATTCAAATGGTACTGCTCTGTTTCTGACTAAGTTATACTGTTGTGTTATAGGCTGGTTCTGGAATTGGTGGCTTGCTTAGTGCCGTCCATGCTTTCAATACAGGTACCACCATCACACGATTCTCTTGTCGTCAAAAACTTCTCATTTTTGCAATAAAGTTTACCTCTTTGGTCTTTCAGGGATCCCCTATCTTCAAAATCGCTTTCCAGGGTCAAAGCGGCTCTCATTTCTTGTAGGAGTATGTATTTTCTCTTGCCCTGTTTCTCCTCTTTTGTTGACACTACTTACCATATCGTATGAATTTTCTTTGCTTCTGACTTAATGCTTTTGCTTATAGGTTCCATTGCTGCTAGGATACTCAGGTGTAGGGGCTGTCTTTGGAGGTACCATGATCTTCTTTGGCTCGCTCGCTTCTCTTTTTTGTTTGAACATTGATTATGTTTATATATCCTGCGTTAGTGACTGAATTGGCTTCACACTTTATGTAGCCAGTATATAATTCTCTCTGTTTTCTTTGAAGAAAGCACTGTCCCTTTCCTCGTTCGCGAATCTCCTCCCTTCTTCCACTAACTTTTGTTCTTTGTATAATACTATTTGTTAGGTTATGCTCTTCCGAAGTTTGCTCAGCTGACAGTTACGTCGTATTACGCATCTTCAAGTGCTTCACATTATGGGATCTCTATGCTCACCCGCCGTATAGAAGAAGCTCATCTCTCTCGAACTCAGAAAGAAGAGGCAAAATGAAGTCATGCACAGATAAAACAAGAATCTATACCACTCCTCTGGCTAAGCACAGCTTATTTCAGGATCTCTTCTTTTCTTTTTTTTTTGGTTTTTAGGTTACCTTTTCAAATGTTGTCCAAAAAAAAAGAAAAAAGGTTACCTTTTCAAATCACATTCTTGAGAAACACAACCTGTAATGTTAATTATTCGACATAATTACACAAATTATAAATGTCCATTGCTATTGCCATAGTAGCTGTTGACCCTGGAAGATACTATATTTGTTTATACAAAATCTTTCTGGTTAATTTTACTCAAAATCAGTCATGGAACTACATGAACAATATGTCTTCTCAGTAGCTACATGAATTTTGATATGTTTGTCCTGAATCCTGACATAACATCATCTGAGTGATGGAATGTTATGTTGAAAACTAGTAGTAGTATAAGAAATCAGAGTATTTAACCACATGGTCTATAGGGTCGAAGGAACTTTCTGCAGCTTTGGTTACCAAAACAAGACAGCTTTGCATTGTTGTGTGGATCAGATTGTGAGAGTTGAAAGGGGTTTGAGATGTGTACTGTTCGAACTATCATCCTCAAGTTGCAACTTTCCTAGGGTTGTGGGCCGATGTTCCTTAAATTCCACTAGTCCTTTTTACATATCTTCAGAAAAAAAAAAAAAAAAAAAAAAAAAAAAAAAAAACAAGAGCAGAGCAAAAGTGGTCCTAGAAGGCTTTTATATAATGTATGTGTATGCTCTTCACACGTCTTAATAATTCGCTTCTTTTATCTTGTTGTTCATCACATGCTTCTTTCTCCATTGCATTAAACAAGTGGGGTCCTTTTATAGCTGCTCTTGATGTTAACTCTTTGACACCATTCATACACTGAGTGCATGACTATCCTTAAAAAATTTCCATAATTTGATAATACCATCACGTAATTCTCACATGTACTGTCTTCTCTTGCTTTACCCTCTCTGCTGCAGTTTATAATAAAAGATCCAAACAACTCTTTCACCGAGGGCAGATATGTCCTATTTTTCTCTTTCGTTTGGTTTTTAGTTTCCCATGTGATTGATAATATTAGAAGACTTCCTTATTGCATATATAAGCTTAGTTGAAAAAAGAAAAAAAAAACTTATCTTTCATCCTTTTGATTGACAGGCTCTGATGAGTTTGCACCGTTTGGTCCTTCCCCGTAAAAATAGACAGCGCCTGTCCTGTTCCAAGAACTTAAGACTTAAGGTCATCAAAAATTGCAATGTCACTTTCTGCTTCACAATAATCTTTTGAGACATGTTTTAAAGCTTTTTAGGATTGGTGGTACAATGGGGATAAAGTTACTTACTTAGCTAAACTATTACTAGGCATGCGAGATACAATGTCTCACGACATAATTAATTTTAAGAGTACTAACCAAGGACAAGTTTCTCTTCTGTTCATTCATAGTTGTTGTATCTACAAGACTTCTCAACTGCATTTTTTTTGCCTCAAAGAGTATCCAAAATTGTCGGTTTTTAGGATTTTTTTTTTCTTTTTCTTTTTCCATTTCCTTTCCTAGTAGACTTGATCGAATGAGATTAGCTGTCTTTTAACCTTTTTACATTATTGGTTAGCTTTGGTATGAAATCATGCACCACACAGCTGGTAATTCTAGAGCAAATGGAGATATCATTATGTATCTGTAACCATCATGAGTTTGTGCATATTCCCTAATAAAATGTGGTGTGAGAGGCAATGCCACATAAATCTGTGATTGAAGTCATGCCAAAATTGGAAAAAAAGTCAAAAAATTTGAAATTTCTTGGTCTATGCAAAAGTCGTATAGGTTGTCTTTAATTTAATGTTTGATTAAGTGTAACACATGAAGGTCAGATGTACGTTAGGTACGAGGATTGATCATCATATCATTGCTTCTTCTCATATATATATATATATATATATATGATTGTATAATAGTTTGAGTTTCTTTATAGGCCTTCTTTTTGTTAAGGTATATATCAAAGTTCGTTCTCTAGAGGCAATTAAACAAGAAACATGGTCGGATTCTAACGTTTTTTTTTGTTTTCCAAGACCGTTATATTAGATCATAGTATATGCGTAGAGAGGTGAACAAGTAGTTATATGGTATACAGCTTGGTTGATGATTCTCTTTGAATCGCTCTAAAAAAGGTTTGAAAAGAAACTAAAGAAGAAAGCTTTTGAGGAAAGGCTTTAGCTTTATGTTCTGTGTGTTGAGAGATAGATGTGAAAGCTCTCTTTGGCTAACTCTACATTTGTAATCATGGACCACTTTCACTTCTCAACTCTCTCTCTCTCTCTCCGCTTTTGTCTTGTCCATTGTCTTCAGTGATCCCCACAGTCACCGAATCATCATCATCATCAACATCAAGAGCTTTCTTCTTTGGCTCTTGATAAACACGTTCTAACTAAACAGCCGCTGAGCTTTGTGGGTTTTAATGGTTAAACAACTTAATGAGACAATGATCGAGACTTGAATTTTCTCGACTGTATAACAACAGAGAAAGTACGTACGTGTGTGACTTCCATGGCTCTTAATTTAATGTTTCCTCTTTCTCTGAAAGTTAGAATCTTGAAAGCCATAACAGAACTCAGAAATGAACAGACGAAAACAAACAAACAAACAAAGATTGATAAACTGTATCACTATCATTCACACACACGTGAGAGGAAAAATGGATGAACATATTTTTACTAATTAATCAGATATTATTCCCTTATTAATATAAACTCAGAATATGGAAAAAAAAAGAAAGGTTCAAGATCTAAACACCATGCCGGTTCTCCTTTCAAAACATGAACACCGCGTCATTTTCTTTTCTTTTTACTCCAATACTCACCGATCGATAGAGTCTTCATCACGGCTAGGTTAAAAATGATGGATGGGTGATAATTAAAAGAAGAAGTCATAGATGAAGATCGAGACTCACATGATCTTGCACATTGGGTTTCATCAATCTATAGGGCCAATTCGTCTCTTTGGTCTCCTGCTCATGCGTCCTGAACGTGGAAGCTGATGAAGCTGAGTAAACGCCATGAATAGCGTTTGCTGACGTGGAAGAAGGTACACGCCACAAACCCAAAGGACTTCCGTTGATTGTCGGTGGGATAGAAGAAGGAGGAGGAAGAGTGCGTGAGTAATACGACGACGGTGTTTGTTGTCCTCCTCCTCCACCACCGTAGACTCTAGGTTCCGTCGTCCACGAGGGGTAGTGACGGTGGTGGTGGTTGTTGAGGAAGCCGTAGACGTGGTGAGGGTCAGGCTGATGATGATATTGATGATTAAGGTATGACGTCATGGAACCGCGTTTGGCGTGTTGGCGTTCGCGTTTGTGAGCGTTTTGGTGTCCACCTAGGGCTTGAGAAGTGGGGAAATTTCTGAAACAGTAGTGACACTCGAATCTTCTGTTATTGCTGTTGTTGTCTTTGTCCTTGTCTTTTTCCTTGTCCTTGGCATTCTCAGAGCTCTCTTCTTTCTTGGTAGTTGTGGGTTCAGAAGAATCTGCAACCAAGTCTTCTTGTTGAGCACCAGAGGAGTTATCTCCGACGAGCTCTTGGCCGAAGAGACGAATAATGGCGCCTTTTTCTTTGGGAGGAGTACGGCGGATGAAAGGAAGCTGAGAGAAGGATTCAACGTTGACGTTCATGAAATCGTGAGTTTCTCTTCGGCCGTTGGTTTCATCCATGGAAGAGAGAGGAATGAGTGAGTTTGAGACGAATGAAGTTGACTGTTTCAGAGACAGAAAGACAAGAGAAGTGGTTTTGCATTAATTTAAAGAGGTTCCCAAATTCTTTTAAGGTAATTAATTATTATTTAAACAGCATGGCCGCGTGCGTATATTATTTTTTAAGTGATTCACATTTCACTCACATATTTTAGGTTTTTTTTTTTGTTGCTCTAAAAGATTCTACATGTTAAGTTTTTTTTCGGTTACCAAATTAAACGTTCTTTACCGGACTTCAAATTAATCACAGAACATGTGGAGGAGTAACTTATTTTACACATGAAAAATACATACTTGAAATTTGATATAGTTCTTCTTTCTATTAGTACGTACTAGGTATTCAGGTTTTCTGAAGCATTATTCAAATGATCTTTTGGATGAAAGACATCTTGATATTAGGAATTTTCTGCAAGATCACAAGGGATAAAGCATCCAAACTGAAATCGAATGACCAAATGGCTCACGCCTAAATGTTTGCATTCTAATTTATTAAAAAACTCTTTCATTTTCTTGTTTTCTTATTTTATCACTTTCTAGTTTTATTATGAAAGAATAGTTAAAACAAACTAATAAATTGATATATCAAAACATATATCTGGATCTTTAATAAGTTTCTACCGTATCATGGTAGGTAAGCTTTTTTTTTTCTACGAACATAATAAATTGATATAGTAAAAAGGGCCGGATAAATAAATACATAGAGAGGAGTACTTTTATTTAATTCCCCTACCCAATCACACACACACAGTATATACAGCATATATATAAGCATCCTTGTCTTCAAACTCCAATCAATTCTTCTTTTTTCAAAGTTATCTCCTTTTTTGTTAGTTGTTTCTCAAAAGTGATTCCTGCAAATGTTGAAACTAAGACAAAAAGCTTACCAAATTGATTCTTAGCAGATGGAATGGGGTCATGGAGAGTAATGCGATGAACTAAAAAGAGTGAGAGTTTGTAGGTGAGAGATCATTAGCAAGGTGAAGTTAGGTATGTACTCTTTTACATCATGGACCTATTTTGGTTATTATGTCTATGTATAAGTACATGGATTTTACTACTAATAGATTAGATATAGAGGAGAGAGAAAGAGAGAGAGACCTAATTAAAGGGAGCTCTTCTCTCTCAAGGACCAGCTTTTTACTCTCTTGGATGTTTTGTCTCTCTGATGCAAAGATGATCTTACAGAGAGAGAGGTGGTCCTTGTACATGATCATTGAATGATGCTAATAATCAACTAGTAGATGTCATCACTAGATAATTAAACAAAATGTTGAACCTTTGTTTTGTAGAGATATCATCTTATCATCAATGTAACACATGAATACTTATCAACACGATCATCTGGCAAAATTTTGATCCACGTCTTCTTCATTTTGAACTATATATACCCTTTACACAGTAAATTTCGATATTTTTGTAAGCACTATTCAATTCTAAAGCATTAGTTTCGATATTTTTTCTTGGTTCGTTTTTGTTTTCTTCTCTTTTCGTAGGGAATACATGGGGTATCATCTACATATGGACAGGTCACTTAATTTGATATTGTTGTGTACAAGTACAGCATGGTAAATCAAGTTAAAATGCATTATATCCACCAGGACATCCTCAACAGTCAACACTATAAAATAATATGCATTCAAATAAAACTTGTTTATCTGATGGCTTATGTTTTCTATTAACATTTAACAACAGCGGTAAAAGATTTCTTCGGTAACTATACATTTCTAAATTCATGTTGGTAAACAAATCCTAGATATATTCAAGGGATTCAAATTTCTTGTGAATCAATGCCGACTATACATTCCAGTCGTATTCAAATATTACCTGGCGAATCATCTCTCGTTGTTCTATTTACTCCAATGCGCATCATCCATTTGTGGATTGCTTATTATAAACTATTCCTCTTTGGTCAAGAGATCAATTATTCTCTTATAAGGAAAAAGAATCGTCATTTATAATATTATAATTTTATCAAATGATGTAATAGATTATAAGAAAATATATTTTTTCAAAAAAAGTTTAGAGGTATATATTTTCCCTTAAAAAGAAGTAAAAATCTACCTGTTTTAGTGTACCTTTGCATAAATTCACTGCTTCACATGTAACGTGTATGTATGTGATACTTATATTTTACGAGTAATCAAAACTCAATGTAAGGGAAATAAATTCAACTATGGAAATGTCCATGCGTAGTACTGGTCCCAAAGTACATTAATTTACATACATAATTTTGCAGAATTTGGACTTCACATGAGGAGTCCTTATCTCTTTATTTTCCACAAACAATTACATATACTAGTTAAAAGTCTGTTTAAATCTAATTAACATGCGATTTAAAATTTTTAAAATATCAAAAGCCCTGGAAAATCATAAGTAGTATTTTCTAATAATACTTTTAGCTATTTAAAACAACAAGTATATTAGACTTTTTAACAAACAAGAATTTATTTTTCTATTAAATATACTTTTAACTTTGAAGATCCGAGTCCATATAATCAGTGTCTACCATATCAGTCAATAGACAATATTTTAAAATCTCGCGGTAAAAAAAAATTCGTTAAGAAACCATAAACATATAGACTATAGATTGCAAGATTTCATATAGCAAATATACATAAATCCAAAATAAAAAATGGTCACCAGGAAAAGTAAAACAAATCTGAGAAAATGTAATTGGGTCCCATGAATGGCATTTGAACCCCACAAAAAAACATGCATTTAAAAGCCCACAAATCTCCCAAACCCTAACAGCAACTCTTCATTGAATCATGCAATTGCAAACCTCTTTGCTTTGCCATTAAAGTCACAGTCATATGCTCAGAGATTTAATGGCTTTTGTTGCGGGGACCATATCTCTCACTTTCTTGCCTTCACATCCATTTCTTGGATTCAACTCCTCCACTCTTATTATATACTTATATGTATGCAAATTCCCTCCTTATTTCTTTTTCTCAAAAGAAAAATTAATTGTTGAATTGTTTGGCCAGTAATAAATAAAGATGATCATAAATATGGAAGATGAGAAAAAGAGTCTAGATTTTGAGGGACAAGCATATCTTGTCCTTTTCGTTATATGTGACCTCACAATGTTCAGCTATATATAAGGACCGAACTTCAAAGTAATATAGAAAATAAATGGTGAAAGATATTTTTATTTTGAAGTAGAAGAAAACAGAAAATAAGAATGAGAGGAAGCCCAAAATTAAAAGCTATAGAACAAATGCAAGTGGAGTTAAAAACAACATGAAGAGCTCACCGGTCTCTTTCAGTGTTAAACAACCTACTCTAACTCTCCATCACTTCATCGAACTCATCAATCTCATTAATAAATATATCTCGCGGTATGATCTTCACTACACATTGCAGAGAGGAATACTATTTTTAGGAAAACAAATGTTCTTGCTAGTAAGTGAAAATGAAATTCTAATAGATTAGCGAATGAAAAAGACAAACCCATGTTCTATGTATGAACAAACGAAAGAGTTCAAAATTTTATGAATTCACTACGGAAAAAAAAAAATAACAACCTAGCTATATCCTTATTCATGTCCTTAAAACTCCTACGTATAAGAACGTAATTTCTATAATGGGCGACTGATTATTGTAAAGTATTAAGATGAACAAATTAATATAACAAAATATTAAAATGATAAAAATAAACAAGAATTAAGGAAACAAAACCGGATTTGCAGAGTCGAGATATGATCTCTTTCCTTAATTCTGTAAACGCCCCGTAGTGTGACGGTTGCATGGCGTTCCGAATCCCAGGATAAAACTGCACACTTCTTATGATTGCATCACTCAATACATAAGCTTGCGAACCATGTTTTCTGTGATGTACTCTCATAAAAAAACAAAACAAAAGAAGAGAATGAAGGATTGTTTCTTGTGTTTGATCATGTGTTAACCACATGTTAACAAGAAAAGGAAGCATGGCTTTATATAGCCTCATGCCAACGTATATGGCATAAAGTGGAGATTGAGAATTCATTCTCACAATAATGTTTTCAATATGACTTAAGTTTTAAGTTACAAAATCAATATATTGACTTGCACTTAATTGTCACTTGAAACAAATTAATTAAAAGAGATATTTTCTTTGTTGACTTAATCAAAAAAATACTTGGTCAAAAGATTAATCTTATAGACTGTTGGCCCGATTGCCAAATCCCGAGGCCCGGAAACAAGTTCAGCCCGGATATCTCTTTTCTCCACTTTAAATACAAGAGGATTTCACCTCAAACTTCCAATATGGGACATTTCATAAATGTTACATTTTATGCTATACAAGCAACCCACTTGGACCTCCATTTCTCATTCAAACCAACTTCATTTTTGACATATAAATATATTATCAAAAATGAGTTCCAACAATCCCCCACATGAATAGAAATGACTCTAGACACTGGACGACTCAACTCTAGACTTGACTCTCTAGACAAGACTCAAAAGACTCAAAAAACGACTTTTGAGAGTACAGCGAAAAATCCACTGTATATGAGTTGGTAGCATTTTTCAGCCTTGAACCAAATCACTGTTATAAACTATCGGATTTACTCGACCAAGAGGTGAACATGATGTCTTGAACCTCTCGGGCTTTGATGTAAACCGAGACAATAGCTATAACACAGCTTCATTCTCTCACAGAATCAGGTTCTCTATTGTGTTCATTTTGGCCGTGAACTTGCCTGGATAATCATGAGTGAACTTGGAGAATATAGCCTTTCATTTATTCTCCTAGAAACGGCCCCATTTCACACTCACAAGGTGATTCGCCATTAACTTTGTTTAAAGGAGTATCCTGCATTACTCCATGTATATTTCAAAGTTATGGACCCAAATCATTAAAAGCAAAAGCTTATCCTCTACACCATACAGGTAGCACTGTTCATCATCCTAGGAACTGGGTAGAGACATGAGTCTCCCAGTGCTAGTTGATTCAGTTTGACTTAGTTTTCCCCTTGAACCTATTTCATGGGATCTCCAATCAGTTAGGTAGGGTTACCATCAAACATCCTCTTAAGTCATAGGCTTTAAACCCATTCCTCTTGATGATTTTACAATTTAATCTCATGACACACCTTTAATTGGATCCTAGGTTGTCATTCAAGTAGATATAATCTATTAAGATTACTCCATTTGAGATCAATTGTTTAACAATTTTAGGCAGTGGCATTGCAACTTTTGCTATGCACCCCCACACTTTTAGGTATTTGTACAAATGTACTTTACCTTTCAAACTTCATATGACATTTTGTCAATACTTTATGTGGTAAACAATTTTTACCCCCACATTTCTTGAGATAACTCAAAAATCATGCACTTTGCATTTTCACATTTTAAGTTTAAACAATGGCTAGAAAGATAATATCTTTTGTAACCAATTTTAAACTTTTTCCACATAATTTGTCTAACATTAGTCTTGTGTTTACAACACTAAGCACTAATATGACAATATGATAAATATCATAACTTGGTACAATCACAAGTGGAAGACCATTACCAAAATAAATTTGGTATGTCAACTCACTAAACTTGTTACCAATAACCCTTCAACCACTAATGGTATGGGACAAAATCATAAATGGTAGACCACTCCCAACATGGGGTATCAACTCATTTGATTTTTCACTTTAGAAACATTTTTGTAAATGTTCTAATTTTTGGTAACATTTTTTCCTTCTTTGATTCAATTTGCATAAAAGCCAAACCTGAATCATCATACCAAAATATCAGAAATATATCAAATATATATTAAGCAATTTAATCACTTCTGAAAATTGCAAAAAAATTAAATTAAAACTCCAAATAAATTCAGGAATTAACAATTTAATTAATGCTAGAAAAAATTTAAACAATTAAATAAATTGCATCAATTATTATTTAAATAATACTAGCAATACGTCAAAATTCTATGCAATATTCAATGCAATATTCAACAATAATTAAAACATTTGAATGACTTAATACAAAAGTCAAAACTTCTTTGCATGAAAAAGTTAAATGCAAAACATCAATCTGAATAATTAAATGCATTTATCAACGAATAAAAAAAAATGCAGCAAAGAAATTTTGTTAGTCACAAAGAAATTTGTGTTCTTAAAACACATAATTGCTCCAAAAATCCTGCAAAATAATCAGAATATTAATCCAATTCCAGAATTAGTTCTTCCATGAAACACTGTTCATATCAATTTTAACAAATATAAAATTATTAATGCATAGCAAAATATTTTTTCAGATATAAACATTCTGAAAATTATGCAAAAATAATTAAAATAAATTTGCAGAAAATTAGAAGAATTAAATATATTTTCTTCCTTTGATAACCTGCAAAAAACATCAAATTAATTTCTGAAACACCAGAAAATTAATTCCATAAATCCTGATAATCTGCAAAAAATAATTAGAATAAATTGCAGAAAATTGGAAAATTAATCCAATTAATCCAGAATTTCCAGTTCCTGTTTTCATAACAAAAACACTTCACAAAAATCAGTTTTCGTTAGTGCAATAAGCAAAAACGAAAATTTACAGAATTAAGATTGTAAGAACGCAATTTCTACAATGGGCGACTGATTAATGTAAAGTATTAAGATGAACAAATTAATATAACAAAATATTAAAATGATACAAAATAAACAAGAATTAAGGAAACAAAACCGGATTTGCAGAGTCGAGATATGATCTCTTTCCTTAATTCTGTAAACGCCCGTAGTGTGACGGTTGCATGGCGTTCCGAATCCCAGGATAAAACTGCACACTTCTTATGATTGCATCACTCAATACATAAGCTTGCGAACCATGTTTTCTGTGATGTACTCTCATAAGAAAAACAAAACAAAAGAAGAGAATGAAGGATTGTTGTTCTTAGTGTTTGATCATGTGTTTAACCACATGTTAACAAGAAGGAAGCATGGCTTTATATAGCCTCATGCCAACGTATATGGCATAAAGTGGAGATTGAAATTCATTCTCACATAATGTTTTCAATATGACTTAAGTTTTAAGTTACAAAATCAATAATTTGACTATGCACTTAATTGTCACTTGAAACAAATTAATTAAAAGAGATATTTTCTTTGTTGACTAATCAAAAAGAATATTTGGTCAAAAGATTAATCTTATAGACTTGGCCCGATTGCCAAATCCCGAGGCCCGGAAACAAGTTCAGCCCGGATATCTCTTTTCTCCACTTTAAATACAAGAGGATTTCACCTCATACTTCCAATATGGACATTTCATAAATGTTACATTTTATGCTATACAAGCAACCCACTTGGACCTCCATTTCTCATTCAAACCAACTTCATTTTTGACATATAAATATATTATAAAAATGAGTTCCAACACTACGTACAGTCCTACGATAACGTTTAATATTCATGCATCATTGTTGAAATGTATATAATCGTTAATTGTAGAACGTACCAGAGAGTCGAATAAAAGCAATATGAATATATTACCATTAGGAAAAAGAGAGTTGAAAATAAGCATTAGCTAAAGAAAATAAAAACATGATTGAATGAGGAAGATTTGTAGATACGCGGTGACAACAACATGAAGAGAATGGGCTCTCTCTCAACTCTATATAAAAGGATAAAATGCATACAATGTGAAATGTGTATTATTATAGCTTTTGGGAGGTCTAAAGCTTTTGGTGGGTTTGCGATTATCATTATTGTCTGAAACTGATATGGGTCTTGTTTCTTTAATATGGACCACCATTTATGAATATTCTTATATATAAATTATACTATAATATTTACGTATTGTGAGAGCATCTTTTCAGATGATAGTTTAACAATGAATGTGGGGGACTTTCTCCACATTAATATGTCTTATGTCTTTGGCCCTCTAGTCAATTTTCTTTCTTTTTAAAAACAAACAAAATTCATAAACTCTTATTATGATTTTTAAAAATATAATAATAGTCCTCGTGCGTGGAAAAATGAGTCTGGTAGACATAATTTTTATAGATATAAATTCGTTAGGAACTTAAAACCGGTTTTTAATTTTACGCAAAGGTAATATAGTGGTTCCTTCGAGTTGTTGAGTCACAAAATAAGGATTTGTATTTCCTTTGTTACCCATTAGGCTTTATACTGGCCGGGGTCGATTCTTAAAGTGGCCTTTGTTTATTGAAAATGAAAAACAAGTGCTGTTCTTTAATTCTTTTGTTATTATGAGCTTATTAAGAAGCGAACAAAAAATTCGAAAAATTGGAGATATATGATTTATTGATATCAAATAGTTTCATATAGCCAATATACAATCTCCAAAACAATGCAACCAAGCGACCACAAATCTAGGGTTTATTAATTTTATATTCTTGTTTGTGTTTAATGATTGTATAAACGGACCATTAAGTTAAAAGAATATTATTCTAACCGTACGTTGATACAATCATTAAACCCTAACTTGTAACCCCTTTAAATACACGTATCGTCGTCGTCATCGACCAATTAACCCTATATCCGATCCGATCCTCGCGTGCCTCCTCTCTAGTCTCTATATCCTCATTTCATTCGACGGTGATGCTAGCCTTTCGTAACGCCGGAGGTTAGTCATATTATTCTCCGGCTTTAGATCTCTCGTTTTCACATGAGCTATATCATTGGTTGATTTTGGGGCTGTGATAACTTAGGTTTGTTTTTTTCTTTCTTTCACCAAGTAGTATTATAGATTGTAAAGCATGAATCACTCTTACGCTAGACTTGGAAAACCAAATAAGGTTAATTTTGGGGTTCGTCTTTGTGCTCTTGACCTCGAATTTATAAACTCTGCTTGCATCTGAAATTAAACTTTGTAATTCTCCGTCATTTTTCTTGTGGGATTTTGTTAATCTGAAAAGATGGTTTTGTGTGTTTGATGTAATAGCCATGAGTAGGTTTGTGCAAGGGCGTCGTGTTATGACATCATTCATGGGTAGGTTTGTGCAAGGGCGTCGTGTGATTACATCGCGTGTCGACCATGGCTATCCTGATCTGCGACCTAAACGCGAGCTTCGTTACGACCCTCGAATTGGGCCGTTTGATTTTTTTGGTAGGCCCCTGCCTCGGCCCATAATCTCGAAGGCGATTGAGCTTTTGAAAGGACTCACCGATGAGGAAAAGTACAAATATGGTCATGTATTCAGTCAACTGCTGGGGCTTCCAAAACCTCCCGAGGAGCCAACCACAGGAACGTTTGCTGTGAAGCTCGTCGAGTATGATGATGAGAAATTGCAGGAGGTGCTTAAAGAAATTGTATGGGTCAAAGACACTATAAAAGTGGTCAAAGAATTTGCGGAAGAAGAAGTGGGAGCTTCGATTTATGCTATGGAAAACCTCCCCTCCGTGATTAAAGAAGGTATCTCGGAGGAAGAAGCTGACGAAATCATTGCCAAGCTCAAAGCTGCTGGTGGTGTCGCTGTTAAGGAAGACGCTGCTAAGAAACCATTGGAGTGAATGTGATGAGATCTAGCTATGGCAACTTGAAATGTCATGAGAAATTTTTAACTCAAAATACTCATGCAGGATAAAGACATAAGATGATTGGAGGTCGTGTAGGATTCATACTCTGCTTATGTATACTCAATTTTTGTGTGCAAGTTACTTATCAAATTCACAAGAGGGTAAAGATAGATACAAGTGCTAAGGCAGACTGCAGCAATAACTGACCTTGCGGTTGCTAGCAAATGCAGCTTGCCGATGGTTGATTGTGTTGATACAAAGATAAGAATACTCCATCACAAAATATAAATACAAAGAATCAGTAACTTATTCTTCAAGTCATCATAACTTTTCAGACTATAATACTTCATATAGCTATGATGAAGAAATAACAATTTTTAATTGCATATGTTACACAACTGCTGTTCTTTTGTTAATCAGCTTAAGCGAACAAAACAAATTATAAAAATTGGAGATATCTAATACATTGATATCAGTTAATTTCATATAGCAAATACAATCTCAAAATTGTAAAATGATCTACATTTTTGACAGATTAGCAACAGTGGTAACTTCAGCAAAGAAACTACTGAACGGGAACAAAATTGGATCTCGGGGGTCTCGGAGGAAGAATCTTAACCTTCAGGGTTTTTTTCAAAACTCTCTTAAACTTTGAGGACTTTGATGAAATAATCTTCGGTAAACAAAACTTTCACTGTTTTGGATTTTCTTGGATTACCACATTTACCACCATTATCAAAATTTCCAGTTTTAATTGAATAAAAAAGTAAATATTGAATCCGAACATTATGGGTTAAAGTTAAACGTAACATACACACACTGACAATCAACAAACTGAAATATCTAATCTATCTTGACTTGGAGGTAAGTAACCAAAAACAAGAAACAAAAAAACATACTTTTATCAACTATCCTTATCAAATATCCCATCTTTGACCAATTTAATTAGACAAACGTCCATGATCTTCCAGTAAATAATATGAGTAATCAAAAAAGATTTGTTGTGATAACGTGTCCAGTCAAAAGAACAAACATAAACGCTCATAAATTGCACATAACTAGTTTTCCTTTGTATTTAGCCTATGGATAACCCTATGATGCGTGATTATGGATAACCCCATAATCTTCTCTTCTTCTCTTCTCTGACTTGGTTATTGTCTTGTTCAGATTAAGGATTTGCTTGATTTGCACCACACAAACGCCCTAAGTGATATTGGTGATATTATATTGGTGATATTATTATATTGGTGATAATATCACCAAGAGGTATGTGGCTTGGTTTTACGTTTTTAAGTTCATTACTCTCTCAACTTTTCAATGTTAGGTTTCTAATCTTTGGTACGTTTTTTTTTTTAGATATTGAGTATCAGCTAAGTGAGTCTGCATTAGAGAACAAAAATTGTATTGCTGCTCTTGCTCGCAAGGTATTACTTTGCTCATCTTTAATCTTTAGACTGTGGTCTTACAGATTATATATTTGCTAATTTTGGCTTGACAGATAAATAAGATTTATGAGTCTGAGAATCAGAACACAGCAGCCATCAGTGCAGCCATTAGTGCTGTCGCTGAAAAGGTATTTGCTGATGTTTTGTTGTTTTTACAGTTTTATGGATCATATTGTTGCTAACCTTTTGGCTTTGTTTGGTGTAACAGATGAAATGAGTCTGTTTTTAAGAACAAACGGACTGTTGATGCCATATTTAACAAGCTGAGGGAAATGCCGGCCAAGCCTGACCTCGACAATATCCTTGCCAGCCAAATTAGAGAAGGTCTTACACAGCGAGAAGCGACCTACTCACCTACTACGCACTTTTCACCACCAGAAGTGAAAAGTTGCTGATTAGTTATCATTGCCAAGTTTAAAGCTGCTGGTGGACACGCTGTTAAGGAAGACGCTGCTAAGAAACCATTGGAGTGAATGTGATGACCAACTTTCTTTTTATTGGTTCTTTTCCAGTACGTAGTAGATGTTTTGTAAGATGACAAACTTATCACTCTAAACCCTCTCGTGACTCATCTCCTTCTCTCTCTCTCTCTCTACTGCTGCGTCTTGTGAAATGAATGGTTATTGATGTTTGTGTTTGGTCGCAACTTTTCTTACAGTTCCTCTTTGAGTCATGGAGTTACTTTCACAAGAAACTATGCTTTACTCTTGTGAGCTCAAGTTATTGTCTTTCTGTAGCACACGAGGGTTTTTACAATCAACTCAAAGTATGAGAAGATACTTGAGATGAAGGTATGCAAGTGTGATGATGTAAATATTTCCAGCTTATGTGAGGTCCTAATCTCAGTTTGGGTATCTACAAATGATGTACATCTTCATTCAAAATATTCAAAAGTAGCTCTGTTTTTTTCCAAACTAAATGTTTGCATTCACAAGGGTATATAATATATAGAGTATGTCATCCTATCAAAATGCTTCATTTAATATCGTTACCATTCAATAGACACTCGTCAAATACATAACAGATGATGCAAGTGTTTGGGCTCATACCTCTCACAAGTCACAAGTGTGTTGCTTGAGCCAACCAAGAAGAGAGCCATTGTTGGGTGACTAGAGAAGGCTAAAGAAGATTATACTCAGCACGTTCAGGATATGGTTGTGTCTGATGCCACATTACCACTAGGCATAAGAAAACACTAAACAACAAATAGATGAACACAAAGGCCTGTGTGTCAAACATTACTGTCACGATGCATGAAACTACGAATGGTGTTCGAACATATGTTACACAACTTCTGTTCTTTTGTTAATCAGCTTAAGCGAACAAAAAAATTATAATAAATTGGAGATATCTGATACATTGATATCAATTAATTTCATATAGCAAATACAATCTCAAAATTGCAAAATGATCTACATTTCTGACAGATTAACAACAATGGTAACTTCAGCAAAGAAACTACTGAACAGGAACAAAATTGGATCTCGGGGATCTCGGAGGAAGAATCTTAACCTTCAGGGGTTTTTTCAAAACTCTCTTAAACTGTGAGGACTTTGATGAAATAATCTTCAATCTCGATGGCTTCTCTGTAACATCTTCCAAACTCGGCGGAGGTTTTCTGATCCTCAACACCATCCGGTGTCTCTCTCCGCCGGCGGCAACAGAAGCCACCTTATCATCTACGATCAAAAACGGATGCAACAACAACTCCGAAGCGCTTCCTCTCTCCTCAGGTTTCCTTGCGAAACACTTCTCTATAAACTGCCTTGCATCACACGGCACACTCTTTGGAATCTCCGGCGCTTTTCCATCCAAAAGAAGAGGCTTCACGTTATCGAGACCAACACCAGTCCATGGATGCTTACCGGTATACATCTCCAAAACAATGCAACCAAGCGACCACAAATCTAGGGTTTGCTCCACGGAACCACCGTCTCTGATCGACTCCGGCGGCATGTACACAGGCGTACCAACAAACGGAGAATCAGTGTTCCAACAATCAGACTTCTCTCCTGCCTTCGTCGACAATCCGAAATCCGAAATCTTCAACTCGTTTGAACAATTCCACGTTTCTTGATCGTACCGGGGAAAAAGAAGGAGATTGTCCGGTTTAAGATCGCAATGGACATAACCGTGACTATGAACCGAGACCAACCCTTGGAGAATCATCCGAGTGAAGTCTTTGATGTGACAATCCGACATTTTTCTGTTTCTTTGGATGAAATTGGTCAGAGTACCACCAGCTGCGTACTCCATTGGCATCATGAAGACTTCTGTGTCATTGCAATCGGTTCCTTGAAGCAGAGAGTCACCAAACGATTGCACGATTCCAAGACATCCTCTGAGTTCCGAGAGAATTCGAAACTCTCTGTCGATAGAATCGACAGAATCGTAATCGGAGATCTTGACGGCGTTGTAGAACGTTGTGCCGTCGTCTTTTGTGTAACTGAAGAGATCGACGGAGCCGTGCGTGCCTTTTCCTAAAGACTTGACGAAACTCATGTCTGGTTTGCTCTTGTCAGTCTCTGATTTCTTTTTGTAACGTCGCATTTTTCTCTTTCTCGCAATTTGATTTGCTCTGATCAAATCTCTCTTTTGTAACTCTTTAGTGCAGGTATTTATAAACCTTGGAGAAGGTCTAATTACTCGAAATTAGTGGTAAAGAAAGGAGAGAGTGAAAAACCCTAATTCTGATCAGGATTTGTGAATTTTTGAGAAAAAAAAAAAGAAATGGAAATTTGGAGTTTTGGTTGAATGAATGAATATTTGTCGCATTAATTTGTTTTGGGGAAAAAAGAAAGCTTTTGTTGAAAGGTTTTGTTTTTGCCAAAAAAGTTATTAAACAAAAAAGGAAAATAGCTAGATCCGCCATTTCTCCCACTAAATAGTGGATCCTAACCGTTGGATTAAGAGCAAATCTATTGATCCCAAAGAAAATGTATTTATACAACTCTGAAAAAAAAATTGATGTGCTGATCATTTTCTAAACTACCCTCAACAATTAAATTTCAATATTAGTGTTAACTAATCTAAAATTTTACAAGTAGTGATAGCCAAGCCATTAGCATCATATCAGGTGAAATAATTCTCCTTTTACCGTCGATAAAACATCATTACAACAAATACTACATATGATAAAAAAAAAAAAAAAAAATTGCATCATATATAATCACTAAGCAAGAGTTTAATAAAAAAAACCGTTAAAACTGTTTCCTTAGTTAAACATATGAAACAAAAGAACACACATTATCATTCAATTGTTCAATCATCTTTTACGACCAATGCATCAATCTTCAACAACAAACATATTTTTATCAACAACCTTATCAAATCTCCCATCCTTGACCAATTTAATTAGACAAACGTCCATGATCTTCCACTAAATAATATGACTTTATCAAAAAAGATTTGTTGTGATACTCATCCAGTCTATTGAACAAACATAAACACTCCAAAATTGCACAAAGTAGTTTTCTTTTGTATTCAGCCTATGGATCACCACCCTATGATGCGTGCGTCCTTAGGCATGGAGAATGAAATGAGATGTGTGATTGTTACTAGGATTAGGAAACAATCACAAGTATCGAAAAGTTGAAGAAGAATGATATGCTTCTCAAAATTGATGACATCCCAATAGAAGATGATGGGAAATATATAAATTTGTTATGAATTGTTTGAATTTTAAATCAATTCTCAATTTCTTTGTTTAGCATGCAATTTGCTCTGGTTACATGCACCTTTGACCCTTGGTAGTTAGAGAATATTTGTTTCATATTCTAGTAAATATCATTGTAAAATCCTTGATTCAATTGTAAACGAGATAAAAATCAAAGGTTATATATACAAACTAATTAAGCCAAAGATTTGACATAAAATAATAATAATAATAAACCAAAAATTAATTAATCCAATTAAACTATAAATAATAATAATAATAAACCAAAAATAATTAATCCAATTAAACTATCTCTATACTCTCTAATACTACCCCTCAAGATGGATTACATCTTGGAATTACAGAATGTCTTGTGTTTTTGGGAGGCAAGTGAAATCACAATAATCTTCTAGGTCGTCTCAAACTCTCGGTAATGAAAATGAAGAAATTCAAGGATTGATCAGAATGAGCCACAATACAATAAAACCACAATCTCGAGTAATTGGCTTAAACAAATAATCCACAAATCTATTGGTCACAAAAGAAACTATAATTGTTATCACCTAAACAAAGAAACTGTACAATCGACCATTGTTATCACGTAAACAAAGAAACTATACAATCGACCATTCGCAAATCTATTAATTTTTTGTTTTAGTGATACCATCATACTCAGTGAAACTAATATTTTGATTGATTTTTTTTTCTCTTTCTTATGATGAAATTTTAGAAGTAATATAAGGAAGAGAGAAAAAACACACATATATATTATATTAATCAGCATTACATATAAATGTCTGACTATAATCAAACGATTTTCTCTTTCGTCTTATTCACTTTGCCTGTCTAAATTACACATACAAAATCGGACATAGAAAAAATTGATAGAATCAATATTTCTTTTTCCTTTTAAATATAAGCTTAGTTCAAGTAGTAGGCGAAGAGAGACACAAGGGAAGCCCCAACCAAAGAGCCAAGAGCCGGTACAGCTACAGAGGCTCCGCTTGAGGGTCCTGGTGCCGGAGCTCCAACCTCTGCAGCCATCACGGCGGTCATGGAAGCAGCAGCAAAAACAACTCCGCAAGCAATCTTCTTCATCTCCATTTCTAGTTGAGACCTGAAAGGTTTTTGTTTATTTTTCTTTATTTGTAGTTTTGTTTGCTTTTTTTTTTGTGTCTTGCAGGTCTGAAGAGAATAAGATGATGTTTATGGGGATTTATACGAGAGGTAGTTAAGTTATATTTAGGAATTTTTATTTTTAGATATTGAAGTCATTCTAAATATTGAAAATTTACGTCAATAATAGAAATCAAGGAAACTCGCCGTTGAACTTTTACTCCATTGTGTGGCTTTGAGTCATTTAAGCGTTTCCATCCATATTTTTACCGGGTCAAATGTGTATTTGTAAGTTTGTAACATTATTTAATTATATATAGTTACTGCTCAGATTGTTCTTCTTCTGAACTAGTTGGATGGTTGAATGTTTGAATGTCCTTGATGGATCTTATGAACACAATGACTTATTTTATTTTCTTGATCTATGGACTCTTTAAAGAAAAGCCCGCTAAGCAGACATATATTTTGCGTTTCAATTGGTTAGAGAATATTATTTTGCTTCTCTCAGATTCTAAGTCGTTTAATGTTTGTGACTTTGTCTTTGTCATATATCGAAAAACTTAGACTCTTCTGGTATACTAGATTTTGCTGATAGAAATTTTGATATTAACTTTGTTGATGAAAGACAACAAAGTGATCAAATGTGATGACTTTTTGGAAAAAAAATAAGAGAAAGAAAGTACAAAGAGAATAATTAGAAGGGGAAGAAAGAATGAATTAGCTTCTGATATGCTTTTTCTTCATTCTACTTTTTATGTTTGGTTTTGATTAAAGCTGCGTCGAAATCAGCTTTTTCGTTTCTTTTAAGTTTTAAACCAAAAACATTTCTTAGGAAAAATGGAATAAATTCTTAAAAACATAAGAAAAAATTATTCGTGAGTATAATATATTCACAATAGGTTTGGTGTTATCTTGAATAAGATACTCCACGTAAGTTTGTGCTTTGTGCTTGATCACATCACTGCAAAGCTTTTGATAAATTAAATATTATAATGGAATTATAAAAGGTGATAAAGAAAATCACGTAGAACAAACATATGCACCGAAAGTTGATCACTGAAAGGTGACGATCAACTATTTTTTCTTTTCCTAAATCCATTTGCTTTCTTTACTAATCTTTTATATAAAATTTAAACACCATGTTGTGATTGCACTATACGCTCTAGTAAAAGAAGACAAAAGATGAGAACAGAAAATACATAAAAATGTTCCCACTAATCTTGGTTTTCTTCTTTTTTCTGATCAAAGAATAGTGATATGAAAGAGTCCAAAGAAAACATCACGTGAGCTCGAGGACTGAAATTGGTAGCACCAAGGAGAGTAAAGAGATTACGAATTTATCAGATATAGATGTACGTATTAACAAGAATAACCGAATATTAAATTAATCAACCAGGCCACCACCTCTTCACAAAGCTAAATCTGCATATTCCAAAGCATTAAAAAAAAAAAAAAAAATGTAGTTGATCAGTTTATCAAGATTAACAGAAGGGAATGAACCTACTTAAGAATCTTCATTATATTATTACATTTAAAGATATATGTATATCACTTTCATCTGCCCCATATCCACATCCACATCCACATCCCTAAGAAATCCATAATAAACCCTTTTTGGATTTGCCCCACTCAGCTCTACGCCTCTACCCAATAAAATTATATTTATTTATAGCACTAATGCTCAACTGAATATTTTAGTTATCGAGTCATTTAATAAATTGACACATGCTTTAGTACGATTTACATCTAAGGCTCCTCTTAAATAATGCATAAGGTATATTTAAGCAACCAAAAGACTAAAGATTATAGAATTTAATTTCAGGGTTCTCATTCATAAATCATAACAAAAGATATAGTCATAACATTAATCATAATAATATTAAAAAATAATAATAATGACAATAATAATAATGATAATGATAATGATAATGGGAGAAAGAAATCCTAAAAAAAATATGAAAATGGGAGAAAGAAAACCAAAAAGGTTTTTCTTCTTCTCCTTTCTTCCCATAAGCCTTTTTTCTGGTTTTGTTTCCCTTCTCTTCTCTAAAATAAATCAAAAAGAAAACCCCTTCTGTTTTTTTTTTAATGAAAATTAATTTGACCAAAAACAAAGAAATCTTCTTTCTCTTCCTTCTTTGTTAATCTTGTTACCCTTCTACCACCACACCACCACCTGTAAAAAAGAGGTTTTTTTTTTATATATCTACCACAGAGAAGAGACCATACCACAAAATGTTATTCTCATTTGGTTTGGCCTCTTCTCAATTCTGCTGAGCCACAAGCTGATCGAGCTGCATTTGCTCAATCCAAGCTTCTAGACCAGCATGATCCACTACTCCTTCAACAACCGCTGTTGGCTGCTGCTTCACGCTTTCCCCTGAGTTTGAAGACGACGCTGCTACGTTCTCTTTGGCTTCATTCGTCACCAGTGATTGCACCCAAGACACATCAGGCTCATCACCATCAAACGAAGAAGAAGCTCTCATCTTCCCAAGTGCCTCTGAGCTCATCCCCCAATCCGGTTTACCATTTGAAGATCCCCATTTCGACGACCACGAGTTGTTGTTGTTAACCGGTGAACCAACAACCGGGCTTGAGCTTGTTCTCATCTCCCTGGAGCTAAGGCTACGATACTGATGCTGCTGTTGCTGTTGTTGCTGCTGTTGCTGCTTCACGCACTGAGCCAACATTGAAACCCGAGCACTCATCGGTGAAATAGGCTCAACCACATTCCTCGGAGACATCCTTCCTCCACCGGAAAACAACGAATGATCAACACTTTTCGGTGAAGAGAAGCTCGTGTTGATCGGAGACAACATGCTCTGCTGCTGCTGTTGCTGCTGCTGCTGAAACTGGTTGAACACAGCTGACTTGTGCGTCGGCGAGAAAACCGCAGAAGCTAAACCGGAATCAGTAAACCTCGGAGACGACGAAGACCCTTCCGCGGAGAAAAGATCTTCAAGATTCGACGGAGGCATCGACTTCATCCGACCAGAACGGCTCAACGAGTTCGAAAACTCGTTGAGAAGCTGCTGCTGCTCGTAATCCGCCAACATATTAAACTCCTCCTGAGCAATGTCTCTTGCATTGAGAGAAGACCTCAACCTACTCGACTGCAAGTTGCTTCCAGGTAAATGCAGAGCAGGAACGTTCGGCTGCGGCCACGCCATGTTCGAGTGAGGAGACATCGACATCGACATCCCGTTCCCTGCAGCAGACGGCGAGAGCGGAGACATGACACCAGACGGAGAGCCAGGAAGCAGACTCAAAGCAGCTGCGTAGTCAGCGTTCGAGCGAGGAGAAGGAACAGCGGAGCCTGTGGAAGCGTACAAAGGTCGAAGCTCCTCTGGCGTATGCGCGAAGAAACAAACGCGACGAGCACATCCGGTGCCGTCTTTGCAGAGACGAGTCCGGTACTGAGCAGGATGAAGCCAGCACTCAAACACACCGTGCGCGTACTCGCACATGTCCCCTCGTCTACAAGCTCCTTTCCTAAAATCAGGGCACGGCACGCAGCTGTAGTGGAACTTCCTCGGGTCTCTCCTCCTCGCGTTCTCGCCAGGATGAACAAAAGGACACTCGGTCCAGTCGTGAGAGTAAGCTCGCGAGCAAGGCCTCACCTTGAAGGAATACATTCTAAACTCATCAGTCGCGTAGATGCTGTTCTTGATATCCGGCAAAGACGGATCCACCGGATACTCTTTCTTGAACTCAGTCGACTTCAGCTTAAACGGAGAGTCTAGGCCGTTCTCTTCGGTGGGAGATAGAGTCGGAGAAGTGCTGCTTCTGTTCGGAACATTCGTCACGACACGTAGATTCCTCGATCCATCAGCGGAGAGAAGCTCCTGAAGCATGAGCTTCACACCTTCAAGCTTAGGAGGAACAACGATAACGTCTCCAGCACGTTGACCTTCACCATCCAAAACGTTCAGGTCCGCTCCAGCCGCGAGAAGCAGCTTAACGACTTGAATAGCATTCACGGCTCCTCCCGAGGCAGCGCAGTGTAGCGCGGTGGTCTGGTCGTTGCCGCAGGGTCGGTTCACGTTAGCGTCAGTCAGGGAGACGATGAGCTTGATCACGTCGATGCTTCCGTAAGTAGCGGCGACCATCAACGGAGTCCTCTGATCGTTGACCATGGCTTTTGACCCCTTTTGACGGCCGTACCAGAGACCAGCTTCGTCTACGCAAGAAGGGTCTCTCTCGATGGATAGCCTCACGCCTTCCACGTCGTTGTTCGCTGCAAGCTCGAGGAGGCTCGCGAAGGTGTCCTCTGTTTCGACTCTCAGGTGATTCATTTCTGTGTTGGTAACGAGGTTGTTGTCTGGCGACGGAGATGTTGATGACTCGATCTGGTTTAATCGGTCTGATCCACAGCACATACTTCCATCTGTCGAATCGGATTCTGTTTCATCATCACAAAAAGAAAAATTTCAATCAGAAAGACCACTCGGCTTTCGCATCAATCATAAGAGAATCTTATCTGACTACTGAAAGCTAATAAATCAGATCGGAAATACTCAAATTAAGATAAATCTCAGGTTTTAAGTCGTTTTCAGACAGAGGAGGAGTGTTTTGTCTGAAAACAAGACCATGTCTAAACGATTTCCAAAAAATCAACAGTTTTTTTCTTTACCAGTAAGTCAAACAGGTTTCAAAGAAGAATCAAGCAAGACGAATTTGTTAAAGATGCAAATTCTAAAAATAGAACGGGAAACGCACGCACGGAAACTACTAAGAAGCAGAAAAATCCGATCAGAAAAACCCACACAAAATCTTCAATCAGATTTTTTTTTTTTTTCATAAGAAGCAAAGTCAAATAGACAAATGGATATGGTTGCATGTTATTTTAACATCCACAGAAATTAAAACGACGCAGATATAGGGAAAAGCATGAGATTCCGATCGAAAAAAGAAACAGTAATCATCGGAAAAACTTGATTCTTTCATGCCCACATCGAACCGATGATCAACAAAATCTCACCTGATTGATCTCGATATGAACAAATTTAACAGAGGGCAAACAAAGCCATCTCTTGGAGGAAGACTTTTGATGGTTAATCGTTAAGATGAATCAGCTTCTAGTAGATCTAGAGAAGAAGAAGAGAGAGAGTGATAAAAGGAGCACAAGTGAGAAGAAAGAGGAGGAAAACAATTATTTTCCCGTGAAAATCTGGGAAAAGGAAAAGGAATAAAAAAGAATCGGTGAAAGTCTTTTGAGAGAGAAGAAGAAATGGCGAGAGCTTGTTCTTCTACACCATCTCCATTTCCCAAGCTCAGATCTCACACTAAGAAAAGTATTCACAACCCAATAGAAAAAAAAATAAAATATAAAGTACTCAATATTTATTTTCTGAGAAAAACATATTTCGACATTTCGTTTTCGATTAATGCAATTTATTAAATTTCGCTATCCAATGGGAGAAAGCTATTAAATAATAATAAATTTATTAAATATTAAAGAAAAAAAAAGGAAAAAGACAAGCGCTATGAGATCTTATTCTAAGCACATAGAGCAAACCCAAGGGTACAAGTGTCAGATAAAATTCTAACTGCTGAGATGGAAGAGTGTGATTGGCTGACACTGGAAGTGGACACGCATGTATCCTATTAAGCTTTTGTTCCGGGTCAAATTCTCCAGTAATTCCACTTAAATGCAACTTCCTATAATAAGGTGTTAGCAATCTAGTGAGTCCAGTTACATCGTATTAAATCTTATTCTGATACGTGGCAACACATCTATGGATGATTTCTCAGCCTTTTTCGACATATCCCCCGTTACAGAAATCTCTAGACGCTCTGCTTTCTTCATCAGGTTTTTCCCAAATTGTCCTTTGCAAAAAAAAATCTAAGAAGTCTTTTTTTACCCCTTTTTTCTTATTTTGAGGAGACACGTGGAATTAAATTGAGCAACGAGCACAATTTTATGATGTTACCGGGCGTACCGGTGAAGCCGGTGGTACGGACGGCGAGTTTGAATGGAGTTAGGCTAACGGAAATAAAACGGGACCAACCGGTAGCCTGTGGCGGGCGTAATCGAGAGGTTTATTAAACGATATTCAAGAAGGGTAACTGGCGTCCACCAAGCGTACGGGGAACGGACGTGACATATTTTATTTAATTCCAGTTTAATTGTGGAGTCAATCATAAACCAATAAAGAAATCAAATCGTGGGCCCAATGTGTAAATAAATGTTTTAAAAAACTAAATCGAAATTTCCAAAATCCTAAAAAGTAAAAGAGGGAATTAAAGATAAATTGCCATTATGGGTGGATATTTCCCATTTTTATACCCCACCAATATTTTTCCCAATAATTTATTTATTTTTTATAAAGAAATAATTTATTTTCCCCTATTCTTACAAGGAATTATTTATTATTTTCTCTATATATCATGTTATTAATGGTAAAAATTATCATCAAGCTGAGAAAAAATACCATCAGACTGTTTCTCAAATTTGTTACAGATTTATATTTAAAATATAACCATAATATAATCCTGACCAATAGGCTTGACATTTTACCTCAATTTTCATGCATGAGCACGCTCATGTACAACGTATAAATATATTTTACTTATGGTCATCCAAAACTAAGTTCAGATGTTAATATATTTACCTCTATCGAAGAGCTTATATTAAAAGATTGCTTAGACTTTAGTGTTTCTTAAAGCTTCTTAATATTGTAACTTGATTATCACACAAAAAACTCATTGGTCACCCTGGTTTGGCATAGAACATGACAGCATGTTCCCAAATCCAAATGATGGTTAAAGCATTGCGTCAAGATGAACATTATTAGGAAAAAAGAAAACTAATCGAGAATTATCATCATCATCTATAACTGGAATGATTTGTTGGAAGTATATAATAACAGAAATACCTTTAATAATGAAATTTTACTTACTACAGTTTAGTTTTGTACATAACTGAAGAATCTCCAGCGAAATCTAAACCAATTTTTAGGAATTAAAAAAAAAATATCAAATAATTCAAGGAATACATAAAGAAAATATCTTGATTAAAACGTCTATCTAGTGGTGAGTGGTCCAGTAAAACCATCAGTCAACTAGAAATATTTTTCTACTCACCTCAAACGGTCTATAAAAACTAATTGTATGAATATATAAAACATTACTGTAAGCAACGAAACGACTACTAATCGTCTAATACAGTAAATACAGTAATACTTGAAAAGATGAAACGAAAAAATATTAAGATTAATCTTTACTGGCATTATGGTGAAGTTGTTTGATTTTTTTTTTTTTTTTTCAAGCTTTCCACCCGCCGGGTTCAAGTTTTGTACTTATAAAGTTGTAATTGTATAGACGAAAAGAAGTACTGATGTATTTAAAAAAAAATAGTAGTGATGTACTAATTTTGTTTACTAATTAGGTAATTATATTGTTTGGTTGGTTTTGTTTACAACTGTTAATAAACGTGTAGTATAATTATTTTTATCGTCTAGTATTTTCTAACTAAAGTGAAACAATAATGGTTAATCATACATAATTATGGCTCGATATTTGACTTCCTCATGCCGTGGGAGAAAAACATTAGCGGGGCTTCTTCACTTACCCACTAATCATTGTTAGTGATAATAAATTCTTGTCACCAATACTCAATGGTGCTGCATCCATTAATATACTTACATTAATGTATATACAAGGAACTAAAAGTATATACAAAAATAAGTAAAAAGCATTATCCTGATGCACGAGATCACTTTTGGATCATGTGGATATAAGTAACAAGATATAGCATGAGTCCGACATTAATTAAAGACCAATCATCACACTCGTCAGGTTAATTTTAAAAAATAACTTAACACACTGGATTTTTTCATAAGTACTAATATGAGTAAAACCATTTTACTTTTTATTTTACAATAATTGTAATCCTATGGAACAATAAAAGCGAATAATTTGTTTTTTCCAAGAACTATATAACACAAAATTACCATAACCGAAAACAACATACTTTATACTTTTATAGTGATAATTATTTGATAATTGTTGAATCTCAAAATCACACAATAATAGTAAGATAAGAGATGTGAGGTTTAGGAGAGACTCTTTATTAGATCAACCAAAGACAAAGATGATACAAGGGGTGATTCGTCTCGACGAAATGTGACGAGACGAATACGAAAAGAATAGAGAAGCTAAGAACAAAGGACGAATTATAACTAGGGTTTTGCCTCTTTGCTCTCAGTGATTGTGGAGTTTCTGGATGATGAATGATTCTGAATGGTCTTCAAGGAATAGGGGGTCTTCTATTTATATGGAGAGGAGGTTGGCTTCCTCAAGATATTCTTCCATATTTCTTTTGGAAATATTCTTCTTTGGCGTTGATCTCCTTCTATTTTTCTTGGATGTAGTCTTTCTCTCCAAGTACTTCCTTTTCTTTGAGGAGGTGGAAGTGGAAGCGGGCCGGGCTTACATAGTATTATTAATTGTGACGGGCTCAGGAAATTGTGCTAATTTCTGCTCTAACAATAAGTCCCCCCCAGTTTGGCGAGATAAATGCAATTTAATCTCGGCGAACTTCATGTATAAAAGAGGAGCTCAAGAGCAATTAATAATAACTATGTGATGCCGACGCGATGCCGATGCTGTCGCGATGCTGCGCTGACGTGATGCTGCGTTGCGTTATTGACTTTAGATCCGTACTGCCTCGTTAAAACCTTGATATGGAAAAACCCTATGGGATAAAAACCATAAGAAGGGAAAAGAGTACAGTGACGTAATCTTGTCCGCAAATAGAATGTGCTTTTGATAATTTCTCTCGGACTTGACGAGATGACTCTTTTGTCTCGTCAAGGAGAATAGATTGCTGTGACGATTTTTCTCGGATTCGAGCTTCGACGAGATTGGTTTTATCGGGCTCGTGTGATGACGAGACCGCTCGATCTCGTATATGATGACGAGATCGGTGTCTTCTCGGGCTCGTGTGATGACGAGACCGCTCGATTTCGTATATGATGACGAGATCGGTGTCTTATCGGGCTCGTGTGATGACGAGACCGCTCGATTTCGTATATGATGACGAGATCGGTGTCTTATCGGGCTCGTGTGATGACGAGACCGCTCGATTTCGTCCTTCAGACCTCAGACCTTTCGGGCTCACCCCAAAGTCTGAAGGCATTCCCATCGGTTCGGACGCGACGGCTTCGCGTCGGCTTACTCCTCATGGATGATCAGTCCGTATGTTTTTCTCGGATTCGCGCTTTGGCGAGACCGGTTTTATCGGGCTCGTGTGATGACGAGACCGCTCGATCTTGGATGACAAGATCGGTGTTTTCTCGGGCTCGTGTGATGACGAGACCGCTCGATCTCGTGTGATGACGAGATCGGTGTTGTCGAGAGGTTTGGCCAGAACGTCGACGTGTGCCTTTGGAGGTGAATAAAATTTTACAATGCTCATCTCGTCAGACGGATTATAGAATTTTATTGGGGGTATAGCTGAACCTTTGGAAAGGCTGCCTACGTACCCATGCCGGGATCAAGCCATTCGTAGTTCGTTTTCTCGGTCTCGTGCTTGAGACCGGTTTGATGCCGAGATGTTTATCGGACTTGCCGTTTCGGCGGCGGAGGCAGATCATCTTGGTGAGGGAGTGATGCAGGCGCGTTCTTCTCGGCGTCGTCGTCTTCGATCTTGGCGCGTCGTATTTCTACTTTGGCGCTGGTTTGCAGCTCGTCGATTTTCGTCGCGGCGTTCAGCATCATTTGGCTTTGCGGAGTATTGCCGTACTCTAGTATCATGCTGTTGATGCGCCTACATTCTTCTGTAGTATGATCGGTTCGTCCATGGAGTTTGCACCATTTGGACTCGTCGCTGCCCTGTCGAAAGACTCCTTAGAGGCCTCCTTTTAGTCTCTTGACGAGATGACTCCTGATGAGATGACTCTTGACGAGATGATGCATGCGAGACGATCCTTCGTCATTCCATGAATCTTTGAGTGGTGCGCCTTGCTTTCTTCAACGCAGACGTATTTTTGGGACCTGTGCAAAGCGTCCTGGAGGGTTGCGGGTTCGTCGAGCATCAGACTCTCTTTCAACTTTGATTCGAACCAAAGCCCGTTTTCGAAAGCTTGATTCCCATCGTCGGGGATGTCTGAGTGCTCAGCTGCTGCTGTTTTGAATCTCTCGACGAACTTGCGAAGAGACTCATCTTTTCCCTGTGCCATAGTGAAAAGATTGGTGCTGCCTTTTGACATAAACATGCCAAAGTGTTTCATGAATGCCGTGCTGAGATCATCAAAGTTGTCGATGGTCTCGGCAGGGAGGTTCGAAAACCAGCTCGTCGCGTCTTTGTTCATGTGCTCGATGAACACTTGACAGTAGTTTGCGTCTTGTTCTTCGGGGGAGGCATATTTTGCCTTCTCATGGCCATCTCGAAGTTTCTTAGCCAGTTTCGAGGATCGTCGCCATTGTTGTAGAACTGAAGACGGAGAGCCGTTTGATCCTTTAGAGGTATCGCGGCGATGCGACGAGTGAAAGGACTCCTTTTCGTCTCGGCGAGGATTTTGGCAATCTCGGGTGACGAGCTGATAGCGTCGTGCACTTTGGAGCTGATTGCGTCGAGGTCGCGGCGCAGCTTGGCCACTTCCGGGTCGGTGTCTTTCTCACCATTCGTCGCGGCATTGGAGCCAGTCGCGGCGGTGCTTCTTGTCGGCGTCTGGAAGAGAGTTCGTCCCGTCGGGATGACTCGTCCGTCGCTGGTGACGTGGAGGGAGTCGATCTTGTCGTTGTACTTTTGCTGCTGAGCTTGCATCTCGGCGAATTGAGAAGCAATTTGAGCAGCAAAGCCTTGCATGGCGGCGGTTAACGCGGCGGTCGTGACGGGAGCTTCTACGTCAGGAACCGGTGGCGGCGGAGGGTTGACGTGACCGTTGGTCGCGTCGACTTCGACGGGATGGACGATGGGGTTTCCATCTGCGCCGAGTTGACTTTGCAGTCCGCCTGTTCTGATGCTGGGATCATCAGCTGGAGGTGCCATCTTTGAACCTTGATTGACTTTTTTCAGAGTTTTTTCTCCAGCCCCACGGTGGGCGCCAATTGTTGAATCTCAAAATCACACAATAATAGTAAGATAAGAGATGTGAGGTTTAGGAGAGACTCTTTATTAGATCAACCAAAGACAAAGATGATACAAGGGGTGATTCGTCTCGACGATAAGTTGACGAGACGAATACGAAAAGAATAGAGAAGCTAAGAACAAAGGACGAATTATAACTAGGGTTTTGCCTCTTTGCTCTCAGTGATTGTGGGTGATTATGAATGATTCTGAATGGTCTTCAAGGAATAGGGGGTCTTCTATTTATATGGAGAGGAGGTTGGCTTCCTCAAGATATTCTTCCATATTTCTTTTGGAAATATTCTTCTTTGGCGTTGATCTCCTTCTATTTTTCTTGGATGTAGTCTTTTTCTCCAAGTACTTCCTTTTCTTTGAGGAGGTGGAAGTGGAAGCGGGCCGGGCTTACATAGTATTATTAATTGTGACGGGCTCAGGGAAATTGTGCTAATTTCTACTCTAACAATAATCACTGAACACTAAATTATTGAAAACTCCTATTATTTGAAGATTGTGAAGTCGCATAATGATCTGTTTACTAAAATTTCACAATTCATAATTCAAAATTTATTAAATTGGCTTATACACCACACCATGGTGAAAACAGTTTTAACTTTTAAGAATACCAATTGATAAAGGAAAGGAAGGGACACGTGTGTTAAGATAAAAGGCGTATGAGAAGTAGGGGAATAGTAGCAATAATGGAAGGGGCCCGAGTGACCAAACTTGTGCAATGGGAAAATGTGAGTGTAATGTTTACTTTGGTGGTGTTTTGTCTGCGTCTCTCTTTTGTTTGATCTCCACGTGATACACTTACCAAACTCTAATCTCTTGTTGCATCCACAGGGCGCAACTTCTTCCAACTCTCCCTCTCTCTCTTATCATATGTTTGTTTATATACATTAATTCGCTTTGGTTAGTTAATGACTGTTCATAACTTCATTAATATTAATATTTTTTTTAACAAAAACTATTTTTAACCGCATATTTGTAAATAGCTAGCCTAAGGTGACTTCTCCACTCCATCAATAGGTTTTGTGACTAAAGTACATCGTTACTACTATATGGACTCCAAACAAAATCTTAGAAGGCAGCAATACATATAGTTTTTGTAAGCCTTTATAACTTGGCATGTCGGTGATGTACACGTTGACGGACAAAATATTATCGAACCTCGTTTTAAGTAATATTGAAAATTGAGGGAAACCATGATAAGTTTGACTATAACTCATTTCATCATCAATTAGGTATGAGCAAAATTTTCATAAAACTCTGTATTGAATTAATACCTAAGAATGCTAATCGAGTATACAGTCAAAATTATTGAACGGAGCCTGAGAATTGGAAGCATTGGTTATTCATCATCCCGAATGAACTTTTAGATGAAAATCGTGAATCTTCACAAATCTAAGTATATATGTTTATATCATCTATTGGTATTGGAGACGTTTATGCAATTGACGTCTCATTTCTATTTGGAAATAAACAGCTTTCTGCACCGTACTCTAAAATCAATCCCTAAAAGATATCCGGAAAACTTACTTTGGATGTTTTATGGTAAAATCAATCCCACCGTTCAAAATGATCATACGTGGAGATGTTATATTCGTAATCAGTAATTGATTGCTATGAAGTTATCACTTATAAATTATTAGTTTTTTTTTTTTGGGTGAGTAAATTTACATTTTTATATGTGTCAAGAGACAAACTTAAAGAGGTCATATGGTGAAATGGCTACCGAATAGAGATATGTTTCGCTTTCAAGAAGCTTGGTGATGTTGAGTCTGGACATTAATTTAGAGGGACAACATATTCTGGTTTTTTTTTTGTCGTTTCTAGAGGATAAATATCGAATATATTTTAAAAGCAAACAAGTGAATTGTACATCGGACTATGAAGAAAAAAAATATTGCACCTCATCAAAGATATAGTTGTGTTAGGAACGGTAAGTCTTGTTTGCAACTATTTCTTTCATTTTCTCAAATATACTAAATACTAATTTTGATTCTCTATATTGAATTTTTTGTTTGTACCTATTTGTAAACCAGAGAAAAGGAAAATTAACAGAAGTGTTAATCGAAGCTATTTTGTTTGTGTGTATATAATTAAATGTATATCTAACAGGGTACACGTAAACATTGAGGATATTTGGAATAGAGAACTATGCGTCAAATGATATGAACAAGAGAAAACAACCGAACCTAACATTGGTCCATTTTCGGACATTTGGGATGTTAAGAACCGTAGATGCAACTTTTCTTCTGATATCTATGTTTGTGGCTCCTCTTTTTTTCATTAGAAAAATTAAAATTCTTTAAAAACTAGAGGGTCCACCTACTTGGTACCTTTTAGATTTGAAATAGAAATAAATTAAAACTATTATTATCATGAGACTAGAGACCAATGAATAATATTTTTGGAAAATGTGGGAGAAGTTTTATGAACGGAGCGAATGAAGAAACCCAACTCCAAGCCCACTTACCCAATTGGTGAAGACAAATGAGGCCATAACATGGAATTATGAACGAAATAGGCCAAGTTCATTAATTTCCTGTCAATTAAATCATTATCAGCCGATTTATTTACGGATTCTAAATTATTTAGGGGTCCCGAAAGCTATAAGGTTATATAGACTTGTAGTGTGTCAATTTTACATAAATATCACCACCAAGTACCAACTTGTTTCTTTTGTTCTTTCTTCCCACTATATCAACCTCTAAAATGTGTGATGTTTTACTAGGTCTCGATTGCTAATATATATTTCATGATTACTGACGCTGGTTGTATCTTTTATAATATGAGGTTGAACTATGTTGCTAGTTCTCTCGTGAATTTGAATTTCAGAACAAGTTGCAACCAACAACCGAACTACTCACGTCTCGATTTTACCTAATAAATTATAGATTTTCCATCACATTGTACAAATTAATTGAAGAGAGAACATTTAAAACGAGATGTGTTGAAAATAAGAAAACGACTGTCAAATTTTAACCGTGATTTTCTATATAACTTTTTTTTTGTCATGTTGGTTTAGGATACATAAAATATATATTTACCGATTTATTGGCTGCTACAAAGTAAAAAAATTATAAATTATTAAATAAAATACAAAAAGGGAAGCAATTAGTTCAACTGCTCCATGCTTAAAATGGGGATGGATGATGAATTAATGGACCCCTTGAATATACAATATGACCGAAGAAGACCCATCCTCTCTATTTGAATATCCCATTGTTCCAGCTTTGTGATTTCTGTCTCTGGTTAGACGTAATATTGCTTTGACATTTTATAATCATCGAATCTTAATTTTATGAACCAATTGTTATACTTATGTGGTATTTAGTATACACCTACACAAAAATAGATTAAAGAAATGTGATTACTTTTTCTTTTTATGTAGCACTCATGGATTGTGTAATCTGCATGCAACGCTTGGACTTTATGACAAAGTGATTTAATTTGCATTATTTCTCTACTCAAAAAGTGAAAGAAAGGTATCTTTTTGAGCTTAAAGAAAATGAAAAATCTAAAAGCTTTAACAAGGGAATCTCTCTAGGCTTCCACTCGTTCATGATTTTGTAATATAACGAAAAATGAACTATATATTTTCTTAGTGTACCAGTACGTTACGTTACACCAACACGTAATTGTTTGCTCCACATATAAGTGGCATGCTTTGACGTCGAGATACGATGCAAATTACTCTTAGTTTTTTCTCCTATTGAAACGGCATGTATAGTTTATACTTTCCATCACTTTAATTGTATTGGCGCAGAAAAATGTAAAAATAGAATACTAGAGAAGAGTGATTTTGATTTTTTATATTTTTCAGAAACAGTAGTGATTTTTATATTCGAAAAAAGCGATATTTTAAGTTTGCTTAAAAAAGTGAAAAGATAAGCAAGCGAATTGAGACACACGTGCTAGACTGCTAGGACCCGACATTCTTCAACCGAGGCAAGCAACTCGTCAAACCCTGCCTGTCCAAAGCTGATCCTCTAATTATTTAATTACTTTTTTAAAATTGACGCCAAGCACTAAAACTTTTAAATCTTTCATTTGGTGAAAACATTTTCAATTATAATGGTAAGTAGTAATAACAAAAGCATCAGACGTAAAAATGCAATAACTACTAACTAGAGTACTATTTTGAATATGAAAAATTATTGTCTAGAAGGAGTACACTGAGATCTTCATTAATCGTCCAACTGTTTATTACCTTCAGTTTCAGAGGCATTCCCTTCTAAAAAGAACATTTTTTCCCCATAATATTACACTAAGAAAAAAAAACAAAAGTACCAAAAAAATTGTTTTTTCTTCTTCAAATTTTACACCTTCTTATTAAAAAACTTGTGTTTTTAGTTTTTTACCATAGAGGATATTGATGATAATTTGTTATAAAAAAAGATATTGATGATAATTTGAAAAGCAGGATCTTGTGAGTTGTGAGCATATAAACTGTTAAATTAGATTTTTTTCTTTCTATTCACTATTTTACTTACTGGTTGGTTGACTTGGATCCTATGCGAATCACAGAAGAAATATATCGATTATTGGTCTAATATCAAATCACTAGTACAAGTGTTGTTTTCGTGAATCGTCATTATTGCTGCTTTTCTATTTTGTTGCTAGAATTATTGATGCTTTATTTTCATTATCATCATTACTGTAGTTACCATGTAAATGTATCTAGAGATTTAAAGACCTTCAGTGATGACGAGGGACCACCACCGTTTAAGTTTCTTATTATGGAGGCTGCAGACTAAACAGTCTAACAGAGACCATGGTTAACTGTTTTTCGTTTGGCAAAAAGTTTAATACTTTAAAAGTGTGAACTTAAATAAGAAAAACGAAACACTAAACTCGTTGATTACTTCATTCATAGAGAAAGGTCGACCAGCAAGTTGATTATATAGAGAGCTTTTCTTGTCAACGATTGTTTATAGGTCAAGTGATTGACCATTTTTAGCACTAATTAATTTACACATGCAATCAGAACTTACTAGTTGTGAGTCACAACTTGTGACAGAAAATAGTCACTAGCCACACTTGTGATAAATCATCAATAATACACGCAACTCCTCAGCTACCCAAGAAAATTATCTTCCTAATCAGATTAATTTGGAACATTAAAGTTTTTGTAAATCTACTTAATCTATCACATACTATTATTTATGCTCGCAAGCTCTACATGAAGTTTTTTTTGTTGTTGTTCAACAAATTACACTCTTTTGTTTCCATCCCTTCTTTAAAAGACAACTCGTAACGGAAAGCGACAAAGTTCAATTAAAAGCCTTTATTAAAAAAATTGTTGTTATTTTTGTAAAAGCTTACCACTTTCCTCTTTCACACTAGCCAAGAGAAGTAGAGAAGAGAAGCAAAAGATTCTTTATCAGATTCACCTCGTTTCACCTCGTTGCAAATCTCTCTAGAGTTTCCTCGCATTATTTCCTCTTCTCATGTGTTTCATCAATTCAGTTTCTCCCAGCTAAAACCCTTTGAGAAAAGAAGTCTCTTTCAATCTATGTCGGCTTCTTCGTCTACCTACTCGGTGAGTGCGTCTTCACTGTCTTCCTCTTCATATTCACCTCACAGCTTCATTCTCTGATATTCTTCCAGTAATCCACTCAGAGTTTTTTTAAATCCTTAATCTTGGGTCCCATTTTAAGCCTAAAGTCTCTGTTTTTCCAGTCAATCTTTACAGTAATACCCTCCCACATCCCACATCTCTTCATTGAAAGTTCAGTTAGCTTTTTCTGGGGATAAAAATCAAAACTTTTGTTTTGTTTTCAACAACACTATTTATTGCTCTGGTCAAGTTTTTTTTGTTGAGAACTTGGTGATTTGATACTTGTGTGGGTCCAAAGGTGAGAAATTGAAATTGAGCTCCTTTCTTGTGCCTAACCTGTAATGTAAGGTCCCTTTTTTTGTTTCTCCCCTTTTCAATTTTGGATTTTCTATTCTCAGGAAATTTGAAACAGAGCTTTGGATTTTCGGGATGATGTTGAGATGAAACCAGAGTCTATTGTCTCCTTGTATGTTGTTAGATCTCTAAATCAGACACAAAGATGCTTCTTCGAGCTCTGTTTCTGTCTCTCTCTCTAGGGCTCTGGGCGTTCAAATTCGTGGTTTCAGAGATTCAATTGGGTTCTAGACTCGTCGTTGGCGAAAACAGCTTGTGGGAATCCAACAATGGTGATTTTGCGATTGGGTTTTTCAATCCTCCCGATTTGCCTAACCGGTTTAGCATCGGTATCCGGTTTAACTCCGAATCAATCCCTTCCGATCAGCGGAAAGTCGTCTGGGTTGCTGGAGCAGGTGTTTCCGTCACCGACAACACCTCCTACTTCGAGCTCTCTCGTACCGGAGAATTGGTATTGTTCGATTCCTCTTTGCGTGTTCCGGTTTGGAACAGCAAGACGAACCGGTTCTCTGTCTCCTCTGCTCTGCTCCGTGACGATGGTAATCTTGTGTTGTTGAAAGACAGTGAAGAGATTGTTTGGCAAAGCTTTGATACTCCTGCTGATACTCTGCTTCCGAACCAAAAGCTGTTAGCTTTAGAGATGCTTAGAGCTGCTAGTGAGAGTTCTAGGTCTAGCTATTACAGTCTCCACATGAAGGATACAGGGAGGTTAGAGCTGAGATGGGAGAGTAACATTTCCTTCTGGTCAAGCGGAAACGAAGAAGCCACGAAGAAGAAGAAGGAGAAGATCGGTGCTCTTCTGACTTCAGAGGGTGCTCTGTTTCTTGTGGATCAAGATCTGATGAGACCGGTTTGGTCTGTTTTCGGAGAAGATCACAACGACACTACCGTGAAGTTCCGGTTTATCAGGCTTGACCGGGACGGTAATCTGAGAATGTACTCGTGGAACTCGTGGAACGAGGATTCAGGGGTTTGGAAACCGGTTTGGCAAGCCGTTGAGAACCAGTGTCGGGTTTTCGCCACCTGCGGTTCGCAAGTTTGCTCCTTTAACAGCTCCGGAGACGCCGAGTGCACTTGTCCTTACAACACCTTCGCGCCGGTGTGGAATCCGAAATGCTTGGCGCCGTATCAGAAGCTGGGATGCAAATCCAGCTTCGACATGGTGAAATTTAAGAACTTGGACTTGTATGGGATTTATCCGGCGGATGATTCGGTTATCCCTCGGATCAGCTCGCAGAGATGCAAGAAGATGTGTTTGGAGAACTCTTCTTGCACCGCAGTCACTTACATTAACGATGGGAACGCTCAATGTCGCATGAAGCTGACTCGGTACATCAGCGGTTACTCTGATCCGTCTCTGAGCTCTGTTTCGTTTGTGAAAACATGTTTAGATCCGATCGCTGTGAATCCGAATGTGTCGAAAGGTTTGTCACCTGTGGATGTATCAGCAAAGTCTCAAAGTATCTGTCTTCCATGTCTCGTTGGTGCGACTTCCACTACGCTTGCTCTGTTTCTCTGTTTTCAGCTCGTTGTAGTTGTGTACATGTACAGGAGGAAGAAGAAGCAAGCGAAGAAGAAAGCTGATCGGTTTTCGAAAGCGGCGAATCCGAAAGGAGTGATTGTATTCTCTGTCGATGAGATCAAGGCGATGACTAACGACTTTGAGGATAGCATAGGACCGGAGATGTTCAAGGGGGTTATGCCGGAGGGTGAAGAGCTTGTTGCGGTTAAAGAAATGGAGGCAGCGTTGACAGAGGAAAGGAAGTTTAGGAGCTCTGCAGCGAAGATAGGGACAATGCATCACAAGAATTTAGCGAAGCTTGAAGGTTACTGCTGCGAGCGAGGCAGGAGGTTTGTGGTTTACGAATACGCCAAGAACGGGTCGATACTCGACCACATTGTTGACCCTTTGCGAAGCAAGAAGCTGACGTGGAGGAAGAGAACGGAGACCTGCTTAAGCGTGGCGAAAGCTTTGTGTTATCTCCACACGGAGTGTAGAGAGTTCGTCAGTCATGGGAACTTGAACTGTGAGAACATTCTGCTCGGTGAGGGGTTAGAAGCGAAGCTGACGGAATACGGATTCGGTTCTTGTGCTGCGGATAAAGACGTTGAGGATTTTGGGGAGACGGTTTTAGCTGTGGTGACTGGGAGGTACGAGTGGGGAGGAGTGGTGAGTGAGTGGGTGTATAGAGAATGGATTGAAGGGAGGAAAGAAACCGTTGTGGACGAGAGATTGGAGGGAGGTTTCGATGTGGAGGAGCTCGAGCGGGTTTTGAGGATCTCCTTCTGGTGTGTTCAGGCTGATGAAAGGCTAAGGCCATCAATGGGGGAAGTAGTCAAGGTTTTGGAAGGTGCATTGTCTGTTGATCCACCGCCACCGCCTTTTGCTTGTGCAAGATCATCGTCGCCGACTAACTCATCGGAGTCTGGTTATTCGTTGTAAGAGAGTGTTGAAGTATTTGTATAGTTTGATGATCTATCTGATTTAACAACAATTGTAGTGAAGAGACTGATGATTGTAGTTTCTATTTCTATTAGTCTTTTTGGCTCTGATCTTTGAATTTGTTAAAGGAATTGTCTTTTGCCTTGTTCTGTTGTGCCTAAAATCCCTGAGAGCCTCAGGATGAGAAGGAGGCTTTGTTGGTCACTCTTGCTGCGCGTTAAGTCACGCGCTTGAGTCTTTTGTACAAGTGTGTGTAATGGTGGAGCAGGACCAGGATGAGGACCATGACCATTGGTTGGCTTACATGAACCATCCTTTCACTACAATCCGACCGACCTTGGCCCCACAAGAGTGAGTCTGATCGAGCTCAGATGCAAAAGCAGTTGTGATATATGAGAGGTGTAGAGCTTTGCTTTCAAAGATGAAAGGACATGGACACATGGAGATTCTGTTCCAAAGTCCCCAAGTTGTTCTTTGGTTGTCTCTTTCTATTGTCATTCCTCTTTAGACACTCTTTTCAATTTCATTGGCTGCTTTTTTAAAATTTCAACTACTAACTGACACTAACAGCTTCTGTTTTTTTTTCTCCCCACAACACACAAAAGATAAAGCTTTTGTACATCCAAATCTATAGTCATGTAATATCACTGAACACTGTTTCATGGGATCAATCTTTAATACCCAATTCAAGTATTTTCAAAACCCACAGCTAAAAGTATTCAATTTTGATCCTTCTTCGAGTCTGGTCAATCAGAATTACAAAGAACAATGTCAACGCACCAAATCTTTCATCATCATCCTAACTCTTTGAAACTAATATTCACTCTCTACGGTTCTTAGAGACCAATGTCATCTAATATTTAATGTAAACCGGTTTAAACAGATTTGGAGCAAAACATTAAGTGAGCTTTAATTTACTGTTCGATCGCCAATACCAACTCATATCTCAGTCTTGGATTCAGATTTTACACCGACGCCATTCAAGTGTCCCTTCTCCAGTTGATCCACCAGAAAAGCTGGAGCTTCTCTTCTCCCTAACAAAAATAATAAAAAGGAAAAAAATCAAAATTTGATTATTAGCAACCATCCATTGATCGATTGAACTGGAGTTATATAGCAATGGGAGGGAATAGCCAAAGAGTCTGACCATAGAAAAGAGATTCAACGCCTCCACAAGAACAACGAGCAATGTTATCTGCTTCTAGGGTTCTATCACGGCGGGTCTTGTTGAACGTCGAACAATGTTATCTGCTTATAGGGTTCTATCACGGCGGGCCTTGTTGAACGTTGTTGGAGACATTAGTTAGTTGACCATCACTTTCTTCCACAGCTTCCAATTTCAACTGGATCTTGTGGAATAGTTACCTTCGCTTCTCCATTGACAAACTTATCCTTGTAAATTTGCAGTAAAATATAATATATCAGACTGTTTAAAAAAATAACATAACATCCCCATATCTTTTTACGGCACAAATGATTTTTTCTCATATTTATTTTAATTTTTCCACTATGAATTTAAATACTCCATAATTAGTACAGAAAAGTAGGAAATCAAATGAATAATTCAAAATATGATTTCTAAAAAAAGAATGATCAACATCGTTTTCATTGGCTCTAGCTTTTTCTTCTCTTTTCTTTTTCAATTTTGGTGAAAATAGTTATAATTAGAATGTATTAGTATATGTATTATGGATGTTGACAGCTATAAAAACCACGTACTTGTTACAACTATTTCTCACAATTCTAAAAACAGAATTTCTATAATTAACATTGAGATATGAGGTCTACTTCTATGTTCATGGTAACGTTGATTGTCATATCACTTCTTCTAAATCATGTTCAAGGTACATGTAAATCACTACAAGAAAACAGCTGACTTCCGACCACCAAATTGGTCAGAATATGGTCGGAAATGAGGCTTTCCGACGGCTTTCCGACCATCCCACTTCCGTCAGAAATCGTTTGTCGGAAATTTTTATTGGTCAGAAAACAGTCGGAAATTTCCGACCATTACATGGGTCGGAAAAACGGTCGGAAAAAATGGTCGGAAAACAGTCAGAAATACTGATAGAATATCGACTAACTAGAAGCAGTCGGAAACCATTTCCGACCCATTTCCAACCGAAAATAAATAATATTTAATATATATTATTTCTATTTAATTATATATTAAAATGAAAAATAAAATAAAAATACCAAAAATTGTTTTTTAAAGAAAACTATATTAAATATAAGATTGAGTTTGAATTATATGTTTGGACAATTGAAATGTCTAAAACAACAAAAACAACCATTAATATCTAGGCTTCAGTTTCATCACATCGTAAGTTCGTAATCATCATCCTCCGATGGAAGTAACTTTGGGAACTTGTTGAGAATCCGGTTAGTGATGTTCTTCAAATACTTGTTGTCACTTTCCAGCTTGGTAATTTTCTCATTAGCCACAGATTTGTCTTGTTCCAAGATTGTGATCTTCTCATTTGCCAACCTCAACATTTCTTCATGTTCCGTAGAGTTTGGGATGGAGGTATCTGAGAAGGTTGCGGACGGGACATAGCCGGCAGTGGGTTTCGTGTGGACATGAAACGCAAAGGCTCGTTGAAATCCGGTGTTGAACTACTAAAACCCATGCCCAATTGCGAACAATAACGCAAGAATTCCTTTCGAGACATGCTCTACTATAGAAAACAAGTTCAATCACCAAAAAAAGAACAAATCGATGTGAATAAAAGGGAATAATCCTGAGTTATCAACAATAAACAATTCGTACCCAAATGTATGTTCCAATATCTAACCTAATATGAACAATAATATAAAATTTGGGGAAAATCACAAGATAATAAAGAGCATAACAAAAGCAGAGTGACCGGAATCGTACCAGTGAAAACAAGACGAAAATTTGAGTAAATAAATCTTACTCGTAGTGGATTGGCCATCTTTAGATCTGAGATGAGTAAAAAGAGGATGAGAGAAAACTATGAATATGTGAGAGAGTAAGAAGCGTAGATTAAACCAGAAGAGACAAGCTAATATGTAGGATCTTTTTCAGCAAGAGTGAAGAATCGGAGAAGAAGAGATGCTTCCTCGAGGGAAAGCTCAAGGCGGCGAAACGAGAGAGCCACAATAATTTAGGTTAAGTGACATGTAATACAATTGTTATGTTAGCCTAAAAAGAAATGTCATCGGAAATGGTCACGCAACCGTCGGAAACCTTCCGACCGAATCGTGACTAAATAAAATTCCATCGGGAAATGGCCAGTAAACCGTCGGAAATATTTTCGACCGATGTTATGGTCGGAAATCTGTGGGAAATTTCCGACCGTTTCTCGACAAATTAATTCCGTCAAAGATTTCCGACCGACTTCCGCCCATAAATCAAAGGATTACATTAACCGTCGGAAATCGGTCGGGAATTTCCGACCATTTCCCGACCGATTATTTCCGTCATAGATTTCCGACCGATTTGTCACCAAAACGAAATCCGTTGGAAAATGGTAAAAAAATCGTCGGATATAATTCCGACCGAAGTAAGGGGTCGGAAATTTGGTCGGAATTGGCAATGTTTTCTTGTAGTGAATCTAGCCATATAGTTTAGTTTGCATTTGAAATAAAAGAACAAAAAGAAAGAGTTATATAGATTTTTTGAAATGATAAATTTTACATTCTACTAATTGTTTATCTACCAAATTTTAATATACCCTTCAACAATTTTTTTTTCCAGATGTGCAAGCCAAACAATGTAACTTCAATCAACCGTATCCAGGTGGGTGCAGTGATCCTTTTTGCGGTAAAGAAGTAATAGTCCACCTGACTAAGTTGAACTATTTCAAAAATGGTCAAAAGTTGAAATTTCTTCATTGCAAATGCGTTAATAACGCTCGATGTGAATGCCCAATTCCTTGCGTACCTGCCCCCTAGAATTTAGGCAGGCTGGGCGACTAGCTAGGCCCCCTTCCTTAATCGATCTGACTATTTTTTGTTTTAGCGCTAAAATCTACATAATGTTAAATAAATCAGAAGTTATAAAAGCTTCAAGTATTGAGATATGAGACAAAAAAGTTGTCATGACACTCTCATGTTATTTCAGAATTGTTTTGTTTTTGTTTTTTCTTATATCAATTTACTATCGAAACTAAATTTCATTGATTTGTGTCGTAATCACTTTATGCAATGCTCAATTGGTAATATCCAAGTTCCAATTTTATTTCTTCACAAGCACTACTTTTATTCGCATAGTCAAATTTTTTAAAAACAAATGTTTCATCCAGACATGTTCCACAAAAGTTCGTCCTGATTATATGATTCATGGTTTTCTACATAACTGGTTGGTATAGTGCACACTAAGTTCAATACTAACAAAAAGGTCTAATCCTTACCTTTTTACAATACAATGTTACTCAGAATAAAAAAAAATATTAATACACAAGTACTTAACTAAAAAAACGTAAACCTTATAGTCTTATAGAGGCGGAAAACTATTCAAACAAATATAAATAGCATGCAGCGTAGACATGCGAAACCTATACCGATCGTTCAATTCAAGTGAAAATCACACTATAGGGTTTCTTCTTGTATTCAGAAACTCGTAAGAATTCTAAAGAAACATAACAATATATGGCACTCTTCTGGAAGCAGGAAGTGGCACTCTCCGTTCTTTCCTCCTGTGATAACTACATTGAGACTTCCATAACCTACAAGGCCAAAACCTTCATTACTCACTTCATATATGGAGAACCGGATCACTCAAAAAGGAAGGAGGTTTGGGAAGATCTAACTACCAGAAATGCTGCGAGAGAGTTACCTTAGTTCCTAGTGGGTGACTTCAATGATATAATAGACCATTGTGAAAAAACGGGAGACCCCCAGAGAGCGGAAGGCACCTTTGGCGATTTCAGAGTCTTCCTATCCCAATGTGACCTCTACGACGTTCCATATTCCGGAAACCCGCTATCGTGGAGAGGAGTAAGATACTCCCACCTAGTCCACTGCCGACTAGACCGAGCCCTTTCGAATGGTTTATGGGCCGATCTCTTCCCTTATAGCAGAAGTCTCTATTTAGAGTTTGAGGGATCAGACCACAGACCCCTCCTCTCCCTCCTGGAACCACACATGAAAAAGAAGAGAGGAATCTTTCGTTACGACAGGAGCCTTAACGAAAACGAAGAAATAAAAGTGATTATTGAGAAGGCATGGAACTCATCTTCAAGAGCAACGGTGGAACAACGGATATCGACCTGTAGACGAGAAATCTCGAGATGGAACCATAAACACCAGCAAAACTCTCAGAAGATAATCAAGGAGGAGAAACAAAAGTTAGAAGAAGCCATGAGCTCCTCTGTCCTAAACCAAGAGGTAATCGCAGAGATTAACCAGAAGCTCAAAAGTGCGTACCAGAAGGAGGAGGAGTACTGGAGGCAGCGGAGCAGAACCCTCTGGCTTGCCCTGGGAGACAGAAACTCCGGTTATTTCCACGCAGTGACAAGAGGAAGAAGAACAATTAATAAACTTGCGGTAATAGAAGATAACGAAGGAACAGCAATGTATGAAGAGGAGAAAATAGTTCAAGTTATCAGTTCTTACTTCTAAGACCTTTTCATCACCAGATCCTCAAACTGCGTCGACATTGTAAACCAAGCTATTCAACCTTGTATAACCCCGGAAACAAACGAAGTCTTGATAACAGACCCCTCACCAGAAGAGATCAAGGAGGCTCTTTTCTCTATCAACCCTGACAAGGCCCCGGGTCCAGACGGATTCTCAGCCTGTTTTTTCCAAAAAAATTGGTTAGTAATGGGTCCAAACATCACAACAGAAATACAAGAGATCATATCTACTGGAATTCTGCCTAGCTCCCTAAACAACACGCATGTACGACTGATCCCAAAGGTCCCTAGCCCCAAAACAGTTGCTGAGTTCAGACCCATCGCTCTGTGTAATGTGTACTACATGATCATCTCGAAAATCCTGACTAAGAGACTATAAGCAATCCTACCATTTATCATCTCAGAAAACCAAACGTCCTTTGTCCCAGGAAGAGCTATCTCTGATATATCCTAATAACCCATGAAACATTACATTACCTGAAGAGATCAGGAGCAACAAAGCACTGCTCCATGGCCGTTAAAACGGACATGAGCAAGGCTTACGACAGACTCGAATGGGGCTTCGTGACAACGGTGATGGAGAGGATGGGTTTCCACCCAAAATGGGTAAACTGGATCCTCCAGTGTATCTCAACTGTCTCGTATACCTTTCTCATTAATGGAGCGGCTCAGGGAAAGGTCACTCCCCAACGTGGCATTAGACAAGGAGATCCGCTCTCGCCTTTCATCTTTATCCTGTGTGGTGAAGTTTTGTCAGGATTATGCAGGAATGCTCTAATAAATGGAACGATGGCAGGGATAAGAATCTCACGAGGAAGCCCACGAATCAATCACCTTCTCTTTGCAAACGACACCATGTTCTTCGTTAAAACCCCAATCCTAGAAGCTGCTCAACCCTCCACCTGATTCTACAAAAATACGAGGAAGCGTCGGGTCAAATGATCAGTCTGCAAAAGTCTTCCATCACCTTCTCAAACAAAACACCTCAAGAGATCAGAGCCCGTGTCAAAAGCTCACTTGGGATACAAAAGGAAGGGGGGCAAGGTAAATACTTGGGCTTACCGGAGAGCTTTGGCAGGAAGAAGAAGAACCTCTTCACAATGATAGTGGACCGTATCAGACAGCGCTCCATCAATTACTCCTCTCGTTTCCTCTCAAGTGCCGGAAAGTTTACTATGCTTAAATCGGTTCTAGCATCCATCCCAACGTACTCGATGTCGTGTTTCAAACTCCCTATGGGCCTGTGCAAAAGGATACAATCAGCGTTAACAAGATTTTGGTGGGATTCAAAACCAGGAAAACGAAAGATGTGTTGGCTCTCTTGGGAAAAACTCACAAGATCGAAAAACCAGGGAGGGCTAGGCTTCCGTGAGATTCAAAGCTTCAATGACTCCCTCCTTGCCAAAATCAGCTGGAGAATCCTAACAAACCCCTCAAGCCTCCTTAGTCGAATCCTCAAAGGGAAGTATTGCCAAGATCATGATTTCCTTGACGTCCCTATCTCTTCATCCACATCCCACGGCTGGAGAGGCATACTGATAGGGAGGGGCCTTCTCAAGAGTAACCTAGGCAAAGCCATTGAAGATGGAGAAGCGTCCTCCCTATGGAACGACCCGTGGCTCTCCCTGAACCAACCAATGCGCCCTTTGGGACCACCTGCAATGCGAGATAAAGACTTAACAGTCGCAGCCATAATCAATCACCAAACCAGAGATTGGAACAGAGAGAAGATCCAAGAGGTGCTACCTAACCACTTGAGTGATATCCTGAGAGTCAAACTAAGCAAGAAAGGTGCGGTTGACTCCTTCCTCTGGCTCCCAACCAAATCAAGAGTGTACTCTGTGAAAACGGACTACTATGCAGCGATGGAGATGAAACTAGACCCTAGTCAACAACAACAACAACACTCAATCAACTGGAGGACAGATATATGGCAAGCAATCATATCCCCAAAGATGAAAGTGTTTTTATGGAAGATCGTTCAAGAAGCGTTACCTACAGGCGAAAATCTACTCAACCGAGGACTCATGGACACTCCGTGTTGTACCCACTGCGGCGAACTAGAAACGACGGACCACCTTTTCTTTCAATGCAGATTCGCAAAAGAAGTGTGGACACTAAGCCCCTTCTCCACCAACATCATTCCCCAATTGGAACAAACCTTCGACAATATCCTCAAAGCATCCAAAGCTTGGATCTGCTTACCACCAACTGGCGTATGCAATGGACCCTTATTCCCTTGGATTTGCTGGTCTATATGGAAATCGAGAAACCTCCAGATTTTTGAAGATCGGAGCTTCTCCCCTGCGGAAACGATCACCAAAACCATTAAGGAAGCGAAGGAGTGGCAACATGCACAACTAACAAACCCAAAACCGATTCAGAGAGCTTATCAGGGGAACTCAAAGAAGCCCCATCAAAATTACATTACCTGCTTCACCGATGGTGCCTGGTGTCGAGAGACAAGCATAGGAGGCTCCGGATGGATCTTTGTGGAACCCTCAGGGATAGAACTGAAGCGGGGAAGCACCGCTGAAAGATTCGTCGGCTCCCCTCTGATGGCGGAAGCTCTATCGATCCGATCAGCTCTCAACGACGCCCTAGAAGAAGGATTCTCAAATATCCTCATTAACTCAGACGCTCTGGATCTAATCCAAGCTATAAACTTGCAAGAGCCAATCAAGGAAATCTTCGGAATCCTCTTTGATATTCATGCTCTTGCCTCTATGTTTGCTTCAACTTTGTCCCTAGATCTGGAAATGTGGTGGTTGATTCAATCGCCAAAATCGCCAAGAATAGTTTGGTCAATTTAATTTCCCGACCGGGACCCACTATAGTTTCGGGTTCGGTTTAAGTCTTTAATGAAATAGTCGTTCAAAAAAAAAAACATAACAATATATGTTAACTTTGTTAGAATCGCTTCAATTCATATTGAGGAAACATTTATAAGATTCACTTTCTTGGTTTACAATTTAATTTCAAAACTACTCTCGTCAAATATAAGATTCCACAAAAACCACTATATCACTACTTTTATATATTGGCAAAACAATTTTGTGTTTAAAGAAATATTGATAAATTCAAGAACAATTGATGGAGCTTAAAGAAGGGGAGAAAAGTATCCAAACGAATTGGAAGATAGGAACCATGGATACTTCAAATTTGACACTTTAAAGAAGAGGGAAAAGTATCCAAAAAGGATAGCAAAAGAATAGCTGGAATTTGTAGCATACAAGAAATGCTCATTGTGCTAACATTTTGAAAACCAAAAATTGCAATTCAACATTTACAACGAACGATAAAATCTTACCACATTAACACCATCGTAGTTTAAAACTTTGAGTGGCTTTGATTTAAACCCGCCCTTCGCCTGAAATATAAATTTTATATGTAGTCAGGGTCGTGCGCATGTAGAAAATTTTGAAATATTGGTTTACGGGCCCTGATTTTTAAAAATAATTAAGGGTCCAGTTTTTTCTTAAATATTAATTATATTAATGTAACATATGAAGAAAAATTAGAAAAACACACATATCTCCTTAAAAATATTAAACAAATGAAGTTTTTATTGCTCATTGCTTGTTTTATTATACTATAGTTGTGTTTTCTCTAATATAATTATACAAGATTTAGTTTGATTTGTGATTTAGAGTAAATTACTAGCAAAAACTCATATAATTATTTAACTTATCACTTCAAAAAATGTATGATTTGTAATTTAGATCATAATTGGTTAAAAAAACATTTTAGATTATAATTATGTGAATTTGGAGGTAATTTTTTTTAGATCCGTGTTTTATATTATATAAATTTGAGACAAGGATGGTTAACTTGGGGCCTTTTTGTTGTAACGGCTCTGTATGTAGTGCTTTAAATGTTAGTAGGTAATACTCATACGAATAACTAAAAGACATATCAGAGAGATTCAACGAATTCACAAAATCACTACGAAGCCTATCAGAGAATGACGGATTTAATCGTTAGTGATGTCTGGTACGTGGCCTCGCACTAGTAGCATCTCCAAGTCATTAGATTCATCTTAGGATGCTGACATAGTTTAGTTGGGTTTTTTTTTTCTGGCAGGAACGTTTAACTAATCACACATGACCACGTTGACAATAATCTCGTACTAATGACACGTGTTTTATCTTCTCTTTCGTGGTGGGAGGGTCCAAACTTGCCGACACTCGCTCTTAGCAAATATTTTCCTCTCTCGTAAATTTGTTCCTCCTACCAAATATTTCATAACCAAACCGACAGATTTATCCTAAAAAGAAAAATCTCTATTGCCTAACGAAGCTTCATAGTATCACTATTACATTTGTATTGTCCTTTAGAGATTACTGTATCACTTTAGACAGCAAAAACTGAGAAGAATGTGTAAATAAAAAGAAATTTAATCGATTTCATTTTTTATTTGTCTCTTGCTAACCATCATAAACAAGCACGTTTCCGAAGATTAAATGCAGTCGATAATTACCGGACGTGCTTGTAATAGTTTTCATGAAGTGGTCCTTTTGTCATAGTTACAATTTATAACCTTTTTTTTTGAACAACATCTTAATTCGATTAAAGATTAAGCGATTACAGGGGGGTTCCTTTTGTCATACTTACAATTTATAACCTTCTTGAAAATTCCACGCTTCATTTGTTTTTTTCCGTCTAGTGTTCTTTTCCTTTGAAGTTTAATCTAATTGGAAACAGAGTTAAAACATTCAACATAACTGTTGAAGCCAACATTTACAAAACACATTAGGTTCGCAAGAGAAGAGATGAAACTAGTTTGGTCAGATCATGATCTTTTTCTTTTTCTTCCTTGACGATCCCAATTCCTAAACCCTAATTATGTTATTATGCCGACTCTCTACGGTCAAGAGATGTCAACAGACGCCACAAGAAACAGCCCGGATGAGACGCCAGAGACTATCATGAGAGACATCCACGCGCTAACTCCGACGGTGCCAGATGATAATTCCCGGACGATGACGGCGTTGCCTCCACCGCCGGCTTTCCAAGGCTATTTTTCTCCGACGAAAATGAGCGAAGGAGCTTCTTCCGGTGAGAACTTCACTACCATAAGCAGAGAGTTCAACGCTCTCGTTATTGCCGGTTACTCCATGGGTAACAACAACGAACCGGAGGCTCGTGAAGTCACGCAGCTTGATGATCAGAGACAACACGACTTGATGAGGGTCCACGAGGAAAGGGTTGAAGAGGAGACGAATCCTTTGGTAGTGTAAGGCATGAGCCTTTAGCTTGACATCATCTAAGTTTTCAACAATGCAGAGTTAGTTAATTCGTGGATATTAGTGGAAAATTGCCCTGATTCCTGGTTGTTTATGAATAATTTGGTTGTTTGTTGCAGAATTTCTATTTGATTGGGAGAGATGAGAGCAAAACCTTAGATGAAGATCCTACAAGGTATACAAATGCACAAATGCGTGACCTCAAAAGATGGATAAGCCGAGGGAACGCGAAGCATGGTGGGCTTAAAGCAGTCACAACTTGCTATGGAATCATTGGTACGTCTCTTCTCTTTTACCCACCAATGTCTCTTTTGCTCACTGTCTTGTGTGACTCATGGAGCAGTGTTCAACATAACATCCCCATCTTTTATGGCACAAATGATTTTTTTCTCATATTTATTTTAAATTTTCCAGTAGAATTTTAAATAATCTCATAATTAGTACAGAAAAGTAGGAAATCAAATGAATAATTCAAAATATAATTTCTAAAAATGAACGATCAATAACTCGTTTCATTGGCTGATCTAGCTTTTTCTTCTCTTTTCTTTTCCAATTTTGGTGAAAATAGTTATATTTGGAATGCATTACATATATGTATGAATGGATGTTGACAGCTATAAAAACCACATACTTGTTACAAATTTTTTTCACAACTAAAAACAAAATTTCTATAATCAACATTGAGATATGAGGTCTACTTTTATGTTCATGGTAACGGTGTCATGTCACTTCTTCTAAATCATGTTCAAGGTAAATGTAAATCTAGCGAAATAGTTTAGTTTTCATTTGAAAATAAAAGAACAAAAAGAAAGAGTTATAGAGATTTTTTTGAAATAATAAATTTTATATTTTACTTATTGCTTATCTACCAAATTTTAATACACCCTTAAACCAATTATTATTATACTTTTTTTTCAGATGTGCAAGCCAAAGAATGTTACTTGAATGTACCGTATCCAGGTGGGTGCAATGATGCTTTTTGCAATAAAGAAGCAAGAGTCCACCCATCTCATAAAAAGTTGAAATATCTTATATGCAAATGCGTTAATAACAATTCATGTAACTGCCGACATTCGCCTTGCGAAACTGGTGGCCCCTAGAATTTAGGCAGGTTAGGAGACTAGCTAGGCCTTACTTAATCAATCTGACTATTTTTTGTTTTAGCGCTAAAATCTACATAATGTTAAATAAAACAGAAGTTATAAAAGCTTCAAGTAGAGAGATATGAGACAAAAAAAAGTTGTCATGACACTCTCATGTTATTTCACAATTGTTTTGTTTTTGTTTTTTTCTTATATCAATTTACTATCGAAACTAAATTTCATTAATTTGTGTCGTAATCATTTTATGCAATGCTCAATTTGTAATATCCAAGTTCCAATTTTATTTCTTCACAAGCACTATTTTTAATCGCATAGTCAAATTATTTTAAAACAAATGTTTCATCCAGACATGTTCCGCAAAAGTTCGCCCTGATTATATTGATTCATGGTTTTCTATAACTGGTTGGTATAGTGCACACTAAGTTCACTAACAATAAGGTTTACTCCATACTCTTTTATAATACGATGTTACTCAGAATAAAGATAATAATAATGCACAAGAGTACTCAGCTATGAATACGTAAAACTTATAGAGGCCGAAATAAGCAAGTCGGAGTTCAGCTTTTCTAAATCCAAAGTTGAGAAATGAGAATAATAACTGATCTTTGGTGTCTATCATCATGGACTGTTCTCCAAGTGGGCTTTTTGAGTATAAATTCATTTCCCAACACTAGGTTTGATAACACTAGGGTATGGAGCTTCTGGTATATTAAATAAACTCACACGGGTACACGACCACATGACGTGATCCTCATATTGAGAAAATGCATTCAATTACAAGCACAATAATGAGCCTTCTTTACTAAACTGATCTTAATGCTCATGAACGTGTACGCTTTTTTCTAGCGATATAAAAGTTTGTGTACATTCTTCTTTTTTTGAAATAAGTCAATAAGTAAAAAATAAAATATACACCGGTAGGACGAGTACATACAGAAATTAGACCCATAGATCTACAACCACGAATTCAATATTATTCCGATGCTAATTTGACACAACGTTAACAATAAGTTTATTAATGCAACTGGATTAAGAAGACAATGAAAAAGCAGAGTATATAACACATATAGTGTATGTAATAAATACACATATAGTGTATGTAATAACACATAAAGCAGATGAATAAAGAAAAAAAAAATATCAAAAAATAAAATAAAATAAATACAGTGTGATATCAGAGAATTTGGTAGGGATTAAACTTTATTTTACCTTTTACATATCCTGATTATTTGCCACCATGATTTCTCGAAACCTTAGATCTGGATTTTCGGATATAAACCAGGAGCCAACCTAGGTTTCGCAGATGCAAGTAGAGGTTTGGCCATGACCAAGTTGCTCTCTGCTGCGACGAGCTTGACTTTACTTTCACCAATAGGGAGAGCCCATTCGAACCCTTGGAGAAGTCTCGCTAATAACATGATGGTCATAGATGCTCCAATCTTAGTACCTGCACAGCCATGTCGACCAATCTTAGATACTCGAGTTGATCCACCAGAAAAGCTGGAGCTTCTCTTCTCCTTAACAAAAATAATAAAAAGGAAAAAATCAAAATTTGATTTTTAGCAACCATCCATTAATTGAACTGGAGTTATATAGCAATGGGAGGGATTATAGGGCCGTGCCTATGCACAAATAATTGAAACAATGATTTACGAGCCCTGATTTTATAAGACAAAAGGTTCAGATTTTCTTAACATCAATAATAATTATTTATTAAGTAGAAACAAAATCAAGATCCTAATATTATAACTATTTAAAAATATACATTTTAGCTGTTGTTCTATGCTTAACTTTTGTTTTTTTAGTTGTCATTTTCATTTCTCATTGTAATTTTTAGTATTAAATCTCTAATTTAACCTCAAATTTAATGATTTTATTTTAAAAGTCATTTAGTTTTAAAAGGTATAAAAGAAAATTTAATATGCACGTAAAACTCAAAATGACAAATCAAATAAAACGGAAAGAATATAAATTGGACATTTTTTATCATCGTTTACGGGCTAACGGCTCTAGGAGGGAATAGCCAAAGAGTCTCACCATAGAAAAGAGATTCAACGCCTCCACAAGATCAACGAGCAATGTTATCTGCTTCTAGGGTTCTATCACCGAGGGCCTTGTTGAACGTTGTTGGAGAAATTAGTTAGTTGACCATCACTTTCTTCCACAGCTTCCAATTTCAAGTGGATCTTGTGGAATAGGTAGCTTCTCCATTGGAAAACTTGTCCTAAATTTGCAATAAAATATAATATATCATATGGCCTAAAAATAACCTAACATCCCCATATTTTAATGGCACAAATGATATTTTCTCATATTTATTTTGTTTTTTGCCAGTAGGATTTTAAATAATACATAATTAGTACACAAAAGTAGGAAATGGAATGAATAATTCAAAATATAATTTCTAAAAAAAAATGATCAATCTCGTTTCAATGGCTCTAACTTTTTCTTCTCTTTTCTTTTCCATTTTCGGTGAAAATAGTTATATTTAGAATGTTTTACGTATATTTTTATCGATGTTGACAGCTATAAAACCACGTACTTGTTACAACTTTTTTTCACAACTAAAAAAAGAATTTCTATAATCAATTGAAATATGAGGTCTACTTCTATGTTTATGGTAACAATGATTGTTATGTCACTTCTTCTAAATTATGTTCAAGGTAAATGTAAATTTAGCAAAATAGTTTAGTTTTTATTTGAAAAATAAAAGAACAAAAAGAAAGAGTTATAGAGATTTTTTTGAAATAATAAATTTTATATTTTACTTATTGCTTATCTACCAAATTTTAATATACCCTTCAACAAATTATTTATTATTATATTTTTTTTTTCAGATGTGCAAGCCAAAGATTGTTACATGAATGAACCGTATCCACGTGGGTGCAATGATGATTTTTGCAATAAAGAAGCAAGAGTCCACCCATCTTATAAAAAGTTGAAATATCTTATATGCAAATGCGTTAATAACAATTCATGTAACTGCCGATATTCGCCTTGCCCTGGCCCCTAGAATTTAGGTAGGCTAGGCGATTAGCTAGACCTTCCTTAATCGATCTGACTATTTTTTGTTTTAGCGCTAAAATCTACATAATGTTAAATAAAACAGAAGTTATAAAAGCTTCAAGTAGAGAGATCAGATGTGAGATAAAAAAAAGTTGTCATGACACTCTCATGTTATTTCACAATTGTTTTGTTTTTGTTTTTTTCTTATATCAATTTACTATCGAAACTAAATTTCATTAATTTGTGTCGTAATCATTTTATGCAATGCTCAATTGGTAATATCCAAGTTCCAATTTTATTTCTTCACAAGCACTACTTTTAATCGCATAGTCAAATTATTTTAAAACAAATGTTTCATCCAAACATGTTCGCAAAAGTTCGCCTGATTATATTGATTCATGGTTTTCTACATAACTGGTTGGTATAGTGCACACTAAGTGTCTAAGTTCAATACTAAGTTACTAACAATAAGGTTTACTCCATACTGTTTTATAATACGATGTTACTCAGAATAAAGATAATAATAATGCACAAGTACTCAGCTAAGAATACGTAAAACTTATAGAGGCCGAAATAAGCAAGTCGGAGTTCAGCTTTTCTAAATCCAAAGTTGAGAATAATAACTGATCTTTGGTGTCTATCATTATGGACTGTTCTCCAAGTGGGCTTTTTGAGTATAAATTCATTTCCCAACACTAGGTTTGTTAACACTAGGGTATGGAGCTTCTGGTATATTAAATAAACTCACACGGGTTCAGTACACGACCACATGACGTGATCCTCTATAATTCAATACTACATCTTTGAGATAAAGAAAAGTCGACACCCAAAACTACACACATCACACATGCAAACTCTGAAAAATCTGGACACGACATATACAAAGTCAAAGTTTTAAGTAGAAAACTGAACTTATGAGATCTCGTTATAGTGGTATCGGTATAATAACAAGGAGCTAATAGAGTCACAATAAAGTTGGTTTGGAAAAAAGCACGACCTCTCTATAACACGATTCAATCAAAAAGAACAGAAAAAAAATCTCGTTTGTGTTTGCCATCATACCCACAAGTTCCAGCTCAGGAGGCTACGGAATGACTTTTATCATCTCGCCAAGCCCTTACCGTATTGGAGCCCAACCGGGGCAATATCTAGGGTTTCTCAACCAAGAGACCAACGGGAATCCCAAAAACCATGTTTTCGCATTGGAGTTTGATACGGTTAATGGTTTCGCAGATGGTTATGACAGAGCAGGCAACCACATCGGGCTCAACTTCAATAGTCTTAAATCGGATGTTCAAGAACCGGTGGTCTATTACGACGACGACCATCCTGACCGTAAAGAGGATTTCACGCTTCAGAGCGGTGACCTGATCAGAGCAGATGTGGAGTACGATGGACCCACCAAAACGCTCAACGTGACCGTTTACCCAGCCAGTCTGAAGTCCAAACCCACAAGGCCTTTGATCTCGAAACATGTACCCAAGCTGTCGCAGATCGTGCAAGACGATATGTTCGTTGGATTCACGGCAGCGACAGGGAGCCATGAGCTAAGTTATCACTACGTCACGGGTTGGAGTTTCTCCAGTGGCGGAGACCATCCAGTGGCAGCTACGCTGAATATCTCGGAGCTTCCTCGTCCGCCTCGGCATCTGGCGAAGAAGAAGAGAGGCTACAACACGCAGAACACGGCTCTGACCGTGGCTCTGTCGATCGTGTCGCTGATATTGCTCGCGTTACTTTGCATCTTTGTGATATACAAGAAGCGACGGCAACAAGGAGAGATTCTAGAAGACTGGGAAATCAATCATTCACCGATTCAGATACAAAGATCTTTACTCGGCAACTAATGGATTCAAGGAGGACAGGATTATCGGAAGGGGAGGATTCGGAAACGTCTTCAGAGGAAGCATCTCATCGTCTACGTCTGATCAAAATCAGATTGCTGTCAAGAAGATAACCCCGAACAGCATGCAAGGGGTTCGGGAGTTTATAGCAGAGATTGAAAGCTTGGGCAATTTAAGCCACAAGAATCTGGTGAAACTTCAGGGATGGTGCAAGCATAAACTAGAACTTTTGATTGTGTATGACTATATCCCTAACGGGTCTTTAGAGTCGCTGCTATACGGTGTGCCGAGACGAGGCGGCGCCGTTTTGACCTGGGACGAGCGTTTCCAGATTGCAAAAGGAATCGCGTCTGGTTTGTTGTATCTCCACGAGGAATGGGACCAGGTTGTGGTTCACCGTGACGTGAAACCCAACAATATCCTTATTGAAGACGATATGAACCCTAGACTGGGTGATTTCGGGCTCGCGAGGCTTTACCATCGCGAACCACCGTAATCATGGGCACGCAAGGTTATATGGCGCCAGAAATCACCCGCAACGGAAACTACTCGGCCGCTTCCGACGTCTTCGCGTTTGGTGTTTTGCTACTGGAGATGGTCTCCGGGAGGACACCGACGGAGGAGGATTCCGTCAGCTTTTTCATCGCGGACTGGGTCATGGAGCTTCACGGGAGCGATGACATTCTAGGCGCGGTCGATCCGAGACTGGGATCTGGTTACGACGGTGAAGAGGCAAGGGTGGCTCTGGCGGTTGGATTGCTCTGTTGCCATCAAGCACCTGTGTCTCGGCCTTCGATGAGAATGGTTATTAGGTATCTGAACGGAGACGAACATGTTCCTGAGATTGAGGATTCTCAGTGATCCAGCTCCGTCGACGCATCTTTCTTCTAGTTCCGCTATCCACACGTGACTTGATCACCACGCTACATGCTAGGCCCGGTAAAGGCCATTTCTTATTCTCACTATTCTAGCTCTTAAATATACCTAATATTAAATAAAACAGAAGCTATAAAAGCATGTAGTATTGAGATGTGAAACAAAAAATTTGTCAGGACACTCTCTCATGTTATTTCACAATTGTTTTGTTTTTGTTTTTCTTACATCAATTTATTATTGAAACCAGAGTTTATTTGTGTCTTAATCATTTTACGCAATGTTCAATTGGTAATATCCAAGTTCCTATTTATTTCTTCACAAGCACTACTTTTATTACCATAGTCAAATAGTTTAAAACAAATGTTTCATATCCAAACATGTTCCGCAAAAGTCCGCCCTGATTATATTGATCCATGGTTCTCTACATAACTGGTTGGTATAGATGCACACTAAGTTCAGTACTAACAAAAAAGTTTGTGTACATTCTTCTTTGTTTGAAATCAGTCAATAACTAATAAATACATCGGTAGGACGAGTACATGCAGAAATTAGACCCAGAGAGCTACAAGTCTACAACCACAAATTCAAATATTCTTCCGTTGCTAATTTGACACAACAATAAGTCTTATTAATGCAACTGGATTAAGAAGAAAATGAAAAAGCTGAGTATGTAACACATATAGTGTATGTAATAAATACAGTGTGATAGTTTGATATATGGTTTCAGAGAATTTGGTGGGGAAATAAACCTTATTTTACTTTTTACATATCCTGATTATTTGCCACCAAAGTCATCTCTCAAAACTTTAGATCTGGATTTTCGGATATAAACCAGGAGCCAACCTAGGTTTCGCAGATGCAAGTAGAGGCTTGGCCATGAACAAGTTGCTCTTTGCAGCGATGAGCTCGACTTGACTTGCACCAATAGGGAGAGCCCACGCGAATCCTTGGAGAAGTCTGGCTAACAACATGATGGTCATAGATGCTCCAATCTTAGTACCTGCGCAGCCACGCCGACCAGTGCTGAATATCACCAACCGCATGTCCGGTTCCATCAGAGTCACACCCATAGAGTCCCTATCGTGTTCATCAAGGTGTCTCTCTGGCTTGAACACGTCAGGTTCGTCCCATATCTTAATTTCCGACCAAGTCCTAAACGGCTCAGAAGAATTTGGCTACCTATCATATAAAAAAAAAGTACAAATCAAATACCACATGTCATACAACAGTAAATGTTTGATTGTTTTATGCTAAAATTTTAAAGCTCTAGTTGACTAGCACGTTCTAGAACTCTGATAATATCCATGATAAAGTTAATTAAATACTGGTGGTCTACTAGTCGTCGTTTAATTTAATCTCTCTTTTTTTTAAGTGTTTAATTTAATTTAATCTTTGAGTCTTTGAATGACAAAATTAGTATGTTTGTTTAGATTTTTCTTCCGTCATCGGTGTTATTATACCTATACATAGTTGGCGGTTTCCTTGTTACCAAATAAGTATTCCCTCAAGTAGTAAGCGAACATAGCAGAGAGATTCTAGGCTGCAAATATTTAATGTTTCTTTTATATATCATTTACAAGATGAATGCCCATGCATGTCGACATGCATTATTTTTATTTTACTTACGTAATATATATGAGAGATATATTTTTTTTTTTCCGATAGAAAATTATATATAGTGGTATAGTTAACTAAACAGTCTATATCTGAAGAACTACTTAACTTTTGCTTGGATATCATATATGTGCTTAGTTCTGTCTTGCGTATATAAATCAAGGAGTGCTTGAAAAAAAAACCCAAATTCTCTAAAAATATATATTCACCTTTGATCTGTGTGAATTATAATTAGGTTGTATCGTTTTTTTGTGGGTTTTAATGTTAAATTAGTTTGTATCGTTCATAGATACATAACTATTTTTTGTGTGTGTGTACACGACTACGTACATAAAAGAACACTTTTACGGTTTTACCTCATGATCTGGGGACAAAATAACCAGCGAGAGTAGTATCTTGTCGGGCAACATGAGGAGGCATGAAGGCATTTGCTGGGTAAAGCCGGAAAGATTGATTCTCTGCTACACGCGTTTATGTAATTGAGCTGTGGTACCGTATATCTGACTCTTGGACAAGTCGGTCTTTGCCAACTTGGCGTAGTCAAAACATCCTTATTTCCAATTTCTCTTTATATTACTTTGTTTTTTTTTTTTTTTTTTTTTTTTTTTAAGTAACACACCTCTCTTGTTAATTAAATAAATCATTACTAGTCTTATATTAGTATAGATATTTACGCGTCTGAAAAAGACCAAATAAATCTCTATCTTCTGCTACAGTCGCTCCACTAGTTGCCAATGAAAACAAGTGGCATTTGCACTCAGCTATTATAACTCTTTGTTATTATATATTAGGATTAATGGAAATTTTTATAATCAACACATAATATCGCTTTATCAAAAAAAAAATCAACACATAATATCAACAACTGGCATTTCCTAAAGTCCATCTGTTCCAACGTGGAAATCTAATAACTTTCATCTTTATCGAATCCATTATAGTTACTGGAAATCATATTTTGATCACCTAAAATATAGTTACTAAAAAGTAAACTCTAAACCCTCATAATAAATCATAAACCCTTAACACTAGAACCTAGGCCTAAGTCCAAAATTTAAATTATAAATCATCAGAAATCATTTTTTGATGTATGTGATATTTTTTGGAAAAAAAAAGCCATTTTAGGTATTTTTGAAAAATTAAAATTAGTGATGGTATATTTGAAACAAATAATAATTTGAGTGCTATTTTAAATTATTATGCTAAATATATCTTGAATAGTAAATTATGAAATACACATCAAGACTGATGGATAATAAAGGCTAAATCCCAATTTTCTTATGTATGCGAGTCTTCCTTTATAACAGACGCTTATATTATTACAGACGCTTATTATTTTGGTTACTAAAATAAAACAGAAGAAAATATAATGAAAAATACAACAAAGAAGCAAAAAAAAAATACAACATATAATGTAAGAAATACTGAAATACAGTGTGATATTGGTATATGATTAATTTCACAGAATTTGGTGGGAATTAAACGTTATCTTGGTTTTTTTATACCTTGCCTTGATCATGAAATATTGAAATCTTAGACCTGAATTTTCGGATATAAACCAGGAGCCAACCTAGGTTTCGCAGATACAAGTAGAGGCTTGGCCATGAACAAATTGCTCTCCGCCGGGGTGAGCTCGACTTGACTTGTACCGGGAGGGAGAGTCCATTTGAACCCCTGAAGAAGCCTGGCTAATAACATGATGGTCATAGATGTCCCAATCTTAATACCTGCACAGCCACGCCGACCTGTGCTGAATGTCACAAACCGCATGTCCGGCTCCATCAGAGTCAAACACACTGAATCCCTAGCATCAATATGTCTCTCTGGCTTGAACGTGTTAGGTTCGTCCCATATCTTAGGGTTCCGGCCAAGTCCTAGACGGCTCACGATGATTTGACTACCTATCATACCAAGTAAACAAATACTACATGTCATATAATGTTCAAATTCATGATGTGAGTATATATGTCATGCATATAATGTTTGACAAGAACCTGCTAGAATGTAATATCCAATCAAATATATGTCACTTAAAAAAAAACTTAACAGATACAAAGTTACAAACTATTAAAAGTCTTTAGATACGCATGTTATATTGCTAACTTTTTTCAACGTCCATAATAGTAAACGTTGATATATATATATATTAAAGACAAGGCCGCTTCTGAACCTCTCACATGTAAGAAGGAGGTTTACCTTTAGGGACGAAATAACCAGCGAGGGTAGTATCTTCTCGGGCCCCATGAGGAGGCATGAAAGCGTTAGCTGGGTGAAGCCGGAAAGATTCTCTGCTACAAGCTTTGATATAATTAAGTTTTGGTATGTCTGATTCTTGCACAAATCTGTCTTTACCAACTACCATGTCCAATTCATTTGTCGCTTTCTCAAGAATCTCCGGGTGATTCAACATTTCCGCTATCGTCCACTCCACGTTATTCATCGTATTGTCAATTGATGCAACATTGATGTCCTACATAATTATGAAACTTTAACTATTTTTTTCATGGATAGATGTATTTTCCGGATTTGACCAAATTCTCATGCACACTAACCTTGCATTGAGCTCTAATCTCATCAAATGTGAATAAAGGCCTTCCTTGGCCATCTTTTAGCGTGATTAGAATATCGAGCCAATCTTCCTCCGTCTCTTTTCCGCCTTTCTGACTCCACAGTTGCATCCTCTTGTGGATGATTGGGTCGTTGCACCTGTTGATTGTATGGACCGCTTCTCTTACCTCCGCCTCCTCTCCACCGATATTCCATCCTCTAAGGAAAGGGATGTAGTCAGCTACGTTAAAGCTGAAAAAGAAATCAAGAGCTTGGTATATTGCGTCCATATGCTCTTTCTCTTTCGGTCCAAGACCGCCGTCCTCGGCTGCTTCATCAAAATGCCTCTGGCCAAACAGCATCCTCATCATCACGGCGTGGCAATATGTTAAGGCGACGTCCCTCACGTTAACCGTCATTGAACCTGATCGGCATAGATTGAAGATATACGTGACAATGTTATCTGCTTCTAGGGTTCTATCACCGAGGGCCTTGTTCAACGTTGTAGGAGACATTAGTTTGTTTACCATCACTTTCTTCGACAGCTTCCATCTCTCGCCGTAGGAAGAGAAAGCAACGCCTTTGTAGCCATTGCTTATGAGATTGATCGAGTATGACTCAGCTCTGTCTGCCAAAGCCTCGTCATTTTCCCTAAGAACTTCTCGGGCAATCTCGCTTGAGGTTATGGTGAAGACGTGGGTGCGGGCAAAGCGGAAGCAAGCTATTTCCGTTTGCATGTCTTCCATGACGCGGTGGATCCACAGGTGTATCGGTCGGTTCATGACCATGTCGAACAAGTTGCCAATGATTGGCCATCCTCGTGGGCCCGGAGGAAGAGGACCTTTTGGTTTTTTGGATCTTAAGGAACGTATGGCGAGAGCTAGGACCAGCGTAATGGAAAATAGAACAAGTATGAAACTAGATGGATTTGTAGTACTCATGTTCATAGCTAAAAGTAGTGTTGTGTATGTATGATCTTTTATTGGGAGCTGAAAAAATGTTTTGATTTTAAGCTAGTAGTAGTGGAGATCTTTAACTACAAAATGAGTACCAAGAACGTTTACCTAAGTGTCTATTTATACAATTCATGTTGCATATACTGTATATATAATCAGATAGTCTATAGAATGTTGGTCTCCGAAAAACTATTATTCATCAATAATAAATAAATAAAAACCCTAATGAAGATTGACCTAGGTAGTGCTAGCAATTAAATACTATGGTCATTTTTTTAAGATGGATAAATGTCCTATACTCCTATCGATCGCCTTTTTCTTCCCAAGCATGAAGTCGAATATTCTAGAGGTCCGATTAGTTGTAAATTACACGGTGTAGTAGAAACGTTTTTGAGTAAAACCATCTCTTTGAGTTATTTTGGCCTAATAAAGATTGACCTTGGAAGTAACAAACTTAAGTTATGTCAGTGTCCACCTTAAAATATGCAGGAAAATTATTAGTGCCATGGTCATTTGATTGACGGACAGATACCTTCTACATTTTATTAGGCCTGGGCACGGAGCGGATATCCGGAAAATATCCGTGATCCGTGATCCGCTCCGTGTGATCCGGATAGTTGATTTTGCGATCCGCTCCGATCCGAAAATTTCCGGATATCCGGATTCCGGATATCCATCAAAAATTAAAATATCCGCGGATATCCGATCCGATCCGTAAAATATATTTAAAAAAACAAAAAAAATATATTAATTATAAATAATTGAAAATTAGATAGAAACATCCCTAAATATATTATTGTTTCATAATTTATAATATGCCTTTAAAAATAAGTTCTAAAAACGTAAATTAATTAATCATAAAGGTACCACTAAACACATCATCGTTAACAATAAACATACTGCAAAAATAATTTTAAAGTTTTAAGTAAGCTATTGCTACGTTATTAAACCTTTTTACTATATAAATGAATGGATTATATTTGTGAAAACAATACTTTTGTTGATTTGTATGTTTCTAAAGACAAAATGAACAAATTTCTTAGTATATATGTATATATATGTAATTTTTATAATATACGGATCGGATCGGATATTCGGTTTTTCAGAAACAATATTTGCTATTTGCTCCGTTTTTAACGGATATTGAATTTTAGTATTTGCTTTGATTTGTATCGTTACGGTTATCCGGATTTTTCGGATCGAATCGAAGCGGATAACGGATCGAATCGGATATAGCGGATAATTTGCCCAGGCCTACATTTTATATTTCTCTGTTTTTCCTCCCCGTACATAAAGTCAAATATTTTCAAAGACTGTTCTACTTTTTTTTTTTTTTTTTTTCTTTTTCTCTTTTGTCAACGAAGACAGTTCTAGTATAGATGATTTTGTAAAGAAAACTTTTTAAGTTTTGTTCGTACAATTTTAAAGAAAAAATGAGCTACATACTGAAGTGATCTAATTTTGGACTTTTTTGGTTGGTAATTAATGATTTAAACATTACAAGTAAAATTAAAGACAGGATTTGAATCTTGGTTTACGATCTATATATTCGCATCCCTATTTTACGTTCTGTTTTTTTGGACATCCCTATTTTACGTTCTTCAAGTAATTAGTTTAACATTTTTTTTTTTTTTTTTTTGTTCAAAAAGTTTAACATATTATTATAAGTTATTATTGCCCTGTGGTTAATAACCTTATTTTTACGTTCTTCAAGTAATCTTGGTACGTTCTTAGTTTTCGGTTTGTCGGTACTCGGTAGTGCTTTTTAGCACATATAACTTATTGATACAGATTCTCTATTGTTTAAAGAATTATAAGACTAAATTGAAAGGACTAGTCGTAAACAAATATTGATCAATTGACTAACTATGGAGTTTACTTTTATTATAAACTCTTAGCGTTTTCAAAGCAAGTTCACAAGAGCAGTTTTTCTCCTGATTATTAAATGGTAGTGTGCTATTTGAAGATACGCGCTAGCTGATGTATTAACGGCTAATTAAAAATTAGTATCATTTCGCAGAAAGTTCCGTCTGTTTTATTATATAGCCAGCTTCTGCAAAGATCTCTAATGGCGCATATCATTTTTTATCCATTATAGAATCCATAAACCCATTGTTTCTCTCTTGTTAAATATAATTGTGATATTCAATTTTGACAATGTTATCATGTTAATTACCGGTTGTAATAGTTAGAGTCGTTTCACACTATTTGAATGTTATGTGCAATTTTGTATTAACCATATGTTTGATGTGTTGAAATGTTTTCAAAAAGTAGGGCTCCCAAATTTATATGGGACTTTTACTATTTATATCATTTATTTATAAATTCCATAAGCTTCAACAATTAATTAAAGCATACGTTTATTTAATTTTAAAACAAATTTGAGGGTTAAGGCCATGATTGTTTGGTTAGTCGATATCCTATATATTATAGCTCTAATTTTCTTAGTTTTTGACCTAAAAAATAATAAGATCTACAATAGTTTTTCTATTAAAAACATCGTCATATAAACTAAGCACACTTTGGGTATTCTCTTTGGGACAATATTCTCCACATATCACACACGAAGATGATCGTTATTTTATTTGGTTGTTTATTTTTTTTCCAGATTTGTTCGGACATTACGGAAAAAGAAAAAAGGGTCCTAAAAATAAATTTTCAAAGTAAGACATATCTGAAAAAAAAAAACAGAAATCAGGATAACAAGAAAACACAGAGAGATTAGGGAGGGAAGGATTTTGTTTGTTTGTTTTTGTTTTGAAAAAACCTTTCCTTCCGTATCTCTCTGTAACTTTCGCCTATCTAAAAAAGATATTGAAATCTGAGGAGAAATTATGATTGGCTTCGTCTGTTCTTTGACTTAGGGTTCTTGTTCGATTTTCAAGAAGAGTTTAATCTGATAATTGATTAATTGCGCTTTGTATAAATATAATGGGAAATTGCTGTGGAACGGCGGGATCATTGATTGGAAATGACAATCAAAAGAAAGGTTTTAAAATGGCGAATCCTTTCTCAATCAATCACGGTCACCACCACGACGGTCCTAAGCTTACCGTGCTCAAGGAGCCAACGGGTAGGGAGATCAAGCTGAAATACAAATTAGGTCGCGAGCTAGGTCGTGGAGAGTTCGGTGTTACGTATCTATGCACAGACATCGAGACCGGAGAGGTTTTCGCATGCAAATCAATCCTGAAGAAGAAGCTGAGGACAAAGGTTGATATAGATGACGTCAAGAGGGAAGTGGAGATCATGAAGCATATGCCTGATCATCCCAACATCGTCACGTTGAAGGAGACCTACGAGGATGATAAAGCTGTGCATTTGGTTATGGAGCTTTGTGAAGGCGGTGAGCTTTTCGATAGGATTGTGGCCAGAGGGCATTACACGGAGAGAGCTGCAGCTTCGGTGATTAAGACAATCATGGAAGTTGTTCAGGTTCGTGTGGTTTTTGATGTATCAATCTTATTTGCCATTTTAGGCTCCTTGGACATGATATCTCTATGTCATTGCTTGGAATGCACGTTTTTATGGCGAACTGACTCTTGTTTTGTTCTGCTTCGTTCCATTTGTGTTGCAGATGTGCCACAAGCATGGAGTAATGCATAGAGATCTAAAGCCTGAGAACTTCTTGTTTGCAAACAAGAAGGAAAATGCATCTTTAAAGGCGATTGATTTTGGTCTCTCTGTTTTCTTTAAACAAGGTATAGATGTGTTTCATCATCTTGCATTTGGATGCTTAATGGTTTTCACACCATTTGAAGCAATCTTTAACCAGGTAATATGTTTTTGTTTGCAGGTGAGAGATTTAACGAAATCGTTGGGAGTCCTTACTACATGGCTCCAGAGGTATTAAGGCGGAATTATGGACCAGAAATCGACATTTGGAGCGCAGGCGTCATTCTTTACATATTGCTCTGTGGTGTTCCTCCTTTTTGGGCAGGTTTGTCAAATCACCTTGTTTTGTTTCAACCAAAGTTGCATGTTTTTGCCTTTAGAAATATTTAAATGTCTATATTTGTGTTACTTGGGTAGCAAGAAACTATGCTTGATCAAACGCATAGTCAATTTTTTTTTCTTTTTAATCTTTTTATTGTATGTAGAATCATTTAAAGGTAATGAGGCATCTTCTGTCTTGTTTGATTGTTTTGTAGAAACCGAACATGGAGTGGCAAAAGCGATTCTTCGATCTGTAATTAATTTCAGAAGAGACCCGTGTCCTAAAGTTTCAGGAAATGCAAAAGATCTGATCAAGAAGATGCTTCATCCTGACCCAAGGCGTCGTCTTACAGCTCAACAAGTGCTTGGTACCATATCTCTTTCAAATCCAACTCTTTTTCTTTCGTCCTCACTCATCAAACGTTAAAGTCTCAAACTATATTTTGGGTTTGAACAGATCATCCATGGATACTGAATGGTAAGAATGCTCCCAATGTATGTTTGGGTGAAACCGTAAGAGCAAGACTTCAGCAATTCTCTGTTATGAACAAGCTCAAGAAAAGGGCACTCAGTGTATGTTACTAAACTAATCTCTTCTCTTGAATACAATTTGGAAAGATTTTTAAGATATGGTTTTGTAACGTTCCTTACATTAGGTTATTGCTGAGCATCTTTCGGTTGAAGAAGCCTCCGGAATAAAAGAAAGATTCCAAGTAATGGACACAAGCAACAGAGGAAAGATAACATTCGATGAGCTAAGAATCGGACTGAAGAAACTCGGGATTGTCATTCCACAAGATGAAGTTCAAATCTTGATGGACGCGGTAAAGCTATTTACTACTGATTCAAAAAATTATCAAGCGCGCAACAATGCATTGACTTTATGGCTTGATTTGTTGTTTACAGGGAGATATTGATAGAGATGGATATTTAGACGTTAATGAGTTTGTAGCCATATCGGTACACATCAGGAAGATGGGCAACGATGAGCACTTAAAGAGGGCATTTACGTTCTTTGACAAAGACAATAGTGGTTATATTGAAATAGAGGAGTTGCGAGAGGCTTTGGCAAATGAGCTTGACACTAGTGAAGAAGTTGTGGAATCTATCATCCAAGATGTCGATACCAATAAGGTAATATATTCATATATAAACATGTAAAACGAGTAGAAATTTAAATGTTCTTGAATCGTGAAACTTGCGCAGGACGGAAGAATAAGTTATGAAGAGTTTGTAACGATGATGAAAACGGGAACGGATTGGAGAAAAGCTTCGAGGCAGTATTCGAGGGCCCGGTTTAACAATCTTAGTCACAAGCTGATGCAAGATGGGTCATTGCTTTCTAATGGGGATGCAAAGTAGAGCTTGAAATCTGCGAGAGACACATATATACTTAATCTCAGTTTAAGAAGGATTTAATTGAATCTGAATGAAAGGAAGAGAAATATTTTGTTCTTCCTTTTGGTGTTTGATTTTAACTTTCTCTCACAACTTGTTAGTTTTCGACGAGTAAATCAGTTAAGCTTTAGGCATATATATTCTTGAAAGATCGAGCATGGGATCAGGAGAAGCCCGTCTGTATAGATATAATTAACTGTATGTGGGAGAAAATGAATATTAATTCATTTGTTTCTTGTGAATGTGAATTATAAATAATCATTTGCTTTAACCTTCTTCAATTACAAAACCTCTTAACATCCTAAACGACCGAACACTTGCAGAACACTACTAGATATGTCGGATTTGTTTACTGCATAGTGCACGCGCACAAACTCAAAGAGACTCGAGTTATTTATCACTTAACTCTAGCTGCTGGTATCAGCCTTTATGAATCTCTAACGATTCCATTGAAACTCGATCGGGGTTTGACCATTCGAGAACCTCTCCTGTCTATCCTCCACGTCAAAGTACTGCAAAAAGATTATCATTGGGCATATCTTAACTCTATATATGCATATATTAACAACTTGTCGTATGAATGCGACAATAAATGAATAAAGAGATGCAATTGTGACTTGTGATTTGTGGCCATTCAATCCAAACGGTTAACCAACTAACATAACAGAAACTCATTTTTATATATTATATTTTTATTTAGTTGTACACACAACACCCTTTCCTGAACCTTTATGGGCGTTTACACGTTTCAAAAAGAAAATTTTATATTAAATTTTCTCAATTTATTAAAACGAATAGATAGCACAAGAAGTATGTACGTGATCCTGATCCATAGTAGTTTACGAAATGACTGATGTAAGGAAATTCGAAATAGTATCATTTGGAATACTATGCAGAGGCCGGCTGATGTTCGATGATACAAATTCATGATAAAATACAGTTTTCGTTACAAACTGTTTATCTGTGATAAATTTATATTTCTGTTACTCTTCAGATTTTTTTCCTTATATGTATACATGTATATTATGTGCTTTTGTGCGTGCACGAACACTATTTTTCTATTTTCAAAACATATCCAACTTAAGAATTCAACAATAACTTGTCACCAGTAATTCTATTTGCATTTCTTTATTCAGAATATTCTGAAAAACAGTTAAATGCCGTTTTCTGTGGATAATCATATGTTGCATAGACTAGTTGGATCCTATCCAAATGCCAAAGCAAATTGGGTAATATTATATTATTTAGTGTTTGTTGTACGAAATTTACTTTTGCAACAAAGAATATGACATAATAAGTACATATAATCAAACAACAATTCTTGTTGTCCAAAAAAAAAAAAAAAAACAACAATTCCAAACGTGTCTTTGCTTCTTTTTTTTCTTCAATATTTCGGTGTAGCTCGTGTTAGAAATCAAACGACATAGACGGCTTACAGTTACAGTGGTTCATATATGAGAATTACTGTACATGTAATTTTTGTCACTGAAGTTTTGTATTTCCCATTTTAGGAGGATCCATTAACTAAACATGAAAAAAAATAAAAAAGAAAGAGAAAAGGAAAAATGTTTGTATACGCAGAAGGATAATAAGAATATTGAATCAGATATCCAAAAGATGAACACGAACCTATAATTAAGGAGCCTTATAACAACGACCAGGAATATTTCCCAGAAGTCATGCTTTCGTCCATACCGTTGGTCTCTCAAGCAAGCTTCACACATGCCTTATGATGTATCTATACGTTTTTTTTAATATATATCTAAATTTGAGTTTTTTTTTAGATAGTAGATAATTACACATCGTTATGTTAATATTAATATTTTATTCGGAAGCTAAATGTTTAAGACATAATTATAGTTTGGGACTGCAAAAATTACGAATTTCGACCCCCAGTCTCCTATTAATCTAGCTAAAAATATATGTATACGGGCATGCATTAGTCTTTCCCGTAATTATTGGAAATCCATGTATTTGTTTAGTTTTTTGGATCCTAGTCAAAAAAAATTCTGTTAAATCGGTTTCATTGATATAATGTTATACAATTTTTATCCGAAATTGTAAAGTAGAAAATCCTGAGGGTTCATGCATGGTTCGTAACATTCTAGAAACGATAAATGTTTTACTGCTCAATCATGTGATAAAAACACATTGAAAGTTTGACCACGTGTTCATTTCAAATATCGACCATGGCACAAATTAAATTTTCAGGGCGTTTTTTTCAACGGGGAGACACACATGTGCTTAACTTCTTTAAGTCTCACGTGCTGCGCCTAATTTTGCTTCCCATACGCCATGCGTGTGCCGCGTAATTTCGTTGAACCTACGACGTCGCTCATTTGAAACATTTTATCTTTGTAAAGATAAACTTAACTTAAATTACATTTTATACTGTATCTAGTGTTTTAAATTAAAATTATATATAAACTATAGTTCGGTCTGTCTTTTTTTTTAAGTTGGTGGATATTAACGCTTAGATCCATCATCCGTAGTACTTTTTTGTCTTTGAGTTTTGGCTAGAAAAAAAGTAACCGAAAATGATTAAAAAAAAATGTTATTTCTTATCATTTATATATTTAGCGCTTCAAATTAGTACATTCAACTTTATGTGGGTGATGGGATGAACAGATATACGTATATATGCATTTAGTAATCTATGACGGGCCAACTTGACAAAAGCAAAAAAAAAAAAAAACAATTAGGTCTAATCAATATGACGTGATATTTTGACCAGATGGCATATTTCATTCTTTCATTAAGCAATGCGATCAAGAGACGAAAATGCGACGGTCACGTGAAGGTAGTTATCTCAACTACAACTGAACTTTCGCGAACATATAAGTTCGGTTTTTCTTTACTAAATTTTCGCATCTCTATTGTACACGATATATAATTACGACTTTTTTCTTAGGACTAATGCTCTTTTCGTATTATTTATATCTCACGTAACATTTAATTTGTGGGGGGGGGGGGGGGGGGGTGGGGGGGATTAATCACCGATAAAAGTGTATTCTCATCAGGCAGTAATGTGACTTACATATATTGAACCATCATAGCAAGTAGCAACATCATATATCCGTCACTCATCACAATAATTTTGTTTAGTGTATGTTCAATTCACATTTTGACCCCCCAAATTCTTGAATGAACAAATTATACAGGTAATGATTTTTGTCAATCTGTCCAATAAACTAGCTGACACCTTAAATCCTTAAGCGATGTTTCTTGCAGAAAATGCGATAAGCATGGCGCCGCTAAGGGACAACAAAATCTTTAAATAAATAAAACAAGAGAGAGTAAACATATGGAACTCTAAAGGAAGAAAAAATAAATAAAGATACGTATAAAAATCGATGCCTAAAGTAGTGTTACGTGACAATCTCAATTTCACTCCATACCTCGAACTCATTCAAGCATAAGAAACCTAACTTTTCATGTTCCTTTTGATTTGCCTATAAATACATAATACACTTCTCCAATTTCCAAAACAAAGCAACACAAAGACAACAATCACATACATCAAAAATTCTCAACCTACTCCCGAAAAACGACACGCATTCCCTTTCCAAAAAACCTATTTCCCTGCCAACCTCAATGGCCCATTATTACAAACTTTTTACCGTTTTCCTATTATGGGCTCTTTTGATGCCCTCATGGTGCGAGGCTTCAAGAAGCAGCTTTAATGGATTTGATCATTCTTATGGAAGTTTCAAATCTGATAGCTTAATCAAGCGAAGAGACGATATCACACGTTTGAAAAGCTTCGTAAGAGCCTCTTTGCGATCAACAACCGTTAGTGTTTCTGATTTTGGAGCTAAAGGAGATGGCAAAACCGATGACACGCAGGTATATATACATACAAATATTTTTGAGACGATCATGTACATATGACTTCACGTTCTAATTTGTACTAATGATCCATGCATGCATGATCTGCAGGCGTTCATGAATGCGTGGAAGAAAGCTTGTTCTTCAAATGGAGCTGTTACTCTCTTGGTTCCCGAAGGGAGGACTTATTTCCTTAAATCTATTCGATTTACTGGTCCATGCAAATCAATCCTTACCGTTCAGGTAAATCACAAAGTTTGCTATTTGTTAATTAACTATACTATAGTACTATATTTGAATATGCATATATATATATATATATGGATATGAATATATGAATGAGCGTTTGTCAATGAAACGACAGATTTTTGGAACGTTATCGGCATCTCAACAGCGATCGGATTACAAAGATATCACCAAATGGATTACGTTTGACGGCGTTAACAGTCTATCTGTGGATGGCGGCGCCACCGGAACTGTCGACGGAAATGGTGAAACGTGGTGGCAAAACTCATGCAAGCGGAATAAAGCGAAGGTGTGTGTGTCAGTGTGTGTTTGTATATATATGTTCCATTTCCATAAGTGAATGTAATTAATTGAGTTCTCTGAAATATTGACATTATTCTCTCTGTTTTTTTCATGCAGCCGTGCACAAAAGCCCCAACGGTACGTTGAAAAATAATATGTTTCATTATAAAATAAAATATATGACAATAATGATTGTTATATGATCATGGTTGACATGAATATATTGATTATGTGCAGGCTCTTACTTTCTACAATTCGAAGAGTTTGACAGTAAATAACCTGAGGGTGAGAAATGCGCAACAAATTCAGGTTTCGATTGAGAAATGCTCCAACGTTCAAGTCTCCAATGTCGTGGTAACTGCGCCCGCGGATAGTCCTAACACCGATGGTATTCATATCACTAACACACAAAACATTCAAGTCTTTAAATCCGTTATTGGAACAGGTTAATTATTATATTTAAAAATAGTTGCTTGTACATCAAGGAAGCTAGAATTTAGGGATTGATATAAAAGGAGCTTTTTTATTAATGGTTGCTTTTCTATATAGGCGATGATTGCATATCTATTGAAAGTGGATCGCAAAACGTTAAAATCAATGACATTACTTGCGGTCCCGGTCACGGTATCAGGTATAATAGAATTGTTTTCAGTTTACAAATAACTAACCTAATTAACGGTTTTCTTCTAAATTAATTTGATAATTTATTCATGGAAAATGAGCAGCATTGGGAGCTTAGGAGATGACAATTCAAAGGCATTTGTCTCGGGGATTACTGTAGATGGTGCTAAGCTCTCCGGTACAGACAATGGAGTTAGAATCAAAACCTACCAGGTGAAACTGAAATTCACAAACTAGCCCCTCACATTTTACCAATCTCTCAAATTTGCCCCATTTTGTTTCCGATTTTGTTGATTAACCCAATCCGATTCATTAGGGAGGGTCAGGAACTGCGAGCAACATTATATTTCAGAATATTGAGATGGAGAATGTGAAGAATCCGATCATTATCGACCAAGACTACTGCGACAAGAGCAAATGCACCGAACAGGTATATTATTCACTCGAATATGATCAAATCTTTCAACATTGCAATAAACACATTTGGGTGTAATCATAATTAAGAACATATTTTTCAGAAATCCGCGGTCCAAATAAAGAACGTGGTGTACAGGAACATAAGCGGCACGAGCGCAACGGACATTGCGATAACGTTTAACTGCAGCAAGAACTATCCATGCCAAGGGATTGTGCTTGACAAAGTGAACATTAAAGGAGGGAAAGCAAGTTGCACCAATGCTAATGTGATGGATAGAGGCTCTGTTTTGCCTCAATGCAAATCCACTTAATTAATCAAACACACACACACATACATAGATATATTACTAAAGATAGCTAGCTAGATACAAAAGTATGATAATGTAGACTATACACATACTTGTGGATATATATACATGGACAATCATTTGATAGATATTGTCTAACTGTTACAAATTTAGCATAGTATAGGAATACATGTAAACAATATGTTCGTCAGATGTGTTGTTTTATTTGTATACCATATACTAAATTGTTTGTCTGAAATCTCATGAATAAAGAAATATTTTTAGGTGGTTATGGATCTCAACATTTGCTCTGACCGAGTCTAAATGGGCCGAGAGTATGAATGGAATATTGGGCCATTAAGCCTATTGACTTTTAATCAGTGAATCGGACTCTCAAGGCCTTTAGAAACCCTAAATCCTCATTTTGTAGCAGCTGAGCAATATAAAGCAGAATTTTGGTGGAGCTAGGGTTTTCTCTTCTTCACGCCCAACACATCTCACCGATTCAATTGCTAAAACTCTCTAAGCAGACTTCGAAAATGGCGGAACGTGGTGGAGAACGTGGTGTGGAGCGCGGCGGTGAGCGTGGTGGAGACCGTGGTGGTTTCGGGCGTGGATTCGGAGGCCGTGGAGGTGGAAGAGGTGGTCCCAGAGGCCGTGGTGGTCGACGTGGAGGTCGTGGTGCATCTGAGGAGGAGAAGTGGGTTCCGGTGACCAAGCTCGGCCGTCTCGTGCAGGCAGGAAAGATCACGCAGCTGGAGCAGATCTATCTCCACTCTCTCCCCGTCAAGGAGTATCAGATCATTGATCTCCTCGTTGGTCCTTCATTGAAAGACGAGGTGATGAAGATCATGCCTGTGCAGAAGCAAACCAGAGCTGGTCAGAGGACGAGGTTCAAGGCCTTTGTCGTCGTCGGCGACGGAAATGGCCGTGTTGGATTGGGAGTCAAGTGCTCCAAGGAGGTTGCGACGGCGATTAGAGGTGGGATTATCCTCGCGAAGCTGTCTGTGATTCCGGTGAGGAGAGGTTACTGGGGTAACAAGATCGGAAAGCCGCATACGGTTCCGTGCAAGGTTACCGGAAAGTGTGGATCCGTGACTGTGAGGATGGTTCCGGCTCCTAGAGGTGCTGGTATTGTGGCGGCTAGGGTTCCTAAGAAGGTTCTTCAATTCGCTGGAATTGATGATGTCTTCACTTCCTCCAGGGGATCCACCAAAACCCTCGGAAACTTCGTCAAGGTTCGACCTTTTTCTTTCTTCCCCTTTAATTATAGTTTCCTATTGATGAAATGTGTTTCCTATTGATGAAATGTGTTTCCTTTTGATGAAATGTGTTTCCTTTTGATTGCCTTCTGAGAATAGTTTTGTGAAATGTGAACTCTTTTGTCTTCTTAGATCAGTCATTGGCGTAAATGATGAAATTTCACTGGGAATATTATAATTGTATACATTGGATTTAGGTTTGGTGTCTCTGTAATTGCTAGTAATGAATCACTGGAAGTAGCCTAGTTATTCTCCTATGTTGAAATGTAGCAAAATTATGATTAGATTTAGTATAGTTTCTCTATACTTCCTTGTAATCTTATCATTGTGATAGATACTTGATTTGATCGTTTATGTTTGATATGGTTTGTGGTTGCAGGCTACATTCGATTGTCTGCAGAAGACTTACGGGTTCCTGACACCGGAGTTCTGGAAAGAGACGAGATTCGCGAAATCGCCATACCAAGAGTACACTGATTTATTGGCTGGTCCGCCGAGCAAGGCCCCCATCACCGATGTTGAAGACAAAGCCTAGATGATGATATGCCCCTACTCTGTGCTCTTTTTGGATTATCTTTTCATGAGTCGAACCTTTTAATAGTATATGTTTCTCTGCTGGATTGAATTCTCTATGTTTTCATCTCCTTTCAAACAGTTTTATTTTGTCTCAGTTTTTAAATTATGGATGATTGTGTTCTAGTTTTGTTCTTCACTTTTTTTTTTTGACAAAAGCCAAATGAAGTTTTTCTATGGTTTCATGTTAAATTTTCACCACTTGTTACATATCAAGTTTATGTTAAGTATATCTGTGGCTTTTTAACATGTTTCATTTGTGAACAAGAAAACGTTTGATAACATGATTTTGGTCTACTAAAAATCCTGTCATAATTATTTGAAGTTTATCTCTTCAATTTTACTCGAAATTTGTCCAAAACATTCGTAATTTTGCAATGAGAGACCAAAAACATTCGTAATTTTGCTATGAGAGACCAAAATGCTGAATGGTTTACATTTTCATCATAGGCTTTAAAGTTTGAACCTAAACCAGGTGTGACTTTTATTGATTGTTTGACTTGACTGCGTAATTGGATTGTTTCTGAGAAAGATTGAGACTTTGAATGGAAGAAGAATAAAAGTTGCATTTTTTTCCAACAAGCTGTCTATATATTGAAAAACTCCGAAATTTCTGGTCATCTAAATCCGCGGAATCTGAATTCTTTATTTTCCCCGGAATTTCTCTCTCGCCGGATAAACCCTGATTTTAATTCTTGTTATTGTCGTCGGAACTGTTGGAATTCTGGGAAGCTCAAGGGTGGTTTCAATGGGGACTCCGGAATTTCCAGATCTGGGGAAACACTGCTCCGTCGATATCTGCAAGCAGATCGATTTCTTGCCTTTCACCTGCGACCGCTGCCTCCAGGTCCCTCTCTCTCTCTCTCTCTCTCTGTCTGTCTTTCGCTCACACACATGCAAAGAATCGTCGTATGTTTGTCGCGAATGGTTTATGACTCTGAATATTTGCCATTTTTTCGTCCTGTGATCTACGATTATCATGCTGTTTATTCTTTTCTCGTTGGTTTCGATTTTGTGTTTTAGCCTTTTAGGACAAAGAGGAAATTATCCTTTTTCTGTGCCTTTTATCATTGGAATCCTTTTGATTTTCATTAGGTGTTAAAGTTTTAACTGTTATTTGGAGCTTAATCACCTGCATTTGGCAATTTTCTAGACTTCTTGTTGAGTTGATTGAATAGAGTTCTTCACCTTTTGCAGTCCGATTTCTTGTTTGTGTTCTTGATTCAAAAAAAACCTCTGCTTGAAATGTATGCAATGATTCTTGTTAACTCATGTTTCAGCTATAAAATTGCCATTCAAGATTGGATTTTTGGTTTATGCCTTGTGGTGCTAGATTTGGTTTTCTCTTGAATTTGGTTTTCTGTTTCTTTTAGTATGGAGGAGGATTTTTTAACGTTGAGCCTTTTTTGGTTCAGGTTTTTTGTTTGGATCATCGAAGTTATATGAAACACACTTGTCCCAAAGGCGATAGAGAAGACGTAACCGTGGTTATATGCCCGCTCTGTGCTAAAGGAGTCCGGTTAAACCCGAACGAAGACCCCAACATTACATGGGAGAAACATGTCAACACCGATTGCGACCCATCAAACTACGAGAAGGCCACAAAGAAGAAGAAATGTCCTGTTCCGAGATGCAAGGAGCAGCTAACATTCTCCAACACCATCAAATGCAAGGACTGCAATATTGACCACTGCTTAAAACACCGGTTTGGACCTGATCACGCTTGCCCTGGACCGAGAAAACCCGAACCGAGTTTCCCGTTTATGGGTTTCTTGAGTGGTGGTAGTAGCAGTAGTAGCAGAAAAGAAACCAAAACAAAGAGACCCAACAAAGCTCCTTCATCTTCGAGATGGTCTAATCTTCTATCGTCAGCAGAAGCTGGAATTAGCAGGCTTGGTAACGACATTAGCCATAAGCTTCAGTTCTCGAGCAGCAGCAGCAATGATGGTATCGTGGAGGTGTGTCCACAATGTGGTGCGAAATTCTCTTCGGTTGCTGTTCTTGTGGAACATGTAGAGAGAACACATGAGAGGAGCAAGAATCAGAATCATAATGGCGGCAAAGTCACAGTCGATGTTTGCCCTAAGTGTAGCAGAGGGTTCCGCGATCCAGTGGATCTTGTGAACCATATCGAAAGAGATCATCGAGGTTCTTCTAAAGCATAAAGCCTCCACATTTCTTATGAAATACTCAAAAGACAAAATTGTATCTTATTTGTTTGAAACGCCCAAAGAAGAACAAGTCACATTCATAGAACAAAGTAGCAGACTCTAACGTCAATTTTTACCCGATTTGTGCGGTAATTTAAAACAATTACCGTTTGGTCGTTTTATTCTGTCAGACTCTCTGACGTCATCATTGGCGTGTTAACAGCGGGAATTGTTTTTTACTAGCTTTGCGCGGTAACTAAAAAAAACATGAGTACCAACCCCCACGTGGACGTCATGTGCAATTAACGACGTTTGATGTAAGTGGCAGCTAACTTAACGGTGCAATAAAACGTTATGAATTTGTCAATTGTCACAAACTTTTTTTTTTCTTGTGTACTACTAAAACGTGATCTTGTCGAAAGCATTGAATTGGATTTTGATTTTGTCACGAATTTCTTAGTCTATTATTCGGCTTACAGTTATACAAATTGTTTAGAAAAATAGATCACTTGACTCATTTGAAGAGTGAATCAAACCCATTGACTTTGTGCTGCGAATTTCACCAAAAAAAATAAACTCCACATGTACTTTTACAGATCATGCACACACACAACTTATGAGTAATTAACTGATTAAGGAATAATTAAAGATTTTGTTAGCTTTATTTGCACTGTGTGAGCTGGCGAAAATGCCATAACTACCTCAACAATTAAGAGAACTAAAGGAAATAATAAAAGACTCTGTTATTCGCATCCGACGGCTGAGATCTTTCCTAACTAAATGTTTTCTAAGTAATTAAAAGAAATAAATGAAAAATCGATATAGCAACGAAACGGCAGAAGGTGGAACCCGCGTCGTGCCGTTGAAACGTATCTGAAGAAGGAAGAAAAGAGAAAATCAGAGAAGGAAGCTTGACGGACGATCCGGCGACTCAATTCTACTGAGAGAAACCATCTCCGTTCTCATAGAGAGATTAAGATATTTGGGTTTTTTTCTGGTGCGTTGCCGGATTGATTTCCAGTCATCGGGTTGGCTTTTTCGAGCTTTGATCTGAGGTAAATTGGTGTTTTTTATTTTATTTTGTGCAGCATTACGTTGAATCAATCTAAGTAAATGTTAACTGGGTTGCTGAATCATTTCATTTAACGGGATGTGATGTGATGATTTTCAGACTTTCCGTAATTCATTTTCGCCGGAATTCTGATGAATGGGTTCTGTTTGATCATTTTGATCAGATGAATGTTAGTCCGTTTTTGAATTTTTTTGTGGAAATTTTTGATATTTCAGGCGAACGGTTGAGTTTTTAAGGAGTGCCTTCGATTAATCGTCGAACTCTGTTTTCCTTCTTGACCGAGGAAGCTCTAGGGCTTTTTCGGTGGATCAAGGAGGGAGGAGATAGCTAAGAGATCCAGCAGAGAATTATTTTGACCAGTGAGGGTTTTTGGAGTAGAATCTGGGTTTGAAGAATGAGCGCAGTCTCGGGTGTAATCTCGAGGCAAGTTTTGCCAGTCTGTGGTAGCCTTTGCATTCTCTGCCCCGCGCTGCGTGCAAGATCTAGACAGCCTGTGAAGAGGTACAAGAAGCTCATTGCTGATATCTTCCCTCGTAATCAGGTTGGTACTTCTGCATTTCATTTCGCTTTGAGTCGTTGTCTACTGAATGAGACAATTATGTTCCTTGGCATTATGAGACATTTCGCTCACGATTTGTGATAGGAGGAAGGCCCAAATGACCGGAAGATTGGAAAGTTATGTGAATATGCAGCAAAGAACGCTGTGCGTATGCCAAAGGTATACACTTTATCCATTGCCAGAGCCTAGAGACAAAAATCTAATAATGTTAGCAATGTTATGGCAATGTTGTCATGTTGCTGAAATTTACAATTTCAACAGATATCAGAGTCTCTAGAACAAAGATGTTACAAGGAACTGAGGAATGAGAATTTCCAGTCGGCAAAGATAGCCATGTGCATTTACAGAAGGCTTCTGGTCACTTGTAAGGAGCAAATGTGAGGTCATCCTTCTTTTTGCTTTGTTTACAAACGTCTCATATCTTCGGCATGTATATAGCTAACTTGATTATTTGGTTGTGTTTTTTTTTTTTTTCTGCAGTCCTCTTTTCTCTAGTGGTTATATAAGGACTGTGCAAGCTCTTTTAGATCAAACTCGGCAAGATGAAATGCAAATAGTTGGATGTCAGTCTCTTTTCGAATTTGTAAATAATCAGGTCAGTCTCACACTTCATATTTTATAGCCACATGTCAGAGTTTTTTCTGGTAGAATGGTTAAGGACATATGAAATAGCATGATTGATTCACGCTATCAAACTTTTGCAGAAGGATGGCAGTTCCCTGTTTAACTTAGAAGGCTTTCTCCCAAAGCTGTGCCAATTAGCACAGGAAGGTGGGGATGATGACAGGTCACGGAGCCTACGTGCAGCAGGACTTCAATCCCTTTCAGCAATGGTAAGTCCGTTATGTCTCTCTATATACTATTCTTCATTATTGATTGTAAATTTACAAGTACCTTCTGATGAATTTTATCTATTTCCAGATTTGGCTGATGGGTGAATACTCTCACATTCCAAGCGACTTTGACAATGTAAGTAACTCTCAGGTTCATGTACCAGTTTTAGGTAGACATGTTAGTATCTGTTAACTGATAAATCCAATACTTGCATGGCAGGTTGTCTCAGCAGTCTTGGAAAATTACAGGCAATCCAAAAAATTAACAAATGCTGCTAATGATAGTGGCAGAAAATGGGTGGATGAAGTATTGAAAAATGAAGGACATGTAGCTCATGCAGATTCCCTCATAAATGTTCCTTCTTGGAGAACGGTTGTGAATGACAAGGGTGAACTAAATGTGAAAATGTAATTTCTCCACTAAGTCAGTTGTGTTCACGTTTGCCTTTTTGGATAATTTTCTTCTCTGATCAATATATCTTTTCTGTTTTCAGGGAAGATTCTTTGGACCCTACCTTTTGGTCCAGGGTTTGCCTGCACAACATGGCCAAGCTAGGAGAAGAGGCCACAACCATGAGACGTATACTAGAGTCTTTGTTCCGTTACTTCGACGAGGGATATCTCTGGTCAACGGAAAATTCTATTGCTTTCCCAGTTTTAAGGGATCTGCAGTTTCTGATGGAGATATCTGGTATTACATTACGCTTTGTACATCTTTCATTCAAGCCCTTCCCACATGATCAGTGCTCTGAAATAGTTTTGCCAATCTTGCAGGGCAAAGAACACACTTTATACTGTCCATGTTAATTAAACACCTTGATCATAAAAGTGTGCTTAAACAGCCAAGCATGCAGCTCAACATTTTAGAGGTTACCTCCTCCCTTGCTGAAAATGCAAAAGTTGAACACTCTGCAGCTATAGTCAGCGCAATCAGTGATACCATGAGGCACCTGAGAAAATGCATGCATTCTTCTCTAGATGAGTCAAATCTGGGAACTGAAGCAGTAAACTCCAACAGAATGGTCAGTGTAGCTGTTGATAAGTGCCTTATCCAACTAACGAAAAAGGTATATTACTACTACCATTCTCAGAGAAAATTTTATATTTCGTCTTCAAAGAGATGTTAGGCTGATCTGTCAGTTTCCTAAGGTTGGAGATGCTGGCCCAATTCTTGATGCTATGGCTATGATGTTGGAGAATATCTCAGCTGTCACAGATGTAGCAAGAACCACAATTGCTGCTGTCTTTCGCACTGCTCAAGTTACAGCCTCAATACCAAATCTCTCATATCAAAACAAGGTAACATCTGGAATTAACTCATATTAAACAAGCTCTCATGAAATATCTAAGCTTTTGTTACCTTTTTTGTTTCAGGCATTTCCTGAGGCCTTATTCCATCAGTTACTTCAAGCTATGGTCCATCCAGATCATAAAACAAGGATTGGCGCACACCGTATATTTTCTGTTGTGCTGGTACCAACCTCAGTCTGCCCTCGTCCCTCCTCAAACACTACTGATCTTAAGAAAGGAATGGGTCTTCCTCGTTCACTGTCAAGGACCGCGTCTGTCTTTTCCTCCTCAGCAGCCCTTTTCGAGAAGCTGAGGAAGGACAAGTTTTCGTCTTTTCTAACTTCTGATCAGAACCAAAACGAAATGCCTGCTGAAGAATCTGTAATTAATACGGGGGAAATCCTAGACAGACTGAAATCTTCATACAGTCAGTCATATAGCAATTGGAATCAACCAGTGACCTCTGTAGCAGATAACTCTGTGGCTGTTTTAAACTCTGAGCTGGTACGTCTTGATTTCTGCTTACACTTCTGAGGTACAACTTGGACTAGTCTTCATTCTCTAATTTGATTTCTTGCATGCTGCTCAGGATGCTGTTTATGTAAGGCTGAGTAGTCACCAGATAGGTCTTTTGCTTTCATCAATCTGGGCGCAGTCCATATCTCCTGCAAACACACCAGACAACTATGAGGCGATTGCTAACACCTACAGTCTTGTATTGTTGTTCTCTCGTGTTAAGGTAACATATATGTCATATCTCAATACTTGCTACCTCTGCATTTGAGTGTTTAGGACCTATGATCATTCTGACTATATCTAAATATATCATCTTACAGAATTCTAGTCATGACGCTTTGATTAGAAGCTTCCAAATGGCACTTTCCTTGCGAGATATTTCTTTAATGGAAGGAGGTGAGCTTCCATATTGTTCCGGCTTCTCCCTGAAATGAGCCTTTATCCTTTGTTTTTGGTTTGGAAACTATAACGTAGCCCTCAACTACTGTTTCAGGACCACTCCCTCCCTCACGACGAAGGTCACTCTTCACTCTGGCTGCATCAATGGTTCTGTTTTCCTCAAAAGCATTCAATCTTTTTTCTCTGGCGGATTTCACAAAAGTAGCACTTCAGCGACCAACGGTACGTTCATCATTCTTTGGTGACAATGTTGCCATGTTGATGTTTTGTTTCTCTTGGAAATCTAGCTCTTGAAAGTCGCACCAGACTTCAATGCTTCGTATTCTTATGACAGAGTTTTCTTTAACTTTCTCTTCTAACCTGATTCAGATCGACCCATTCTTGCACTTGGTTGAAGATCACAAGTTGAAAGCTGTAAACACAGATCAGCTGCTGACAGTTGCTTATGGATGCGATGAGGATGATGCTTCAGCTTTAAATACTCTTTCAAACATAGCGGTCTCCACTGAGCATAGCAGAGGAACCCTTGTTTATGAAATTGTCAAAAGCTTAGAAGATATGTGCAATGTAAGCGTTTCCTCTCACTACCTCCCCACTTACCATTCCATATCTTTGGTATGTCAATTAATTGATAATCACAGTAAGCTAACAAAGAGTAAACTATTTTACTAGACTGAAATGGACAAAATGAGGGAGCAGTTGCTCACTGAATTCATGCCAGATGATGCATGTCCTCTTGGAACCCGGTTTTTGGAAGACACTCAGAGAGCTTATCAGGTTAATTCCGGAGATGTTAAACCTCAAAAGGTGATAATAAGCTCTTCTGCTTCCCATGATGTTCCTCATAAACCTTGAGATGAACATATATAAAAAATTGCTGTGGATGTGTTTTCAGGACGCTGCACTCTTCTCTCACGAGGATCAAGAATTTGGAGATGGTATTGAAACCGTTGCAAAGAATAATCCTGTAACATTTTCTGAAATCCCAGACCTCCTGACTGTCAATCAAATTCTAGAATCTGTAAGCTTGCATGTTCCGTCTCCTAGAATTTAGATTACAAAGCTCATCAACATATCATCATAACTTAATACTATATTTCTTGTGTTATGCTCCAAGGTCGTGGAGACAACACGTCAAGTGGGTAGAATCTCTTTCCATACTGCAGCAGATGCTTCATACAAAGAAATGACACTTCATTGTGAGAATCTGTTAATGGGAAAACAGCAGAAGATCTCGAGCCTTTTGAATTCTCAGCTACGACATGAGAGTTCTGTAAATTCCTCTCCACGACAACATGATGAAGAGATTAGGATTGCAACTTTCCATCCTATGACCAATTCAACATTTTACACCGAGGTATGCCTTTGCTAGAAACCAACAATTTGGTTCAGTATTTGGTCTTGAAACCAATCAAGCCTCCATTTGCATCTTCCAAGACTACTCTCTAATCAGTATTTTTTTATTGCTGAAGGAATTTGAAATGAAATCGCCAACAAGATCACCAATGGGAATGAAATCTCCAAGAACACCAATGGGAACCATTCAGACACAGTGCTACTCAGAACTCCAAAACAGCCCACAAGCATTTAGACTACCAGCTTCAAGCCCTTACGACAACTTCCTTAAAGCTGCTGGCTGTTGAACATCTGCATGATCCAAACCACCATGATTCGCTTTGAATACAGTCAAGAACTGAAAAACAATATAGGTGTGCTTGGGTTATCAAAAGCCTTGAGTTACGTTTTCTTAGTTTATTAGCATCATAAATCGGAATAAACTCCGTTGTGCTATACTTAGATCATATCTTGTAGGTTTCTGTTGCTATCTTCTCTTTTGCTTCATCTCTTATTCTTTATCCAATTCATTTGTTCCCTTTTGGTGTGTGAAGTGTATAAACTGAAAGAGGCCATCCGGTTTTCCAATGGTCGTGTAATCTTGAAAGATTGGGTCTACGACAAAGATGTACATTGACTCTTCAGTGATCTACTTTACGATTTGTGTAATCAGATAAGCAAATTAACCATAAGCGACCCCAAGATTGCAATTCCTTTCATATAACTGTTTTAAACAGTCTTTTTCCTTTTTTTTTTCTCTGTATACAGTACTATACTTCCTTTTGCACTCTCATGTAAAAGCCTTGCACTGCAAGCAAGCTCAGATCCCACGTACTTCTTTTTTCTGTGCAACTTTTAGGTCAATTCCTTTTAATCTGTGTTATTGCTTGTTGCTCACTTATGTTAAAATGCATGCCGTCTGCTGGGAAAGAGGAAGCCTTGTTTAGTAAAGAAGTGGACGAGGACGAGGACGAGGAAGAGGAAGCACTAGAGAAGTATATCTCCTACATGGGAGGAGATGACTGTAAAGAACCAGCGAGGGCTTGGGTGGATTGCATGGTGGAAGCTGAGAAGAACAAGGAAGATATGGACACCAAGTGTTGCCAACACGCTTCGACGATAGAGAAGTGTATGAATTCTCACCGTGATCAGTACCAACCCTTGCTCGCCTTGGCAACTACTCGTAGAGAACATATGAGGAGGGGCCTCGAAGAAGCCCTTGGGATTGAGATTCCTAAAAAGGGAACATTCCGATATCTATAAGTCTCCGATTGATATATGATTTGATCCAACTTCTTAATTATTTTGTGGTTTTTGCTTAGCTCTTTTCTTTGCAACATATTCTAGAATGATTCTACAACAAAAGGTTCCTTGAACAACAGTATCATCATGATGTCCATGCATTGACTCTTCAGTGATATTTTACAATTTGTGCAATCAGATAAGCAAATTAACCAAGATTGCAATTCATTCATAAAGTTCTATATAATTAATACACAAGATGAGAGAAGCTCGCATATATAAGAATGCGTCTTTCTGTATATGAATGTCACAAAAGGAAGGAGCTATTTATATATCATCATCATCATATTTGTACTCTCATTTGCTTTGTATAACCTCTTGAAGCATTTCAACTACTTTCTTCATCTTTGGCCTCTTTGCAGGTGTCATGTCTGTGCAAAGCAATGCAACTTTCAGAGCTGCAAGCATCTCTCTCCTCCAAGCAAAGGACACGGTGCTAAGCTTGGCGTCAAGTATCTGTTCCGGTGTCTCTCCTCTCGCCGAAGCTCCATGCACCCATTTCACCAAATCTACTCCTTCGCCAAACTCTTCCTCCACAGGCGCTCTCGAGGTCAGAATCTCAAGCAACACCACTCCGTAGCTGTAAACATTCCCCGGTGCAGTAACTTGCATTGTGTATGCATACTCTGAGGAAACAAAAACAAAAACAAAAGGACAAGTAAATGAGTTTGAGTTTCTGAAAGTGATTGGTCACAAAACCTAAAGACTTTACATTCCTCCATACCTGGAGGAATGTAGCCAAAGGAGCCAGCAACAGAGCTAATACTTGCAGTGCCTCGAGATGGATCCAAAAGCTTCGATATTTCGATTTCCCCAAGCACAGCTTTGTAACCAGAGTCCAGCAAGACATTGCTAGAGGAAACATCAAGGTGGATAATCGCAACATGGTGGAGAAACGCTAAGCCTTCCGCAACTCCAACGGCTATGGACAGTCTCATTGGCCAGTCAGGTTTATACTCTGGTCTCTTGGTGGACTCATGGATCAGCTGAGTTAAGTTGCCATTAGGCAAATGCTGATGCAACAAGAGAGCAACGTCGTCGTATATAACAAACCCGATCGGTCTAACCAAATGGTCATGGCAAAGTTTGCTGAGTCTTTCAAGCTCTCTGATCATCTTGCTCTGATGATGAGTTATGGCTCTGTCCATAGACTTGAGCTTCTTCACAGAAACAATCATCCCTGAAGGCATAACGGCTTTATAAACCGAACTGAACGTTCCAGTGCTGAGTTTATTGGACTCCTTCAGAGTTGCTTTCACAACTGCATCAAGATCAATCCCTTGTTTAAGATTCTCAAGGAAGACATTTCCGGCTATAATCGCCGGCTGCTCATCCTCAACGTTCTCTTCAACGTCGACGTTCTTAGCCGCAGCTTTCTCTTGCTTCTCCCTCATCATGAAGAGAAGAACAACCACAGTGACTGATACAAAGACGGCAACACCGGAGCCAATCACTGCAAGCACAATCTTGTAGGAGACTCTGTGGTTGTATCTCAAATGATCAAGATCACCAGAATATCCGCAAGAAGAGCTCAACGGCGCTCCACAGAGCTCTTTGTTCCCCGAGAAGCTCGAGTTTGGAGACTTTTGAAAGGGAACAAAGACTGGCACCGGACCGTTCAAGAGGTTGTTTGAGAAGTTAACCTCAATCAAACTCATCATACCTTTAAGCAGCTGCGGTATGGTTCCTGTAAGCAAGTTGTTTGAGACGTCCAACGACACGAGCTTGTCGAGCTTTCCTAACTCTGGAGGCAATGATCCGTGAAGATGGTTGAAGCTTAAGTTGAGAGCTATCTGCAGATTCCTCATACGACCAATCTCGAAAGGGATGGTTCCTGTAAAGTAGTTTCTACCTAACTGGAGCTCAAGCAGCTTCACACAGTTTCCAATCTCTTGAGGTATGTCTCCTCTTATGGAGTTCTGATCAAGAAGCAGATACTGAAGCCTCGGCATGCTGCAGAGTTCCTTTGGGATGGTTCCGTTGAGTCTGTTGTTACTCAAATCAAGCTTGTTGAGGTTTCCACATCCAAGAAACGACTTAGGTATCTCCCCAAAGAGACTGTTCCCTGAGAGGATCAGTTCTTGGAGATTCACAAGCTCTCCAAGCTCTCTCGGAATGGCTCCAGCGAAGCCATTGGCTGCAAGATTCAGCAGAGTGAGGTTGGAACACTTTGAGAACTCTGCAACAATCTCACCTGAGAGATTGTTGTTGTCTGCTTCAAAGTAAGTGAGTCCAGTAATGTTCCCAATCGTCCTCGGAATGACTCCTACAAGCTCGTTGTTCCCAATTCTAACGCTGGAGAGGCCGCTGCAGATTCCTACCTCTTCAGGGAGCTCACCGGAGAATCTGTTCTGCGTCAAGACCAAAACTTTAAGCTTCCCTTTCTCAAAAACCCCCTTTGGAATCTTCCCTTCAAGCTGGTTTGAATGAAGATTCAACAGTTCCAATTCAGAAACTGAACCTAACCCTTTTGGTATCTCACCTGTCAAAGCATTCTCATAAGCTGTGAACACTCTGAGACTGCTCAGATTCCCTACCCAGTGAGGTATAGAGCCGTTTAACCCATTTCCAGAGACCTGAAACTCCTCTAACCTCTTTAGAGCCTTAAGCTCATCAGGTATCTCTCCCACAAGCAAGTTATTGGAGACGTTGAATGCTCTAAGACCTCTAAGCTTACCAAACTCAACCGGAATCTCTCCAGCGAAACGGTTCAGAGACAAATCAAGAAACTCAAGCTCAGATAAATTGGCGAGAGATGCAGGAATCGGTCCGTTGAAGTTGTTACCGGAGAGATCTAGGTGCTTTAAGCTTCTGAGGTCAGAGATTAGAGTGACATTACCTCTGAGCTGAAGCCCTGAGAGGTCAAGCATTTCAACGAACGAGTTGTTGGCACCACCACACTTGAGCCTAACCCAGTTGCAATAGTCGTCTGTGCCGTTGCTGCTACTCCATCCCGGAACTCCGAGCTCTCTGTTAATGGCTACCAATGTGGCTTCATCGCTCAGCTGAGCTTCACAAAGGTCGGATTTTGATAAGAACCCAACAATCAAAAGAATTGACATGCACAAGAATTCCATTTTTGAAGTGAATTAATGATTAGTCAATCAATCACACGCTCTTGTTCTTCTTCTTCCCACAAACGCACAGAAGAGAGTGATTGATTGAGAAAAACACCATTTTGATTTTGTGATTTTGTTAAGCCAGTGGAAGTAGTAGCGTTAAGAAAGTGAGAGAGGAAAAGGAAAGTTTTGCTCTTTTCGCCATGAAACCCGGATTAAAGGTCTGATTTTGGAGTCAAAATAACTGTTTATCGCTGTTTCCGAACGAAACCCATCTCAGATTTGTGAGGGAAAGGAAAAAAAAGAGTGCTTTTGAGTGTGACTGTGAGTGTGCAGAGACAGATAGAGAGAGAGAGCAAAGCCCATAAATTCAGGGAGAAAAAAAGGGATAAATCCAGAGAAGAAAGCAGCAAGGGAAATTTGATCATATAGAGTAGGGTCTATGCGTAGAAGAGAGAAGAGAATGCATTTCATGTTTTTTTTTTTTTAATATATATCACGAAATTATTGTTGCAGAACCAAACAAAGATCCTCACTTCAGACGAGAGAGAAGAGAGAGAGACTCCACAAAGCAAACGCACTTGGAAAGGAGGGAATTTTTCTTCTTTCTTTTTTTTTTCTTTTTCAATATATTTAAAATACTAATTTCTGATACAAAAGTTTAATTTTTTTCACGAGACAGTGCAAGTGATGAAATGAATGAAAGCTGCATAAATATGTCTGACACATTTTTTTACTTTCTGAAATAAAATAAAATATATATATAGATTTAAAAAGTTATATGTACAGTGTACGTTTTGATAATTCTTTTCTTCTGACGTTTTTTTCTGTACCATACTGTCACAATGTACAAAACTAAAGAGGTAAAAGACATCTTTCAAATCTATTTCTTTCTTTTTTAACTTCTTTCAAATTAACTTCCAAATGTATATTAGATCAAGAGACAAGAATGTTTCGCAAATTTACACACACTTTGCAATATGCAATTATCAGTTTTGTTATACACAGATTTGAAAACAACAAAAATTATTGTTAATATCATCACAGTTTAAGTGCGAACTTGGCTAAAATTGCCGAATGATTTAAACGTCATAATTAACTTCAACATATATATATAAAAAAAAAAAAAAAGATACATTGTGCTTTGAAGAAATTTACATCTGATATCAACTACTCTCGAGAGTGAACAAACTCATTGGCATGAGCTTTCCACAATATGACATTGACATACATGATTTAAATCGGATGGTAACATAACAACGATTCAAACCATAACGAATCATAGTTTTATTTTGTAGTATTGATTTTTATTCATTTCAAATAATAGGCCCCTGATATGTTGAAATTTGGTTCTGAATTTATGTCCGTCCAGTCACCATAGTTTGGAGTTTGAGTCAATAACCGGTTTGGTGGTTGTTTTGATCCGTTAGTTGAGAGTTGTTGTGTAAAGAGTTTCTTCCAGTCAATAGTAGTAGACAATTTAGTAGCAGTCAATAGTAGTAGCAATTTATAGGAGTATTTATTTACAATGTCTCTACTAAATTGCTACTACTATTGACTGCTACGGTACACATGAAAGCTTATACGACACCAGCTTTCTGCTCAATGTTTTAAGAGTATATATATCACGTATCGAATGATAAAACAAGTTTTTGTTTCTTGATCCATCCTAAGAAAAGTATTACTGGATATATAACTACTACTATTGAAAAAAAAAGATGGATAATATACTTAAATATATGAGGGAATATCATATATTGTTACAATTACAACATAATGTATAGTCGTATCAAGCGTCATTACTTGCTATAATGCATAGTCGTATGTAGCGAGCAAATGTAAATTGAGAATAATACAATGTAAAGAGTGGGGCTCACTCACGATGACGGGATGGGTAAAAAAGGAAAGTGGCTCTTACGGTTAGGCAAATTGTGGGACCCGACTTTGTCTGTCCCGACCACCACCGCCTTAGCCACTCACTCATCCTCCGTCCAATCTTTTGTAACTTATAATTCCATTAATTAATTATATAATGCTAATAAGCATTCTTTATGTGGTCTCTTTCATGTGAGATTTCAATGCTAATAATACGAATAAGACGTTGAACTTCTTCTGGCTTTGGTACATTTCTCATGATTAAATGTCTTGCATGAGTACTTGGTCAAAAAAAAAATGTCTTGCATGAGTTTTATCGCAATGGGAGAAAGAAAGAAACGGTTACCAGCTACAAACAAAAAATAATAATCTTTGATTCGGGTTTTAGTTTGGTTTGAAATATGATTTTTGTAATTTTTTAAGGCTTTTGAAACAGAATGTGTTGAAAGCACAGCTGAATTTAATATGTATTTTTTTCATATGTTTTTAAACAAATATATACACTAACCGAATTTAAATTATCAAACAATCTAACTTTTCATAAATAATTGATACTATTGTATTAGACGAATCAGTTAAAAGACAAATCATAAGAAGAGCAGCAAGAAAAAAAAATAAAAGAAAAGAAGACATAATGATGGAAGCACCTCGTCGCTTTAAACTCGTGAAGAAGGGGAGATAAGCAATAATTGGTAACCAGGGTTTGACCCGTGCCCTGCACGGGGTGATGATTTCTGAATTTGTATTTTTTAATCAGAAATGTATATATAACTATTTTGAAATTTTATACGACATATTTTTCACCTTGGTTAGGTTCTTGTCTTGGTTTATAGTGTGGAAATTAAGCATTTTAAACCATTTTCAAAAAAGTTAAACAAATTAAAATGTTGATCGTAGCCATAAATTAAATATGATAGATTTAAGCGTGATACATAAAACTCAAATGATTACAATATAATAAAATTGTTCAAAGAACAAAAATGAAAATAAAATACTATTCTTTTTAAAAATTTATATATCATGTATTTTATAAGATAAGCAGTTATAGATGTATGCACACGGATTATATCTTTTGTAACTATGCAAACGGATTATAACTAACTTTTTTCTCTTTCATTCAAAACTAAAAAATGTTTTATTATAATTTGAAAACAATTCGACCAATAAGAAAACAATCTGCAGTATCCAAATTGTCAAAACAACAAAAATATAATTACTTTTATATTGAAAGTGAAACAGATAGATCAATATTCAAATTTTGATCAAAACAAAATATTTATAAGAAGAATTGTCTTATTTGATTTAATTATACCGTTTAATTAAAAAACATATTAAATCGAATAAAAAACCAATTTACATTTGGATACCTACTCTCCTATGTCATATGGTTGCACATCATCTATTTTTTTATATAATATATTTTTACACCTTCACACAATAACATATCATATATGGGAATTTTAAGAGTTTTAGTGAATATTCTTTTTTTAAATTCAAATCATAGTATATACAGAAAAATTAGATTTTCTTTACTAAATTTCTTATATTGTGATTCAAATTATTTTATAAAATAGAGGTAAACAAAGATGAAATGAGATATCTAATGATTTAAAAAAACAATTATTATGATAGAATTAAATTGATCATATTTTCCTTATTTACTAATTTTCGTAATTGCCAATTAAGAAAGAGAATGATAATTTTTTTTAATAGCTATATGATTAATTTAATAATACATATTTAATTCTAACCAAAAATATGAATGAAATATTTGTAATTATTTGATTCCTAACCAAAAATATGAATGACAATATTTGTAATTATTAATATCTTGATAATTTTCTGTGGCATATTTGTAAATAGTCTAATTAAGAGAGAGTTATTTTTAGAAGATCTGAGAGTGTGGCAAATGACACCTCAGCATGTCTTCTCTTTTAATATATAAGGAATTAGAGAAAATGTTAACCAATCATCACGATGAAAACGAAGTCATTAGCATATGAATGCTTTTCATCTCAATCTAACTTTCTGCGTGATCATTTGTAATTGCAATTTCGTGACTTTGCTCTCGAACTCTTGAAACGAAGATTAAGCCGAGATTTATGCCCTAATCATTACGGATCTGTGGGATGTCGTACCAAATACTACTATTATTCTCATTTATTAATTACTGGTAGTATTTTTATAGGCTCACCAACCGTACGATCTAATTAGTGTTTTGGGAAAAAAATGTACAAATCCTCATCATTCAAAAGTCATTAAAGACTTCCGAAACCCTTCATTTTTCATCCACATACATATAAAATGTAACTTTGTAATATAATGTTAATATTCATATCAGTTGTGAAAAAAAATCTACAATTATTTAAGAATATGTATAAAGATATTATATAAAAATATAACGAATAAAAACTAGAAGGAAATGTCAAAGGACATGACTCGGCTGTCCATCTTGTAGTGTACCAAATGGGGCATGTGGGAAGGTTGAAGGAAAAGCTAACCCCACTTTTTGTTGATTATTTTCATCATTTTATACATTTATTCTCTATTACTTTTTCCAAAAGAAAGTGATTATAAAAAAACTTCATATAAATGTATTTTTGGCAGTAATGTTGATTGAGACTTAGCTCTCCCTTTATCGGACACATATCATGACCTTTGGATCATGGTCTGTCCCTCTTCTTTTTAGCATTCATCGACATTTCTTTTGTTTTTCTATCGCTTTTCGACATTTATTTCATAATAATGGAAATACAACAAATTCTATTTTCAAACTAGAACCAAGGCTCCTGAATTTAACATTTTTCCATCCCCGTTTGGAAATAGTGTTTTCAGACAAGAAGCAAAAACTTTAAAACCAACGGAACGGATAACGTAGTTTGGGCCTAAATGAGCTGAACTATAAATCTCATGGCCCTATGTAGAACTATTACAACAAAATCCTATTTCGCTCTCAAGTGAGAGAATTGAAAACTAGTAATTTAATTACCTAGCAAACACTAGTAAAGCTCAATAAGTTTATGGACTAATTTGGGGTGAGGAAAGAGATGGTTCTTCTAGTGATCTATTTCGATCAAATATGTATCATATGACCGATCGGTCGGATCAATTTCTATGTAATGTAGGTTTAAGATATCTATGACCGATTTAATTTTTCCAATATTTCTAAATTTTAGTGCCTGTGTCAACTTTCGGCTGTCTTACCATGTTCATGTCTTAAAACGATTCCGTCCTAATTATAATATGGAAGTCAAATGTAAGTATGTGGATTCCATCATGTGAATTCTTAAATGTCAATGAGATTTTTTATTCTTTTTCAAAAAGTCAACTACAAGTTTATAGAGAGATCAAAGATGGACCCCCAAAAAAAAAAAAAAAAAGAGATGAGAGATGGGCAAAAATTTCTTCCTGCCCCGGTTTCATTTCTCATACACATGTAGATGTTGTGCTCATGTCCTTTTTAAGTACAATGTATTTCATATAAACAACATCGTCTAAAGTAGTAATATTAAATTAAACGAAGAATCTAGGCAATTTGGAACCATTCATATTAGGTTTTTCAGTTTGTGACTTGGAGCACCAATTACGGCGATGAACCGACACAGACCATACTTGGAGGCTCCCAATCGTATACATACACATGCAATTGATGATGTAACTAGTTGTTAATATTTAACTATTCCAAAAAACTAGCTCATAATGTATAAAATAAGTATAACTCTATCCCAAAAGAACCGAAAAGTTCTCTATATTTTACTTGATATTCAAATTACCTAAATACAGCGACTAATGATCATTGGTTGATCATACTCTTCCCTCTCTTGCATTGTACAAATTTGACAAAGTCTTTTTATTTGACGAGATTTATATATAGATCCTAAGTCTATAAAACTATAATCTGAGAATGTGTAGCCGCTAAACAAAATATTACCTGAATTAGTTCGATCACATAATCGATAAACGTACAAAAATAGATGATGTAACATGGTATTTAATTAATTGTCAAAAACTGATTAGAAAACGAAACAAATTGCGAGTAGTTTGTTGAATAACATGATGGTACGGTCTCACCACAAACATTGCGGCTCATTTTGTGGGGATATTCATCGTGCTTCGACTTACTTTTGCTGTATCACATTCCTAATCAATAATACGTACGTACGTACGTTGCCGTATATATATTAGTATTATATTTCTACCATCATTTTCTATTTTGAATTATTGAAAAACGAACGTAACATTAATAATACGTAGGTCGGCTATATATAGCTCTTAGGAAGTTGTGCTATATCATAATAACACCACCCGTTGTATAACTAACTCTCTCAAATTATACTCTTCTTTATAAGTCCCAATTGATAGATTTGTTTTGCTGTGCGTCACATAGCGTAAAAGCTCACGATGGCTCTCGTTCTCTCTCTTTGCTTGGTCTTCCTTTTCTCTCTTTGCCATGGTTCTCATAGCTTACCTGCACAACGGACTCCTCATCTTGACGGTAACCAAGACTACTTTAATTTATCATGGAACGGTCGATGATATGTTTGTTTCTTTTCGTATGTTATGTTAAGAGTGATATCAGAAACAAAAATAAAATAATTTAGTCATCTTTGGAATTGAAGTGCTGTAATCAATATAGTGTGTTAGAGCTCTTTTTTTCGGTTAAATATTTAGTGTGTTAGAGATCTCAGGGTAAAAATAGAAAATGATTTGTTTTTTTGTTGTCTATAATTTATATTAACGGATAATTAATGTTATGACAATGGTGCTAATACAAACTAGTAGACTAGTAACATAGTGTAATAAGCTACTCCGTCAATAATGATCTGAACTCGTATATTATATAGTTTCCACGTTATATGAAATGTGAATATTGGCTTATGCAGCGCTTCTCGCAAATGGCGACTTCGAGCAAGCCCCTCTCAAATCAAACATGAGAAATAGGCAAATCATTGGCAAGTACTCTCTTCCTCATTGGGAAATCTCCGGCCACGTGGAGTTAGTCTCCGGCGGTCCACAGCCCGGAGGCTTCTACTTCCCTGTCCCGCGTGGAGTCCATGCGGCTAGGCTAGGAAACTTAGCCTCGATATCTCAATACGTGAGAGTGAAACGTGGTTTGATCTATTCTCTAACGTTTGGGGTCACGAAGACTTGTGCTCAGGACGAGAACATACGAATCTCCGTGCCCGGTCAGACCAATGAGCTCTCTATCCAGACGTTGTTCAGTACCAGCGGTGGAGATACGTATGCTTGGGCTTTCAATGCAACTTCTGACTTGGTTAAGGTCACGTTTCATAATCCTGGTGTTCAAGAGGACCCTACTTGTGGGCCCCTAGTTGATGCCGTTGCCATCAAGGAGATTCTTCCACTCCGGTATAACAAAGGTAATCAATTAACTGGGTCAATTCCGGTTTAGATTTGTCTTTGCTTTCAATCCGAATATCGACTTAATTAGCTTATAAGAACAGCAACGAATGCACAATTAAATCTAGAAAATGGCTTAGTATAGTTTTTGTAGACAATTCGGATTCGTTATTTGGTCATATTATATATATATATATATATGAACCAATCCTCTTTAGGTATCAGAAGCAAATACCAACCATGGTTTACATAAAATTTCGGATTGTTGATGGTTAAAACGTAAAATCGAAGTAACCAAAATTCCCGCGGAAATTTTCTTCAACTTTTGTTTTTGCAATTTGGTCCTTATCTTTCAGACTGGTTTCTATTTCGCCCTTAATGTTTAATTTCTACGTAATAAATCAGGAAACCTTGTAAAAAATGGCGGATTTGAGATCGGACCACACGTATTCAACAATTACTCTACCGGAATCCTAATACCGGCGAAGATACAAGATCTGATCTCACCGCTTCCGGGTTGGATCGTCGAATCTCTGAAACCGGTCAAATACATCGATAATCGTCATTTCAAAGTCCCATCAGGTCTTGCCGCGATCGAGATCGTAGCCGGAAGAGAAAGCGCCATTGCTCAGATTATTCGTACTGTCGCCGGTAGAAACTACATCCTCTCGTTTGCGGTTGGGGACGCACACAATGGTTGCCATGGATCGATGATGGTGGAGGCGTTTGCGGGAAAAACGGCGTTTAAGCTTCGGTTTGAATCAGAAGGAAAAGGAGTGTTCAAAACGGGGCGTTTTAGGTTTGTGGCCGATTCGAATCGAACCAGGATTACTTTCTACAGCGGGTTTTATCATACCAAGCTTCATGATTTTGGACACCTTTGTGGCCCTGTTCTTGACAATGTTAGTGTTGTTCTGACCCATTAAGATTAATTTGAATATATAATCATTTTCTGTGGACAAAAAAAGAAAAAAACAACAATTTTCTATTTGTAAGCAAATTTGTTCAATTTCAATAATATTTTCCATATTGCTGTAAATTTAGAGATGTTGAAGATATAGCTGTAGAATTTTTGACTGTGATTATAGATTTTAGTGCTGTAAGATTTTTTATTGTAGATTGTGGCATTAAATACAGCATTAAAACAAAAAAATAAGATATAGAAATAATAGATTAAAAAATAAATGTTGAAAACATAATAAGGAAAGAAAGAAGATAAAATTTACTTAATTTTGTGCTCTAGAAAAATTGTTTTTCAAAGCCACGGAATTTCCATAAACAAAAAAAGTTGCTCTGCATTTCAAAAATGGAAAAAGATAGAATGAGAGTTTGATTGATGATTTTGGATTGTTGTACAGAGATTTAGTGCTCTGGAGAGCAACCACAACTCCTACCAATCATCCCCATAGACACATCGTGTTTCTTTCATCCAGTACAGTATTAAATAATCTTCAACATTTAATATTGACAAACAAAATATAGCAAATACACTGAACAGTCTACGGTTTGGAATAGATTTTTAAATCAAGACAAAAGCTAGCAAATACACTGAACAGTCTAGTTGAACGAGATTTGAAATCTGTGTATCTCCAGACAAATAGACGTAGACGTGTATATATATCAGAATCAAAACCACTACAATATCAAACCAAAAGTCAAAACTCAAAACAAAAAGAAAAAGAAAAGGTTTAAATCAATAAAAAATATTTCATTTGGACGTAGTCACGTAGATTGACTTAAAGAGCAAATCATGGCGATGATTAATCAGCGGAGAGACCATATGTGGACTTCTGGTTCGATCTGGATCTCCCCATTCATATCCCTTGTGTACACACATGCTTTCATTGTAAATCTAGTCCACTATTTTCTTTGTTTAAACTTTAAACATTAAGCTTTATTTTTTAATTTCTTTTATATATGGGTTAAACGTGAATCTTTTTATTAAACAAAACAATTTCTTACGTCGGTTGCAGACAAAGGAACCAGCAAGTGTTTTTCTTTTCTTTTTAAAGGAAACTAAAAAGTTGACTATATATTGCATTTCTCGTTTTTGTTGCATTTTGGTTAGATCTTAGCTCAGTTTAATATCCGGGCGACTGGAATTTGTTTAATATCCGGGCGACTGGAATTTGTTTAAATGTTTAGTTTTGTTTATCACATTGCTAGTAATCACTTCAACATATTGCTCGTGATGTGCTACTAAGTACTAACTAATCAAAGTTATTGGGATATTATAAAGGTTAATGGGCTATGAGGCCTTAATCTCTAGAGAGTGTGATAAAGTTCCACATCGGAAAGTGGGAGGGACCTTGAATAATATATAAGGGACTGAGGTCACTCTACCTATTGCTAATTGGTTTTAGGTTAGATGCCGAGGAAACTTAACATGGTATCAGAGCTTTGATACGCACACTTTCATGACCCGGTCCAGAAAGGACCCGACCCCCCCGACCCTAGAATTGATGGTCTGCAAGATTAATGGCTAGAAGGGCCATTATATCGAGGGAGGGTATTGGGATATTGTAGAGGTTAATGGGCCATGAGGCCTTAATCTTTAGAGAATGTGATAAAGTCCCACATCGGAAAGTGGGAGGGACCTTGAATAATATATAAGGGACTGATGCCACTCCACCTATTGCCAATTGGTTTTAGCTTGGATGCCAAGAAAACTTAACATGGTATCAGAGCTTGACCCGCACACTCTCTCGACCCGGCCCAGAAAGGGCCCGACCCCCCGATCCTAGGATTTGATGGTTTGCGAGATTAATGGTTAAAAGGACCATTATCTCGAGGGAGGGTATTGAGATATGTAGAGGTTAATGGGCCAGAAAGGCCTTAATCTCTAGAGAGTGTGCAAGCTAAGTCCCACATCGGAAGTGGGAAGGGACCTTAAGCGATATATAAGGGACTGAGGCTACTCCACCTATTGCCAATTGGTTTTAGGTTGAATGCCAAGGAAACTTAACAAAAGCATATACATATTCGACGTATAAGCAATTCGTGCTTGGAAGTTTCGTCGCATATTTTTCAGCGTCATATCTCACTGAACCCAAAATAAAGAGATTCTATAAGTGAAAATGGAAGAAAATTAGTAACAATATTGGACCTTTTACACAACCGAAATAACATGAGAGACAAAGAGTCACACATTGCGGCTCGTAATGTGCGGTCTTCAACGTGATTCGAGCTTCCCTTCTCATCTCTTATATTATATATACGTTTACATAAAAGTATAAAACTAGTGTTTATTATTTAAACAAAGAATTTTGTTGTATACTTCCTAAAATGTACAAGAAGCTTCTTCTTCTTTTCTTATTTATACTTTCTGACGTGTTAGTGTTAGTGTGTTACCCCTATAAATAGCCACATGGCCTTTCATTGATATAGGTGAACTAATTGATAAGACTTGTCTTAACACTAAAATGTCTCTCTATCACTCTCTTTGCTTCCTCTTGATCCTATCTCTCTGCCATGGCTCTCAGAGCCTCACACCACGTCGAACTCCTCATCTCGATGGTAGAAAAAATCACAATTTTTCATATTCATTATTCAACTCGATCATTGTTATTTGTTAACACAAAGTTATAATACTGTGTCAATTTATATATCCACAGGGCTTCTCCTAAATGGCAACTTTGAGCAAACCCCTCTCAGATCGAACATGAAGGGTCGGCAAATAATCGGCACAAACTCTCTCCCTCACTGGCAAATCTCTGGCCACGTGGAGCTAGTCTCCGGTGGGCCTCAGCCCGGTGGATTCTATTTCCCGGTCCCACGTGGGATCCACGCCATTAGACTAGGAAGCTTAGCCTCAATCTCTCAAGACTTGATGGTGAAGCGCGGCTTGGTCTACTCTATAACGTTTGGAGCCACGAGGACTTGTGCTCAGGACGAGAACATCAAAGTCTCTGTGCCCGGTCAGGCCAACGAACTCCCCCTCCAGACCGTCTTTAGCTCAGACGGTGGAGACACTTACGCTTGGGCTTTCAAAGCCACGTCAGATTTGGTCAAGGTCACTTTTCATAACCCTGGGGTGCAAGAGGATCGTACGTGTGGACCCCTCATAGATGTTGTCGCTATCAAAGAAATTCTTCCTCCTCTCCGGTATAGCGGAGGTAAATTGCTAAATCACTTTATCCGGTACAGATCCGGTTAATTTTTAACATGTTTTGCATTTTAGTCCTTGATGTTTGCTTGATATTTCTATTTAACCCGGTAATTTTAAAATGCTTTTTATTTGATTTTTCTGCTTACTCATCATCATAGGAAACTTGGTGAAAAACGGAGGGTTTGAGATTGGACCACACGTATTCGCTAACTACTCAACCGGAATCTTGATTCCGGCAAGGATACAAGACTTTATCTCTCCGCTTCCCGGATGGATCATCGAATCCCTCAAACCAGTGAAGTACATCGATAAACGTCATTTCAAGGTTCCGTCTGGACTCGCCGCCGTCGAGCTTGTTGCCGGAAGAGAAAGCGCCATGGCTCAGATTATCCGTACCGTCGAAGGGAAGCCATACATTCTCTCGTTCATGGTGGGAGACGCACAAAACGGCTGCCATGGATCGATGATGGTGGAGGCGTTCGCAGGGAAAGAAGCGTTTAAGCTTCCTTTCGTCTCGGAAGGCAAAGGAGAGTTTAAGACTGGACGTTTCAGGTTTGTTGCGGATTCCAATCGAACCAGGATTACGTTCTACAGTGCGTTTTATCATACTAAACTTCATGATTTCGGCCATCTTTGTGGACCTGTTCTTGATAGTGTTATTGTAATCCCGACCCATTAACGATTTGCATCTATATTTAATTATATTTACATTAAATGTTACAATAAGAAATATGATATTTTTGTTCGTAAACAATTTGTGGTTGGACTTTGTTATTTGTTGTCGTCATTGGTCTTATACTCTTATAAGTAGTTCGGTCACATGTAGCTCTTTGTACCAAGTAAATTTGCTGGTCGGGTGTAAAATTTCAAACATGTTCACAAAAGACAAATTTATTATGGAAATCAGTCAATCATAAAAATTAGGAGAGAACCCGCTCTACGCGCGGGTTTAAATTTTCGATAGTATTTTGTTTACTTGTTTTTGTTCTTTCACATTTTGGACATCTGTGTGACTCTATGTTATACAACTTAATATAGTTCATGCCAAATAAGGTTTTACAGTACATATAAGCTTAACTCTACCGATGTTAAAAATACAAAGGTTAACTCAACCACATTTGCTTCTCCAGGTTCATTGTATATCTAATCAAAGTTTTTGAAAACCATTCTTGGCACCGGACTGTTGGAAGGAAAATAATTGTATAATTTAGGTTGTATATTCGAGATCTTGCCAACAGTGGGAAGATATTACTTGCTGCATAAACAAATTATAAACTTCAAATGGAGAGTCTTTAAAGTGTCTATTAACAAAAGAAACAAACTGAAGAAACAGAGAAAATAAAAAAAATGGTTAGGCATCTTTTTATTCAAACCCATCCAACATGAGAAACAAATGCATTAGAAAACAATACCTTGAGAACAATAACAATCTTTGCTTAAGCTTCCTTTGTGAAGAGCTATAGATTTTTAAGAAAATTTCTGTCTATCTTTAAAATAAAGAATGGTGTCCAATGGTGTCCGATTCAATCTGGATTTGAAGAAAAAAGTGAGAAGTTCATTACCCTTGTTGATAAGAAATAATATCTCTAAGTCGAAATGCATAAGATGTAACAATTAAGTAACGAAAGTACAATCTTAATAAGAGGTTTTGATAGAGTTTTATTTATTGAGTCAAACATGTGGTTATTGAGCCCTTTAAAAGTTTGCTTGGTTTGCATGCATTGCATTGCTCCACCAAATCCAATTATAAGTTTCAACTCAAAATTCAAGATACGATGACAATACAAACACACAACGTCATTATGATAACATCGTTATGTTTATGAGATTAACAACGCGTATGTGTCTCAAATGAAGCTAAACGAATAAACAATTCGCACTCCAAAAATAGCTTTTGACTTGTACTGCATTTCTTCTTTAACCGTGTACTAAACCTGTATACACACCAAAACATGAGATATTGTATGTATAGCTCAATACATAGAGGATCCCAAAGTATACCGGTGCCTTTATGTTTCATTTTGGAAACAGCACATAGTGGAAATATCCTTTTAAGGCCATCTAACATTTCAAGAGGTTCTAGTCTGGAAAACATGATTAATACATTTGTATTTGCTTAACGATGAATAAGAAATCACTCTATTTTTCAAGAATCAAAATGCAAGGAAATGACAATAAATTTAGATTTCTAGTAAACAACTCAAGTAAGTTTCATTGTATAAAATCTTTCAACTCAAGTAAGTTTCATTGAAATATCCAAGTCTTGTAGTGACTTTTTGCGGTTAAATCTGATGCCATGGATCTAGGATCATCAACGCAGCGTCCATTGACAATACCAAACAAGCTCTGTCCTGAAGTTGTGTTAAAGAGTTCTTCAGGATACTCCGTCCTAGGCCAAATCAAAAAATCTTCCCCAACTCGAGATCCCACAATAGGCACACCAAGGCGCTGACAAACTTCAATGTATATTACGCTAAACAAAAATGCTGCACCATGGAAGACAACAAAACCCCATTCAAGATTAGAGGCAACAAATGAAACGCCTTTTGAGAAAGCCTAAAAGGGGAGACTTTTACCAGTGCCGCATCTACAGTTAAGTACAGAGTGAAGGTAAAAGTATTTGGGGTCTAAAGGAATAGATGTCCTCTTGAAGCCTCTCAGGTCGAAGAGTACTGTGTTCACAGCTTCAAGGACTTGAACCGAGTGGCGGCCGATGTCTCGTGAGACTAATTCTGCCTCTACTTCTTTGGAAATTGCATCTAGTCTGTTTAGTCTGGTGTCTTTGACGTTCCCCTGGAGTTCTTATCGCTCTCCATGTGAATATCACAGCAATTGCACCAATAGATCTTGAATCCTAAGTTTTCACACCAAATGATAGCAAAAACGAATCAAACTACTTGCAATCATCCCCATACTGAAAAGATATAATATTTTCTCCACCAAGCAGGTAGATTACAGTCAAATTTGAGCTGAATGATTAGTTTCGTCAATTTTTAGATTGAAACGATACATAGAGAACATCTTCAACTGAATAATTAGTTCCCTGGAGTTTGCATTTGATCAATACACAAGCTTTTACATACCGATACGGTGGTGGTGACGCTTACTCCATCGAATCCAATTCCGGAGAGAATGTCGGAGCTATGATTCCGGGTATCAATCGTAGTCATGAATTGACAGTGAGCCGTGTGGAATTGGGGAAAACGTTCTGGGAAAAAAAGTGAAATCAGATGGCGGAGCTTTATATACAGGCATCGAGCATTGAAAGCTGAAACGGCAGAGGCAGGGATGTGAACAGTCTCGCCGGAGGTCGGTGTGGATCTGGCGGCCGATTGCAGCGGAGCAGTCGGGAAAAAAAATTATTAGGGTTCAAAACGACGTCGTTTTGGCGTAAGAGGGAGAGAAAAAGTAAAATGTGTTGTAGATAATATCTTAGATAATAATCTTCCCACGTGTCAAAATACTTGCATGCTAAGTATTTATTATTTTAGTACTAGGAGAGAACCCGCGCAATGCGCGGGTTTATTAAACCAAATATTTTTAATTTAATTATTCAGAACATTAGATTCGAATATATCATTTGTTTTTTACTCGAATATATTAGATTCTGTAAGTTTTGCATTTTGTTTTTTTTCATATAGTTTTAAAATTTAGTTGTTATTTACGTGAAATCTTATATAGACTCATAGTGAATAGTTTCATATGTTTTTTGTTCTTTTATACAATAATTTATCGACTGGAGTTGAGTTCTTCTAATTTTCCTTATACTAACAATCATTATAGATTGATTATTATCCTACAGACTCATAGATAATAATAATTGCAATCCTTTTTAAAAGGAAATGAAATGAGCTAATTAGCCAGTAAGCCCATTTAAAGCTACCATGGAAACGAAGAGGTCCGATAAATAATCAAGCCCATCAAAACGAACAGCATTACACATAATTTTGATTTAGATTTTTTTTTTTTTTTTTTTACGAAAACGACGTCGTTTTGGTGTAAGACGAAAAAAAAAAAAATAAAGCGCAAAACGACGTCGTTTTGGTGTTAGGCGAAAAAAAAAAAAAAAGAGTGCCACGTGTCAAAGGCTGAGATGTCCAAGCCTTATTAGTTATGTAGATTAGACATTATAATAGTGTTAAATCCGTATTATAGGTCCAACAGTAGTGAATAAAATTTAGTATTTTTTATTAGAAATTATAAGTGTTACACTGCCTTTTTTTTCGAGCAAACTCACAATGGGAAAAACTACACCTGAGTTCCCAAATTCGAAATTATAGATCTGAACGCAAATCTGGAGAATCCTAGATCTGAAAATCTCATATCCTAACAATCCCAGATCCGGATCGCAAATCCGTTGCATCCAAGTGCTAGATTTCAAAATACCAAATTTTCTTAATAACTTTTCTTAGTATTTTCTGATCGAATAGGGAACACAATACCAAATAATAATAAGGTTACTATGTATCGTACTCATAATATATAAACATTGTTTTACGTAGAATCAAATATTTAAATATTTTGGTAGATGTTGTTAGAGGATTTAGCACCGTACTAAACATTTGTCATTTCTAATTATTTTCAAACTACAAATATCAATTTTGACTTAACCATGGCTTTAGTGCTCAACGTTTGCACAACAATGATGAAATTTCAACTCAATCTACTAAATTCTGATCTGGATTCAGCATTGAACTGAACACAAGAAGGCAGAAGCTAGTAAACCATGACTAAGGTTTTAATTTAACCAACGTTAAGCTAATAAATTAAATACTATGAAAAATTACTAAAGATAATGGACTTAAAACGATAACTAAAGAAATGCCCAATGCAGGCCCAATAGCAATCTGGGTCGTAGCACTCTGTAAATCGTATATTATACGACTTGTAATGGATTGAAATATTTTTATTTTATTTATGACTTTGGGTTTTCTTGTGCCGTTAGATTCAGATGACATAGTCAATCATATACCGTTGATTATATCCAGACGTAGACTTCTTCCGCACAGTAGACAATTCTCGTCCTGCTCCTTGGTTTCGATCTCTCCTCTGTTATATTTCACCGAAAAAGCGATATTGTTTATTATACAAAGAGCTAAGTGCACACCGAAGACGAAACTATCCTAAGCTTCAATCGAACGAAGATGGCCGTCGAGAAATCGAACACGACGGTGGGAAGTGTGGAGATAGTGAAGCCGCGTACGGATAACAGAGAATATCGGAGGATTGTTCTTAAGAACTCGCTCCAGGTCTTATTGATCAGCGATCCCGATACCGATAAGGTCTGAGATCGCTACGATTTGAATCCTGTTATTGATTCACTTTGATTTTGATTCCTTTTTACTGACACAAAAATGTTTGATTATGCTTTCAAGTGTGCTGCTTCAATGAGCGTTAGTATCGGTTCCTTCTCTGACCCACAAGGACTAGAAGGCTTAGCTCATTTCCTTGGTACGTTTGAATCTTCCAAGTTTTGTTTTGAAATTTCTCAAGTGAAACTCCTTTTTTTAATTGCATAATTTTGAAATGTTAACCATCTTAATTCGTGTTGCTTGATTCATTCACTGAGCTCTAATTCTGGTTTCAATTGTATCTTTTGATGTCCATTAACATGTTTTAATTTTTTTTTCTGGTTGATAGAGCATATGCTGTTTTACGCAAGTGCAAAATACCCAGAGGAAGATAGTTACTCCAAGTACATCACTGAGGTAATATATGAACTAAAACATGCTCGAAGTTGTTCTTGTATCTGTTTCTTCTCTTAATCCCGCGGTATAAAGTTTTGAGAAATGTGGAAATTTTGTTTTGTGTAGCATGGAGGTAGCAGAAATGCGTATACATCCTCGGAAGAGACGAACTACCATTTCGATATTAATGCTGATTGTTTCAGTGAGGCTTTGGATAGGTGCAGTTTTTTTTTTTTTTGCTAAACTAATCTTCTATAAGTTCGGCCGTATAAGATTTGATGTGACTGCCTAATCAGGTTTGCTCAGTTCTTTATCAAACCACTAATGTCAGCTGATGCCACTATGAGGGAGGTTAAGGCCGTTGACTCAGGTTCGCTTTTTAGTCTCTTGATGTTTCTTTTTGCTGCAATTCGTTATCTGAACAGATTATAACGAGTTTTCTTTATCCAGAGAATCAGAAAAACTTACTCTCTGATGGTTGGCGGATGCGACAGGTATAGCTTTGGCCTAACGAACAATTATTTGAGTTATTTGTATATATATGGACCCATTTAGTTATTACTATCACTGTTGAAGGATGCATTTCAGCAATTCATTGTGATAGGGAAAAGTTAAGTTATGAAAAATGAAGTTTTCTTTGAACACTAACACTTTTAATCATTCTATTCCTGGAGGTATATGACATCTCAAAAACCTTCTAACTTCTAGTTCTTTTTGCCACTTTTTCTGATAACAGCTACAGAAGCATCTGAGCAAAGAAGACCATCCATTTCACAAGTTTAGCACAGGTCTATATTCTATTTTTTTCCACTGATATTGCTACTGAATAGTCAGTTGTGATTCCAATCCTTTTCTCATGCTAAAAAAGTGAGATTTGTGTTTAGGAAATATGGACACACTTCATGTACGACCCCAAGCGAAAGGAGTGGATACAACAAGTGAGCTTATTAAGTTCTATGAAGAACACTATTCCGCCAACATCATGCATCTGGTTGTATATGGGAAGGGTATGTTCTGGTGCCAACACAAAACTCATAATTCCTTTCTTCGGAAAATAGAATTGTTAAAATAGGTAACAACAATACTCATGTCTTTGCCCTGGATGTTTCAGAAAGCCTTGACAAAACTCAAGATCTTGTGGAAGGGATGTTCCAAGAAATCCAAAACACCAACAAAAGTATCCCTAGATTTCCTGGCCAGCCATGCACTCCGGACCATTTGGAGGTGTTTGTTCCTTTATGCAAATTCATAATTTATTTTTACCTGACGAAAATTCATGCGAGAATGTTTCTGAGGTGGTATTTTTGGTGTTGCTTTATTATTTTGGTTTTAGATTCTTGTGAAGGCTGTTCCTATTAAGCAAGGACACAAGCTTAGTGTTTCATGGCCTGTTACTCCTAGCATTCATCATTATGAAGAAGCACCAAGCCAGTACCTTGGGCATCTTATTGGCCATGAAGGCGAAGGAAGTTTGTTTTATGCCTTGAAAACCTTGGGTATGTTTTCTTTGTGGCACACACCAATAACTTCTTAAGTAGATTCTTCATAAGAGGGGTAATAGGTTCAAAAGTAGTTTTAATGTCTTTAGATCTCTATTCCTGTTCTGAAAAAATGATATGTTTTAGTTCAGAACCAATATCATACATCTCTTTTTAGGATAAGTTGCTGCTGCTGATATTTGCCTAGTTCATAGAGAGTTATGTAATCCTTCATTTGTATTATTGGTTACTATCTATTTTCTGAGGTGTCTCAAGCTCGATTGCCTATCTCCTTTCTTGACCCAAAAGAAATGTGACAAGACTATTTTGAGGTTCCCTAAAAGTGATTTAGAAAATTTCTTCCGAAACTACAAATCTTTGTTTTTTCAGTTGTCGATGGTATCTTTTAAGTATTTTGTCGTATTATTTTGGCATGGAGTATAGGCAAATAGGGTTGCATGGGATGATTTTATTTGACAGAATCTTTTATAGAAAGTGAGCGACTTTGTCCACTAAATTTAGTAGTCTTGCTTAATCCTTTTTACTGCTTTCAGGTTGGGCAACGGGACTGTCTGCTGGTGAAGGAGATGGGACTCTAGATTATTCTTTCTTCGAGGTTTCAATTGACCTTACCGATGCTGGTCATGGTGGGTTTCTCTACTACTTCACAACAGTCTTCTTATTTCTTGTGATGAATAGAGAGTATGGGTGTGTTTAGTGTTTTAGTATGTACATGATAGATTCCTGGTTTCCTTCTTGGTGGATTTACAGAGCATATACAAGATATTTTAGGATTGCTGTTCAGATACATTCAGCTATTACAACAGAGTGGTGTTTGCCAATGGATTTTTGATGAGGTATGGCTATACTAACTGTTTTTTTTACTTTGATCTTACTAGTATAACCTAATGATTCAGTCTCCTTAAAGAGTCTGATACATCTCTTGTTGTTATTGAAGCTCTCAGCCATCAGTGAGACAAAATTTCATTATCAAGACAAAGTACCACCAATGTCCTATATAGTGGATATTGCGTCAAACATGCAGGTAAGATAGTGTTTAGCTCTCTTATCTTTTTTGGTAAGCTTATATATGACCTATATAGTATATATCCATATGACTGCTGAATAATGTTATTGTCCTGGACAATGAACAAAAAGAAGAACTTATGCTTACCTCTGTTAGTCTGTTACAATGTTATTAACCATTACATTACTAACGTCCATATGAAGTGCTGTAACTAACGTTTGGTAACTTATATCCTTAAAATTTACAAAGCCAAGTTCATGGCACTGTATCACTTTTTCTTTCTAATATTTTATATCCTTTGCAATGACGCCTCAGATATTTCCGGTCAGGGATTGGCTGGTTGGATTATCACTGCCTTCTAAATTTAATGCAGCCACTGTACAAAAGGTTGTAGATGAGCTTTCCCCCAGCAATGTTCGGTAAGTGTGTGAACTCATTTATGAACTATTCACATTAGTTTTTCTGTTGTTTACTTTATAATGCTATCAAGTTGTTGCTGATCTTTATAATGCCATTGCTATTGTAGAATCTTTTGGGAATCACAGAAATTTGAAGGACAAACTGACAAAGCTGAGCCGTGGTATAACACTGCCTATTCTCTTGAGAAGATAACCAGTTCCACCATTCAGGTTCGCTTTTAATATGCTGTACTAACTGAAAATGGTTCATTTATTTTCTAGAGGACCACTACCTCCATTACAAATTTTGCTTAAACCATTTCGTTCTCCTTCTTAATTTTTTGGGGTTTATATAAAATAATAACAGGAGTGGGTGCAGTCAGCTCCTGAGGCAAATCTGCATCTACCAGCGCCTAATGTTTTCATTCCTACAGATTTATCATTAAAGGATGCTAAGGACAAGGTTAAAATTTCACCATACAAGTTACTTTTTAATCTTTAATCTATGAAGCGGTCTTCTTATGTGATAGAGTTCTGGAACAGGAGACTGTCCCGGTTTTGCTGAGAAATTCGCCTTTCTCAAGATTGTGGTACAAGCCAGATACGATGTTCTCGAAACCAAAGGCATATGTTAAGATGGATTTCAACTGCCCACTTGCAGTCAGCTCTCCTGACGCAGCGGTTCTTACTGATATTTTTACGCGGTTGCTGATGGACTACTTAAATGAATATGGTAAGATCTTATCCCTCGGTATATTTCTTTCAGATAGAGAGTTTGTTTAGAAAACTGTATTTGTATGCCAAATGGAACAAGCTTCTGAAATCAGCAAATCTGGCCAATAGGCACCAAACTTGTTTCATGCACAATATTTTCTTATGACATGATGTTGATTGGGCATTTACTTGTAGCTTTCGAAATGTCATTACTGCTTTCGTGTTTTCTGCTTTCTTTTGCATCATTGTTAAAAAATGGTATAAATAAGTAAAATAAAGTGATTGAGACAATAAAATCAAGAGTAAAGAAACAAAGCTCTGTTTTGATATTACATTATAAAATCTGCCCCATCACTCTTTGCCTCTTCTATGTTCTAGCTTATTATGCACAAGTGGCTGGTCTTTACTATGGAGTGAGCCTTTCGGACAATGGTTTCGAGGTGAGTTTGGCATTTACCTCTTCTTCACCACACACAGTTTATCGTCTTTTGCTCAATGCTCTTATTTTTTCTAACGAACTGTTTTCTTTTTATCAGTTGACCCTTATTGGTTATAATCACAAATTGAAGATCTTGCTGGAAACTGTTATTGGAAAGATAGCAAATTTTGAAGTTAAACCTGAGAGGTTTGCTATTATCAAGGTAACTATGTCAGGCTTTCGCTCTCTTGATTACTTAAGTTAATGATTGGACAACGTTCTCTGTATCAAAATTATTGAATCTGCGTTATTCTGTTTCCGTATCCTTTACTAGGAAACTGTCACAAAGGAGTATCAGAACTACAAATTCCGACAGCCATATCACCAAGCAATGTATTACTGCTCACTGATATTACAAGATCAGACCTGGCCTTGGACAGAGGAACTAGATGCCCTTTCTCATTTGGAAGCTGAAGATGTAGCTAAGTTTGTCCCAATGTTGTTATCAAGGACGTTCCTTGAGTGTTATATAGCAGGTATCGAGATTTCGTGTTTATTACCTTTTCCATGCTGTTCGTTGGTGTCTTCGGTGGTATATTCGTCTTCTTCTTTTATTCAGAAGCTGATTTGGTGTTCAAATATTTATATTTCTCCATTCATTTTAGGTAATGTGGAGAATAACGAAGCTGAGTCAATGGTCAAGCATATTGAAGATGTTCTGTTTAACGACTCAAAACCCATATGCCGACCTTTATTCCCATCACAGCATCTGACTAATAGAGTTGTAAAGCTCGAAGAAGGAATGAAGTATTTCTACCACCAAGATGGTTCAAATCCCAGTGATGAAAATTCTGCTCTAGTACACTACATCCAGGTACTATAATACTTCCTTGCTCAGACTCTTAGTATCTATCTGCTAGTTTTACTTGTTTTGGCTAATTAAAAGATCGGTTGCCACGAACAGGGTCATAGAGACGACTTTGCCATGAATATCAAACTTCAGCTATTTGGTCTAGTTGCAAAGCAAGCCACCTTTCACCAACTTAGAGCAGTCGAGCAGCTTGGTTATATCACTGCACTTGCTCAGAGGTACATTGGATAATCCATCGCATTTCCTAATATACATCCCCCTGAATTCTGTTTAATCTCCCTTTTCTGCAATGTATAGGAACGATTCTGGCATATATGGTGTACAGTTCATTATCCAGTCCTCAGTTAAGGTACCAAACAATCCAACCATCTCTGTCATTATAACCTTTCTCAGTTAAGGCTCATGTCACTAATTTCCTAGAGGCTTTAATCTTTGATAGGGTCCTGGACATATTGATTCGAGGGTAGAGTCATTACTGACGAACTTTGAGAGTAAACTTCGCGAGATGAGTGATGAGGAGTTCAAGGTGAGATGGCTTAACCAAATAGTTATAATATCTCAGTTAATCTAAGCTATTATGCAATATGATCCTCAACAAGAGTTATTTAACTGACATGACATACTCTTCTTCAAGAGCAATGTAACAGCTTTGATAGACATGAAGCTTGAAAAGCACAAGAACTTGAAGGAGGAATCCCGGTTTTACTGGCGTGAGATTCAAAGTGGAACACTCAAATTCAACCGCAAAGAGGCAGAGGTACAGTAACACTTTCCTCTTGAATCCAGATACTTCCTCGAATAAATGAAGTTGTTTGAGAGCGCCTGATGATGGATGAGAATATTGGGTTTGTTCTGTTGGCAGGTCGCTGCGTTGAAGCAGCTTCAGAAGCGAGAGCTGATTGATTTCTTCGACGAGTACATAAAGGTTGGAGCAGCAAAGAAGAAATCGCTGAGCATCAGAGTATACGGGAGCCAACATCTGAAGGAAATGGCAAGTGACAAAGACGAAGTCCCGTCACCGTCTGTTGAAATCGAAGACATTGTTGGCTTCAGAAAGTCACAGCCTCTTCACGGGTCGTTCAGGGGATGCGGGCAACCCAAGCTGTGAGGGCTGAGTCTCGTTTCATTATACAGAAGACTACTTTTATTTTATCCCTTGTGGTTGTAAGAAGAATCAATATCGGTGAACCAATTTGGCATCAATTGCTAGAAAACAGAGTTTCAATCATCTAGACTTTTGATGACAAATCTGAGAAAACATTGATGACTGACTCTCTTAACTAAGATTTAAATATAACCTGTCCGTTATAGTTTTTGATTTTAGTAATCTACATCAGGACCAAACTCATAACGTATATAAACACAAGGTAAGATAAAGGATGATAAAGTTTTATCCGTGTCTAAAGCACCCGGCTTGGTTTGTCATGCAATCTACACAGAACATAGAGAAACATATTAACAGATAAACAATCCATTTTGATGACCAAAATTCTCCAGAAATGCATTTGTGGCTGTGACTGATTACTATGTTCATAAGGAAGGAGATGAAAATCCAGATTGATACCTTGTAAACAAAGGGCTCATGCTTTCCTCCTGCGCCAGACCTCTTCACATAACCCATCTTCACTAGCCTGCATCAGTATATATGAACAATCATGCAAAAACCTTAAGAATTTGTTCATCCATGTCTTAAATTCCAAAAAACTGTGATAGATTCTTGCTTCTGTATTCTGTTTGTGTGTGAGAGAGTATAAGGAACAGTCAGAGAGAGAGGCAGAGTTGTACATTCTGAGAGCTTTGCTTGTATCTGCGCTATCTCCAAGCACCTGACGGATCTTGACTTCAGAAGAGCAGCTTGTTGAGAGAAACTCCAAGATCTTTACTGCTCTACGGCGAACGGAACTCGACCTGTGAGTTTCTTTCTTCTTCGATTCTCTGTATTGCTTCTTCTTCTCATGGCTTGTGGTTTTGATTCTGCTTGCTGTGCTTGAGATCTCGCTTGAGCCTGTTGACAAACATGATTCCTCTTTCGAGTCGCTGGAGCATTTCGAGAGATCATCAAACTCGTATGGATTCTTCTTTGAATGTGTTGGCTCCATATCATCTGAGCTCCAAATCACGTTCGTGCGGCGTTTCTTCGCAATCTATAGAACCCAGTCGTGGAAAAATCGAATCAAATCCCCCAAAATGCTAACAATAATCGGAATCGGAACAAAATTTCAAAATTCAAATTCCAGAAAGATCAGTTTCTGGTAAAATCAACATGAATCCAGATTTTCGAATTACGAACAAACCACTGATACGGATAAACAAAAACGAAAATCAGCGGAAACTACGTAAATTGATTCGAAATCGAAGGTTCCACAAACTAGCCCAATCGAAAATCATCATTCAAATTCTTCAGAACAGGGGAAGATCAAGAGAAGAATCCGAACTGAAATTGATGATATCGCACCTTGAAATTCATGAAATCCGATTCAGAGCTCTTCCGAGACGAGCCACTATTGGAGAGAGCCGACTCGCACGATCTCGTTTCGGTAGACGCAAAGCTCAAACTCAAGCTTCCTTGACCGTAACTTTCGCGCATGGAGATACATTTTCCCTCCGATCCAGATCTATCGATACCCAAAGAGATGATCAGAAACATCGAATACAGCAATTAGGAAGAGAAATGTAGATCTGGAATCAGAATTTGCTAATTTTTGACGGAAACCAAAAACAGAGGTATACGTTTCGCTACCTTGAAGACGAGAAGAGCAACGGCTCAGAGGAAAGGAGGAGAAGAGAAGCCGCGACTTCTCTATCGATCGAAGAAGGAGAATCAATCATCTCCGATCTTAGCTTCCGAAGCAAGTGTTCTCTGCGTTTCTTCTTATGGGCGCGATGATCTGAAGTGAGAGCTCTCTTTCAAATTTTTGAATTTTCTCTCTCTAGAGAGAGACTGAGAGTAAATAGTTATCTACTTCTTGATGGGCCGTTATATATTCAAGTTTGGTTTACTTATGAGCCCATTAGCTGAATACTCCAATGCTAGCTGTCTCTGAGCTAAGACGACGGATATTATAATTTTATGATAATCATATAATTTTACAGATTTCTAGTTTGGTTTTGTTCTTCATTTCAAGAATAAAAAATGGTTTGATTCACAAACAAGTTTCAATTAGTTATAAATATGTAATATCAGTTTCAAAATATATGAATATATGTGTCTGATGAGCACTTTAAGAATATTATTTTGTAACATTTTCTGTTAATTTTTGTTTTCTTCATATTGATAAAAGTTTATAATATTCTCATCCTCGTATCTCTTTTTACTATTTCTTTAGTTAACTATAAACATTCCCGTATTTTTTTTAAATAGTTTAGCAGCTAGTGGTAGCTACTTAACTTTGCTTCATGTGATGGCTTGGCCTGGTCCTACAGAATACAGCAAGAATTACTGTTTAGTTGTCTCTTTGGGATAAAGAAGAAAACCCAAAAGTTTGCCATTGACCTTACAGCTCACAGACTCGACTTCGCTTTCCAAGCTTTTTGCATTTTGCATTGAACCTCAAGCAACGTCAATTCCAACAACAGCAACAACAACCGCATTACATTCAGCTGCAGACAAGAGACCAACCCAATTTAGTCCTGGTGGAAAATTCAATTCACAAATCTCAGGGTAGGCGAGTTTGAAACTCTGATAGATTCAGAAGATCCGATGTTGGTTCAGGATCGCGCGGCGGCGCCGTCGTCGACTCTCAAGCCGCCGAAATCTCAGATCAGAGAACTCCCTACTCACCAGCAGATCCGACGATTCAGTGAACCCAAAAACCTAGATTTCTCGTCTTGGTTCTCCGAGAACGTCTCCAGAATCGGTCTCTTCTTCCTCTTCATCGTCACGTTAGCAGCTCTCTTCTTCCTCTACAACACCGCCGACACTGCCTCCCTCCTTTGTTTCCAGTCTCAGTCAACTCAATCGCTTCAATCTCTCACCCGCCCCCAAATCAAGTGGAATTCGATCCAGGTCGTCCCTGACAAAACCTCCCCGTACGCCAATTTCCTCACGGAGAAATGGATCGTAGTGTCGGTGACCAAGTACCCAACCGAGGAGCTCAAGAGCTTGGTGAAGATCCGAGGATGGCAGGTTCTCGCGATCGGAAACTCAATCACCCCGAAGGATTGGACTCTCAAAGGCTCAATCTTTCTCTCTCTCGACGCTCAAGCCGAATTGGGTTACCGAGTTTTAGACCACTTGCCTTACGACTCCTTCGTGCGGAAAACCGTCGGTTACTTGTTCGCGATCCAGCACGGCGCGAAGAAGATCTACGACGCGGACGATCGCGGCCAAGTGATCGACGGAGATCTCGGGAAACATTTCGATGTGGAGTTAGTTGGGGAAGACGCTAAGCAAGAGCCGATTTTGCAGTACAGTCACGAGAACCCAAACCGGACTGTGGTGAATCCTTACATCCATTTCGGTCAACGTTCGGTTTGGCCTAGAGGCTTGCCGTTAGAGAACGTCGGCGAGATCAATCACGAGGAGTATTACACCGAGGTCTTCGGTGGTAAGCAGTTTATACAGCAAGGGATCTCGAACGGTTTACCGGACGTTGATTCGGTGTTCTACTTCACGAGGAAGACGACTTTCGAAGCGTTTGATGTTAGGTTCGACGAGCATTCTCCTAAAGTGGCGTTGCCTCAGGGCGTGATGGTTCCGGTTAACTCGTTCAACACGCTTTACCACTCGCCGGCGTTTTGGGGGTTGATGCTTCCGGTTTCGGTTAGCTCCATGGCTTCTGATGTGATTAGAGGTTACTGGGGGCAGAGGCTGTTGTGGGAGCTTGGTGGTTGCGTTGCGGTTTATCCACCCACGGCTCACCGGTTTGATAGGATTGAGGCTTACCCTTTTGCAGAGGAGAAGGATCTTCATGTCAACGTTGGTCGTTTGATTAAGTTCTTGCTTGCTTGGAGATCGGAGAAGCATAGTTTCTTTGAGACGGTTGTTGATTTGAGCTTTGCTATGGCTGAAGAAGGGTTTTGGAGTGAGCAGGATGTGAAGTTCACAGCTTCTTGGCTTCAGGATTTGATTGCTGTTGGTTACCAGCAGCCGAGATTGATGTCTCTGGAGTTGGACCGGCCGAGAGCAAATATTGGTCATGGAGATAGGAAGGAGTTTGTTCCTAGGAAGTTGCCTTCGGTGCATCTTGGAGTTGAGGAGACTGGGACTGTGAGTACTGAGATAGGGAGCTTGATTAGGTGGAGGAAGGCGTTTGGGAACGTTGTGCTTGTTATGTTTTGTAATGGTCCCGTTGAACGGACTGCACTCGAGTGGAGGTTGCTTTATGGACGGATATTCAAAACCGTCGTGATATTGTCTTCTCGGAAGAACTCTGATCTCTATGTTGAAGAAGCCAAGATAGATCACATTTACAAGTAGGAAAATTTCTCAAGATTAGTAAGTTTGTGCTGATTTTGAATTCAAGTTTCTAAAATATTGTATTGTATATATTTCAGGCATTTACCGAAGATATTCGACCGGTACAGCAGCGCCGAAGGATTCTTGTTTGTTGAGGATGATACAATTCTCAACTACTGGAATCTACTTCAAGCGGACAAGACTAAGATTTGGACAACAGACAAGGTACAGCAACATTCTCATCAATTTTGTCAGCTTTTTGCTTCACTATCTTGATTTGTAAAACTTCTTATTGTGCTTAGGTGTCAAAGTCATGGACAAATGTGAAAGCGAGTGGGAAGTCTGATTGGTTTTCTTCACAAGCAGAGTTAGTGAAGAAGACTGTGAGCACCATGCCGGCTCATTTCCAAGTTAACTACAAGGAAGCAGCCAAGAACAATCATGACGCTTTAACGGTTTGTAGTTCAGAGGTATTCTACGTGCCTAAGCGTCTAGTCACTGACTTTGTTGATCTTGTTGATCTCGTTGGCGATATGGACTTGCATTACAAAGTCGCAATGCCAATGTTCTTCCTTTCGATGGATTCGCCTCAGAATTTTGACCCGGTTCTTGGTTCCATGGTTTATAAGAAGAAATCGTCTTCGTTTAACTCTTCTTCTAGTCTGTACTCTGCGCAAGCGCCTGCGGTTCATCCTTGGAGTATATCGAGCGAGCAAGATTTCATCAGACTGGTTCGGCAAATGGCTGAAGGTGACCCACTTCTGATGGAATTGGTGTAATGGAACTCAGGGTATAGAGCATGCAGCAATGCAATGATAGAAACAGAGTTATATACAAAAAAAAAAAAGTTGTGGTGGCTTTTGATTCTTTTTCTTTTTGGTTCCCTTTTCAGAAATTTTTTTCTTCTGGGGGTTGTGGAGAATGTCATGTAATATTTTAACCGTTACTTTTTGTTGATGTATAATGTTTACCCCGTCTTAATTCAATCTCTGATTCAGGAGATGATAACTTACAAACTCTCTCAAACAAAGAAAATGACACAGGCATGTTTAAGGAAGTTTGGTGAAGAGCTCCTCAAGCTGAGTGTGGCTCACTACAACACCAAGTTTCTGAGAAACCGCTGCTCCTACGGTGTCAGGATCCATTGTGGACAATGAATCTGCACCGCTCATGGCATTGTACTCGCTCAGATTGTGCAAGATTCCATCTTCAGAAGCAAAATTAAAAAACGATCAATATCACTGACATGTTTTGCTGCTAAGGAAATGAATATTGTTGATGAAAGGGTGATAGTTGTTACATCATACCTTGGGAAACAATAGGTTGATAGGGAGGAGGTTGAGCAATCCAGCTACCATCAGGTTCTTTCATGTGTCTTCTATCAGAAGCAAAGTGCTTAAAGAAGAGAGGAGCATGCACAATGCGGAAGTACCTGATCTCAACCAAGCCAAAAAAACGAAACCAACTACATTATAAAATGCTAAATTTACCAACCAAAACTATCAATATTCGCAATAAAAGGCTACTGCTTTGGCTAGTGATGCAAAAGTTATAGATTACCTCTGGTACTCTGCAAAAAGCTGAAAAGATGGCTGAATGGTTTCATTTACATATGAAGCTAACGGTGAAGGGAAGGGTAAAGTCGAATCGAGATCCCACACCAAAGGCTCAGCATCACTTTCTTTCTTCCTCTATTCATAGAAAAAAACACAAAACCATAATCAAGGATCAACATTGGAAACCGACATCAAGTGCTAGGGCATTATGGATTTACCTGGACACAGATGACATGATAATCCCACAGTACAATCCCATCAGCTCTTGTACTAGCTTTCTGATGCCAGAGTGGAACCTACAAGAACATCTAATCCACATATCAATGATGAACATCGAAACATACACTCTGAATAAACTGAAACTCCAAAATCAACAATGAAAAGCCGTAAAAAAACAGTGTAATAAAGATGCAATTCCAACACGAAACAAGACTAAACATAAGAAACCACAATGAACAGATGATTATTATTAATATACAAGAGAAACATTCTTCTTGCCTGCTTCTTCTCATTCGAGATGAAAACGACAAACAGATCAGAACCCGTCGCATCCGCTACACCATTCTCGCACAACGTCTTGCAGAGCAGATACACATTCTCTTCGCTGCAAATGAGAGCAACAACATTTTGGCAATCAGAAATGTTAACAAGTAGAATAAGCCGCTCTATCATTTGAAGAAACCTAAATCGAACGGAATTTTGTAAAGCTAAGACGGGGAAGAAGAACAATACCAGTAGTACGGAGTATGTTGGAACTGAGTGGCTTCCACCGCCGGAATCTCCGATGTCACGGTGGACATTTGTTCTTTAGATTTGATCACTGCTCTCTTCTCTAAATTGGGGGAAATGGTGAACGGAGAGAGAACAAAAAGTCTATGGCAGTCCATCGACCATTACGACGCCGTTTAGAGTAGATAGGTCTCAACGACGCCGTTTCTTCTATTTCTTAATTAAAATTGGATTCGCTCGCGTAAACAGAGCATTGTGACGACTGACGACGATGGAGGAGCCAGACGCGAATCGCCGGCGGATCTGCAACAGCTGCGATCGTCCAAAACCGATGTGTCTCTGCCACGTCTTACCGGCGGATCTAATTCCGACGAGGACTGAGATCGTCATCCTTCATCACCCACACGAGTCAAGGCACAAGCTCAACACCACGCCTCTCCTGGCCAAATCCTTGCGCCACGTCACCAGAATCTCCGGTCGCCGCCTCCGCCACCGTCACATTTCCGCCGGAGAAACCTCTCCCTCGTCACCCACCATCTACCTCTTCCCGTCTTCTCCTTCCTCCCCCGCAGTCACCGTTTCCGAATTCAAATCCCTGAACCTCCTTAACCATCAAGGGATCTCGAATCCGCCGCTGAGGCTCATCGTGTTCGACGCGACGTGGAAGCACGCGAAGGAGATGGTGAGTGCCAGCGAGGAGGTTTTAAGAGAAGCAGGTGCGGTGAGAGTGTGTTTGGATGCCGGAATAGACGAATCCGTGAGCGGAGGAAGTATCTACGATTCGGAGCTTGTGCTTAGGATGGAGCCATTCGGTGGATGCGTGAGCACGGTGGAGGCAGTGGCACGGTGCTTGGGAGCCATCGAGCCTGACGGCGAGGAAATCGAGAGGAAGCTGATTAGTGTTTTGAAAGAGATGGTGAGATTGCAGTCTGAGTATCTGAAGCCCATGAAACCGAGACCTAAGCTCTTGAAGAAGAAATTTCAAAATCAGCAACCAGTGGAAGAAGAAGAAGGAGAATGAGTTTTGACGTTTGTCGTTTAGTTGTAACTCTGGGAATTTTATTACATTAACCCATTGTACTTTTGTTTTTGGTCAAACATTAATCTATTGTACTACTATTAAGTATTAACTCGTTCTACATCAATAATTGCATCAGAATACGACCGAATTTTTTTTTCAAACAGTTTCATAAATTTTCTGAATCTCTGAACACTTTAGGTGAATTTTGGAAAAAAGAAGAAAGATATAACAAAGATGGGAATGGGACCTTCCACGTGAAGTGAGGTCATGGACTGTTTTGCGATCATATAACTTTGGGAATTTATATATGAATGTGACACATTAGAATTACACACTCACGGACTCACATGATATGTTTTAGGCTTTTTAGTCCCGATGTTATGATATGGTGCCTACTTCATAAAGCACATATAATTCATTCATGAATATGGTCTCATAATCCCTTTGTGGTCCATATTCAATCTGGAGATCAAAACATGTCTTAGTCAGTGTTGTGATTATGAATGAGTCATTTGTTCGTTATATGGTTTCATTATTAATTGTTGGCGATTGCAAAATGAACAACAAACATGTTGCTGGTCCAGTCTATTATGTGGTCAATCTCAAACTGAGCTTGTTGACTACTTGACTATATGCAATCGAAATATATGATCGGAAATCTTGATCCTCTCTTATAGCGTTTCCTTAACATTTTACATTTACACATCTTTTTCGTACCAATCATTTCTTAAATTAGATAAAAAAACACATATTACTTTTCTGCTTGTTGTCGACATTTAAGTTGGTATTCGTTGAAGTAATCATGTTTATTTTTCTTTATTATGATGGAGTGGTCTTCAATCCTAATTTTAGTTTATTTCTTGACGGTGGTACAAGTAATAAACTCTGTTTATTTTTTGTCTCCGTGAAGTTGACCCGGCAACACATAAGATAAGGATCAATGTAACTATAAACTTTTCCATTTTGTACATGTTTTCTGTAGCGATTAACAGAATGTATGATTTAATAGTTTTAACTTTAAGTGTATACCATCTGCGAAGAAAACAATAAATAACGTGGTACATTTCGACATAATGAGAAGACTTGATAAAAAGTATAACTAAATTAGAAAAGTTGGTAGATCGGTGTATGTAGGAATTTGAAGTAGGAAAGGAACCAAACAGTGGAATATATTGCTTACTGGAGCTAATTTTTCCTATTTTCCACCACCATAGGACTGAGGACTGTGTTGTATCATGTATTCAATACTTATGTATTAATATGATTGCTGAACCTGAAAATATTTTAGCAAAAGAAAGTATATACCGAAAAAAGGTAGAGTTGGAAAAAGAAAGCAGAGAAAAGAAGGAGTATCATCCATGTCCATGCTCCGTCATGATTCATGTCCTCTGCTAAAAGTAGAAAATAAGGCTGTTCTGCATTTATCTGATTATTGTATTAATATGACTGTTGAACCTCAAATACTATATTCTCGTTTATTACACGGAAAGTGCTTATAATCCTTCAAAAGGTGGTCAATCATGCAAATTCACATGCTAAAAAAGGTCATCGTGAAATGATGAGACCAATCTCTCCATCAGCTTATGTTTTCTTTTTACAACATTCTATAACAACACTAAGCGTGTATAATGCAGTTGTATAGTTTTTTATACGTGTTAAAAGATCTTACCCTACATATAGATGATGATGTCCTCAACAAGACAACAAGTACGATTTCACTTCACATATCGTTCTTACAAACATTTGTGTAACTATTTTGTAGTAAATGTTAATGTTAGTATTTCCCTATTTCTGACAAAATTTAACTTAACGACGTTTACAAATTTAGGAATGTTCATTAAGTTGAGAAAATGATAAGGAATACAGAAACATTGATGAGCTGTACTATAATTCAAAAGAATCCAAAATATATTTATTTTATATTTAGGAGATTAGCTAAATACATTTTTCAAAGATTTTTGTTTTCTTTTCAATAATGTATGTTTTACTCCATCTATGTACTCCCAAAATTCAAAACCCATCTTAATCTGGGTCTAAGTTTGACTTTAATATGGATTTTGGATACAAAATGTGGTAAAAATGAGGAATATAAAAAGCCAGGCATTGGTCGGTGGAATTACGACCGGATCTCTATCCTCGCCTTAAATTTGACAGACTCTTTAACGTCTTCCTCAAACCTTTGTCTTCTCCCTCTATCTTCTTCTTCTTCTTCTTCCTCGCCTCGTCGTCGGCAATAATTCATCTCTCAACTGTAAATCTAAAGGAAAAAAAAACGTTACGAAAAAGCATAAAAATAAAAGGTAGAGAGAGAAACGTAATAACACAGCTCACACCTCTTTTTTTCAATAATAATAATTCAATTCGCTTTCCCTTCCTTCTTCTTCTTCCTAATTCATGTTTCCTTTTTCCTGATCTTCTTCTTCCATTTCTTTATTATTCACAGCTCTTCTTCAATCTCTCTCTTAGTGCCGCACAGAGATCTTTCGTCAGGTACTTCTTTTTCAATCTCAGATTCGAATTGACTAATGCGTGTGATTGGATCATCTGAATTTCCGATTTGATTGTTCTGCTCACGATGTCGATCGCTATCCGTTTCCCTTGAATTCTCGATCTGGCTTGATCTCTGTTTTGATTGATGTTTCTCTCTTTGCTCTTTTAATTATGAAAAGTCTCGATTTTTCTTTCTGGGCATTCTGATTCACGTGTGATCAGTTTCTGTAAATCGAAAATGAAGATTCATTAGAGCCATTTCCGTGACGAAATACGATTAAAAACGAGATTTTGATAAGTTCCACTGATGACCAATCACTTCATTTCTCAGCGATCGATCTCTGTTCCTATGATCATGGAACTTTTTTTTCTCTGATCGCTAGCTTCTGAGACTGGATTAAATGTTGCATGATCTCAAGTTACACAAAGGAGATTTATTATTAATCACTAGTCGAATTTAGTTGATATCTTCTTATTGTCTTCCTCTGTTCCTCCATATGTTTTGACTGAGCAGGTTCATTGGCGTGTGGATTATTGACAGTTATACAAAATGTCTGGGTCAACAAAAGTGTTGGATCCTGCATTTCAAGGAGCTGGCCAGAAACCGTATTCTTCTAACCATTCTTGTTTCTTGAGATTACTGTGAATGTTTTGGACTGTAAGAGATTGTTGAGCTTTAACATTTTTTTTATTATAGAGGAACTGAAATCTGGAGGATCGAGAATTTCGAGGCAGTTCCAATACCAAAATCTGAGCATGGGAAATTTTACATGGGAGACACCTACATTGTCTTGCAGGTTTGTAGTTCCTTTCATTGTTTTACTGTCCCTTACAAAACAGAGCAACATATGTCTGAGATAGATCATTAATGTTTGTGTTATGTTTTGGTTTTTCATTTGTGCAGACAACACAGAATAAAGGAGGTGCTTATCTGTTTGATATACATTTCTGGATTGGTAAAGATACAAGTCAGGTACATATTCTCAACACTACTATTAGTTTTTGTAATGATTGTTTTTGGTTGTGAATAAGTTATGGTTTTGATGGTTACAGGATGAATCTGGAACAGCAGCTGTGAAAACAGTTGAACTCGATGCAGTTCTTGGAGGCCGTGCTGTCCAACACCGGGAGATTCAAGGTCATGAATCTGACAGATTCTTGTCTTACTTCAAGCCGTGTATTATCCCCTTAGAAGGTGGTGTTGCGTCTGGTTTCAAAACACCTGAAGAAGATGTGTTTGAGACTCGGTTATATACCTGCAAAGGAAAACGTGCGATCCGGTTGAAGCAGGTAGGGTTTAACTATTGTACTCACTTCGCATTTTGAAAACAGTGAATTATCACCAATGTACATTAACTTTTTGACTACTGTTTTTCGTTTAACAGGTTCCTTTTGCCCGCTCATCGCTGAATCATGATGATGTATTTATATTGGACACCAAGGAGAAGATCTTTCAGTTCAATGGTGCGAATTCGAACATTCAGGAGAGAGCTAAATCTCTTGAAGTCGTTCAGTATTTGAAAGACAAGTATCACGAAGGAACTTGCGATGTTGCCATTGTTGGTAAGCTGCATTTGCGTTGTGTTTTAATGCTTTAAGATTACAGAGATGGTGTTTATAGGTGGAAACTTATCTATGTTTATAATTTCCTGGGATACAGATGATGGAAAATTAGATACAGAATCAGATTCTGGTGAGTTTTGGGTCCTCTTTGGTGGTTTTGCTCCTATCGGAAGGAAAGTGTCCAATGATGATGACATTATCCCAGAGTCAACTCCACCTAAGCTTTTTTGGTACTCATCTTTGCTTTGATTAGTCTCCTGTCTGTTAATGGAATATTATGGAGGTAATGATAAATTGTTACTCTATTTCTGTAGCATCACTGATGGTCAGATGGAACCTATTGAGGGTGATCTATCTAAGTCCATGCTGGAAAACACTAAATGCTATCTCTTGGACTGTGGAGCTGAGGTGTTTGTGTGGGTTGGCAGAGTAACTCAAGTGGATGAGAGGAAAGCTGCTAATCAATCTGCTGAGGTGAAAAAAGTGGAAATCTTCTAAGAAAAACTATATGGCACTGTCTCAGTCATGGGTTCTGACTTTTTTTTTACCTTTTCATCTCCAGGAATATCTTGCTAGTGAAAATAGGCCCAAGGCAACACGTGTTACCCGTGTTATCCAAGGCTATGAGTCCCATTCTTTCAAGTCTAACTTTGACTCATGGCCATCAGGCTCGGCTGCTCCTGGTAACGAAGAAGGACGAGGCAAAGTCGCTGGTAAAACACCACTTTGATACTCAATTCATTGAATAACTTTTAACAGTCTTTTCAAGACCTGGCTTACTATTGGCACTGGTCCATTTCTATAGCTTTACTGAAGCAACAAGGTGTTGGGCTCAAGGGCATTGCCAAAAGCGCACCGGTGAATGAGGATATCCCACCACTGCTTGAAGGTGGTGGGAAGTTGGAGGTCTGTTTGTCTCTGCTTAGACTTGTTATCGCATTTATTTCTACACATTTGGCTATGGATATATATCCATTTGATATATATGTCTATGTATTAGGTTTGGTACGTTGATGGTAAAGCCAAGACTCCGTTACCTAAAGAAGATGTTGGCAAGTTTTATTCTGGGGACTGCTATTTGGTCCTTTATACCTATCATTCTGGTGATAGGAAAGAAGACTATTTCTTGTGCTGTTGGTTTGGAAAGAATAGCATTCAGGTAAACTTCATGTGAATCCTTAGCTTCTTCCTGGTATTGCCTTGTACTACATTCTAAGGCTAAGCTCGAAATCGGTTGTGATTGTGGAACTTTGTATGAACATCATGTTTATGTTAGCTCTATGTACATCAAGTTTAACCATCTAAAAGTTCTGATTTCTACTTTATCCAGGAGGACCAAGAAACAGCAATTCTACTGGCAAATAAAATGTCAAACACGTTAAAGGGAAGACCCGTGCAGGGCCGTGTGTACGAGGGTAAAGAGCCTCCACAGTTTGTTGCCCTCTTCCAACCTATGGTGATCCTAAAGGTATTTATATGGTGTTTACAAGATGACGGTGAAGTTAGCTCTTGTCACAAGAGAAAATACAGTGATTAATATGGTTTTACATGGACTATTCTTAGGGTGGTTTGAGCTCTGGATACAAAACTAACGTGGAAGAGAAAGGTTCACAAGACGAAACCTACGCACCGGATGCAATTGCACTAATTCAAGTCTCTGGAACTGGAGTTCACAATAACAAGGCCCTGCAAGTTGAATCTGTGGCAACATCTTTGAACTCTTATGAGTGCTTCCTTCTTCAGTCTGGAACTTCCATGTTCCTTTGGCATGGGAATCAAAGTGCGCATGAGCTGCTAGAACTGGCCGCTAAAGTTGCTGAATTCTTGAAGGTTAGTTTCAGATCGTATTGTGTTGTTTTCAGTTAGAGTTATACATGGGACTCATAATGGAAAATGTTATATTGATCATCTTCTCTTTTTGGTAAGTCAGCCTGGGATTACTCTCAAGCATGCTAAAGAAGGAACAGAGAGCTCAACCTTTTGGTTTGCACTTGGAGGAAAACAGAACTTCACCAGCAAGAAAGCTTCCTCTGATACTGTTAGAGATCCTCACTTATTCTCATTTTCTTTCAACAAAGGTGATATTTTAAGATATGATAATAATTCTGAATCTTTACTCGTATATATGTTTTCGCATTTATCTCCTGTATGCTAACTTTACATTTTTCATTTCAATGTGTCTGCCTGGACCACCGCAGGGAAGTTTCAGGTGAGATATTGGCGAAATTTTATTCAATTTTCTTTATTCGAGAGATGATTGTTTTGCATTTTTTTTGTTTAACAAAATGCTCTGCTACAGATTGAAGAGATTCACAACTTTGCTCAAGATGACCTCTTGACTGAGGATATCTATTTACTCGACACTCATGCTGAAGTCTTTATATGGGTTGGTCAATGTGTGGACGCCAAGGAAAAGCAAACTGTATTCGAGATTGGCCAAGTAAGTAATTATTTCCTTATCAACTTTTCTGCTTCTAGTTTAGCTTTTTATTTGTACTGTTTGATCATTGAGACAAAGTTTATGTGCAGAAATATGTAGAACGTGCTGGTTCCTTGGAAGGCTTGTCTCCAAAAGTTCCATTATACAAAGTCACTGAAGGGAACGAACCATGCTTCTTCACCACTTTCTTTTCTTGGGATCACTCCAAAGCTATCGTGAGTTTCTACTGTCTTCTCCAGATATGTTGCTCTTCTTCTCTCCTCAAACTTAACCTTTTAACCTGTGATATAGGTGCAAGGAAACTCATTCCAGAAAAAGGCAGCCTTGTTATTCGGCACTCACCACGCTGCGGAGGTACTACACCTTTGCTTTCTCTGTTTCTCTTGACTGAAATGACACTGAAAAAGCCTTCTGATTGCTTTTTTCCTGCTGCAGGACAAGTCTAGCGGTGGGGGCCAAGGACCAAGGCAAAGGGCTGAAGCACTAGCTGCCTTAAACAACGCCTTTAATTCTTCTACTAGCAGGCCTGCCTATTCGGTAAATCATATAAACACAAATATATCATGAGAACTTTGATCAAGAATAATGGCTACTGATTTTAGTTGTGGCTGTTTAACTGCAGAGCCAGGACAGATCAAGCGAAAGTAGTCAAGAGGGGCCAAGACAAAGAGCTGAAGCACTAGCTGCACTAAACTCTGCATTCAATTCCTCTTCATCATCAACTAAGTCGCCTCCACCGCCAAGGCCATCAGGGACGAGCCAGGCTTCGCAGAGAGCAGCAGCAGTGGCTGCTCTCTCTCAAGTTCTTGTTGCGGAGAATAAGAAATCACCTGATACCTCGCCTACAAGAAGATCCACTAGCTCCAACCGATCAGATGACAACCCTCTGAGTAAGTTTTTCTCTCCTTTCTTTCACGTTTTGAAAATTTGGATAACACAATTTACTTTATCTGATCTCTTTGTACACAGCTGAAGCCAAAGATGAGGCAGATGCTTCAGAAGAAGCTGGCCATGAGACCAAGGAAGAAGAGGAGGAAGTTTCACCTGCAGTAGATCAGGAGGAAACACAAGAACCTGAAAGTGGAGTGACCTTCAGTTATGAGCAGCTGAGAGCTAAATCTGAGAACCCAGTGACTGGAATCGATTACAAACGCAGAGAGGTGAGCTTGTTATAGTTAGTATTTAGTAAGCTGAATCAACTCTGTTTATCGCCTAACTTGCATGTTTTTTTATTGTTGTTCAAGGCTTACCTAACTGAGGAAGAGTTCCAAAGTGTTTTTGGAATGGAGAAGGAAACATTCAACAATTTGCCTCGGTGGAAGCAAGATCTGCTTAAGAAGAAATTGGACTTGTTCTAAAGCTCAGACATCCTTAAATTATCCAGTTTATACACTAAGACAAAATGATTGGATGTTACTGATTTCAGCGATTGTGTTATTGGTTTTTATGTGGTCAGTCAATTTGTTGTTCGTTTGAAGAGTGTTCTTTGTTTTTGGGTTTCTTTTGGTCCTTAAACTTTCCTACCATGGGTTTGATCATAGATTGTTTTACAAGATACAAATACAGATTTGTGATTGGATATTCCATTGTTGTGAGTATTTAATAACATGATGTGTTGATCGATTAAAAGAAATATGTTAATGTAACATAGAGATATCAATCATCATGCATTTTTCTTTTTGTTTGTTTTCATCTGAATAACATCATCTTCATCTAACGAGGTAGTAGCTTTACAATATAAAAACAAAAGAACAAATAATCAAACGGTTGAGAACCCAAAAAAGACCTTGATCCATGACATGATCATTATGAATTTTTTTTTTGGATGAAAAATTATGAATTATGAAATAGATTATAATCACAATCTCCATCTCTTCAAGCAACCTCACAGAGGTCACATGGAATCAAGGTAGTTGTTCTTCAATTAGGCTTCTCATTTTTCTCTTTTATGTTGAAGATAGCCACTTATGTACCATTTTTGTGCAGTTCTCAAAGATCGACCAAATCCATTATTAGGAATTTGATCGAACTGCATCCATGCAGAGTGAATTTGAGAGATTGTGGCTTTTGAATTTTGAGAGAGCGAGAGAGAAGTTGATTTGAGCCGTCAACATAAATATAATCATAAAGTAGTCAAATATAATCGATCGTCCACGTGAACGTAACCATGACGGTTGAAAACATCTGCTAAGCTAAAAATGTAAAAAAAAAAACAGATTAACAACAACACAACACAAACTAGAGAAAAATCAAAAAGGGGTAGCTAGGAACGTGATTACCTTGGAGAACAATGCTCAAACGTGGCTTCATTGAGCTTAGCCACCAATGCCACCTCGACCTTAGGATCCAATATTGAACATCAAATTTGTTCTTTGTATTTTCTGGACAGTGGTTCTTACTTCTTACCATCCAAAAACTCATTATTTAAATATTTTTTTCTAAAATTTGTTTACAATATAAACCATATAACTTCAAATAATAAAAACAATTAATTAGAAATACAATAATAGCCATTGTAAGTAATAGTCATTTCTTTAATAAAATTAAGTCATATATGATAATGCATCCAATTATACTTTTTGAATCACTTGATTTTTTTTTTTGAAAAACGATATATGAATTACTTGAATTAGTTGAGGAAGATACTGAAGAAGATGAAATGGATCAAATGACATTTTATTTGTATAGTCGCTGTTGTTGTATCGTTTACATATAAATCAAGTACAGTAAAACCTCTATAAAGTAATAATGTTGGGACTTTGAAAATTTATTATCTTATAGAGGTATTACTTTATGAATAAATTCAATATTCATGTATTCTCATAATCTTCGAAAATTATTCTCGATATGATAATATATTAAGAAATGAAAATATTTATTCATTAATATGACATATATAAACTTGAAATTATTATCAAATCTTTTGGATATCATAATAAAACATATATTATTAGTTTCTATAAATATTTATTTATATAAAATTTGATACATAATAAATGTTAAAATTTTATAAATAATTATAGCTACTAATGAAGTTGAAAATGATATGTTTAGAACATATTTAACAATTTTACATGCATATAAAAATTGCATTATGAGTTTTTTATATAAGAAAAAGTTAAAGATAAACTTCAATTCATAATTTAATAATTGGTTTAGGCATATACAATGTATAATTTTATATAATTATTACTTTAACTTATAATTGGGACCATATTTTTACATAGAGTTTCAAAAATATTATTATCTTATCATCTTATCGCATTTTGCTTATTTTTACATTGGCCCGAATTGGGACCGGAAAAATTTATTATCTTATAGTGATTATTACTTTATCGAGTATTACTTTATAGAGGTTCTATTGTAGTAAGTTCTCAATTTATAAGAAATATTGATACAATATTTCAGCAAAAAAACATATGGTTCTGAATTATGAATCCAAAAGATACCTCAAGATGTATTCAATTCAGAATCATGCTGTTAGTATTTCGAACAAATAAAAGTTCTTGAAAGAAAATTAACAATAGGGATGTTCGCCAGCAACGGATCCCACTCCATTATTTGAGAAAATGTTTTTAGGCGCATATCATAGCTAGTCGATCGATATTAAAATCTGCAAATTTTATTTTAGGAAGCTCTTGTTTAAACCTTCATGTGGGTCTCCAACTCAAGACCTCTTCCGCTACCGAATTAAATCATAAATTTTCAAGTAATCCAATATGCAGCTAATTTTAAATCATCCATCGGACCAGCCAAAAGCAATTCGTCATCGGGAAGTATGCTCCCAAGCACCATCATATATCATCAATGCATGCATCCGTTGAAATGTTTAATCCGGAAACAATTTCATCCGCAGGTTAACGGTAGTTCTCACAAGGGTATAATGCGCATATGAAAATTTAAAGGTGATTTAGGTTGGTATGGTTTTGGTGTGGAGTGTGGACGAACACGTGGAGAAAAGAGGGGAATTATCTGAAAAGATTCCATTTGGGATATTCATTGCGAAAATATTTAACGAATCCTGCATTTAAGTTGATCATGGTATATTCGGATAAATAGCCACGAGTGATCAAAAGTTGACGAAAAACAAAGCTAAATAGAAATTGAGAAACTGAATAAAATCCCAAATTCAATCTCGTAAAAAACACCAAAAAATGGTTTTTTAATCAAATTATGTGGATAGATCATCAATTTAAGTAAATGGAAGAAAGAAAAAAAATAAGAAGGCAAACTAACGAAAGAAACAATACCTTAATAACTAAAGTGAATCCATCTATCAAGTTGTAGGGCTTGAAGGCATGATCTATTTACCTTGATAACGTCTAAAAGGTGAATACCATGGGTCTAAACACATTTAGACGACACTTGTTTTCAACTCAAATACTTGTAGAGCAAGTAAAAAAGAAAGAGAATAATAGAAAAGATAAAAAGTTCAAATCCTTGAAGCGTAGGCCATTTGTTGAGCTTCACGAAGGCTTGCTACTCTTCTGAATCCATGGAGCTAGCTCCGTATTTAATTATACACGGTTTCACATTACACCGTTTTTGGCACACAATTGTTGGCCACAATCAAGTAATATGAGACGACTATGGAGGGTGAATTTTTTATTTTTTATTTGGGAAAATTGGAATTAAAGGATGTTTTAACTATATGTTTGGTGATCTATACCCTTTTTATTTTTTATTTTTTTCATCTTGAGCAAGAGGAATGCTGCTGACCTGAGTGGATTATTTATAAAAAAAAGTTCTTAACACCCAAGATCTCGTTGTCCTTGCTGTTACGAATCATTTTAGACCTAGGTCTCGATTGTATTACGTTTTCGATCTTGGCGGTCGCCGGTTTTTTTTGTTCTTTTTGAAAAAATATTTTTTTTCATAATAAAAACATAAACATGAAATGCAGCATAAATATAAATAAATAAAAAGTGTATAGTTGTCGATTCAGTTATTTTCACAACTTCTTTCTTGCATCGTAAGTTAGGTCGCATTCAAGTGAAAAAATAAATACTTTCTCATTTATTGTATAATGGCTTTGCAGTCTAGACTAAGCTGCTTGAAATATTAGTGGTGTTCCTCTTAGTTTGTTTAAGTCAAGCCTAACCGTCACAAATAATCCTTAACTCTTGCATGTTTTAGCTAGTCAAATCTGATTCTTTGATTAGTTAACTTAGACAGTAATCCATTTTTTAACTGCAGAGCCAGGACAGATCAAACGAAAGTAGTCAAGAGGGGCCAAGAAAAAGAGCTGAAGCACTAGCTGCACTAAACTCTGCATTTAATTCCTCTTCATCATCAACTAAGTCGCCTGCACACCACCTAGGCCAGTTGGGACGAGCCAGGCTTCTCAGAGAGCAGCAGCAGTGGCTGCTCTCTCTCAAGTTCTTGTTGCAGAGAAAAAGAAATCACCTGATACCTCGCCTACAAGAAGATCCACTAGCTCCAACCGATCAGATGACAACCCTCCGAGTAAGATTTTCTCTCCTTTATTTCTCTTTTTGAAAATTTTAATAACACAATTTACTTAATCTATCTCTTTATACACAGCTGAAGCCAAAGATGAGGCAGATGCTTCAGAAGAAGCTGGTCATGAGACCAAGGAAGAAGAGGAGGAAGTTTCAGCTGCAGTAGAGCAGGAGGAAACACAAGAACCTGAAAGTGGAGTGACTTTCAGTTATGAGCAGCTGAGAGCTAAATCTGAGAACCCAGTGACTGGAATCGATTACAAACGCAGAGAGGTGAGCTTGTTATAGTTAGTATTTAGGAAGCTGAATCAACTCTGTTTATCGTCTAACTTGCATGTTCTTTATTGTTGTTCAAGGCTTACCTAATTGAGGAAGAGTTCCAAAGTGTTTTTGGGATGGAGAAGGAAACATTCAACAATTTGCCTCGGTGGAAGCAAGATCTGCTAAAGAAGAAATTGGGCTTGTTCTAAGCTCAGACATCCTTAAGTTATCCAGTTTATGTGTGTCATTCATTGGTTTTTATGTGGTCAGTCAAATTGTTGTTCGTTTGAAGAGTGTTTTTATTTTTGGGTTTGTGTTGCTCATTTACTTTTGATCACATATTGTTTTACAAGATACATATTCAGATTTGTGATTGATTAAATACTCCATTGTTGGACTCGTGAGTATTTCATAACATGTTGTGTTGATTGGATTAAAAGAAATATGGTAATGAAGCTATCAACGATCATGCTGTGTTGATCGTATCCGCCATCTCCCTCAGGTAAACAAGCTGCTCATCCATAAGCCCTTGCTTCTGCAAAGCCAAGGCAGCAAGTCTCTGGAGAAGAACAGCATCTTCTCCAGGAAAAGGATTGTGTTGATAGCCCCAATGAGCAAGAACCTCAGTGAGACTGTTGGGAAGCAGATTACCTGGGTGATGCGTACTCTGCAAGCTCTCCATTGGCAGAGTACACAAGCATGACGATATCACCGTGGTTCTCGTTCACCAGCACCTCTGCCACCTCGTTCACAAGTTCCGTCTTTTTATCCATCTGTTATCTACCTTTATATCGAACATCTTGCTGCTCATCTTGTCCTTTGGGATTTGAGCAAATTTTGCCACTGTGTGTCACTTTTGTGCAGTTTTCAAAGATCGACCAAATCCATTATTTTGGTTTGCTCAAACCTCAGATTAGCTAAAACATTTTAAATCATCAGAAAAGGTTTGTTAATCTACCACTGTTTATATTTGAGTTGAGTTGACAATTGTCAATTGTTTATTTTATGGTTAGTTCACTTTTCTCTAGTTGGTTAGTTTAACTTTTGATTCTTAATATGTTTTCAGAGGACAATGAGGTGTTTTGTAACGATGATCATAGATTGTAAATGGTTGTTGTTTTACCCATTTGTGTTTGTGGATAAGAAAATGCTTTAATTTGGATATTTCTATTGTTTATGTCTTTATGAGTAGTTTGGTTTTATGTACTTTTAGTATTGTTTTTGATAATTGTGGGGGTGATTCCAACTTTTAGCGCATCCGATCCAAAGTGAAATATAGCCCTCAAATAGATCGTGCTTATTCAACTCATATAGATCATGATATGTGTTAAAATAATAAAAATGGCAAGTTAACAAATCATAAAAACAAAAACGAGGACAAATTATTAGTAAAAAAAGTAAAATGTCATACCATTGAAAAAAGAAAATTATCAAATAATTAATTTTCAACAACAATTAACCATCACGCCAACACAAATTTGCGTTGACACAACAAAAAGAAAATACATTTTCTCTCCATGAACATTACATTTCTTATCCTGCTCAAACATATATAATAAAAACAAAAACAACACAAGTTGCAAATATCCCAACTAGCTGATTAACAATCATTAACAATCAAATATCCCAACTAGCTGATTAACAATCTCGGGAGAAGAGTCACCGGTACGTTGTACGGACACAGAAGAGGCCACATCACGTTTCCGTCCAGTACGATCCGAGATCCGACCCGGTCTTTCTCTTGGACCTGGCCATGTCAACGGCAACTCTCGTCAAAGAGATGTCGTCGGCACTCGTCAGGATCGCGTTGGAATGCGAGAAGCGTCACCGACCGGGAACAAAGCTTTTCCACGAGCCCAAATGGACCATGTATTGTAACGGTAGGAAGTGTGGTTACGCGGTGTCACGCGGCGGAGCGTGTACTGAGTCTGATTGGCGCGTGTTGAACACGGTGTCGAGGGTTACGGCTGGAGCCGGGGTTATCCCGCCAGTGAAGAGTATTGATGACGTGGCCGGTGGAGGGTTTGGTGGTGGAACGGAGCTTGGGGAGTTGTTGTATATGAGAGGTAGATTTGAACGAGTCGTGGGGAGTCGTGACTCGGAGGCGTTTTACATGATGAATCCGGACAAGAACGGAGGTCCAGAACTCAGTATTTTTCTTCTTAGAATATGAAATATTTTATTAAGAGAAGTATTGACTTGTCGAAGAAAGTACTTATGAGGAGTGTTCGCTCACATAAACTTCTTAGTTGTTGTTGTTGCGCCTTTTTTCTTCCTCGTTGATGTTTGAAAGAATCTCTTTTGATCGATCCCGGAGTCTCACCAATTCAGCTGTCGTGGATGCCTCAACATTCAAATTGGCAAATGCATTCTCAACCATGGTTATGTGGACATGAACAACAATCACCCCATAACCATGGTTGAAAATGCATTTGCCAATTTGAATGTTGAGGCATCCACGACAGCTGAATTGGTGAGACTCTGGGATCGATCAAAAGAGATTCTTTCAAACATCAACGAGGAAGAAAAAAGGCGCAACAACAACAACTAAGAAGAAGAAGAAGAAGAAGAGAGAAGAGACAGTGTTCTTATAGAGAGAGTGTACAAACTCGTTCGCATTATTGCTCTTATTATAGAGAGAGAGTGTACAAACACGTTCGCATTATTGCTCTCCTTTTCTTTTTGTTCTTTTCTTTGTGACAAAAAAAAAGAAACAAGAAACTATGGGACAGTAATAATATTCTTTTAATTTAAACTATGCGTAGCCAAACCTGTCTTGATTCTCTAATAGTAGTAACCTACGTAGCACGGAAGCTTCGTCCGATGACCGCTTCCCGCTTCGGAATCGGAATCGGAATCGGAAGCTCTCGGAAGCTTTCGGAAGCTCGCTTCCATGACGCTTCCTAAAAAACCCTTTAAAAACGTTTTGGAAGCTTGCAATTCCGTTTTGGAAGCTTACGCTTCCGTTTAAAAATATAATATCTTAAATAATTATGAATACTTTTATATGTTTATGATTTTATAAGTTTTATAAAAATGAAAAATTAATATACCATGTATTTAATTTGGCATTCACAAATTAAAGACTAATTTTAATCTATTATCTATAAAAAAATTGTTTGGAAAAATTATTACAAATAAAATGAGAATAATTCTTTTGATTAGAAAAATGCGATTTCAATTTAGTGATCTTTCTTTAATAACATAGATATAAGATTATTTTACATGGAATTAGAGAATAACGAAATAAGAAACTAAAATTGGTTTTTGATTTGAATTATTATTAATTGAATTATATAAAATTGATATATTTGATTTATGCTATATATATATATATGTATATATATAGACGCTTCCAACACGTACCCGCTTCCTAATTTTTTTAAAAATATCGCTTCTGCGCTTCCAAACGCTTCCGCTTCCGCGTACCCGCTTCTGATTCCATGCAGCTTACTAGTAACTAGTCTTGGGTGTTCGAGTATTCGGTTCGGTTTGGGTCGGGTATTTCGGGTAGCAAGTCTTTCGGTTTTAGAATTTTGGATCCATTCGAGTATTTTTTAATTTTCGGTTCGGTTCGGGTTCGGGTACATCAGTTCTTTTGTTTTTTTCTTTTTTTTTTTTTTTTTTGGTCGACAGTTCTTTTATTTAAGAACCAAAATATACCCAAACTTTTTTGAGTGTGATTTTGATGGTTATTTAATATCCAAAGCTAAAATCTATCCGAAACTACCTAAACTTGCAAAAAATACCCAAAAATATTTATATTAACCGAAAATCAGAGTTTTACAGTTTCAGTGTGTTAACTGTTAATAATTTTAATAAGAGTTTTAATATATTTATAAGTATATATATATATATATATATATATGTTTTTTTAACATTAGCTTATACACACTTTTAGCATAAAAAGCATATACACACTTTTAATTAAAAAGTGAACTGAAATTTTGAATTATTTTATGAAGTGTGAGATTTATTTGTATATATTCAAAATTTTGATTGTATTATATTTATATAAGATTTTCTTTGTATTATACTATTATTCTACAACGTACAATTGAAGTATTCTCGTCAATTTTCTTTGTATTATACAATTATCTATTAGAAGAAAAAGAGGTACATGTGAGTCCAAAGGCACACGCTAACGCTAACATATTCAGTGACAAAGTTGAAAGTAACGAATAATTTCGCAAACCTCATACCATTGTTAATGCATCACCACCACGGTCAAGTTTGGTCATTTCCATCATATAAATTGTTGAAATACTTGTAACTACAAGTCTACAACTATCTTTTGTACTCGGTCTGAGCTCATAGTGCTCTGTTTTTTTCTTCTCAATAATAAGTCTCATTTATTCTTTGATTCATTTCTATTCTTTCTTCTTGCAAATAACCATCTCTCTGTGTTACGTTCATTAATTTGATTTTTTTTTTTTTTTAAAACATCTAATGTCTAGAGGGAATTGATGGAGAACGTTCGATTTCGATGGGTTCTTCGTCGGGGCAACAGGAATTTGATTACTTGTTCAAGGTATTATTGATCGGAGATTCTGGTGTTGGGAAAAGCTCTCTGTTGTTGAGTTTCACATCCAGTATTGATGATCTTTCTCCAACAATCGGTGAGTTTTATAAATCATGAATGAGTTTAGTACTGATTTGGGCTGTGTATTTTTGTTTTGATTTGGTTTTATGTGATTTGGTGTGGATTTTAAGATTAAGTATCTTACTATCGGAGAAAAGAAACTGAAGCTTGCGATTTGGGACACAGGTGAGAGAGAGATCAAATCTTGTTGTGTATTAGTGTTCTCAGAAGAATTTCTGCAGTTTGCTTGAAATTTGTGTAAATGTCACATATTGTGGTTCCATTTTAGATGTTAAGTGTAAACGTTATATCGAAATCATTAAACAATCCAGGCTTGGGATTCGAGTTTGAGAATAAGCACCACAATAATGCAGAATATGATATAATTTCTTTGTAATTGAAGTCCATGTTTGGTGTCGCTCACTATCGCTCATTAGTCTCTTGTAATCAGAGTGGTTAAGGCATTAGTCTCTTGTATTTAGAATAGTTAAGAGATCAGTCTCTTGTGCTTAGAATAGTGAAGTGATTAGTCTCTTGTGCTTTGAATGGTTAAGATATTAGTCTCTTGTATTTGAGAATAGTTAACGGAGTAGTCACTTGTATATTTTTCAGTTTCTCTGTTATCTTTTATCAGTTTTTCGATGTTTTTCTGATCAATCAGCTTGGCAAGAGAGATTTAGGACGCTAACAAGTTCATACTACAGAGGAGCTAGGGTATAGTTATGGGTATGTCTCTCTAAATGAACAAAATTGTTTGTTTATTTTTTTTATCTCTGATCTTTGATCTACTAGGCTACAATAATGCAACTCTATTGACCTTTGAAATGTCATCTTCCAGAGAGTGAAAGAGCTGTTACTAAAAAAGAAGGCATAGACTTTGCTAGAGAGTACGGGTGCTTGTTTCTGGAGTGTAGTGCAAAGACTCGAGTCAATGTTGAGCAATGCTTTGAAGAGCTTGTTCTTAAGGTTAGTCAAAATCTAAAAATCTGCGCCTTCTTCAAGCTTTTGTTTGCTGAGGATAATGATGAGTATGTCTTAAAAGATTTGAACCTTTGTTATTTATCTGCAGATTTTGGAAACGCCGAGTCTTACTGCTGAAGGTTCGGGAGTGAAGAAGAACATCTTCAAACAAAACCCAACATAGACAAGCAGTGCTTCGTCGAGCTACTGTTGCTCGTCTTAGATCACAGATCACGGCTTTATGGTTTATGACACAAGTACAATCTTGTTTGTCTTAACACAAATACACTCTTGTTTGACTTGGATGGAAGGTAGTCACGCCTTTATGTATTATGTTCAAAAAAAAAAAAAATTGTTAAGAACCAAATATTAAGTTTTAGGGATGGAGGAAGATATAATTAAGAAACTACACAAAGTTTTTATTATTGATTTGTGTGAAAATTAATAATAAAAAATGGTGTAGAACCAAAAACATGGTTTTAGGGATGGAGATGGTCTAAGTCTACAACTATTAAGTACTACCACACGTAGAAAGTTACTATAAATCTGGAAAAAAAAAATGTATACGTGGTGAGTTTTATTAACAAAGAAGGACACTAAATGACGAATTATACTTAAGTGCAAAAGAAATACAGTAGTGACTTGTTTATCATTCGTATCTGTTTTTTTGGTAAAGAAGGAGTAGTGAAATTATAGGAAGACAGAATCTTGGAATTCAAAAGAACTTGATGAAGAATTTCAAAGATGCTCTAAAATAATGGTTGATAGGAGCACTCGACAAATTAATTCGATTCCCTTCTCAATACAATCATATCCATCAATATAACATTAGACATGGACGGTGTTGGGGCCTTTGGTATTTTAATGGAAGATATAACTTGTATCGTATAAAACATCAAATCAATGAGTTACACTTGTAGGTATAAAATAAGATATAAATTAATGTCGAAGTTTAACTTTTGCATGGATACGATCATACGATTTGCAAATGGGATTACACATTTAATTCCACTAAATGTGTATACGATTTGAATTTATACATGTTTGTCAAATTATTCGTAATTTCGTATCATCAAGTGTACCCATTCCAAATTCTATCCCAATCAAATGATCGGCAGCTGCTAGTATATCTTTGTGGTAACAAAAATATATTGTTCGTAGATGTATAGAGCAGATATTGAGCTTCAGGTTACGAAAATACAAAACAAACGTTAAAACGTTAAATAACTTACTTTCAAATAAGAGTTTATAAGTAGGAAAAAGAGAGTTTACAACTAGTTATCATTTCGCGATACTTTTAAAATTAATCCGATTGTTTTATTTTATGCAGATGATGTTTTGTAGAAAAATAAATATATGATCCGAGTGAAGTGGAAAAGAAAGATTAGGTAACATAAATAATGAAATTTGTTAGCACAAATTAAAAAACTATGGTAAGAAATGCAAGGAAATGGAAAATGGAAGGGGTGGATCGTGAAAAGAAGTGGGTGGGAAAGAGCCTAAAACCCACAGGGTTTAGCTTTAATTGACAAAGTCTTTAAACTCATCAACAGCCGCGAAGCCAAAATTACCCTTTAGGAATATTCTCTGCCATTTTAGGACCACCTATGGCACTCATCGCCCGAACCCCATTCCCCCGATGACAGTAGCTGCAACAAAGAGATTTCCTCGTGTTGTATCAATCCATTCATATTCGTTTGTATCAATCCATTCATATTTGTTTACTCGCAACTTTCTTCATCTACAAGTTAATTTGTGGCTCTATCTGTTTTCTGACGTTGTCTTTCGTTGGCCGGAGTAATAAATTGTTCTAGTATTTGTGTGATATAGTTTACTAAAATAGATTACAGGAGTTAGATTATTGGTAGCTTTTTTCCTTTCTTTTCTAAACTACGATCTAGGTTTTTGTTCCATAGTTTTTCTAATACTTGATAATATTATCAAAGACGAATCTTTGATAATACTTGTGGGGGAATCACAAGCGTAAATAATCTTTCTTCAGGTGTAGCATTTAAAACCTGACTCGAACTCAAAGTAATCCATCAACACGGTAATGTCACTATGTATACCAAGTTACTAACCCCGTGAGACAACCACACTCACAAAAAGAAAACGAACTCATGAAAAATATTTCCAAAAATAAATCGTACATGCAAGGGTTTTTGCTTCATGGACCGATTCGAAAGATAAAATATATTTTGCAAGAATAATTAAATATGTCATCCGACTTAACGAATACACATGCATGCATATATAACTTGTGTAAGAGAAAAAATAGTTTAAAAATGTCTCAAAAAGTGAGAAACTCTAAGTCAAATCGAGCAATACCTAACCCACATATTATGAAACTCACGATATAATGTTTCAATTAATGGATATGTGGTAGCTATAGGCCTATAGCTAGTGCTTTACATTTTTCTTCACACTAAGCAATACTATTAGATAAAGATCAGAGATGACCTCATTTACAGAAAACGACCCCACGGTTGAGCTTCTCACCATTTATATTAGATTACTCGTAGCTTGAGGGTAATTCCTTCATTTCAACACTTGTTTCATGAGTGCAGTTATATATAGTGAACATTCATGAATGTGGAAACATCGAAGAGGTCGACGTGGCAAAATGAGGATTTCCTTCAAGTCAGAATTTGTTTCATGAGTGCACAATGATGTATAGTGAACATTCATGAATGTAAATATTACGATTTCTTTTTAGTTCAGTGGCTCATTACGGACGTACCGGGGATGAATAAGAACCCGGATTCCCCCCGATTTCATCAGATTCCCAGAACCAGATTGCTACAGCGGAGCTTTCGCTTAGTTATGAAATATAATCGTATATATACAGATACATGAAATATGTATAATTTGCAGCCGATGCACGAAACGAAAGATGATGATGACTCTGAAATAGAACTAGTATAAAATTATTTTGGAGTAAAATATGCCTCCACCGCCATCATTCCATTTGGATAGTAAAAACTAAAAAGTGGCTTTTGTTGTTGAATTAATCTTATTTATTGTTAACCCATAAATAACTTGCATGCACATATAACTTGTGTAAACCGAGAAAAAATAGCTTAAAAATGTCTCAAAAAGTGAGAAACTATAAATCAAATCGAGCAATAAATACACACATTTTCATATATTTTTTAGCAATAAATAAAACTAATCTATAAAAAAAAATTGTCAGTACTTAAATAAATTAAAACTTTACTTCGGAAACAAGGTGGATTCGAACTGGGGATGGGGGCTTTCTACTACATAGGACACTCCTTTTAATTTTATATTATCTTTCGGATCACCATCATGACATTCCCTTGAGATTGAGATTGAGATTGAGATCACCACACACGCCTCCTTCTGCTTGAAGAAAGCTCAGAAGATTCCAAAACCTGAAGATCAGATCGGTCTGCCAGAGTCAAGTGGCTACTGATTGACCTGGCTATGAGTTCTTGGAGCCGTAACCTTTCCTGCTCTGGATACTATTTATCTACTATTTATATGTTTTGGCTGATTTTTAATTTAATAAAACAGCATATAACAAATACTTATATCTTATTTTCGTCTTAAGACCAATTACTTGTATTTCATTAAGTTGGTTTTGTTTTCACCAGCACAAAAAGAGCAGAGAAATCATGAAATTACAGCACCGATTTTTTTCTTTCACAACAATCACTTATTATTAAAATCAAGACATGTTTATTATTGCACACTTCTTTCTATTGGATTAGTGTACAAACTCAGATTTAGACAGACCTCTTAAACGAAAAACAAACAAACTTCAAAAACATGGCAATATAGTGGACTATGAGTGCTATATCCCCACCTAGTGGGATGCTGTCCTGTCATACGGTGTTACTTTAAGGTACAATGATTTTGGAATTTTGAGAGAGAGAAATTGATTTTCTGGGCCAAATTTGAGCGGTCAACATATATAATCATAAAATAGTCATATATATCTTAATAATCACCCGTCTTTTTACTAATTAAACACATACAACCTTAGTGGTTAAATAAGGAAAGCAATACAAACACGACTGATTCGTTTAAACGCTCACATAACTAAGTTATTCAAAACTAAACTAAACAAGAAAGAAACGGTGAAACACATCTTGTCATGGAATCGATGACTTCTTCTTCTTAGTTGTTGCGCCTTTCTTCTTCCTTTTTGATGTTTGCAAGAATCTCTTTTGACCGATCATGGAGTCTCAACAATTCATCTGTCGTGGCTGCCTCAACATTGAGATTGACAATTGCATTCTCAACCATGGTTATGGGGTGATTGTTGCTGTTTATGTCCACATAATCATGACGGTTGAGAACCGTTGGTAGGCTACCAATGTTAATTAACAATATCAGTTTTGTAAACAAAAACACAAACATATCATTTTGGAGAAAGAAAATATATCATCTTCATAGTTTTTTTTTCAGGTGTGGAAGACTGTTGGAAGAATGAACTTTGATTGGTGTGAGGCTATACAATTTTACTTTTTTTATAACTTGTGATTGATTGTTATATATCTATTTGACATATCACCAATCAATCTACTGATACTAGAAGATCTTACACGAAAATGTGTTAAATATTTTTAATGTGAGACGTTCGTGCAGTTCTCAAAATCAACCAAATCCATGATTTTGATTTTCTCAATCTCAAATTACCTAACGTATTTTGAATCATGAGAGTATGTTCATTAATATATCCATCTTAAAGAATATGATTTTAGTTGAGATACGCAATACTAAACATTTTGATTATAGTTAGTATTATAAGGTTTTATTTATTTTTCTTCTTTTAGTTGTTGCATTTTTCAGTTTTATTTCTTCTGTTCAAAAGAATACAGTATGTGATTCTCGAGATCCACCAATTCAATTCCCTTGGTAGCTAGAAATGTTAACAAAATCATTTTTGTAAACAAAAACACAAACACAAATTTAAGAAGAATCAAAAATAAATAGGAGTGTGCATATTTTAGATTCACCAGCACGAAAGAGCAGATAAATCATGAAATTACCCACCGATTATTTCTTTCACAACAATCACTAACTTTTAATCAAGACTTACAAAAACATGGGATTGATGTCGAAACGTAGGATTATCGATTATGTCATGGTTACAGTAATGGGCCGGAAATATAAGAGGTGGGCTTTTGAGATCCATAGCTTCGAGTAAATGTTATC